AAAAAAAAAAAAAAAAAAAAAAAAAAAAAAAAAAAAAAAAAAAAAAAAAAAAAAAAAAAAAAAAAAAAGCAAGGCATCGAAATCCATCAAACCTAACATCAGGAAAGAAATAATAATCATGGTACACGTAATATCGGAGGCGCCACTAATCTATGCGTATCCGTAATCGATTCGGAATATTTGGGTCGATAGCAGGGAAATATGATTTTAAGGTCGAAAAGGTCGTTGAATATCGTGTCCGTTTGTTATGACCGTCCCGAACGCGCGCGGTCTCTTCTCGTCCGCCGCGTATCTCTTGTGTCTCTCGTGGCTCTCGTGCCCCTCGAGTCTCTTGTTCGTCTCGTATCTCTCGTCCGCCTATCCGAGCTTGCGCTGCCTATAAACCAGTTAGCATCATACGTCATGGAAATGTGGGAAGTGCAAGACATACTCGAATTGGTGTAATAGTCGGAATAATAGTATGAGCTTGGGTAAGAGTAACTGCTTTTCTCGTCATGCTCTCTGTCTCTGTGTCTCTTCAATCCCAGACACAACGCAAGCGCACCGAGGACGATTCCGATGGTTGCTAGACCACCCCATCTGGATTTCTTTTCGCCGCCGGCCTCGCTCTGGGCAGGTGGTTTAGCTCCAAACCAAGTACGTCCCTCAGGCTTGCCGCCTTGTGAGTAACGGTCATCTTGGTTTCGCTTCCGTCCAATCCCCAAGCATGCGGCCAAACCGACCAAGGCTCCACGACAACACAAGCAAGCACACACCAGCAGGAGGAGAGCGACGCCTGCAATGGTACCGATGACAATACCGGCGATTGCACCACCGCTAAGTCCATCATCATCTGGAGCTTTGACACCAATCGCGGGCGACCCATCTGTATTCACAGGCGTATCGAAAGCTTGCGTGGTTGTTGGATTTCCCGTCTCAGTGACAGTCGACAAGCCGCTGCTAGTACCTCGCGCTGGAGGCGTGGCTGTGGCCCAGATGGAGGAGCTTCCGATGATGCATTGACCATTACTGCAAACATACGCAGCACCGCAACAAGTACTTCCGCACTTTTCTTCGCCGATGGAAGAATCGCAGCTCCCAGAATTTGAGCCTGAGCCACCTCCAGCAACTGCGGTTTGGGTCGCGCGCTGGCTGCTCCATGTAGAGGTATAAGTTTTAGTATCAGTCTCCGTCCAGGTGGTGGTGTGGTAATCATAATCATCGCCGCCGCCGCTCCCCGAGTCGGAACAAACTGCTTGACCACCACTGGTGACACAGGTCTGACCCGACGTGCAGCAGAGCTGACTGTAAAAGCCGCATGGATTGGAGCAACCTCGCCTATCAATATCACCTCCTTCCATATCCATAGGGCTCGCAACAGCATGTTGCGATAGTAACACCAGCGACGAGACGACCGCCGGTATCAACTGGAAGGCCCACATGGCGAATAGGTGAGTCGTCTGTAGTTCAAATCAAACCAGGGCTCGACGTAGGTAACCGAATGTAAGCCTTTTTTATTTTTTAATCGTTTGCTTTGTTCTTATAAAACCCTGGCCTGAAGAAAACCCCGAACCACAGCAACGTGTGGTCAACCGCCTTGCAGGCTGCTGCGCGATTGTTGTGCCGAGGGTTGTCTAGATGCGATAACCACGATAGCGTTTTGATGGAATGCGCAAAACAAGACCGCGAGGAATATTGAATAGGCAGAAAAAAAAAAAGTGAGGATGAGAGAAGGAATGGAAAAGACACGAGGAATGGAAGACAGAGAACAGAGGGGGGAGGGAGTTGTGGGAGTGTCTCGCGGTGAGCAAAGCTGATGGTCTCCCAGCCTCCTCTGTCTTAGCAATTGTTTTGTATACGCTAATAACTTGGTGGTACTATGAATAGTTACCCAACCACTCTATTTTTTGTGACAGTAATTGAACCAATCGATTCCTTTTTTTATATAGAAATGGAGTCTATCTGAGTTTATCCTTGACAAAATAATCGGGTGGTTGGTAACTACATCCAATAATAGTGGGTGTGCGCGGTGATATACAAAGTCCAGTCCCTGTCTACCCTATTTTTGCCCGTGCGTTCCGGTTAAACATTCTCTATATCGTACGTAACTGTACCTGTATCTCTACCTGTATCTACCGGAGCTCCGGAGTACATACGGCATACATAATTCTGACAATAGGTGGTCAGTCCCTGACAGCATCACTTTGGAAAAAGGGATTGACCCAGTTTGCCGGAGACCGGATTTAATGTGATTTGCCCAAATGGCGGTGGTTTCTGCATGTCTAAATCTACGTGTCAGGTGGCCATCCCACAATCCATTGACAAGAAAACGGTGTATGGGGTATTTTGTGATTGCTCTGCCAGCGAAGACGTATGGGGTACGGTGCCTGTAGGGGTAAGCTCTAGCTGAAAGCCATTCGGCGGTGAGCCTCGCCTGGTTGCTATTTTCATGATTGTTCTGCATTATAGACAGTGAAAAGGTAAACAAGAGCTGCTCAAGCTAGAAATCCCCATAGCACATGTTTTTAATATAGCATTATCGTAGTCGTCATAATCATAGCCATGGCCATTATTACCATCAGATAAACATCCCAGCAACACCAACAACCATCCCGAACATAAGGTCCGTTAGACTCGCCGGGCCCCGGAACGACGCCGCCGCATTCTCATTACCATTTCCCGAGCCGTAAGCATCATCACAGTAGCCCAAGTTCAACCCATGGCACGCCTGCAGCCTCAAATTCGAGCAAGCAGATACCACTGGCGTCGCTTCTCCTCCCTGAACCGTAACCCCGGCCCCGTTATCTCCAGCCACAGTAACCGCATATTGTCCGTTATTCCCCAAGCTCGAAGTACACTGGGTGTAGTCATTCTGACATCTCGAATAATAGGCCGAACAGGTGGCTGCATCCGCAAAAGTCGTCGGCACGTGGATAAACGGATAAGCACCGTTCATAGTCGACCCTGTAATCGAAATCCCATCCGTCGTCGAAGTCGCATCGCCCGTTGCCGTCGCGGTCGCAGTCTGCGGGAACATGAAGCTGCTTGTCGTCCCTGTCGCTGCGGCGAGGCTGCCTGTGCAGCTGGCTCCGTTCGGACAGCAGGCGATGTTGTTGGCTCCATCGCGGGCGCAGTGGGCGTCGGTGCGGCAGCAGACGTTGAGGTTGTTGAGGTTTGAACAGGGATTGTAGCCTCCGGGACAGTTATTGGCGACTCGCTTTTTGAGGACTTGGAGGACTTCGAAAGCTCGTTTCTGTTCTGAAGTGGCCACAGGTTCGTGGAAGGGGATTGTTTCGGCTGAGAGGGCAGTTGAGATGAGGGAAAGGGCTGGAAGAAGCCACGAGGTCTTCATTTTGTCGTTACGTTCTATGAAGAGCTTGTCTTGTTCAATGGATTGCTATCGCATGCGATTAGAGTGTAGCAGTAGATTATCGACGATCAATAACTCGCATTCAAGCAAGTTTCAGTGATATAGTTAACAAAAGCGATGATGAAATCAAGTGTCAGGAATAACCAGAAGACAAATTTCTTCTTTCCAGGTCTATCCTTCACCGGAATCGAGGCTGCTGACACGGTTCCCAGCCATCTTCTTTTTACAGTGGTTTTGATTCAAACGGCTCCACTGCGGAAATCCCCTGCCATAGCAACGGAGCATCGTCGGCGATACCCAACTGCCAGTTTCACCGACAATGCTTACTGCCAATCAATATGAAATTGCATTAGGTGAATCGTAAAAGTAGAAGTAGAGGAGTGATGTATCAGTCTGGTATGGAGTATGGGTTAGAGATCCACGGTATGAACATCGGAGATTCCACTGGACTGTGGGGCTTCAGGGTCCAATTAATGTACGCCCAAATCGTACATGGTATGTACGATATCTTGACATTATACGGAATTCAAATATGTATGGAATTCTTCGATTACGTCTGTCAAACTTAGAGATATGGCCCGTAGTGTACGGTGTACATTGATGTAAGTTTTACCTCTGTAGCCGGTCTATTCCTACGATGCTGCAGAACAAAGCATCATCTAGCACTCAAAGACAAGACCGATGACAGAAACACAATGTGGGAACAAAAAAAAGGAATGCGCATTGAACCGGAAATGCTAAGAAGACACGGAACATGTTTTGGCGAGATCAATAGTTCGTCTCGAGAGTACAAAGAAACATTCATAAAGAAAGCCTAGTCGGTGACACGTTCAGACAACGTCTGACATGACAAACACACGGCGTGTTGCCGTGATTGTTCCTTCAGATAGCTATCTACATCCTGTCAATGGATATTATTTAGCGATCAATTTTGGTGTGTGTTTATAGCTGAGGATCAAGCGATTTTGAGTCGTTCTCTTTGTCTCTCTTCGTCTTGTTGATGGCATCGGATAACCCCAATGAAGTATGCCTGATATAGACCCCCTCACCTGTCCTCCTGTAGATATTTATATCCTTAATGGAGCACTTGACAGGAAATTATTATACGATAATCACTTATGGTAAAACCATAATCCAGTAGCATTACAAAATCACTTCCGCAATGAACATCTCTTCTATCGACTTCTCGCCTTGGAAAGACTCCGAAGACAAGGTCAGTCGTCTGTGGATGGCTCAAGAGATCGCCGACGCCTCCACGAAAGTGGGTTTTATGTATATTATTTACCATTCTCTACCAGGAACTGTACTCAATAAAAGCGTTTGACTGAACCATACGCTTCTTCTCCCTGTCCGAGGAAGATAAAATGAAGGCACCTCATCCCAAAGAATGTACGGTGCACCTGGCTATTCATAGCCAGGACTGGAACACGTTCACCCTGCTCTTTCAAGGCGATTACGGTGGGCTGGGAGTAGAAGACGTTTTCAAACCAGGCACATTCATTCCAGCCACATCCATCAAGGATGGAGTCGTTGTGGATGCAGGAGACGTCTTGCAGATGTGGAGTAACAGTACGTATCATGTTTTATCTGGTTTGTACCAGGAACTGCTGGGGCTGACTTAAACATAGACAAGTTCAAATCAATTAACCATCGCGCGATGCTGCCGCCTCTCCATCGGTTTGATAGTGAAAATCGAATGACTTACGAGCACTTTTCAATTCCCTACTTTGCATGTGGTGATACGGATGCTCTCATCAAGTGCATTCCGTCTTGTATGAGTAAAAAAAAGCCGACCAGGTATGAGCCGACTACTGTGGCTGACTATCACTTAATGCGGGTGGTGACGTTCTATTAATGAGTGACTGATACCTATATATATAAGTTTGAATGACAATTGTGTTGTCGATTTGAATGAGGAATAGGTAGATGAGTACCCTAAGCCCTATATATAACCCCAATATAGAAAGCATCACCCTCACCGCCTGGACATCCCGCAGAATGCGTTCATCTCCTATCTGGGGTCAATGGACACTTGGAAAAAAAAAAAAAAAAACAAGCCTTTTTGTTTATTCATTTTTGTCCAGATAGTCACCTAAAGATCCAACCGATAGTATTCTGACACCGGATCTTCTTCGACTTTTGTGCCTTTCAAAGTCACGCTTCAATCGTCCGTTCCGTTCTCCCCGCTCGACACGTTAACCCAACGATGTCGATTCCCAACGAAGCTCTGCAGAAGGTAAACATTTCTACTCATATTGATGGAGGAATGAAGCTGATATTTATTGTTTATAGCTACTGCAAGAAATCGAGACCCAGGCCATCACCTCGCAGCAACAACTGAACATCACCAAGGCGCAAATCACAGCCAAGCAGAAGAACGCCCGTCTCCTCGAGTTGACATCGAAGGAACTTAGCACGCTGCCGAAGAATACCAAGGTGTATGAGGGTGTGGGCAAGATGTAGGTATTCTATTCTTGTTGGACAAGTGATAATAGAGGTGGCGTGTCTGACAGATATCTACGGATAGGTTTGTTGGTGTCCCGATGCAAGCTGTCGACAAGCGCATGTCGTCCGAGAATAGTACGTTAAAAACCGAAATTTCTGGCTTGGAGAAGAAACTGGACTACTTTGAGACGACACATGCGAAGGCCCGCGAGAACCTGGAGGCAATTTTGAAGCCGCGCAAGTAGATGATCGGATGATTTTTCGGAGACAAGTCTGACCGTTTGGGCTGGCTAAGGGATACTTGACCTACAATATATGCATTACGAGTACTTGATGGATAGGGGAAAGGGGGGAACATATAAGAAGGGGAGACGAACGTTGAGGCAACGTAAGAGCTTCCTGACAGCCACACATGCCGTTGGTTGTCACTTTATGTGCGTTTCCTGGAAAAGACCAAGGAACCAAGGCCGTTAGACAGCCGCTCAGACACCCGCGATTCGCTTCATGCACATGGCCGGCGCATATGCACGAACATGTACGGCGTATAGTTTCTTGACTGGATATTAATGTCTTCCAGGAAGACGGCCAATGTTTATTGGAATGGAATAAACCAAACAAAGATAATTATAATCACGAATGGAAATGCAGGATTTCTCACTAATCATATTTGGCGATTCGGTGCAAACATGATTTGTAGGCGGCGTCATGTGGCTGTGGCAGATGAGACCCAAGTCCACTTGTGTGGTCAGTTGGTCCGCATCGATCCATGGATGGACTTCGATATATCCCTGGGTTCAAATAGCATATCTATACAACAACATCAACAACATTAACATCAGAGGAACAACGTATCTCTCCATGCGCCGTGCAAAAAAAAAAAAAAAAAAAAAAAAAAAAAAGAAGAAGAAGCATTTTCGGTAGTATTGGTGCCCCGCAAATCACGGGCCACCACATCATCGTCCCCTCGGCGGCTACATAGTAAAAGCCACACTTGCGGACGGAAAGGATTAATGCCGTCTAGTTTGATAGGATAGAATTGAGCAATGACTGTACAGAGAAGAGTCATCGTGGAATGATCAGGCACCTAGAGATAACCGCCGGCAGTACAGGGTACTACTGCACTCTGTATATAGGCAGCCAGCAGTACAGCCACAGCTTTCTGCCAGTCGCTGATCGCAAGGCTGACTGGTTACTCTGTACCGGTCCATTTTTTCCTGTTGTTCCTTTGGCTTTGACTGGCCATAGAAAAACATAAGAAAGATTTAAATTAAGAATAAAATAAGAGAAGCCGGATTTAAAACCCTCCAGCCTCCCCTCCAGTTTCTCTCTTTCTCTCTCTTTCCCTCGCTCTCCTCTCACCTTCCTGTGTTTCATCATCGTCACGACTTCCTTCAAGTTGAGTCGTGCTGGTCACCTGTTTTCCAGCGTGTTTGTGATCTTTTTCTTTTCTTTTTGTGCTATATATCCCTTGACCGCGTTTTCTTTCATCCCATCTTTTTCCCTGTTTTAACGCTTGTTTGTCCTTGTGCACTGTATACCTGACTCAGTCACCCCCGCCTGACCGATAGCCCGCCACCGAGTCTATCAAGGTCATCACTTATCTCTACCTCTTTTTTTCTCTCTTCATTTCAATATATACCCAGCTTGAAGACAGTATTAGAACATATAAAAATGCCTCGCTATCCTACTATCCCCATCGTCTCCGAAAGCGAGACAGACTACTCCGACACAGACATCTCCATTGAAGCCCGTTCCCCGCGTCGACGTACGTCATTCAGAAGACGCTCTGTGTCCCGTCAGCGCCAGCCCGACTATAGCAACTCCTACTTGAGCCCGGTCGTTCAAGACCTTGGTGGTCTACAGAGGTCTGCCTCGACGGGCGGCCGCCGACTGAACCACCGCGACCATCACCGGGAGCCCCCGCAAATCGTGGTGGATATCAACAACAACACCCGCGATCGCAGCTCCAATAAGGCCCGGCGTTCGCAGCCGCAGCTTGAGACAAGCGACTCAGAGGAGTCCGAGGATGAATCCATGCTGCGGAATCACCGACGGGCGAAAGCTACCTCAAAGAGACCCAGCCCTGGTGTCTCGCGGGAACGGGAGCGGCCAATTTCTTGGGAGCGAGAACATCGTCATGAGTATTACCGGGAGCAGCCGTATCCACGGGAGTATCCGTACACTTATGTCTCGCACCCTCCCGCCGCGCCCGCCGCTCCTGTCCCTGTCCCTGTTGCCGCCCCAACCCCTGCGCCGCCTCAGGTCCCGCCTCAGACTCAGGCCACAACCCCACGAGACTATTCGCTGTGGGGTCGGGAGCCCGAACACCCTCAGCGGGACTACGACATGCTCGTCGACCAGCGACTGCTACAGCGGAACGATGCTCGACAAGACATGGAGCTCATGAAGCAGCAGGCAGAGATTGAACGGTTGGAGCGGGAGCTCGCACGTCGTCGTGAGGAGCACGAAGCCCACAATGACGAACGTCTGGATCACCGTCACGAGCACCGTCTCGTCCGCGAGGAAGACTTGTGGTACGAAGACGAGATCAGTGAGCGGATGAAGCGACTCGAGCGATTCGAGAAGAAGGAGCGAATGGAAGAAGAGCGCTCTCGGGCTGAGTATAACCTTAAGATGAAGCGCTTTGAAGAAGCGGAGCGCGAAGCGGCGGAGCAGGAGGAAGTCCAGGCCAAGATCCACGAAGAAAAGATGAAAGAACTCCAGCTTCGAATTGCAGAGGAGAAAGAGCGCGAGCGCATTCAGGCCAAGATACAGGAGGAGAAGCTCCAGGAGCTCAAGCGCAAGATTGAAGAAGATGAAGAAAAGGAGCGCATCAAGCAGGAGATTCGTGAAGAAGAGGCCAGGAAGCTCCTTCAGGAGCAGGAACGTGCAGCGCAGGAGGCTGCGATGAAGGAGGCTGCTGTCGCGGAATGGAAGGCCGAAGAAGAACGGCGGATCACGGCTGAGCGCAAGGCCCAGGAACTCAGGGACCATGAATTCAAAGAGAGGCTTAGGATGGAATTTGGCTACGATGAAGGAGCAATCCAAGACCTCATTGTCAAGAGCAAGACGCCAGAACAGCCTCCACCTCCTCCTGCTCTGCCGGCCGAGGAAGAAAAGAAAGAGGAGAAGGAGGAACATCACCACCGCGCGACATGGATCAAGGTACGAGAATTTACTTCTCTCAATGTCATTATCACACGCTAACTTCAGACTAGGTCCACCGCAAGCATCTTATCCCGGATACGCTGATGGCCTATCGTCTGCCATGGGACTGGGACGAGGTAAGCCCTTCTCCACCGAAACGCTCTGCACACTTTCATACTAACAACCGCAGATCGACCCCAACTACATCATCATCAAACAGTGGATCTCCGAGGACTTCCAGGATGAGCTCTTTGCACACACTAGACGTCTGCGCGACGGTAGACTGGTCGCGCAGAATTCCAGCTCGCTAACAGAGCTGAAGGTCAACGACCGGCATAAGGACAAGATGTACCTTGTACGGAAGAAGAGCCCTGGCCGTCGCTCGTGGATCTTTACATGATTGTTGGGGCATAATAAATTTGCAGGTTGCACTTTCTGATGACTATATGTTGATTTCTTTTGTTTGGATTTCTTTTCTGATATCCGTTTTCTTCGTTGAGTCGGGATTTTTCTTTTTTTTTAGAGAGAGCAAGTATATGATGATATGATACCGCATGATTGAGATGAAATGTTATGCTTTTGTTCTTGCATATCGCACATTGCCAATGACCAAGATAAAATCCAAACAGTCCATTACTCCGTATACCCCATGCAAAAGAAAGTGTCACCAGCACAGAACGGATCGGAGATAACCAAAACCCAAGCGTATATAACTAACGTAGACCGTCACAGATGGATCTGATTTTGAGCAGCCCGATGGTTCTCAGCGCGGAGGATAAGTTCCTCATACACGGTCCAAGCGAGGGCCGAACTTAATGCTTTCCTCCCGATCCGCAGCCCAAGACCACCAAAGAGACTGCGCACACCATCTTCATGAATCATCAAGCTAACCGCACGGAGCATATTCCCGTATTTCCCCGGCATAAGCTGCAGCCGGGTCTTAACGGCATCAAACGGGTTGGTAATGGTTGTAGCCAAACCAGCAGCTAACCCACCCGAGACGAAATTAATCGACGACGAGGATGTTGTGGACGCATCCCCATTAGGAGCAGATAATAGGGCGAAACGGCGCTTCAACTGCTCATAAAGCAGGACATAGAGTCCAGCATATGGTGCATCACGCGCGGCAGTTGCCCCGAACCCTGAGAATAAACCCCGCATTCCCTCCGTGCGGACGATATCCCGCCCCGCCCCGTACAAGCTGCGGTATGCGTAATAATCCGACTCGTAGCGCACCTTGATCACAGTGACCGGCATCATGACGAACCCTGCGGCTACCCGAGCCGCGGCCCCTGTGGCTAGGTTTCCTGAGTTGGAGAGTTTCGGAAGAGCCGAAGTATTAACGCCATTGTTGTTGGCAACGAGAATCGAAGAGCCATTCTGCACTAGCCCTTGTCGCAGGGCATTAAGACTTGTAAAATACAAGGCTGACCCGAAGCCCGTGCGGAGTGCGGAGGGCAGGGTACCACGCCATAACCCGCGGATCGGATTGGAGGAGGAAAGAATGGTTTTGAGTGTTGGGAGGAGGGCGGTGGTTTGGTGGGATTGTTGCACGCGGGTTTTTAAAAGGTCTGCTGGTTGGAGAAGGATGGAGGATGTGAGACCGGAACAGAGACCGGCGGCGAAGTGGAAGGTGGATTTTGATGCTATCCGGAGACGTAGAGGTTAGATATGCACCGCAGAATGGAGAGGGGTAGGCGACGTACATGTGGAGGGTCTCTTCACCTGAGGCGATACGGAATATGCAGCATTATCTGACATTTCTTCGGAAGCTCCGCAGGTTGGTCCTGGTAACCTGCGAGGCTTGGATGGAGGTGGTGGGATGAGTGGAGGTGTGAGGGGTTCAATGGTGTTCCATCACAGAGTAAAAAGGATCAAAAGAAATAAATTAATCAATGCCGAGAGGACCAGCTTGTCATGTATAAAGCAGAGAACACATTCCAATTTTAATGCTTGCAGTTTCTGTAATGTTGAAACTGCGGTGGATGTCACCCAGAGAAGTTGAGGTCATCGGACAGGCGGCCTATGATTGGTCGAAAGATCTATACAGGGCGTACTAGTGTTTATGCACAAATAATGCTCGATTATAATACAATACATAATAATGTCCAGGTTAATCAAGAGGAATATCAATTGCTGTCTCCAGTTAACGAGTCCTAATGGTATTATACGGAGTATGTACAGCTTATATATAGAGTACAGAGCAGTACTCCACCCTCTACCACACCACTGTCTGTGATTGAAGATAGTTCAGTCTGAGACACTCAATGCTTTATCTGACTCTACCCTGCAGTTCTTGTACAGTTCTCATAAAACTGTGCCTGTCAGCATACATTCCTAAACACCAACCACCGACAATCCGCGTAGTCCCGAGCTGACCAATCAATGTCCGGAAAATCCGTCAGTGTCACTGGACGACGTCACATGTTCTGCTGCGAGTTACCAACCCAAGAACGGAAAGTCGGCGATTCAACTCTTTGCTCTTTCTCCCTCTCTTTTCCTTCTGCCTACCCTTTGTCTTCCTCGGGCATCTTCCTCTCATCTCTCCGCCCTGCTATTTTAACAGAGGTAGACAATCCCTCCCGGAGAGACTGAGCGTCCATCCCTCCATAATGCAGTGGCCCTCCCTGCCGTTTTATCCGTACCCGTCTTCCAAGGATGGGTACTGGGGCCCTGTTACATCGACGCTGAACTGGTGCGAAGAGGTATGAAACCCATGTCTCTATTTTCTGGATACCCAGTGAGCTAATGATCGGGCTCTATGACAGGACTACTATGCGACCATCTACGCCGCTGAGATCATCAATACCCTGACCAACTTGTTGTTTATGTGGCTCGGGGTCAAGGGAATTTTGAGCTGTCGCAGGCATAAGCATGACCAAATTTTCCTCATCGCCTACTGCGGTTATCTTGTCGTTGGCACCGGGAGCTTCCTGTTCCATTCGACCCTCAAATGCAAGTGTCCCGGATCCTTCGGAGCGTGTGCTACTGGTGCGCGGGGAACCGTCCATGCTGACCGCGTTTCGTGACAATTAGATCCCATGCAGCTTGTCGATGAGCTCTCCATGATCTACACCACATGTTTGATGGCCTATGCGTCCTTTTCCTACTCGAGGCCAACAGGCGTCCGTTTTGCTCTGGCGATTTCCCTGACCTCGCTCGCCGTTTTCATCACCCTCTACTACCATTACCTACAAGACCCCGTGTTCCACCAAAATGCGTACGCGGTTTTGACAGCGGTTGTGGTTATTCGGAGTATGTATACCATGGAGAAGACCCTTCGTCCGAAATGGCGGGGTACGCGCGAGGAGGATCGCCTTGCACGCGAAAAGCAGGGCTTGCCGGTTCCGACCAGGGAGCACCAACACTACGAGAACGTCCGTGATATGAAGACTCTCAAGACCATGTGGTATATGGTTGGCTACGGATTGAGCATGTTCCTTGGTGGATTTGCTATCTGGAATCTGGACAACATCTTCTGCAGTCAGATTAGGCAATTGCGGAAGACCGTGGGGCTTCCTTGGGGTATTTTCCTCGAGGGTCACGGCTGGTGGTATGTTGCTCTCTTTTTTAGACCTCGACTGCAAGCTGATAAGTCAACAGGCACATCATGACCGGTCTTGGCGCGTACTTGTATATCATTTGGGGAATTTGGTTGCGTCATTGCTTAAACTGTCGTCAGGAGGAATATTACTTATGGTGGCCTCATACTTGGAACATTCCCGAAGTGATCCGTATCAACAACAGCAAGCACGAAAACGGATCGGTGAAGAAGTCGAACTGAAGCTCTTGGAGTTATCTTCTCTGGATTTTTAGATTTAAAATGATTCCCTCTAACGTTGCTGGGGCCAGGAGCTCCAGGGAAAGACTTTGATGTCTCACTAAGTGTGTCTATTGGACTTTGCCGGAACATTGGCGTTTGAATTGGCAAATCTATTAAATTATAGACTTGGTCTATATATACAAAATACCGACAAAACAAGTCCTAATGCATGGTGCAACATCTCTATACTCTCACGTAATGCGTATGATGGACAGAATGATCATAGCTTGGATGACGTCTTCTTGGGTTTCCTCACAGGAGGAGGAACGTGTTCCTTCCATCTCTCATCAATGGTGACCTTTTGAATCTTGGACTTCTTGCTCCATCCAGCCTTGAAAGCCTGATCTTCATCCTGCCACCGCTGCAACTCCTGACCTAACCAGGTGCTGCCAGCTTCGGCGCATTGAATGGGCGCTTCCTGCGCAACAAGGTGCCCAATTTTGTCGAGGATGACGTTGCGTACTCGTCCAGCCTGGGCACCACCACTTCCACCGATACCAGCCCCCGTCGTAGCTATTTTCTCCGCATTGACCTCTGGGAGAGAAATATCCGACTGAGAGCCGAAAATATACAGAACACTTGGTCTGAGATGTGGGAGCTGCGCAAAGATCCATCTCGATTCTGGTCGGTAGAATGGGTATACATCTAACGACTTCGGGTCTAGATCGGGATGCGTCACTTTGTTCACGGGAATATTCGTCCCGGGTGGCCTATCGTAGTTTGGCCGCGAAAAGGTAAAGACTTCTTGATGGAGGGTGCTGGTCAATGTAACTGGGTGGTTTTCGTATCTGTCTTTGGCATCTTCCCCTTTCAGCTGCGACTCATCGAGTGGGTGGATGGCTGTCGGTAAATCACGGAGACCATATTTCATCCAGCGATCTAGGACGCGAGGATCCCAGGCTTGGTAAAATGGGCTCTTCTTGTATGATTCTGCGGCAGCTTTGCGCGAAGGCCAGATGTCTCGGCGGTAGGTGGAGAGTTGGGTTGTTTTGGCGATTAGACTTGTAGGCTGGGTAGGCTGGGAGCTTGGGGGTTCGAGTGTGCTAGATTGACGTTGGATCACGGGGTCTAGGAGGATAAGGGTATGGAAGAGGCGCGGGTGGATTAGGGAGAGTTGTGCACTGTGGGAGGAAGTTCAAGAGTTAGCCAATGCCATGTAGAGATGCTTCGTGAATGGTGGGGAACGAACAGATGCGCACCGCCCATGCTATGCCCAATTCCAACCAGAGGACGGGGCATCTCATCGCGCTTCAGGTTGATGAAATGAAGCAGATCCCGCGGGTGGTCGAACCAGCTAGCTGTTTACTGTCAGATATATGGACTCGTTGTCTCCCCAATGCGACAAACATACGGTCATTCCCCAGGCGATCCTCGTTGACAACGCTGCTCCGGCCTTGATGCGCGACGTCGGCGATCCAGATACTTCGGATGCGAAACCCACTTGCTTTCGAGCGAATATAAATTTCCTCCCAAAGAGGCTCGTATAATTCCTATTGTCAGAACAAGACTCGAGTCAGCTTGTCAATACGAGCCTCAACCCTCCGGGAAGAATATTTCACCTTGGGAAACCCATTAGCATGCGCTCCAATAATAGTGACATCTCCCGGTTGCGGATTCGGATTATCTAGAGGAATATACTGCTTCACGGCCAGATACAGCGTCTCTTCTTGTTCGTTCGCCGTGGCTGCAGGGTACTCTCGGATATGCTCGCCGGGGACGACATGTTCAACGATGCTAAAGGGGCCGGACGTAGCCATGATTCCGGAAATGTTGAATCAACAAGGCTGTGAATATAATGTAGAGGAATATCCCGGGAATTATGTACTTGTATTTCGAGCGTTGCGCATGGTATCAGTTGCCGAGTACATTAGTACGGGGCATTTCCCCACGGGATGTCGCTGATCTCTGGTTTCCGATGAGCCGAGGCACGGAGAAACAGCCGCGGGTGGTGAACCGTCAATAGTACGGGTACTATGACTGGACATCATCGGCTTCTATGAACTGCGAACTGCTTATTCGTATGAACATCAACATCGTCATTGTATCGTTGTCTGTTTCAAGCTTAGATAGAGTTGCGGCTCCTCGTGATTGGCGATCATTATGACACTACAGCAGCGGACATACTATACAAGACACTACAAAACAAAAAAAGAAAAAAAGAAAGAAAACTCCCTCCCCTGCAGACTATGAAAATTCACGAATGATACTGATGTCTTGCTATCAACACATACTACATAAGTTTACTATTGCTTCGACATGCCCAATCTGAGTAAAAGTGGTTTATCGCACGTGACCAGGCGTCGCTTTTTCGCGTCGCGTGGCACTTCGAGGTCATTTGGTTTGTTCTGGAACATGCAGTCAGACTTTTCTCTTATCAGTGCAGCTTTCTATTTAATCTAAATACCATATTCTATCTTTTCATTTTTAACCCAAAACAACAGAGAAAGAAAATCACCCGGCCATGGTGGACGAAGAGGGGGAGCAGCTTTTCAGCAACTGTAAGGTCTGCATCATCTGTTCAAAGGACCTTTCTCAGGATACGGCGCAGCAGGTACGTGCGCTTATAGGATTGCCATTTTTGCGCATTGCTATGAATATCTATTAACTCCATGGATTGCAGCTCGCATCCACGCTCGAAGAATACGGCGGGGAATCGGTCATCTGGGAACCCCCGTCTCCATTCCCACCTCTGGAGGAATTCTCCCACCTTATCAGCTTTACTATCGACTTCCCCGCCTTCGATGCTGCTGTCGATTCCCTAAAACCTGTGGTGAAGCCTCAGTGGCTGCGTGCGTCTTTGGAAAAGAAGAAGGTGGCCAATCCCCGCCAATACAGCCCCGACCCGCGCCTCTTCTTGAACGATGTGGTTGTCACCTGTGGTGATATTCCGGAGGGTGATAAGGATGCCATTATCGGTGGAGTACTGGCAAAGGGTGGCATATACAGTCCCAAGGTGACGAATGCGGTTACGCATTTGGTGGACTTGACAGCGGACTCTGATAAGGCTCGGGTGGTCTTGGGCAAGAGACCGAACGTGAAAGTTGTGTTGCCGCATTGGTAAGTATTACGTTTGTACTGGTTGCATAATAGTTCTGAATTAATCACATCGCAGGTTCGATGACTGCTTGAAGCTCGGAAGACGCATCGACGAGCGTCCGTACACTCTCCCCGATCCGGAAATCCTACGTGCTGCTCCCAATGCGCCAATTCGCTCGTCAGAAAACAGAGATATCATCGGTGCATCAACACCTGCCCCATCAACCTTGCCTACCCCTGTCACATCCCCACAGACACGACCACATCTCGATGTGTTTGGTGGTAAAAACATCATGTTCTCGAAAGATCTCGGTATTGGCTCGCATCTTCGTGAGACAATCCAGGAAATCATCACGGAAGGTGGGGGATTCACAACATCGGACGTCTATGAGGCAGACATGTTCATCTGTCGCTACAGAGAGGGAGTTGAATATCGCGTCGCGTCGAGATTGAACAAGGAAGTCGGAAATTTGGCCTGGCTCTATCACCTTATGACGTACAACACCTGGACCTCACCAATGCGCAGGCTGTTGCATTACCCCATCGCTCGTACTGGCATTCCCGGGTTCAAAGGACTGAAGGTCAGCTTGTCCAACTACATCGGCGAAGCAAGAGTCTACTTGGAAAACCTCATCGTTGCGACGGGTGCGGAATGCACAAAGACACTGAAGCAAGAAAATACCCATCTCGTTACTGCCCACGGACACAGCGAGAAATGCACAGCAGCAAGGGAATGGGGATTACATGTAGTTAACCACCTATGGTTGGAGGAGAGTTATGCGAAGTGGAAGTTACTATCGACCTCGGAACCCCGATATACGCATTTCCCCAGAAGGACCAACTTGGGCGAAGTAGTTGGTCAGACGAGGGTTGATAGATCAGTTGCCGAGAATCTCTTCTTCCCGTCTTCGGAATCTCATCAGGAACAGGCACCATCAAGTCCACGACGGACTATGAAAAATAAGGACCAGAATACAACAACAGCCCCTGCTCCCGAAGAGTCGTCGAAGATGGACATTGATTCCCCGGAGCCAGCAATCGCTACTCCTCGAATAACCACCACCTCACGGAAGAACTTAGAGAACAGCAATAAAAAGCTACAGACACCCGCCAGCGCACGACTTACCTCTGAGGGCAAGGAGAATGAAACACCGTCCTCGTCGAGCAGCCGGAAGTCCAAGGACGCTGCTGCCGCCAAGCTGCATGGATACGCACCTGACCTTGCGTTATACGAGAAGGAGATGAAGCGTGTTGGTGGTGTGATTTACGGTGGTCGAAAGAAGACAGATGAGGACAGAATACAACTGGACAATCGCAAGAAGCGGAGATCAATTGATCCCCAAGAGGAAAGCGACGCAGAGGAGGCTACGGATGCCAAGAGGCAGAAGAAGTCGAAGCCTCCTGTTGCCATGCATCTACTGATTACTGGGTATCAGAAGTGGGTAGGAAACCTGAGGAAAGAGGATGCGGATAAGGTTTGTTCTCTTGACAATGCATCAAATAAGCGTGACACTTGTTAACCATGGACAGCGACAACTTCGAGACCTTGGAATCTTGGTTGTTCAAGATGCACGAAAATGCAGCCATCTTGCCGCCCCGTCTATCCTTCGAACGCCCAAATTTGTCAATGCCCTAGCCTACGCTCCCGTCATTGTCAACACTGAGTTCATCACTCAGTGTTTGAAAAAGAACGAACTCCTGGACTCCAGAGACTTCGAATTAGTGGATAAAGCTGCCGAAGAGCGGTTCTCCTTTTCGCTCAAGGAAGCAGCTAACAAAGCGAAGCAAAACAAAAACAAACTTCTGCAAGGCTACAACATCTATTGTGTTGAAACCATCCGCGGAGGCTTTGATGCATTCAAGTCCATCGTCGATGCGAACGGCGGCAACTGCCTTTTGTTCCGGGGACGTGTTTCGCACAAGGTACAGCAGCAGGACAGTCATTATGCGAGCAGCGATGAAGAGCTAAGTGAGAAGGAAATTTATCTGCTCAGCAGCGTTGCTCCTGAGCACAAAAAAATTTGGCCGCGATTCCGCCAGATAATGGAAGAGATTGGCAAAACACCGCGGATTGTGCGCGTCGATTGGCTGCTCGATATGGCTATGTCGCAGGAGCTGCATGCAGCAGACAATTACGAGTTGGATGAAGAAACTGTCGAGCAGAACTAGTTTTCTGGTGACGATGTTAACAATTGTTGATTTATTTGGATGTGGAAGCCAACCTTGTATATACCATGCTCCGGAATATCGCCATGGACATTTCTTGTCCGTCGTCGTTGTGATTTTGTTTAATGAAATAATGAAATATCCGCAACCTGCGCACCTCAAAATATTCTCCCTCTAGAAGAACTTGACGCCTTCCTGGCCTTCACTGCCAAAGACCTGAGCCTTGCCACGCTTGACCAGGACATTGAGAGATCTGAACATGACCTCCTGTTCCATTCCGTGCCATTCTAGAGAAATCAGCAACTGTTTGAACTAGCGGAGCTGGAGCGAACACACCTTGTGAAGCGGTACCTTTGCCCTCAATTAACTCATATACCGTAAGCACCGTATTTTTCTGCCCAGTTATCTCAACCCAGTCCGCCAATATCTCCGCCCACTCCTCCGGCCTTCTCCACCAAACCCACGCAACAGTCTTACTCCCCCCATCAATCCACTCTGTTCTTCTCCCTCCACCCCCTTCTTCCTCCGCCTTGGCCATCCAATCCAACACAGCCCGTGCCTCACTAAGACCCAGACGTTTCCGGAGCGCGGCGTTGTGGAATAGTGGGCTTTCGACGGCTTCAATGAGGGAGATGCGGTAGATGCAATGATGGCGGCAGTAGGATTGGATTAGGGAAGACCATTTTTGAAGTTGCGAAAGGCGGGTTGAGTTGTTTGGTTGGGGGGTGAAGAAGGGTGGGAAGGAGTAGGTTGGGGGGAATTGAAAGGGAGTTGCTGTGGATGGAGTATCCATGCTGATCGAGCCCTTTCAGTCTGATAAATTGCTTAGTATGGTACATAGAAGTATAGATTTGGGGTCTCGTACTGATTCGAAATCGAATGCGGAGGAGGGGTCGGTAATCAAGATCTTATTGGGACGACAGCAGGTTGAGAGAATAGTTATGGTTGATACAAGTAGATACTACCAGGCCAAAATAAAGACAAGGCAGATCAACAATCATCTGAGACGTATCATAGACAAAATCCAACCTTCGCTTGTATGGTGATAAGTCAATGAAGCCAATTAACTAGGCAAAATCATATCATGTCGTCGGTTACCGCCTCCAAGGCGGTGACATGCTATTGCCTATTCAGGGCTCATATCGACGATATTCGACAAAGTACCCTAGTGCTAGAAGGGTAATACAATGCCAGACATTCACCGTACAGGATGCTCCAGCTGAAGCTGCCATATGAATAAAAAAGCCAATGTAGGAGGATGGTGAGGAGTTCTTAAACTGGAGCATGAATGGTTGGCATAGATCTGTCCCACCGGCAGTAAATCTCTCCGCCTTGACAAAATTCTCCACAAAACGTAATCCACATCGCCTTTGCGAAACTGCATACCATTGATTCTCCAAAGAGCAAGGTTTTCTTTCCGGATATCGTTGACCGCTCCCCACTTTCTATCCCGACAGAGTCATTGCTACACCATGACACCACCCCCCTCGAAGCGCCAAAAGCGCATCGCGGAAGATACGGCCGCGACTCAATTGAACGAGGAAAAGAATGATAGCAAAAATGGAGAGATTAAGATGCCCAAGAAAAAATTCTACCGACAACGTGCGCATGCGAACCCATTTTCGGATCATCGATTGGATTAGTACGTCTATTTATCAATGTTAAAGAATGCGCTGCTAACCAAACCTAGTCCCCTAAGCCCAGCGCACATGGATTGGTCACCTCATTACCCGGCGTTCGTGGATCCAGACTCGTCCAAGATAAACCTGAGCGGTGCGCGCAAACTATTAAATGATGTTGAGGTTGTCGATATCGGGTGTGGATTTGGCGGGTTACTCGTTGGCCTTGCGCCGTTGATGCCGGATACTTTGCTGCTTGGTTAGTAATTGACGGACTATGGAGAGATGATTATGGCTAATACAGCACAGGAATGGAAATCCGTACCCAAGTCCTCGACTATGTACGAACCCGCGTTCGAGCCCTCCGGTACCAACAGAGCCAACTTAAGAACTCCTCCGCCTTATCAACCTCTCAACCCCAAGAACTCACTTCCTCCGAACTACAACCCAGCCTTGACCCTTCAGCCACATCCGACGATACCCCCACCACCGTCATACCAGGCAACTACGAAAACATCTCCGCAATCCGCAGCAACACGATGAAATTCCTTCCCAACTTCTTTGCCAGAAGCCAGTTATCCAAGATCTTTATCTGTTTCCCGGATCCGCACTTCAAAATGCGCAAGCACAAAGCCCGTATAATCTCTGAGACTCTTAATGCTGAATACGCCTATGTGCTGCGGCCTGGTGGTTTGATGTACACTATCACGGATGTGGAGGAGTATCATCACTGGATTCTTAGGCATTTTCGACAGGGGAAGTCAGCAGCGCAGGAGGATGGTAGCGCTGCTGGTGAGACCAAGATTGGTACTGTTGGTGATGTTACGGATCTTTTTGAAAGGGTGTCTGAGGATGAATTAGAGCGTGATCCCTGTGTGCAGGTTATGAAAGAAGCAACGGAGGAAGGGAAGAAGGTCACGAGGAATAAAGGTCATAAGTTTGTGGCTGTCTTTCGCCGCAAGGATGACCCGGAGTGGCCTGCTTAAAATTGTTTAGTTGTATATATGGACTAGCACTTTGGCGTAACATTCATATCGATAGCTTTCTACCTATGTATCTCCAAATGCGATCTATGCCTTGTTGCCTTATTGCGGGGGAGCTGCTGACCGCCCTTCCCACCGCCTGTATTTGAGAGGTAGGAAAAAGGTCCTCAGAGGCAAGACTTTGCAGGGCGTCCAAAACCCTAGACGTGCCAGAGAACTGATCAAAGATTGATATTCATATGACTTGGGATAAAGTAAGAGTTGAAGCCTCATCTCAGATGCGATACAATCATTTAGAAGCTAAATAGAGAACTCAGGACTCGACAGCATTGGGCCAAAAAGATGCCATGATGCCAATACGCAGGAAAGAGCTGTGAGGACTGACAAAAAGGAAGTGTGGCGTAGAGAATAAGTCTTCGGTAAACAGAAAGAACGAGAAATGGGCATGGGGAGGAAGGCCTAATAAGGAAACAATGAGGCTTTGCAGTGAAAAAATTCCAATACTATAGGACTGGTCCGGCTGGACCTTTCCTTCTGGGGAGCCAACAGTCTACTAACATTCTGTCAACATTCGTCAAAACTAACATACTCCAAACGACGGAGTCTCACACTAGCTGCTAAAATACATGCAATGTTATATCGATAAGAAATTGACAAAGATGACTCCCGCTTGCTATCACATGCAATGCAATTTGACCCGTAAATGCAAAAGAAAAAAAAATCTCCTCAAAATGCCAATAATTGTTCAGGCCGAAGCCAGCCGCTGCAATCAGCACCTAAGTGAAGCCGACTTAAGCCGGATGGACTCGCAGTCCTCGCAAATGGCCAACTGAACCGGACCTCCAATGATTCGGCCTTTGGCAGTCCGCTTGGGTTCTCCCTCCCGCACGAAGAATCGACCGTTGGGACCGAAGCCATTGCCACACTCGTGGCAGTTGAAGCACTCATCATGCCATTGCCCGCCAATGGCAGAGATAACCACATCCTCCTGCACGGGCTTCTTGCAGCCCATGCATTTAGGAGCTGTACGGCGAGAATAACATTGAAGGCACCAAGCGAAGCCGTCCTTTTCAACAAATGGTGTTTGCGAATCGAATGGCTGTGATAGTCAGTGATTGGGGCCGTAAGCAATAGGTAGAAAAACACTTACATCACCACATTCAGCGCAGAAGAAATGGCCGACATGCCATTCAGATCCACAAGCCACAACCACTTCGCCTTCAATGGGCGTTTTGCAGCTCTTGCATCTCGGGCTGAACAGTTCGTGGAAGTCCAGATGGCAGTAGAATCGGACGGCACGCGCCTCTTCATCATCAACGGGCGTTTGCGCTAATCTTTCATTCCGCTTGGTCTCAGGCTCTTGGTAGAACCCAATACATTCCAGAGGAATTTGGCAATGGGAGCACACGAAGCATTCTGGATGGAACCGGGATCCAGTTGCTGTAACAATTTTTCCTGCAATTGGGAGGGTGCACGATTCACATTTTGCGGTTGGGACACCAGCACGGGTGTATGGGGTGTACCATCGATTCTGCGGTGCCGCTGGCTGTTTCCTGGGGGAGGTCGGGCGTTGCTTGTTGTCCCTTGACGGCTCCGGTAGAGGTCTTGAGCTGGCTTCTATCTCCGAGATTGTTGGCTCCTTATTGTCAGGTAGGTTGATCACCGGGATCGAAGGTGCTTCAGACACTTGGATTGAGGGTGTCTCCGATATTTGAATCGCGGGAGCGTCAGATACTTGAATCGTAGGGGCTGCCAGTGGTATTGGGGAAGGAGATTCACGGCCTATTAGACTATTGCGATTGCGACCGGGTGATGCTGCCTCAGTCGGCTTCCAGGTGGGATCAAAGCTCACGATCGGCCTACCAGTCTGGTCACTGACAGCACTCGGCATAGGGAGGTTTGAACTTCGATCTGTGCGTTTTTTGCTCGTGGCTGCACGAATATCGTCACCGCGAATTTCAAGGCCATCTTTTGTTTGGGCAATCTCTTCTTCCGCAGCCTCTGCCACAGGGTCAGGTTGGGTGATGGCCTCGTTCACCGTGTATTCTGGATTTCGCGACTGGGTCTGGGAGCTTCTGTGGAGATCGAACTTGGCGAGTTTGTCCACAAAAGACAGACTGCCGAAACGGCTAGGAAGTGGTCGAGAGCCTCGTGGGAAAATATTCCGTGGTCTGTTCCTCAAAGCGGACGAGTCGGATCTTGAAAAGTCGGGCCGATCATTGGTAGGATTGGACTGTAATTCTTCTGGCTCCTCGTAGATCTGATCATTCGGATTACGAAAAATTCCTTTTGATGCCTCGTTGCTGAACGTGGTCTTGTTGGACCCGTTGATGTCAACTGCGGGCGTGGACGAAGTCTCCTCAGATGGCAACGCAAAATTTACCTTCAAATTCTTGCGGAATAAACTGTTCCTCTTAGGGCTAGACTCCTCCCCATTTGAATCCGTCTGGCTTTGTCTGCCGGGTGAGTCCTCCAGGCCAAGACCATGGGGCCCGTCAGAGGAACTATCTGATGCCGACTGGCGGCTATTCCGTCGCGGGGAAGACATGAAGTTCTTTCGAAATCCGCGGTACTGGCTTGGGGAGCGGTTGGTTTTATCTGGACTTTGACCACGCTTCTCTATGTCGGGGTTTCGATACGGGGCACCAGGGTTCTTGAAAGGCACGCCGGGATTCTGGTGCATCCAAACGAGCTCCGTGGCTTCATCCTGAGCCGCTTGGTGAAGATGAACATCGTCATGAAGATCCACCTCCTCTAGCGCATCCCTCAGAGATCGTGCTTCTGCCTTTTCCATTCGCCGCTGGTCACTTTCTTTATAGGCGGCATTGGGCGAGACCGAAATGGGACGAGAGAATATTTGAGGGGGTGAGATATTCTTCCGGATGGGAATAGTTCTTGGCTCGGTAGTTTTTGGTTCCTGGACTAAGGGCCGGCCCGCGGAGCTTCCGTAGGACATCCGTGAGGGGCTTGAACGGTAGTGAGACATGGCGCTGGTAGCTCGCGGTGGTGAAGCTCGTGACGGCGAACCTTCCTCAACAGCAGAGTCGACAGGCTTTCCACTGGCCACAGCATACGACGACATGGCGGAAGACGCTCGTGGTGGTGAATTCCCCTTAACCTGCTGAGCGGTGGAGCCCGGTGGTTTGGATGGAAGCGGTCTGGAACCGCTAGGACGAAGCGGTCGATTTGTCCGGAGATCTTTCAAGTAGTTGGCTGGAAGGGAATCGACGAGACCTCAATCAGCAACGAAGCTCTCTCAACATAAAACAGAAAAGAAAAAGAATAGAACAACAACGGTGTCACTCTGCCAACGCTTCCCAGCGACACAGGAATGTGAATGACTCAGCGAATTCCGAACAGCATCTTACCAAACTGGTCATCGGACATGTATGACGGACCGGGAGGAGAGACCTTCCGCTGGCCATCTCGGAGGGAATGATGGTGTTGATGATGTCTCTGGATCATCATGTCTGGGTAGATTGAAGATATTTCATCCGAAGCTGAGAAGAGGCACGGAATACGTACAGAAGAAGTAAGAGGGGATGCAGGGGGAGTAGAAGAAGGAGAGATAGAGAGAGAAGGTTACCGACAGACAGCGTGGAGATGTGACTTGGCAGGGCGATGAAGTCACTGTACAGATAATACGCCTAGACGCTTCTTTTTATGCATCTGAGAGGTCAATTGTAATTGTTAGATCGGCCACTTAAATATTAGCCTGAAACGATTGCCGCGCTCGGTCTTTTCTTAGCTGGAGATCATTCTTTCACTAAAACTTGCTTCATCTTTAATTAGTACCCAAGGGGAAATATTTCCCTTGGGGTTCTTTATATCAACCACGGTTGTTGCGACGCCGGGACCATGTTTGCAGTGTTTGTTCTATTTGCCCTCTTTGCAAAACAAACAAACGCTGTCACGGGCAACGCGGGGTAATAGCTGAATCAGCGCCATTGTGCATATGCATAACCATGTGCATAATGCAGGTTCATGTTTTGAATGGACTTGATAATTAATGATGTAGTTCATTTATCACCTTAAAAACAAATATTAAGAAATGGCTTTTATTTTCCTGTCCCCATCACCAAAATCCGCACCCTTCTCTTCCCAGCACCCCGGCCTTCCTCCTTGATCGAGCTGACATTCACCTGCACCTTCTGGAAGAGCTCAACCGTCACACCCCGTTCCTTCTCTGGGTGACCCTTCTCTGAGACCTGCAAGGTATACTCCTCCCGGTCGAATTCTGTCTCCCGGCGGATAGCCAGCTCGCGTCGGTCTTCGACAGACCGCACCGCCGACTCACCGGGGAGCACAAAGTCCTCCAGACGAACGACACCCTCGATACCAAACCGGGGTACAAAGACCACCACGCCGTTCTCAAACACTCGCATAACGTATCCCTCCTCATCAATGCCAGTGTCAATGCCATCGGCCGCGAGCTTCTCACCACGAGCCTTCAAGGCCTGTCCGACGTAGTACTCGATGCTAGCACGTCCGGCGAATTGACCATTGCGATGACGGTAATTGATGTTACGGCAGATATCTTCGAGCCTGTTACGGGTGGTAATACCCTCAATTGAGGCTCGGCCGTCTTCGCCCTCGTAACCAATGGCGGACGCGAGTTGTCGGTGAACCATCAAATCCGCGTATCGTCGAATGGGCGAGGTGAAGTGCGTGTAGATGGGCGATGCCAAACCATAGTGGCGGAATTCAGATTCAGCATGAGCACCAGCGGAGAAATACTCTGCGGAAGTCATGCAACGAGTCGCCAGAATACGAACGAGCGTGTTGAAGAACGGATTCTTCGCGTCCGCGCAGCGATCCAATGAGTCAGCGAGTGCCCTAGAGCTAGATATGTCAAGTTCCATGTTCCGCTTCTTGGCGAGCTGATTGATGAGTTCTTCAAAATTCTGCGGCGGCGGAGTGGCATGTCGCCGCAATAAGGCTGTTTGGGAGAAGGCGCTGTAGATTTTGGCGGCAACCGTAATATTGGCGTGAAGCATGAATTCCTCAACTAGACTATTGGTCTCCAGCATCGCTTTAGTCTTGACATCCGTCAAGGGATCTCCGACTTCGTCGTTGTCCGTCTCAATCCGGACTTCTGGCGAGGCGAGGTTCAGTGCACCCGCATCCATACGCTTCTGGCGAAGGATTCTGGACATATGGAGCAAGGTCCGCATGCTCTGCGTCAGTTCGTCATTCTGAGACTTATCATCGATGCGCAATTGTGCTTGCTCGTAACTGAAAGCCTCGCGTGATCTAATAACAGACTTGGTAAAGTCTGCCGAAACAACTTCGGCGTTGGGTGTCATCTCCCACAGGACCGAGAAAGCATAACGTTCCACATAGGGTTTGAGAGAGCAAAGGTCTGTACCAAGCAGATGCGGGAGCATATCAATACGCTTGTCGACTAGATATACAGTGGTTCCACGAAGGCTTGCCTCGAGATCCATTGCATTGTTTGGCTTGACAAAGTGAGACACATCGGCAATGTGGACACCCACCTCAAAGTTACCGTTCGGCAGAGGCCGTGCGTGAAGGGCGTCATCAATATCTTGACAGCCAGGCGGGTCAATACTGCAAATGAGGAGGTCTCTAAGATCTCTCCGTCCCTTCCACCCGACATCTTCTTTGCTCGCAGGAACCTTCCAGTCATGCCCTTGAGGCGGGAGGCAATCGAGAACCACTTTGGGAAAGGGCTTGTATTGGACATCGTATTCGAGAAGCAGAGCTTCCGTCTCCGCGCCCTTGGTCTCCAGTTCACCCAAAGAACGTATAAAGTGTCCAGTGGGATATCGAGAATCCCGATCCCAGGCGTCAATCGTGACCAGGATCCGCTGGCCCAATAAATCCCCTGCTTGGCGAGTTCGGACCCTGATCTTGGGGACCTTCTTGTCCATAGGTAGCACGAAGACATTCTGCTGTCGCCGACCAGAACTAGCTTGCACGCCTGTCGAGCCTGAGTCGACATGCCCAACGTATTGCCTCCAGTTTCGCTTGATAACACCAACAACTCGAGCAGTGGGCTGTGGTTGGCCTTCGGAGTTCTTGCCATGGGCTTTACGGGCCTCCTCCTGCAATGCCTTACGCTCCCTATCCGTCACCACTGGTTCTGTATCCTCAGTGTCAGGGTTGTCGTTTTTTGTAACCGCTTCTTCGTCGACAATCTTCGTCGATGGAGACTTCCATTGGTCCTTTGGAAGGACTTCAATCCCAACGACATCACCGGCGATGGCTCTGTTGCTGTTATCTCTACCCAATATAAGAAGGGGCTTATCAAACGCCGCGACGTTGACCGACCCTTCCAGATAATTGTACGGCGATACATTGAAGACACCCTGATGTAATGTACCAGCCCTCAGACCTGTCATCAGCTTTGACATAGAGTAATACTCTGGGTAAAACAGCTGTCCATGAGCATCCTTGGTATCCCTTGCCTCTTTAGCCTCATTAATCATGTCCAGTAACCTGTCAGAATCCTCCAAGCCTGACACATAATCAGTCAGTGACAACGCCGTCACATTCTCATCCTTTGCTTTCTGTAGACTCTCCCTATCATCCGTTATCATGACAATAGCCGGGAAAGCCCTATCTTTCTTCTTCTTGGCTGTAAGGCGAAGGTGTTCCGAATACCACTTGGCCACGGTCCGCACCGCTCGGTCATTTCTGTCATTGATCGACTCCTCAGGGCCCCTGCGAACGTGCGTCTCCAATCTGAATTCGTTGAAGAAGAGATAAAAGCGCTTCTCGTCAGTCTTAATTAATGACAACAGGCGGTTGTAGAGCGGTAACGACTGATTTTTCAACTCTTCGAGAACGGTTTGCAGAATGATCACATCATAGAACGCCCCGGTGTGCTCAAACAGATCCATCCCATTCAATAGCGCATTCGTATCGGGGACAAGGTAATGCCCTTGAGGAAAGGCAGCCGTGCCGGCGGGTTTATCAGAGAGAACGAAAGGAGCAACTATTGCACGTTAGCCAAGTTGATCCGTTGTCGCGGAATGAGTTATTTCTCACTGTTCCCATTTGCATCTGCAGGTGCGACCGACGGGCATGTCGAACATAGCTTGGATGAGCAAGGAATATCCTGTCTCAGGTAAAGCTCACGAACAATCTTTTGCACTTTTCCACTTTTCGTGGACCTCACAAAGACTTTGCTGCTAACATTTGCGGCTTGTGGGTTCGAAGAGAAATCACTTCGCAAACTTTTCATTTTGAATATCTACTGAATTGCTGCACTGGGCGTCTCCGGCTTAGCAGCAGATCAATGAGAGTTTTGTAGAAACTTGATTTTTGGTTGCCGTGAAGTTGATGAGAAAAGAGTCCGGCGTCGTGACATTCGGGCTCCGCGCAGAATTGCAGGTCGAGCGATATCAGTGCCGAATTAGGAAGGTCTGCCGACACATCAGCGACATCCAACTGAAGCACATCCTCCATCATTATAACGTTGCACCTCGAACCTCTTAGGCAATTTGAGTATCTGGACGAAGTCTCTAAAGTTATAGCAATGGTCATTGCAGTACGGTTACAAGAGTTCGATTTTCATGTCTGCAATAAGCTACTGATGTATGAGTTCAGGCCGTGGGGCAACTATGCTCGACTGCGAGCATGAATGCAAACCTCGCTCAATGCCAAACATTGGTACGAAAGGCAGTCGCTGCTGGTGCTAAGGTAACTTTGAATCTGATCCATCTACATCTTTATCTGACACTTCTCTAGGCACTGTTTCTACCCGAAGCCTCCGACTACATTGGCTCCTCAGCAGCAGAGACAGTATCACTGGCACATTCGGTACAGGATAGTGAATTCGTCCTAGGTCTCCAAAAGGAGGCTCAGCAGGCAAATCTTCATATCAATGTTGGGATCCATGAGCCTGCGCAGGGTGGCAGGGTGAAGAATACTGTTGTATGGATCAATGAGAAAGGAGACATTACACAGCGATATCAGAAAGTCCACCTATTCGATGTCGATATTAAAGGTGGACCTATGCTGAAAGAGAGCGCGTAAGTGATGGCTCTTGAGAAGGCATGCAAACGACAGTATTTCATGTTGTGCTGACTCCATCTGAAGGAGTGTCGAGAAAGGCATGGAGATTTTGCCTCCATTTGCAACTCCCGTGGGACGCGTTGGTCTCTCTATATGCTTTGATGTAAGTGAAATGAACCCCCTTGCTTCCTGTGTATCGCGGGCATAGGACAATATATTGAGTCAAGCTCACCATTACACCCTACAGCTACGCTTCCCCGAGATCAGCCTGGCATTGAAGCGCCAGAACGCAGAAATAATTACGTACCCTTCGGCATTCACAGTCCCAACAGGAAATGCCCACTGGGAGGCCCTTCTTCGCGCAAGGGCCATAGAGACGCAGTCATATGTGATAGCAGCAGCACAGGCTGGACCTCATAATGAGAAACGAAGGAGCTATGGTCATTCGATGATTGTTAACCCATGGGGAGAAGTCGTAGTGAAACTCGGTGATGAATACAGAGAACCGCAAATTGCAACTGCAGAAATCAATTTGGACCTTTTGGCCAAAATCCGCAAAGAGATTCCGCTGCTCAGGAGAACTGATATATATCCGGAAGTATGACGGTCAAAGTTGTGAAGCAGCCCCATCCTACCGTTGTCGTGTACATAGTTGAATATATCGCATCCTACATAGCCAGAAGTCAGGGCTTTTGCTGCCCTTTTTCCTTTCTCGCCGTAGAGAAGCGCAAGGTAAACACCGTGTTGATGTTGCAGTGAGCAAATGGACTCTTCTGGAAATCTTCCAGAAAATTTTGATTATAACATTCCAGGGAATTAAGTGACATAGTACACGCAAGAAGGTAGAAGAACAGACAAAGAAAAAATGCAATGAAACGACCTGTCTAAAGTAAAAGTGGACCGGCACACCGTATCGTCGTCGTGGGTGCAAGCATCAACCCAGATTGTCATACAAGCCCAATCACTCTATGTACAAAGTACAGAATAATCCCCGGAATATATGATGGCTCTATTTTCTCTGAGCCTTGTCTGGGTCTTCCAGGATACCCTCAGCTTCCAGTCGTCGCCGTGCCTCTTCCAGGGCCCATGTTTGTATCCTATTAATAAGTAAGCTTTTAGTCTTTTCATAGTATGCCTATACCGTGATATGAAAAGTATGACAATATAGCTCAGCTGAGAAAGATGGGGAACACGTACGAAGTGTCCGGCTTGAAGATATATGCGACACCGGCAACGAGCAAGCTTCCAATGAATCCGTAGTACCATAGGTTCTCCCAGCCTTCCTTCACATATTTCTGGCCCGGCTTGACACCGAAAAGGTACCCGGTAGGAGGATCGTAGTGGTCACCATGGTCAGCCGCACGGAGGTTGCTCCGGGTGGAAAAGCCCTGGACATTTTGCGGCCTCCGAGTGAGGAGAGAAGCGCGGAGGCGATTCGAGAAGAGACGGGCAGACATTGTGGGATATGGACGTTTCGGTAAGACTTTGGGGTCTGACGTTCGGAAGGTATTGGCGGTTTAAGGACCCCTGTTGCTCGGAATAGGACAGGACCCGTTAAGGTAAAAAGACAATAATTAGACGCCCTTTCGACCAGCGAAAACGATTGTCTTCGGTTGAATGGTCAAGTCTGCGTAGCTATCGTGGGAGCCGCGATGGACGGAGGGGTGATTAGTGTGGTTAGCGGTGATGTTCAGAAGCCGCAAAAGCCCGGAGTCACGGGTGCCAAGCCAGGAGTTGGGCGCTAATCCCGAACGGGCCATATCCAATCCCGTGCCGCATTTATGCCTGAGGCTAGAAAAATTGACGCGACGCGTCTTATCGCCTTCCGTTTCTGCAGCCCATCTTTTGAGAACACAGACCAGCAAGGGCACCAAGAGGAAGTACGAGAAATTTCCGTACTCTGATCGATATTCTCAGAATCCAATGGGCGGAAGTCCTTTCTTTGGTTGTCTCACAGCCTCTTTATGATCTGAACAGTACGCCTTAGTCAATCGGCTGGTGCATTCTGATACTAATTATGGGGTATAGACTACCCCTGGTATAGCCTACGAAGACTCGCTACCGACATGCTTTGCCATTCCCTCCACAAATGCAATTGAGTTTTGTATAGTACAACGACCATGTCGAAACCCTTCAATTTGTACCCGATTTCCTCGAAGTCCCGCACGAAGTTGGACGCATTCCAATATGACGACAATACTGAGCAAAGTCCTTCCAAGTCGCCGGCCAATTCACCATCGAAATCAAATCATGCATCCAAGGAGAACCAAGCATCATGGCTAGATAGTGTAGTGGATCAAGAGGAGCCGCGGCCCGGCAAAGAACAACCTTTGAGCCAAACTGCGGAAACCAAGCAGGTCAAAGAGTGCCCACAGACTCCCGTGAACAGGCTCCCTTTGGCAGATTTAATTGGCAATGCGGAAGATGCCATCAGCCAGGCTCCAGGACAAGAGTTGACTCCCGAAGATCATGTTATTTGGCAGCATGTCCCTACGAGTTCTAATTCAGGCTCGGTGTCTCGATCGGCACGAGGCAAGAAGCGTCGTCACAGTTTAACCCCGAGCAGTTCCCCTTTAGCAGACAGTTCGAAGTACACGAATCACGAACCTGTAGACATGCAATCTGCCCAAACACTGCTCAAAACGCCACAGAACGATTTGGCCACCGATCTATGGAACAATTACGTCGGGAAAGGTGTTCTGAACGGCAACGGTGACCTCCCTCCGCCCCGCCTGCAAAATCTCCTCTCATCATCCCCCCAAACTCCGGCATCAGTCAAGAAAGGTCGAGATTCATCAGGCTTGAGACGTGCCATCAGCTGTAATGTTGATTGGCCAACATCTAAAGCCAAGCGGAGAAGGGTGGACGGAGATGGCTCGAGAACCGGCCGGAACATTTTCTCTCGATCTAAAAGCAATGTTGTCGATTCCGGGAATACGAAGGCTAAAAGCCTCAGGTCTCTCGTCCAAAGGATGGAAAGTCTTCACAAAGCCCCAGCTGCTCCTGCAGATTCACCTAGCTCGTCACTTGCGCCCGTGCGCACGAATATACAACAACGGGACCGATTAATATCTCTGGCTGGAGATAAAACGGCTTTGGGAGTTTCTGGAAGGGTAGACAGCGAAGATATGGCAAACGCTCTTGGACTAGATTCTCGGGAGTTGCGAGAGACGACTCCTCAAGGATCTTCATCTGAATTTGAGGATGACGACTTGGATATGGATCTCCTTGAATTCGCGGATACCACCTTGGACTCATTCACGGAGCCAATGCAGTCACGCAGTACTGTGCAGTCAGTAAAACCTGTATTCGCAAAAGGGCCTGTCCCAAAGGAACCCCAGAGTTACGACCACAGTATGGAGACAATGCCTCAGGGTACCAGTGTAGGCATGAACAATATAAGTGCTACCAATGATATTGATGAATTCGATGATGATGACAAGCTACCTGAAAATATACACATGGTCCTAGATGGATGCGATAAAATGCCTGTTTCCGCCAGACCAGAATCCTCTCAGCACGCGGCTTTGACAAACCCATCCAAAAAAGTTGAGAAACCAGATTTATCTTCAGGTGATGAATTCGACGATGAAGATCTCGATTTCGAGGCCATCGAACAGTCGATGAGGAATCCAGGTGATGATGGACGAAGTCATGTTTGTCACTCTTAATGGATTTATTTCTTAGAAGTTCGCTAAGTATATAAAAATAGAACATCAGAAATCGGCAGGCTATCAAACGCTATTTGATCGTGGATACTGCAGAGGATACGTATACCACGCAGAAAGGACGCGTTCAGCCAGAGCAGGTCTGTGATGCGCACCTTCTAGCAGAAATTGCCGCTCGCTGACTTCATAAACAGATACTTTTGGTCCAGGATGAGAAGTCCAAACTTAGGAAAATGGTCATTCTGCGTGAATCCTGGTTCGATAGTCCCTGTAGCAAGGATTCATATATCCACTTAATCGGCGAGTTCGATGCACAAGGACATTGTATCGTGGATGATTCTCAAAACATGATCGTTCTGCATCCGGACCACTTGATCTCAGCAACTGTCGTCTCGGATTCGACCAGCTGCCAACGACGAGCCGTACTTCAGGACCGCATCAAATATTCTGGCGACATTGGAAAGCCGCAAGTTTTTGGAAACGTTTTTCATGAAATTTTCCAAGAGGCCATGAAGAAAAACATGTGGGACTTGAGCTCGTTAAAGAACCTGACTACCGATGTCCTGACCAAACATGTCGAAGACCTATATATAATCCAAACGACTATGGCCCAAGCAGTTGAATATGTGATGGGGAGAATCCCGGCTTTGAGATCTTGGGCAGAAACTTTTCTCAGAGTCAAACCCACGGTAGGTACTCGGGAGCCCTTCCTTCTACTTTTGCTAATTTCAAGTTAGAATGAATCCGTTGTTGAAGATCGGAATAGTTCTAAAATGCTTTTGAGTATCACCAAACTCCTCGAAGTTGAAGAACACATATGGTCTCCGATGTACGGGCTCAAGGGAAATGTCGACGCGACAGTGCAAGTTGCCTGTAACGACGGGGAGGGCGACAAAAACCTTGTCATTCCACTTGAACTCAAGACAGGAAACAGGGATACAAATCACGCTCATAGGGCTCAGACTGCCCTTTACACTTTGTTACTCTCGGACCGATATGGTGAGTACAGCTGTGTCGTATCCCCTGGGGAGGGGTCTCTTTGCTAATAGTGAATCCTCAGATGTGGACGTGAACTTTGGGCTACTCTACTACCTCGAAATATCGAAGATCTTCCGTATACGTGGTGTTCGACATGAGCTCCTACATATGATCCAGGAACGCAATCGCCTGGCTGGATATGTGCGTCAAAGACTCCAACTTCCGCCAATGGTGAAAAGACCAGGGATGTGTAATAAATGCTACGCAAAGACACCTTGTTTGATCTATCACAAGTTGGCGGATGATGGGAATGGCGACTCTAGCGGACTGGGTGATGACTTTGAGAAGAACATGGACCATTTGACTCCCCAGCACCAAGTGTTCTTCAAGAAATGGGACCAGCTTCTGACGAAGGAGGAACAAAACATGATGAAATTCCGACGCGAGCTTTGGACTCTGCTGAGTAGTGAGAGAGAGGCTCTTGGCCGCTGCTTCGGAAATGTCGTTATTGAACCAGGATCATCTTCAGATGACAATGACGATGTCAAGATAAATCGGTATCGGTACACGTTTATCAAAAAGCAAGCGTCTTCATCATTCTCTTTTACCGAGTCCCAGCTTACTTTGGGAGAGCCGATTGTGGTATCCGATGAGAAAGGCCATTTCGCTCTCGCGAACGGATACGTGGTTCAAGTCAGTCCCAAGCGTATCACAGTTGCAGTGGATCGGATGCTACACAACGCCAGGACTAAAACGTCAGACTTTGATCCCAAACGGAACCAGTCATTTAAGGGTGTCATGGACATTCTTGACAATAGAGCCTCTGCGACTACTGCTCAGTCGGATGGATCCGAAGAAGAGATGGTATATCGGCTTGACAAGGATGAGTTCAGCAACGGAATGGCGATTGTTCGGAGTAATATCGTCGCCATGATGGAGAGGGATTTGTTCCAGGCTAAAAAATTGAGGAGACTAATAGTGGATGGCATGTCTCCTGTATTTAGGCCCACACCAACTCACAAGATGCTAGACACTGGCAAGTCAAACCTGAACATTGATCAGAAACGGGCCATTGACAAGGTCATGAGCGCCAACGACTATGCACTGGTTCTTGGAATGCCTGGGACGGGAAAAACGACCACGATCGCACATATTATTCGAGCATTGGTGTCTCAAGGGAAAAGCGTCCTCTTGACTTCCTATACTCATACCGCAGTTGATAACATTCTGCTTAAGATCCGTGACGAGAACGTTCAGATTCTGCGCATTGGCGCTACTGCTAAGGTCCATCCTGAAGTCCAACAATTTGTGGACTTAGCCGCAACCCCTAAAAGCTCCATCGAAGAGGTACAGGCAAGATATGAGAATTCGCAAATCGTTGCGACAACGTGCCTGGGAGTCAACCATAGTATATTCAGCCGACGCATATTCGACTATTGTATTGTTGATGAGGCGTCACAGATTACTCTTCCCGTTTGCTTGGGGCCTATTCGGATGGCGAGAACCTTCATTCTTGTTGGCGATCATTTTCAATTGCCTCCGCTTGTACAGAACAAAGAGGCCCAAGAGGGTGGCCTCGATGTCAGCCTTTTTAAACTTTTGTCTGATGCTCATCCAGAATCTGTGGTGAACCTGGAACATCAGTATCGAATGGCTGAGGATATCATGCTTCTTTCGAGCAGCCTGATCTATTCGGGGCATCTGAAATGTGGCACGCCCGAAGTTGCATCACGTTCACTAGAGATCCCCAATATTGCTGGGCTGAAACAACATCACATCGACCAGATTCCACAGACTCCGACTCTGCGGCGGCTCTGTTTGGGTACGAGTCAAGGCCGTTGTTGGCTCCGGGATCTCCTAGATCCCGGAGCCAAGACCCGTTTTGTGAACACGGACACACTTGCAACACCGGCTTTGGAGATGGCAGCGGGATCGAGGATTGTGAACACAACTGAGTCGACACTGTGTGCTCAGCTCGTCGAAGCATTCATATCCTGCGGCATATCAGCGCGTAACATTGGTGTTATTACTTTTTACCGCAGCCAGCTTTCAGTACTGAAGCAAGATCTCAGACACTGCTTGCCAGAACTTGAAATGCACACTGCAGACAAGTTCCAAGGACGAGACAAAGAGGTCGTGATCCTGAGCTGCGTGCGAAGCAACACGGAAAAATATGTCGGTGACTTGCTTAGCGATTGGAGACGAGTCAACGTCGCATTTACACGAGCCCGAACCAAGCTTCTTGTGGTTGGCAGCAAAAACACGTTGCGTGATGGTAACAAACTTCTTGGTAAATACATGGATCTGGTGGAAAACCGCGGATGGGTCTATAATCTACCAAAGGTCGCAATTGAGGATCACGTCTTCCAGTACGATAGCATAAGTGCCACACGAACACAACCTCATCATGATTCTCAGAGCAAATCATCTCCCAGTCCGAAGAAATCCTCTCAGACTAAGGGCGCTCGTAACCCTCTCAGTCCTGTGCAGGGTCGACAAGGCCCCAATGGTGCCAAACAACCGGCGAAGAAGGGTGCCAAGATACTGAACGGTAATAGGGTCATTGGAAATCGACCTATTCTGCAGGACGTGGTGAACGACCTTCTTGGTTGATTTTTTTTTTTTTTTTTTTTTTTTCTGCAGTACTATGTCTTTTTATGACTTACGGCCTTTGCATTATACTGTTATGTCTTGACTTACAGCAGCGCCGGTTTGTCTATTTTGGTGCATGAAATAGGGCATCCTGGATACCTAATGAACACTGATAACTCATGAAGGATAGAAATAATATATATCATTCCCCTCACAATGCATAGATTGACTTATATGGGAACAGCCTTAGCCGGACCGAAAATATTTTCCAATTACATATCACTCCTCCCCAAGCCTTCTTTTTCTAATTCGCGAGTTGCCATTCATGCTTGCATAGTTGTGCAACTTGATTACGGATGCACTTGGATTTCCATGGAAGATGTCTCTGAATTGACTGGAAGCCCTGCTTCGATTTCACTAATCTATCTAAGCTATCTAGATCTATTTGGTGACCATCATTTTCCCCTCTTTTAAACAAAAAACGCAAATGGCCCCAGGATAACTAGCTAATGATCAGTATTTTCCCAATCCTTGAACGCCTCGTACAGTAACAAGTACCCGAAACGAACTGAAGCCAAAAGAAATCCAATTCCAAATCTCTTCGGAAAAATCTCAATAAAGAATGAAGGTTCGTACCATAATTCCGAAAAGGAGGAAAAGAAACCAGCATGCAGTCCAACCTGCTATCGAAGACGTCGTTTTTTATTGCTCAACACATTCAAAAGATACCACCTGCCATAATCGTCAACCTCCCATCTATCGTGATTATCGGAGTTTGTCACAAAATCTGGCGCTACTACAGGCTCAACAAAGCCGGATTTTCGCTTTAGAGCGGTACGCTGGGTTTCAGGTGCTCGCTGTTCTGGGAATGTGGGGTGTTCGTTCTGTTGCTGCTGAGAAGACGAATCTCCCTGGCCCGGAGGAACCGTCTGGGAATGCGAAATAGTGGCAGCGTTCGAGCCGGCAAGAGAAGCTTGTGGGAAGTTCGGCATCGCCATCCATAGTGTGGAGTCAAGCACGATACCCTGTGAAAATGGTGGCCGGGGTATGATTAACGACCAATCATCCATTGTAAAAAGTATAGATCCAGCAGGAAGCATGGAACCGGTATGAGGAACTGAGTGTGGAAGCATAGGTTCTGGTAGAGAAAGAGGGGACATTGAATCCGTAGGCGCAGCGATGGGATGAATAGATCCACCAGGAGGAATAAATCCTGGTATGACGCCGGCATGAGGAATTGAGCATTGAAAACCTTGATATGGGATCATAGGCCCCGGAATAAACAGGAAGAACTCTGGACCCGTGGGCATGGAGACAGGATAAACATAGCCAGATGGGCGACAAAGAGCATAATTGTAATAATCGCTCTTTTCAGGAATGGTGACACGAAGACCAGCAGAGGCGACACGGTTGTGACGAGGCAGCGTCGGAATATAACGACGAGAAGACTCGGAATGGATAGTTGGAAGACCTTGACAAGGTACAGATGGGTTAGCGGGAGAAATAGGAAGCTGAGTGGCTGGTACAGTAGCAGTGGCATCTTCGACCTCGACCACTTTTGGGGTATTACCATCAGGATTGACTCTGTTATTGCTAAGGTCCGCACCACCGTTCCTGGTCTCCATGGTGTAGGTCACAAGCATAATTCCCAAACAGTTAAAAAGAGAGTTTGCTCTCCAGGTACAGAAAGAGGCGTTGATGGTAAAGAGTTGAAAGGGAGTGGAATGGAAACGGAATACAATGAAATGAAAGTTGAGACGCTGCAAAAAGGTTGGAAGCAATCGGTTAAACGAACGCACGAAGGAAACAGGGAGCTTTAAGAGCAAACAACGAGAAGAGAGAAAGCAGAGAAGATTGTTTCTTATTTCATAACAAGATTGTAGATGCCCCTACAAATTCCCAGCAGATGCACTGTCTTCGAGGGGAGCTGGAAGAGTGGTCATTGGGTGACTGTGAGAGAATTGTATATCCATCTCTTCCGTCCACCGCCTCTCTACCCAAGGCATTCGACGAAAGAGCGATCCACGACTGGGCTCCGACAGTTTGTGAGGAAGTCTCGAGACTAGATCGCGATTACCCCCAATGGGTGAGTAATTAGCATGATCGGTAACAGTAAATGTAAATATAGGGAATAGGCATCAATACAGTAAAGTGGTTAGTAGGTGTGTGATCCACCGCGAGTTGATGAAACCATGCCACTTCAAGCTGATAAGATTCGTGGGGTTGGAATCGTCTGCATCTGGCACAGAATAACGGCTCAGATAAGGGTCAATTGTGTCGGTTGAAGTTACTCGCGGGGACTCGAGAGCAATCATGGCGAGCCATTCGGAAAGTGCGTTGCAGTGTTCTTGCACATCTTCACTCGGTGTGGACTCCGTGATGTCCATTTGGGAAGGCGGAGCCAGTACCTCACGATGTGGAATGCGAGTCACATCACACTCGACTATTTCAGGCTTATGTTTCTGTAGTGGTGTATTCTTTATATCTTTTTCCATGTCAGAAACGTATAAAGCTTCATTATCCTTGAATATCGAACCTTTTGGCAGGCCATTCGACTCCGATGCCAGGTCGCAGAACAACCAAGCAACCGACTCTGTAAGAACATTCTGAAACGCCCAAATGATTCGTTCAAATCCTTTCTTGCCATGGAGCATGGATGGTAATCGTAAATTAAGTTCCACGACTGTATGGTTAGCAAGTGACATTTTGAGTAAACCAGCCATTTCACATACAATATCTTTCCTTTGCGTGCTTCCTCCCGCCACCACGAACGGGCTTACCAGTAAGACCTGTACGTTCAAATGTCTCTTTCCCAAGTTCCAATCTCAAGATACCTAGCCATCAGATTCATGAGTAAGATTAATCGATCTGGAGGATATGAAACTTCGAGATACTCACCATCTCTGAGCGAAAATACATTTTCTGTCCCCGAACGACCTTCAGATATCATGAGAATATTGCCTGTCAACAGAAATCAGTACTCCAAGGTGACAAGCTGAAATGTTCTACATGACGTTTTACGCACCGATCTTGATATACGCATTGAAAAATTCATCCTCCAATAATGATGCCGGCGACATAAATACTTTAGCATATTGCGGTTTCTGCAGTTTGGCGTCTAAGGAGTCTCCAATGCTCCAATAGAGCGCTTCTGGTAAGATAGTCTCTACCTGTTTAGGACCCGTTAGCCGACTGACACATGCATATAGAAAGCAATTTTACACGCACTGTATGTATATATGGATGAGACTGGATCGCAGAGAATGGTGACTTTTTCGTTGGAGGTTGCTTAGGGTCAATATAAGCCGGCAGCTGGGTTATCGTGGTGTAGCACTTTTCGCGCCGGGACGTGTCGTCCTCCAGATCGAGCATGGTTGACTGTCTCTCAGATGAGCTTCAGAGAATATATATGCCCTCCTGCGTAATAATTTGCTAAATAGAATTCAAATATCTCGTGGGCTCCTGGCAGCGACGAGCAGGAAAATCTCGATGAGAGAGTTGAGGTCCGATTAAGCTCTGCCGCTGGGACCACTTTTCCAGCCCTATGGCTCCGATCAGTGACAGCGACATGCATATCTTACATAGCTACATATGGACCATAATGAAAGTATTGAATGAGAATCCAACATTACCCAAATGAGTTTTAGTCATGCGCAACGCTACTACCACACTGCCAAAAAAGCGACTGGAAGATCATCTGGAACTAAGCACACGAATATACACTTGACTTCAACTTGACTTCGAGATCAGTGGCTTTTGATAAAGTTTAGCTTTCTAAGCTTGTTCTTTCTTTCTTTCTTTTTTTTTTTTTTTTTTCTATTATCATATGCTGTTTCCAAGTTAATCTGGGCCCTTTATTACTGTTCAGATTCCAGACGCCATGACGATACGAAAGAGGAGAGCAAGAGAGAAAGCAAGACAATCGCCAAAGCAGCACAACAAATAAGAATAGACATCAAGGAATCTACGTATATATTACCTGTTTTATGAATATGAAGGTTTTATAGTCACAAATTGAGAGTGTATATCTTCTCCATCATTGGTTTTGTGCCTGAGGCATTAGTACCTCCGCCAACGTCCATCGTCCGAGAACCTTGCGTCTCGGTCCCAGTTTGTCTCGACTTTCAGATTTCAACGCGATTGAACGTCCTTCTAGGGCAACTCCCAAGCTTCACTACTCATTAGAGAGCCATTTATCCTCTCTACCGTCGACTCACGACCCGACGGGGCACGCATCAGAGCTGCAATCGCTTGTCCGCCGGCAGCACGAACAGCATCATTACCAACAGCGGGCAGTGATGGCACCTCCTCGTCGCAACTTACTCTCAAAGGACCGTTTTGCGTTCGCCTTTGAGACTCTCAAAACTCAGAATTATTATGATCCCGCGTCGAAAGCACCAGGATCCCACACGTGCGTTTACTCCTTCAGACGAACCATTGGCGCGATGCTTGTAAACCGGACGATCACCAACTGATTCTTTCCTCTCTATAGAATTCGCACTCTAGCATGGAATCCAACCGGTCAATTAATCGCGACAGGGTCTGCCGACCGCACCCTACGGATTTGGAACCCCGAGCGCCCGGCTGTTAGATATTCGACCGACCTCCGCGGCCACTCCGCTGGCGTTGAGAAGGTGCTATTTCACCCGGTTCGAGAATCGGAATTAGCAAGTTGCTCGACAGATGGTACGGTGCGCTTTTGGGATGTGCGCTCGAAAACTTGTGTGAGCCGTTTAGATGTGGGCGGCGAGGCATTCACGCTGTCTTGGTCGGCAGATGGTAGTGTGTTGATGGTTGGGCGGAAGGTGAGGAGAGACAATACGCTGTTTCTCTTTTACAAAAGATTATTAACGCGTATATGGCCGTCTAGGATGATACCCTGATTCCCGTCTCTGTCGAATCACCATCGAGCCCGACTATGCTCATAGACGGCACTACCTCGAATGGCTCCTCGCGAGATGGCACGACAACTTACACTGCACTTGAATCGCATCCCCAGCCCATCCAGACGAATGCAACTACCTTCTCCCACCATATCCCCACACCAACTGCCTCAGACCTCCACCTCTTTGCAACAACCGGTGAAGGCACTGTCAAAATCATGTCTTACCCATCCTTCGACATCCTCCACACCCTCCATGCCCACACCTCAGCATGTCTCTCTATCTCTCTCGCCCCGACAGGCCGCTACCTCGCCATCGGCGGCAGCGATGCGCTTGTCTCACTCTGGGACACAGCAGATTGGCTCTGTAAACGCACTGTGTCGAGTAACAACGGTGGAGCAGTTCGCGGGGTCAGCTGGAGTTTTGATGGACGTTTCCTTTGCGGTGCGTGTGACGAGGCTGGCTGCGGTGGGAATGGCATTGAGATCTTCCATGCTGAAACGGGGGAGAGCGTGTATACTGTTCCTGCTGGGGGGAGTAGCAATACCGGTATTCCAGCTGTCGCGTGGCATCCGTCGCGATATTGGTTAGCGTATTCGACTACGAATGATGGGCCGGGTAGTGGTGGCGCTGGGGGGTTGAAGATTGTCGGTGCTGCGGGTGGAAGTTTGTAGGTGTTTGTGCATATTGTAAGGTTACCAGGGCGCAAGGTTTTGTCTCTTCTTTTTGGCATGGCTTTGTTTGTGGTCTGTAGTTGGATTGTGGATTGTTCTCTGTTGAATTTGAATTCTGATATTTCCAGGATTTACTTTACAAATTACATATTCGATCTTGGACAACAAATACCATATGAACTCATGTACATCACTGTCACTGTCTTTATTCTAACGTGATTAACCAGTATAAAACCTCCTATCCTATATCACTCGAAACACTGACGCCTTTAGATGAACAATTCCAGATAGGAGAGAGATGAGGAGATATGAATAGGCGTCACGTCATGACATCGTTTGTGTAATTAGAAGAGCGGGGGGGATATTCATAGTCAATAATATTGTAGCACATCCTCACCTCAACCTCGCCATGTCGTATCCAATATAAACTGCGCAAATTGCGCTTCAGCGTAAGAATCTGTTGGCCCCGATGTTATGTTGTTCCCCGGACTAAGAACACCGGCCTGCGAGTTCGAAAAGTCCCACGCTGATGGCGATGGTATGGAGAGCGACGTCCCCGGCCCGGCAGAATAAAACGGTGCAGTGTCCTGACTTAAGTGCCTGGCAAGGGACGAGGGATCACTGAATTGGTTGGGATCGGTGCCACCACCGGCGGATGATGGCATGTCCAAAGGATTTGTTGGTTGTGTAAAGTGGTGGGTGTTAGAGGGAGATGGCTTTTGTGGCGGAGGGTCTTCTGTCCTGGAAATTGAATTTAACGTTGACGGAGACTGGTGGTTTGACGGTGTATTAATATCATCCACCATGGGGTTCAGCGCAGTGTCCATATCGATGATTGCCCCTGATGCGGTTGTGTCAATGTCCGTGTTGAAATTATGAGATGATCTGATGAAATTTGTATTTAGGTTGGGCTGTGTTTCATCGCGACTATGTTGATTTGGGATTGAGTTGTGGTTGAGGCTGGGATCGCTGGCTCTACTCAGGGGAGGATTCCCAGGCGCACCACCGGAGTGAGAGTCGGGAAGACCGAGGAAAGCTGGACAATCTGTAACTTCAGGGGCGCAGATATCCTAAGTGCAGTGAAGATGAGTCAGAAATCCGATATCATAACGTATTACAATTAAATGGGCACATACGACTCCTGGAGCACAATGATTGCCACGACCATCTCGGTTTGTAGGGGTTTGAATGCCCTGGAAGGCTCTTCCCTCCGTGTCAACGTCCAATTGAACGAGAAATGTCTCCGTTAGAGGATTTTTGCTCTTCAGAGCTCTGAGAGCAGACATGACAAATTGTAATGAAGATTGAACCATAGAATCATCTGGCCGGGATTTGAGATACTGCACAAAGATCCGCGCAGCGACATACACACAAAACGATAAGAATGGGTTCATCTATATAGATGGTCAGTTTGGCTTCCTCGTATTCAATGAACGCTTCATACTCACAATGGTCAGATCCTTATGGCTGATCAGCTTCATGATATTCGCAATCTGATCAGCAGCCACGATGCACCTCCGCTTGCTTTCGATGATCATCTGACTGGGCATTTTGTTCTTCTCTGCTTTGAAAATCGCCGCTTGGTGAAGACATATCGTGGACGTGTGTATGCACATGTTGCTAAATATTATGTTCGGATCATCCATTCCTGCTGGTAATCGCAGGTGACTAGGAAGCTGCAAAGCAATGCTGAGAAGTAAATTATCGTACGATCGGTGACGTTTCCAAAATTCCCCATTAAGGTCATGATCATTGTCCTGGGGATCAGGACGATGAAGGTGTGTAAGGTTTCTCCCAAAAAGTGCTGCCAGCAACACAACGCTTGCCAACGGCGACAAAGTCGCATTGCCCTCTCCCATCAATGCGTCGGCGAGGCGTAAGGTTCGCTGTGGCTTGCTTTTAATAAATGATTCCTCGGTGGAAGGGAGGTTCGTCATGATCTGTTGATTGAGTTAGGAACAGATTGAGATGACAAAGGGGGTGGTGAGTTAACGAACATCTCTCTCGTCAATCGCCATGGGCCATGAAGTCCCAATGCTGGCATATCGATCACAGCAAAATATCAACCAAAAAACCCTCCTTCGTTCTTCTCGTTCGGTCCAATCTTTCGGCGGTGGTAATGATTGCTTGACGTTGAGGCCCGCTCCATCCAGCCGATTTAAACCCATCATCAAGGCCATTCTTGCACACCTCCCAGTGCTCAGCCATGCGCGAGGGAAATACAGCATTTTAGACTCGTATGTTGCGATTAACAGCCAACTCTGACAATAGGCCAAAGAAAGGATGTTCTCCCCAAGTCCCCTCATCTCCTCCATTTCGGCATATTTACGCGCTCGCTGGTAAAAGTGTACATGCAAATCGTGGTATCTATCGCTGATAGATGCCGCATGACACCACATGATATACTGCAAGTAAACAGGAGGTCGTAAACTGGAGGTCAAATTTGAAGCTGCCAAGTATCTCGGACGGTGAACGACTGGTATCGAAGGGTGAACTTTTTCAAAATATATCTGATGCCTACAACTCATGAGCACCAACAACGTACAACATCTTTACACAATAACTTACAGTTCATCAATCACATTCTGGTTAGGAAGTGGTTCTTCTAATCCCAGGCTGATCATGTCCCACGTGGAATTACCCGCCATATTAAAACCTGGCTCTGGTAGGTATCCCCGGCCAGGCTGGGGTTGTGTAGCTACATCTCCCGGTGCAATGCAACGTTCAACTTCGTCTGGAATCGCGGAGATTGGAGGGAAGTCGGGCGACAAAGTACTATTCGGCATAGAGGCATCGAACGCATTTTCCTGGGGTTGGGGTTGCGTCTGGGACGCCGGTAATGCGGTTGGCTCCTGGCCATTAAGCAAAATCTCAACCTGGGCTTCATAGATAATCCATGTCAGTGGAAGGTTTCAGAAAAGCTAGATCCCAGATACGTATCTCAGATCCAGATAAACAGAGTACAAAGCTTAACGTTGTCCTACCTAATCGTGCTTCCAACTGCTTCACGTACCCCCGCTTAGGACCGCTCTTCTTGCGCGCTTCATCATAAGCGCACGCATGCCCCAATCTCGAACAAGTCCCACAGCTAGGTTTTTTTCCATCACACTTCAATTTTCTTCTCCGGCACACGACGCATGCGATACGCTTGGGACGGGGGACGTAGTTGCTGCTTCCTTCTCCGCTGCCGTTCGCTGCGGTCGCGGCGGGCGACGCAGCAGCATCGTGATCTGCCTCAGGATGTTGCGATTGGGACTGGGATAGAGACTGAAATGCGGAGTATTGCGATGGATCGTTATCTGCCATGGCCTGGGGTGGGACGCGACTCGTCGTGGACGGGGGAGCGGAAAATTTATCGACGATAAGAGATGGCAGCGTTGATACAGAACGCTGGCAAGCCGCTTGGAATCAACGGTTCCAAAAGATCGTCCTGTTCAACATTTGAAAACAAAGTAGTAGGAAACGTCAGTCGACTATTTATACTGTTAATCCCACGATGAGTGAAGATCGCATGCGCTGACGGCGACTCAGTGCGGCAAGAGGTGATCTAATCAGGATCTCCGAGCTCGTATCGCTGATAAGGGCAAAATCGCATACAACGAATTGGGGGTTTTCAAGCGGACTTGATTAAGGAGATTATATGCTCTTGTTCCCTTAATGAAGAAGACATCGCGATGGAAGAAGGCATACGGAAATAGCGTCACTGCCGCCATTGCTGTCCTTTGTACCCTACTTCTCTTTACAGGGGGAGCCAGAAAGAAATAGCAATACACTTCTGATTTCTGCAATTTACAGACGGAAACTTCATATACGTAAGTCCCTTTCAAATGTTGCGTGAAGATATAGTACAAGAAAGCGGAAAATGGACAATCTAGCCTTTGCGCCCGGCCCAAGAGTAGCTGCAAAGAGAGAAATGGTATGAGTCGAACAGTCGTGAAGAGCAAGAAAAGTGAAACGATAGGGCAAATCCTTAGCTGTATCCTCTGCGACGCTTGCCTTGGTTGCGAACACGCGGGACGACAACAGCCTTGTTGACCTTCCACTTGGGACGAGTCTTGTATCCTGATTTTGTCTAGAATGGAAGGCCATGTTAGCTCCAGTTCTGGTTGTCAGAAGTCTAGAAGAAAAACTTACCGGAATACCCCAAGGACTCTTCGGGTCGACATTTCCTTTGGACTTTCCTCGTCCACCTCCGTGAGGATGGTCCGCAGCGTTCATAGCCAGGCCACGAACAGTCGGACGGATGTTGAGCCAGCGCGATCGTCCAGCCTTACCCAACTGGCTGTACTGGTAGTTGGGGTTGCTGGCGACACCGACTGTGGCACAGCAGTCTTTGTGGATGAGTCGAACTTCACCGCTCTGAAGACGGATGGTGACATGCTGAGTAGCACGCTCAATCTTTTGTTTCTCGCGTTGCGACAAAGGCTTCTTCTCCTCCTCTGTTCCCGGCCCTCCGGCCTGGGTTCTGCTGGTGTCGTTTGCCCTTCCTTGGAAATCACCACCCTTGGCGATAACCGTAGCGAAAGAACCAGCGCTGCGGCACAGCTGACCACCTTTGGCCGCGTATAACCCAACATTAAAAACGAGTGTACCGACGGGGATCATATGCAATGGTAGGCAGTTGCCTCTCCAAGCCGTTCTGGCCGCCAGCACACCAGGATCCACAGCTCCACCCATACTCTTCCAAAGGTCCTTTGGGATACCAGACATGTAGCTCTGAACGACATCACCGGCCCTCATTCCTTCTGCGGCGAGAATATAGCTCAGCCTCTGGGTTTGTTGACTGCGGACCAAAGCGATATGGGCACTGCGTCCAGGGTCATGCTCAATCCGTTCCACTAGGTGCGGTCCAGGGGCGATTCGGGAAAAATCAACGGTACGGATACGGCGCTTGTGACCACCACCACGGTGCCGAATGGTCACTCGACCGGTGTGGTTACGACCACCCTTACCATGACCACGTTTGGGGAATGTCAGTTTTTGAACAGGCCGGCCCTTCCACAGATGATCGTTAACTGGCCTCCGCAAGTGTCGGATACCAGGTGTGCGCGGTTTATACGATCGAAGGAGGACGCCGGTATCTTCGCGTGTCGGCGGGGGAGCGAAAGCAATGCTGGGGTCGAAGTTGGACGGGTTCGATTCCTGCTGCGGGGGTTTCTCCGTCTGATTTATAGTTGTCGAATAAGCCCGAGCGGGAAGCGAAAGCGAAGGGAGGCATCGGAAAGGAAGACGGAGGCCCGTCAGGGCCATCCGAGCTTGAAGCATCGTGGGGAAAAATCCTAGTCTTTTATCGAGACGTCGTGGTTGGCACTGAACTGAACAAAAAACACAAAATGATTTATCATTCAAGCATATTTCATGAAAAGTAAAACATCAAGGGGGAATAATTAGAGGCCGGTGACAACTCCCCGGGCTCAATTGCTGCTCAAAGCCGGTGGTCCAGTCGACCGTCTGAAAATGTTCTCGTTTCGGCGGAGCGGTGGCTGATGAAGGTCATGTGATACATAATGCACCGCCGCATGTGGTCATTGTGGCTCGTATAAAATCACGGGACCGCGCGCTGACACGACACGAGTAAGAGCCGGAATGGTTGCCGGGCAACGACAGCGTTGTTTATGTGGGAGCCGCGCTCTTACCTCGCGGTGGTGTCTGGTACTGTAAACATTATTACCAACTGGTAACAACATACGTCACAGTCAGATCACTTGCCTGTCAAACGCAGATTAAATTCCCATCCTGACGGTATTGATACTGCTTTCTTTCCACGCCCCTTCCCAAAACAGCATAGACTGTAATTCTATACGGATACTGTATATTACAAATCAGCGTCGTCCTCTCTTTCCCGCAAGTTTGGATCTTCTCGAGTTCTGTTTTGTTGTTTTTTTTTTCTCTTCTTTTCCTCCTTCAAGAATCGTTCAAATTTTGTTCTCTGCAAATATTCCTGAGTTATCAATTGAACCTACTGGTAAACAATACTTACTTACCGCCGTGACTAACCCGCAATTCCACGCGACGCAGTGTGGTGTGGGGCATCAGTACTTATTTCCACGCTAAAGGATAGGGCCAAACATCGCCTGTGCCCTGTCAACTTCACCTCTTCTTCGACTCTCTCCCAACCCCTCAAAAGCAGCACCCTTTGGGAATTCCAAAGCTCCCCATCCCATTACGACCGGGAAACACGACGGAAAGCGTTGAATTACGTGCATTGCTTGCTCTGGATCTTTTTATTTTTGCAGTTTATCCCACAGTTTCTACAATCAAACCCCTGTTGGGCAGCGTGACGCGCGCCGTTGAAGCTACGTGAACAGGGTCATTTAAGTGCCTTTTCATATAGAATTTACCATCGAAACAGCTCATCACGACCGATTCTCCATTAATCGACCGCCGAAGAATTCATCAAAAATAGCCTTGCTTCCATTTCAGAGGTCGCTTGTGATAGGTTACATATCCACGCGTGGTGCGTACTTACAGACAGGTATTTAATCTCCACCGGAATAATCTTTGTTGGAATGCTGACAAGACGGTAACCACAGGACGACCAGCAATTGTATTCTAGTGTTCATTCCTCTTGCTGCACGCTCCCTCCCGTTCTCTTCAGGACCATGCCTCCCGTAAGCTCTTCCACATCTCCTGACTGTTTCAAATACGCGTCTGGAGTACATCTGGTGTTTGACCTTTGTCCACGTTGATGTGTCCTCGCTTTACTTTTATTCAAATTCACGCTAACAATCGCTGAAGCAAGTCAGAAGCCTTCGTACACGAGGTGCTATGAACGAAAACGACGAGAACGGCCCATCGACGCGCGTGACCCGAGCCAAGGCTGCTGCTCTGTCCACCGAAGGTCAGGCCGCCAATGTCCCCGCGAAGAAACCCCTACAGACAAAGAAAGCGGCTACGAACACAGAGAAAAATGGAGCTCCCCGACGACGTGCTGCCCTTGGGGACGTTAGCAACGTGACCAAGTCTGAGAACACCGAGACCAAGGAAGGCAAGAAGCCGGCTACAAGCAAGATTGGCCTAACTTCGAAGGCAACATCGCAGACTGGTGGTGTTCAGAAGCTTAGTCGAACTAATACGTCTCGCACTGGCAGCAATGTCACTGCGACCGCAAAGAAACCCTCGAGCGAAACGAAGCGCGTGGGATCGGGAGTTGCTAGCGCGCAGGTGAAGCGGACCTCCAGCCAGAAGTCAGTGCAAGAGAAGACGCTGCAGGCTGAAGAACCGCCACGCAAAAAGGTCGAAGTTGAAAAGAAGGCTGCTGAGAAGCAGGCCCCTGTGGAGAAGGTCTCCTCAGTCAAGGAAAAGGTTGAGGTGCCTGTTGAGGCGGACAGCGCTAAGCAGGCTTTCGAGGATGCTGTTGTCGACCTGGACACTGAGGACTTGGACGATCCCCTGATGGTGGCTGAATACGTGGTAGAGATTTTCGACTACCTCAGGGACCTTGAAATTGAAACGCAACCCAACCCCGAATACATCGAGCACCAGCCCGATCTGGAATGGAAGATGCGTGGTATCCTTGTCGACTGGTTGATCGAAGTTCACACTCGCTTCCGCCTGCTCCCTGAGACCCTCTTCTTGGCTGTCAACATCATTGACCGTTTCCTGTCTGCCGAAGTCGTTGCGCTGGACCGCCTTCAGTTGGTTGGAGTCACTGCCATGTTCATCGCCTCGAAATACGAAGAGATTCTTTCGCCTCATGTCGCCAATTTCAGCCACGTTGCCGATGAGACTTTCTCGGACAAGGAGATTCTTGATGCTGAGCGTCACATCCTGGCCACCCTCGAATACAACATGAGCTACCCTAACCCCATGAATTTCCTTCGTCGTATCTCCAAGGCCGATAACTACGATATCCAGACCCGAACTCTGGCGAAATACCTCATAGAAATCAGTCTTTTGGACCACCGGTTCCTGGTCTACCAGCAAAGCCATGTCGCCGCATCAGCCATGTACCTTGCTCGCGTCATCCTGGATCAAGGAGCTTGGGTACGCTTTCCTTCTCTTTACTTCTCTAGTAGACACGTACATAAACTAACTGGTGCTAGGATGCTACCCTGGCCCACTATGCCGGATACACTGAGGACGAAATCGATCCTGTCTTCCGCTTGATGATCGACTATCTCCACCGCCCTGTGTGCCACGAAGCCTTCTTCAAGAAATACGCTAGCAAGAAGTTCCTCAAGGGTAAGTGCTTACAACACCATATAAGCGTCATGTCCACTACATCTAACACTTACGTAGCCTCCATCATCACTAGACAGTGGGCCAAGAAATATCACCACTACTACATCAAAAGCTCGCTCGCACAGTCGTACAGCTCTCTTTAAGAACGGTGCCTAGCTACGAGACAAATTACGATAACGAAATGCCGCATATCATCCTGGTTTGAACGATCGCGGGAAATCGGGCTCGTCTTATGTGGTATTTTCTCTGTGATGGTATAGACACCTCTTGCATATGTTTATGATAGGCATTTTTGTGTTTCGGTTTTCGTTATGCTTGCATTACTTTTTTCGATGGGAGGGGTCCGGCGCTCTTGACTTCTGTTTATGTTATTCTTCCTTATTGATTTTTGGCAAGTGTCGGTGTTCTTGTTTGTTCGGATACCTTTCGTTCTTACCTTTTTTTCGTGACTACAGGCGTCGAATTCTTCAAGAGACGGAAATATATTTGCAATTCTTTTTGGTTCTTCAAGCAAGCTACTTTTGATTCCGTTTCTCGTTTTCATGCGTCTCACGTTGCCGCGGTTTTTGCACTGGCTGGTATCACGATATCGAAGGGAACTCAGCGAAGCTCCGGAAACAAGATCCATTCTTTTTTCTTTATTATTCTGGGAAGGCGCGTTAGGATACAAAGAGCAGATGGATGAAGAGGATTCGGTCGAGTAATATGTGTTTTAGGGAGTTTAATATGGTTCTAACATTCGGTCTTTCTGGATAGTACACCCCTTTCATGTGTTCTTTGGATGCATTTCGATCCTCTACATTCATTTTCCAGTCTCCTGTGTAATTATGGGTTCAATTCTATCTTATTGGAGAACAAGGATGTTCCTAAATGAGAAATAAAAGACTGAAGATAGAAAATCGGTCAAGCTGTATGTGTCAGGACTCCGCCGGCGACCGAGGTTCAGTGAGATTTGCCGACAATGAGCGACTCTTCTCGACAACCATCTGAATAAAAAATCTCAAATTTATGGGGTTTTCATTTTTATATAAGTTATCGATTCTCCAGGCTAGATATGCTTAATGGTCAGACAGATGTTACATACTTTAAACTAAAGTGCAATCGGTTGTTATATATCTTAGCCCATTACCCCATACAGAATCCGGAGTACATTCTCAAAAACCATGACTTCAACACGCTGTCCTTTCTGCAATATCGCAGCAAAATACCCTCCCATCTCACCGTTATCCTTCAACTCCAATCCAGATGATGCCATAACCACGACCCCAGACCCCCTACTATCGCGTCTTCGCGCCGAAACAGCAGAGACAGGGTCAGGACAGGGATCAGGGTCCGGTTTAGAGCCAGAGTTAGAGTCGGAGTCGTCGCGTGCGTACCTGATTCTCTCCACGGAATCCGTTCTCGCATTTCTGGATATTATGCCATTGACTAGGGGCCATGTTTTGGTGACTACGAGGGAGCATTGTGGGACGGTGGGGGATGTCGGAGTCACAACTGGGAGGGAGGTATGTATTCTCGTATTCCATATTATTTTTGTGTTAAGGACAAGGATTACTGACGAGGGAGTACAGCTTGGAAAATGGATACCCATTATTTCACGGGCTGTGATGAAGACGCTTTTCGGGGATGCCGAGGCACATTGGAATGTAGTTCAGAATAACGGTACATCTACACCCACGATCTATTCTATCACCATAAATGCTAACATATCTCATAGGCATAAGAGCTGCTCAAGTAATCCCCCACGTCCACTTCCACATCGTCCCCAGGCCACCACTGGACCAGCCAGTTAGCGCGAACAAGGCAAGCTATGTAATGTTTGGTCGCGGGCAAAGGGACGAATTGGACGAGGAAGAAGGGGAGAAGTTGGCTAGTGAGATCCGAGAAGAGCTGGCGAGGGAAGTTCAGCGCGTTAGGAATGTAGAAGGGGTGGGCTTGGAGGGAGCCTCGCGGCAAGATGATGGAAAGAGAGGTGGAAAATTATGAACATTTGATTTGGTATCTAACTTTTGTTAAATGTCTATGCGATTGGTAATATCTATTCATCGTGAGTTTTCTCTTGCTCTTTGGCGAGCTTCTTTTCGTTTTTGGTGAAATACTAGGTCGATTAGATATTGATTCCAACGATCAAGCGAACTACTTACTTTTCTTCTGAACTCATTCAAATCATCCGCGTAATTACCCTGTGCGTCATATTTCTGTCGCCCCAATGAGACATCTGAGACCTGCCCCTCTGGCAAACGGCGATATGTAATAAGCCGTCGGGACCCTGAAGAAATCAGCGAATATAGTTCAATTCACAGAAAGAGAGAACATACAGTTGTTGAATGGCTGTACAGATACGCTGACGATCTCTAGATCTGGATGCATGGGGATCACCAATTCCACCTCGTCGTTGGATGTGGGCATCCACATGCATAGGCGTCCATCTGTGACAAGCGTTCGAGAGGCGAAGGTGAGAATGTCGTTCTGCATTGCTTCGAATCCGTAGGGTTTCTTTGGTGCAATGTATCCAGGTAGACTACCATCGTTAGACTAATGCGAAATCGGGAGAGAACTCGTGACATACTAATGAGCAGGAACTCCATCAATGAGAACTTCTTCCGTACCACGACCATCACGCGTCCCCAAGACCCGGAGTCCCTCACGAACACCATAAGGAGGATCACAGACGATACCATCCAGAAATTGCCCGACACGGATAGGCGTGTTGGTCAGATCCGACGTAAACGCATCCACGTATTTGCTCGCAATCCCATACTGTTCGAAGTTCGACAACAGTCCAATGGAGCGCCCCGTTCTGACATCACGGACCTGTTTGTTATTTCCCACTGTCGCCGGATCCTTCCCCTTGAAGCTCCGCGCATCAATATCAGAACCCATATTCAGCGCCCCGAAATGCGCCGCCGCCACGCAGAAGCTCCCAGTCCCCACAAATGGATCATAGAAAAGCTTACCAGGGGCAGCATGGGCCATATTTGCCGTGATCAGAGTCAGTTCCGCATCCATGGACGTCGTACTGATAAACTTCCGTTTTTTCAGATCATATTTGCCCATGATATCCCGACTACCATGAGCTAACCACCGCCCAAGGAAAATCCTCTTGGGGCGCGTCAATTGCGGCATCGGCTCCGCAGATCTCGTCGAACGCGGTGCTTCAACATCAGAGATATATTCCTCACACACCCAAAATTGCTCGTCGGGGTTCTTCAGCCGGACCGGACCCTCGAAGCCCACGTACGCGAAACTTTGGATGATATCGCGAGTTTCTTCGGCGGTGTGTTTTCCCGCGAATGCATCGACCGTGAAACGGAATGATACTTGCTTCAGGTCTTTCCAGAGGTGCGACGTCCGCCTGCGGACGTTGGCGTGGAGGTCGTCATAGTTGGTGGCTTGACCCCAGAGTGAGAAAATGTCTTTTGCTAGGATGCTGCGGGAGATGACTGCGCGGGCTGCTGCTTCATCTGGTAGTTTTACAACAGCATAAGGCGACTGTTTGTAGTTGTTAGTGAGAGGTACTATCTGGGCACGTGAGGAGGGGTGAAGGAAATCTGCAACGAGGGGCAATGCGACATAGCAGAAGCCACAGAAAGAAGGGAAAGCGACAGTTTCTAATTTATGGAAACGCGAAACGGAAATAACATACAAATTTATCGTAGTAAAGAAAGTCGACTTTATATCCAGCAAGCGACGCCAGAGCTTCGATCTCCGGCTGTCGAAAAGTCTCGTGCGCCTGGGCGAAGCGAATGAGAAACTCCATCGCGGGACGTATTATTACTATCTTCAGGTCCGACTTGAGTTATTGTATTCAGTCTAAATCATTTCGCGGTGTTTTGGCGATGATCTTCAATCGTTCAGTTGGGAGATGATTTTTTCCTCCGGTCGTTAGGCGACGGGAGGAAGAAAACCAGAAGCGAGTTTGGGAATATGTACTATGCGCAACTGCCACAAACAGTTCCTACAAGTATGAAAGGTATAAGAGAGATATAAGAAAGATGTACTGATAATCAACTGTATATTGATATAAACGATAATTCAAAAGCGTATCTATGCAAATAACCCCAGTCTCCTCCATTAATCCAAAGCCCGGCAAAAGAAAACGACCAATCCGAACCCAGTCGAACTATCAGGGAATCCTGGCAAGAAAGAAAATAAGAAGACGCAAAGAAGAGCAAGCCCATTTAAACTAATTACGCCAATCCAAGCAACACCTATCATTTATGCGCCAACGACCTTGAACTCATGTCGTGACTCGTATCCTTCCACCTGCTTCACCTCAACTTTCTCGTCTGGGGGAATCATCTCGTGCTTCAGATCCCAACCTGCCCGGCGACAGAGCTCGGAGACTACTACATCGCAGTCACCTAATAAGTCGATATCAAATCCAGTATGTGAAATAGGCTAGTGTGTCTAGTTAGCGTCGGTAGAAACCTCTGCGCAGCATAGACTTGAAACTTACAGTACGTGAGATGTAGATCTGAGGAACATTGCGAGGAAGTACTCCAGGCACCTCTGCCACAGGAGCCACTTTCAGCGAAGTGCCAATGACAATGACCAGGTCTGCTCGTTCACGGTCATGATGAACAAGACGGCGACCGAACTCATCAGGGAGATCTTCTCCAAAGAATGTGATATCAGGCTGGAGGCGAATTAGCATATAGACAATGAACCAAAAAAAAAAAAAAAAAAAAAAGACAGACCTTCATGATCCCGGGAGTCGGAAGTTCGTAATCGCCCTCGTCCTCAGAACTGCCCTGATCTTTACGGTCCTTCTGAGTGCCATTGGAGCTTCGCTTCCGCTTCATCCCTTGAGGCTTCAACAAGCCATCATCGAGCTTCTTCTTACATTCAAGACATTCAGGAATGATACCCTTCTTGATATCTTCCATGATCGTGTCTCCTGAAACCTTGTGCTGACATTTGAAACAAGTGGCTGTAGCAAATGAGCCGTGGCATTGCACGATCTTATCAGGAAAAACACCGGCATTGGCCTCAATGTTATCAATGTTCTGAGTATAGTTGGTCAAGAGTTTATCCTTATCTTGAAGCAACCGGATAAACCCATGAGTCGGAGAGAACTTATTTTCGGTAGGTAGGATGTCCTTCGCAACCGAAAAGAAAATGCGAGGATCCTCCCGAAAGATATGGATATCAAAGACCTCCTGAGGGTCACTTAATCCTAGATGCTCCAACTGAGAGTAGAGACCGGTGTCCTTGGACCGAAAATCAGGAATACCAAGGCTGGTAGAGATCTAGAAGTATGAAATCAGTATGCAAGCCCAGCAAATGGAAAAACCCAATAGCACAAAACCCTTACCCCTGCGCCTGTTAACACGATGATATTCTTGGATCCCTTGAGCAATTTGACCGCATCATCAATTGTATTGTATTGCGGAAGTTTCTGGCGCCGGGAGAATTCACGCGATATCCCCATGGCCAGAAGAGGATGGTACGCCTCATCCGGGGCACCTTCAAGAAACGGCGGAGGAAGTATCCCAAACGCAGTGCATAGTTTCTTTGCGCTGACGGTTTCCCGGACGATTGTCTCCTCCACAAAGGCAGCCTTGCCAATTTCATGCAGTCGTTGTCGATAAGCAACAGCTTCATCTAACGTGCAAGCCCCAGGTACTATATTGAACGAAGAAGCGCGCATCAGTATTTATTCTCCTTGGCTTTTGAGAGGATTTCTAAAAAATTACCTCCTTCTCGAAGCTGATCGTCGCGGACGAACTGCAGCGCATCTTCATATAGAGATTGGGTCTCCCAATCATCGCTTCCCGCCTCACTATCCGTTTCAAATTCAGACAGCAACTTCTGGTCTTCCTCGTCCTCTTTCTTTGCCAGCTTCTCTTCTTCTTCCGCCGTCAGGGGGTTCGTTGCTTCTCCAGTTTCCGTGGAAGTCATATCGACAGCTTCCACTTCAATCACCGGTTCCTTCAACGACAGACTGTCCCCGATGGGCGCTGGTGCCAGGTCCATCCCACAAGAGGACAAAAGATCGGACGCGCTTTCCAGCAGCCTCAATGACGGCAGTGCTTGAAATCACTCACATTGAGCTTTATCGCCACGCTGAAGATTGTCGGGGCGAAAACTACTATGTATCTGGGGGAAAAAGCGGTCGGAAATGCAGTTTATCCGGGGACCGAGTATCGAGCGACTAAGAGCCGAAAGTGAAAGTGGCAATGATTCAGGTACAAGGCAGTTACTACGAGAGAGAACGGGCAACGCAAGTCATTTGCAAAATCGTAGCACTTTTTATTGGTATCATGACAAAAGTTGCATCTCATAAGACATGACTCTATGTACGGAGTAACCGGCATATAACAGAAGCTTTTAGGAATCTGCCATCTCTTCGTCCGACTCGGCCTCAATCTCATCCACCCAGTCGCCTTCGCCTTCGCCTTCTTCGCCTTCCTTGTCTTCTTCATCGATGTCTTCGGGAATTTCTTTGTTCATGGTTGCGACAAGTTCGAGAGCGTGCTCTTTGAGTCTCTCGTCCTCATATTGGACCGTATCATAGAGCATCAAGCTCTGTTTGAGCCATTCTCGGCTGGCAACCAGCGATGCAAGTCGTTTCGATTCCGGCGTCTCTTGTTCGGGCTCTTCATCCTTCGGCGCCTCTTGCTTTTCTGCTAGTAGATTCAAGCACCAACCTCCGAGGTACCATGCCTCGACACTTTGGTCGTCTTCGAGAATCAAACGTTCCAGCACTTCGAGCGCCTCTAGCTCCATGCCAACTTCCATCAATAGACGTGACAAACTGATTCTGATGGCGAATTCCGGAACCATTTGGTCTTCTGGCGGCAATTCTTTCCACAGTTCCATACTCCGCGAAAGCGCTGACCGGGCCTCATCTGTCCGGAGTTGTGAGATTCGAATGGATGCAAAGGTCTGCAACACTTCAGGCGCGTTGGGATTGACTTGAAGAGCTTCCGTAATAAGAGCTTCGCAGCGACTCTCCGCATCTTCTTCCCACCTAGTTGTTGTTAGTCTAGTTGCGCAAACCGACACTCGAGCAATGCGATACTTACGAAAGATCGGTCATGTAAATCTCAGCAACACCGCACAAGGCATTTGCCAACTTTCTCCTCTTCTCTTCTAGAGTAGCGAGGTTCTCCGGGTCATTCGTCCCCTCCAGCTGTTGGATAGTATGCCTAAGAGATGAAACGCCCTTTTCAAACCACTTCACACTGTCTAAACCTCCCTGTTCACTCAATTGCGACAACCACAGGAACTTCTCAGAGCCACCACCATGCGATTCCGGTATTATGCCGTTTGGATCCAATTCCACTGCGCGCATGAAGTGTTCTCTCGCGACGTCGACTTCTCCGAGTTCAATGTAGACTTCGGCGATAGTGTTCAAGGCCGAGAGAGGGGAATTCGAAGCAATCTCGAGCGCCCGTTGAGCTACCGAGAGAGCTTCATCTGGCTGGCCTGTTTGAAGGAGTAGTGTCGCATGCTCCAGGAGTTTCGAGGGGTCTTCGTTCATTTTCGAATTGCCGGCGCGGGGAGCGGACTTTGACTTGGATGCTTTCTTCTTGTGAGGTCTGGGTTTCCCCATGGTTTCACTACTCGCAGATAAATTCGTTACGTACTCTGTATTTTCAAGAAGGGGTAGTATATCGACCAAAAAAAAAAAAAATAGAATAAAATCTGGTACAGCGTATATATTTTTGGACTTTCAAAAAAGTTAAGCAGTAACTCGGCGGAAAATTATTTCGAGTCTCTTTCTCTGTTTGCATAGTTTGCACATGGGATTGAATATTGCATCGCTCAGCATCGAAGCAATAGCACTTTGAAAAAGCTAAAGGAGGGTTGATTGGCCCCTATTTAACACTTATACCCCGCATATTCTCCGCCGGAAAGAATTCGCTGTCTTGATATTTCTTTCCATCCTCCAACTCCATTTATAACAATACCCCTCCAATCCGCTGGGCGGCAGAATCGAACACAAGATGGGCCGTGAGGAGCAAATTGAGGAGCGCGAAGTGCTCGACTCTATTTTCCCGGAAGAAATCACAGGTTAGATGGATTGAGCCGTTACCGTCCTGTTGTTCCATTCGCTAATCTCTACGATCTGACTCCCAGACCTGTCCGAAACCTCATACCGGATATCCGTAACGCTCGACACACCCGAAAATGATACCATCGAAGAAGCAGAGCAACCTATCCTGCTTCTGCAAATTTCCTATCCAGCAGGTTACCCCGACGTTGCCCCAGAACTAGAAATATCAGCCCCGCATAATGCGCCGAAACACCCCCGACTGGACGTCCAAGAGGACCGGGACCGACTCCTTGAAGCGCTGGCGCCAACTGTCGAAGAGAACATGGGCATGGCAATGGTTTTCACTCTGGTCAGTGCATTGAAGGAGAGCGCGGAACTTCTCATGTCGGAACGGGCGAATGCTGCCCAGGCGCTAAAAGAGATGGAAGCTGTTAAGGCAGAAGAGGAGGAGAACCGCAAGTTCGCGGGCTCAGCTGTTACGATCCAATCATTCCTCGAATGGCGCGAGCGGTTTATGAAGGAGGTGGAGGAGAAAGAGCAGAAAGAACGTGAGGAGAAGGAAGCAGAGGATAAGAAGGGCAGGAAACCAGCTGCTCGGGACGAGAAGAAGCTCACAGGCAGGCAATTATGGGAGGGAGGCTTGGTTGGTAAGGGAGATTATGATGAAGAGGGTGAGGATGCTCTGCCAGCTGTAGAAAAGATGAAGATATCCTCATAGAGATGATACTCTGTGTATAGTCTCGTTACGAAAAGCATATATTGCAAGATTGGCAAAACGCCACTTTTTAGATTGCTGTCTGTACGCTGTTTCCCCAACCAGGTTGACTAGGACCTTCATCTATCACCAGCCACTGCTATGGATGTTGCTCGAAAATGATGACTTTCATGGCGAAGCAAAATTGGGCATTTGATTTCGGTTCAGCAGTTCCGAGACGCATTAGGTCATCGTAATGGGCCTGGATCTGGTTTTTGATATTAGTCGTAGACGGTCATCCGGAACCGGGCAGGGGCAAAAATCAGGCATTTCAACTCGACAATCAGCGGATACGACGAGGGACATGGTCGAATGATTCCTGATACACAGGGGTTGAGGATGTTGGATCTCGCAGGTATAACCAGGTGACAACCCCCTCGTTTGATACCCTGACGGCTATATGGTCGCCGTACAAATTGGTGGCGATGTATGTCATTTCAACGGCGGAATCGATCGCTTTTGTCATGATCATACATTTGACGTTCTCTTCTCTTCCTCCGACGCCAACTTGCGTTCAGCAAGAACCACATTCCACATATCTCTTGCAAGCTTCTTGTTCTGCAGATCGGATTCGCGGATCTTATCATTTACTTCTGTGAGAGCATCTGAAATCACTCGGGACCAAGTGTCTGGCTCTTCGCTATGCGTCAATTCGTCCCAAGTATCTTCTGCTTTCGCCATCACTAACGCCGCCTCCAATCTTTCTCGTCGTTCAATACGTCTCCAGCGATTCTCGAGTTTGCTTCTAAGTGCTCCGCTCAGATTCATCGGTTGCGGCTTCTTGATACGCAAAAAGGGAACGCCGCGTGCGTTAATCAGGATAGGTACCCGACGTTTCCCACTCACAACTGGCCGGGGACGGGAAGTAATTGGAACAGCGTCTGGGTGTCGTCGCGCGGTCCTCTTCTCAAATGCCTGGATTTCTTCTTTCTTCTGTTCCTTCTTAGATTTGGGTTTTACGGGCTTCGCCTTGGACAGTGCTCGTTGAATTGAACTGTTCGTTTCTTTTTCCGACTCACACTCTGAAATGAACGTTGAGATGCGTTGGATCGTATTTTCGTTTCCTCGGGACGCGACGTGTATTAAATCCAGGGCCTTGCTCGGAGGGCGGAGAATTTAGCAACAGTTTGTGAACCTGCCCGGGCTGAAGATGAGTACCTCGTATCCAGCGTTCAAAGCGTTCAGTGATTGCGACGGGCTTTGGAGGCTTTTATATTTGTGAAACTTTTGTTGTATCGTCGGTTTGACCTCGCTGAGGGTTGGTGTAATACTCGGTAGTTTTGCGCATTGTCGGAGAAGTGCTCGGTAAAGAGCCAGGCCTGATTAAAGAAAGATTGTTTAGGACGATGGCAAATCAAACAGTGATAGCAAGTTTTCAAAGCTTACACGCAAAACGGTGGATTCCCGAGAGTTTTGGAGCAGTGATTCTACGCATTTTGCAGAGCGTGCTCTGAAAAAGTTGATCGGATCTCCGAAACGGAGCGACATTACCCCAGACATGTCACGTGATAAAAATACTTGTAGATTTTAAACCTATATCTACTGGTGTTTACTGGCATACTAGTAACTTTTGGTACTGGGAAGCACTATAAAGTCATCGCGGCATAAGAAAAGGTTGCGAAAGAAGCCGTACACTAATGAAGAAACCGCGCCGATGCCTGCCGGTATGCATAGACTAAATACGCTCTAGCAATGTTAACAGAGAAAGAAACAAATAGCAAAACCAACCGCAATACTCCACGTTCGTGATTTTCTAAACTATGCATGAAAAGGAGAGACTTAAAAATTGGAGCCTTCAGCCGGCTGAGGCAGCTTTCTGTGTTGCGGCAAAGCCATATATCTGAAAAGATCAGTATCGCTAAATTCCGCAGATAAATGAATGGGGTCCTGATTACCTTCTGAGTTCGAGTAGAACAGTCTCCATGGTGTAGTCACGCTTCCATTGAGCAAGACAGGGCAGCTTGGTAGGATCAACCTGGATTATGAATCAGCTATATTCTACCTATCATCAAGGTTGTGTAATGTTCATGTACCTTTCCACTTCGTTGGTCAACGCATGGGATGTTGACACGCGAGATGAATTGGATCGAGGGAGGGTTGTCAGGGTAATCGGCACCGCAGTGGATGTTGACACTATATATCCGGTTCTCATGAACGCTCTACCAGCCCAAGTCAGCGATATAAGGCAATCGAAAAGCATTGGATCATAACCGGCAGACTAACATGAGGAGGGCCGAGGATTGTTCCGTTCCAGTTGCTCATCATCATATCCTCTCCATCCGCAAGACCGTACGAGCATGCCTCTGTATATCCAAAATGTTTTATATCAGCGGAATGATGCGTAAATCAATAGTAGTTGCCAGTTGGACATGCTAACCTGCTCCCAGACCCTTCTCACCCTTCTCCAACTCTTCGAGGAGTCTGAAATTCCTGGGAACTTTCGCCGACATTGTAAGCGCAGGGTATTTCTCCAGAACTAGGAAATCGACTGCAGCTGTAGACGGCAAAGTGTTGGTAGAAGCAACGCTAAAAAAAAAAAAAAAGAAAGAGAAGAGGCCGTCGAGTGGAAGAGGGGCACTGACGCACTGTATCCCACTTACCTACTGCAGAACGGTCCTCCGCCGAGTCACCACGTGATGATAACGATCACGTGGGTACCATCACTGCCTTGGCGTTTCCTGGAAATGCCACGCCTGACGCTTTTATTGATCGACCAACCCTCTGGACTAAAGATTGATTTCGGCGATTCTTTGCCTGGAAAACTGCTCAAAAGCTAGAGGGTTGAATACTCTAACGCCATTACAGGTGAGAACTAGCGTGGTTAATATCCTATTGCTCCAATTCACCATTGTCTCCGACTGGAGAACTCCGGACGGAGTATATTTGGATTCAATACCCACAGTTCGAGTCGGCCATGTTCTAAACCAGCAATTTATCTGAAATGTCCTCCCAATTCTTGCAGACAGAGCTTTTGCATCTCATTCAAGAGTCAAAACGAAAGAATGCTGACCTGCGAAATGTCTGCCATCTTCCCTTATTCAAATATCTACTATCGAAGCTAACCTTAAAGCGCAGGCTGCTGAGACGTCTCTCAATGAATTGAAGGCATTGCCTTCTACTTCAGAGGCCCAGACAACGGCTGGTGGGCTTAACCCCCAATCACTGTTTACGATGTCCCGTTACTAAGTGACCAAGAGACCTGGTACGAAGGCCGAAGTTTGTCGACCCATTTATCATAACTTGCCATAGTCGCCATGTCAAGCTTGCTGGTATCGGAGTTGTGTGCCTACAGAGACTGGTGGCTTCACGTTCATTACCACCTGAGCGACTGAGGGATGTTCTGAATGGGTTAAGGGAAACCACCAATATGAGTATGGCGCCGAGGCGACCCGCGATATTCGCTGAGATGCTAACCCTATCAAGGTCTGGACATTCAACTCAAAATTCTGCAAACATTACCTTCTTTGTTGCAGCACTATTCCAATGAGTTAAGTGGCGAGCTGCTTGTGAGCACATTGGAAATATGTGCAATGTTGCAGGCAAGCAAAACCATTGCCGTGTCCAGCACTGCGGCAGCCACACTACAGCAACTTGTGATGTCGACATTTGAGAGGATTGCCATTGATGACAGTAAGTCGCCGGTGTTTAATTGTCCCACCAATCGGTGCTGTTTGCTGACTTTGAAGAAATACTTGACTCGTCCAAATCAAATGAAACCGTTACTGTCGAAGACCGTCCAGTAACTATTAGCTGCTTCGCTTATGATGCATTACGGGTGAGCCGAATCCCCAATTGCCAATTATTTCAAACTAATATAGTATCAAGGTTTTGGATGATCTCTGCCGTCTCGTAGATGGCGAACCACTGCAATTCCTGCGGATGAAATCACTCTCCCCAACATTCACATTGGAACTTATTGAGAGCATCCTGGTTAATAATGGCAGTCTTTTTGTTGGACATGCGGAACTTACGCAGGTGCTCCGAGCTCGGCTTATGCCACTGACCGTTAGGTTCTTATCCGAGAGGCACAATTTTGCTCAGACAGTCCGGGTTGCCCGCATCCTTCTTGTATGTCTGAAACGTCATATGTCCCTTCTTACCGCGGAGTGTGAGATGGCACTTGGTCTGTTGACACACTTACTCGAACCGGATGGAACAGCACCTTGGAAGCGTGTGATTTGCATGGAACTTTTCCGATCCTTGTACGCTGAACCAGGATTAGTCCGACTGATGTACTCACTATACGATGGGGAAGAAGGGAGAAAGAGTGTTATTAAGGACCATATGGCTTCACTTGTTCGTCTGGCCTCCGAGAAACCGTCTTTGATCGGGGTCGGCAACCAATCCACAGTGCCTACGCGTACGGAACATTCGAGGTCCATTACTGAGGAACAAATCACTCTAGAAGCTGGTGGAGTGGCGGGTGTCATTGGAACCTCCGTTCCATCTACTGATACAAATGTACCAGGCATCAGCAACCAGTGGAGCGTGATCCGCACACCTTACATGGAAATCCTTGACAAGACCGATGCACCACTTCCCCCGGATACATATATTTACAGTCTCGTACTCAATTGCATTGCTGTGTTCGCTGAAGGTCTCGCAAAGTTCATACTCCCATTGACTGTTCCTGAGTTCAAGCATAAACGAAAAAATCGAATCACGAGCCCTGATCCAGAACCCAGCTCCCCTGTTGCGTCATCCCCAGATCTTCAAAGGACGCATTCTTGGAGAGTTACTCATAATTTAAAGTCCAAAAAGTCGTCTATACCAGTCAATCCTCTGGAATTGGAGTCCCACTCGCAGAGTTCAGCAATCAAAGCATGTGCCGGGGTTATTGAGAACTGCTGGCCTGCTGTTCTTGCTACGTGTTCGACATTCTTATATGCAGCTCTGGATGACGAATTCTACCATAGCCTAGTGCGATCCTTCCAGAAACTGGCCCATGTTGCGGGCCTATTAAGGCTTTCTGTTCCCCGAGACGCGTTCTTAACGACTCTAGGGAAGGCTGCTATGCCGCCTGAGACAGGCGGTGCTAAACCAGGAATATCCACAGCACCTGTTTCTGATTCTCAAAACAACTATGCGTCTGAGAAAAGGCGTAAGGGTGCGGAGATCGGTTCCCCATTACCTGCAGATTCGCCAAGTGCTACTTCAGACAGCCATTCTGTGCTATTAAGCACGAGAAACCTTTTATGCCTGCGTGCTTTGCTGAATTTGGGCATCGCTTTGGGGCCAATTCTAGACCAGTCGGCCTGGTCCATTATCCTTGAGACCCTCCAGGATACAGACTTGTTGATTGGGATATCGTCTGTTTCTACAATGAAATCAAGTGCTGCAGCTAATAGCCCTGGGGATGCTGCAACCGGCATCGACGTGCCCAAAGCGAACCTTGGTGCAGAAATTATTGCCGTGCAAACAGCGTCTAACAAGATGTTTGAAAGCACTAATATTTATCCAACTAACTCGTTTCAAGACATTTTAGTCGCTCTTTTGAGACTTTCGCGGTTTACCGAAGAAACGACACAACCAGAACCATCAGAGAAAGTATCAGACATGCCTCAATCTTCGCAGTCTCTTCGACGCTCAGGACACATGCGCAAGAGCACCCGTCGCGTGTCGCTCACAGTTGGCAAATTCAAAGCGCAGGATGAACAACTGAAATTTGTCCTGGAGAAAGCAGACGAAATAGCTAAAGCGAACCTGGAGCGACTGTCATCTCTGGATGAGAATGATCTTCGTGCGTGGCAAAGCCTTACGGACAGTCTTATATCAGGTGCATCGCATGGCGAAGTTAGCCAGGCTCTTCGTTTAAGAGCCAGCGAAGTTCTCAACAACCTCGTCTTTCAAACAATGAAGCATAATGATATCGACGACGATTCTTTGCGAAACACTCGGCAGTTGAGGAACCTGGAGACCTTGAAAAAGCAAATAGATTCTCTCTATAGTTCGAAACTGCCGGGTTCCTATCTTGCTGTCGTTATCGAGATCCACGAGCAAAGCCTGGAGATCCTGAAAAATATCTTAGAGCAGTATGCAGAAACTTTTGCAGATGGTTGGACTCTTGTCTTTGATCTCATCTCCACCGTCTTTGGGGAGGTAATGGCCGAGACATCAGAGACGAACACAGCGAAGTCAGGAGGCAAAGTATCGTTGTTAGCTGATTCGCCTCGCCTTATCCGCGCAGCTTACAATTCACTTCAGCTGATAGCCTCCGATTTCTTATCTTTACTTCCAGCGTCTTGCCGTTTGGATCTTGTGGATTCTCTTTCAGGCTTTGCCTCACAGCAACAAGATTTCAACATCTCGCTGACTACGACCTCGTCTTTTTGGAATGTTTCGGACTTTCTCCAGGGGCAAATAGAACGATTCACCATTGAATCTCATGTCGATGCATCGGTTAGAGAAGAAGATCTTGCGGCGCTAGCCAAGGATAACGATGTCTCTGTATCTCGTAATTCTCTATGGTTATTACTCTTACTGAGGATTGTTGACCTTGCAACTGATAGCCGAACTGAAATCAGAAACTGCGCAGTCCACACGCTGCTGAGGATCTTCGATGCATATGGCCAGCAATTATCGGCTAAGGCGTGGCGGCTGTGTCTCAATAGAGTTCTCTTTCAAATGATCGAGAATGTTGAGGCCGAACTTACGAGAGTCGTGAAAGGACAGAACGGGGCAAATTCATACGAGCTCAAGCCATGGATAGACACGACAGTTGTGATGATCAAAGGATCTGCTGAACTGATCACAACTTTCTTCGATTCAATTGTCCAAGACGAAGAATTCGACCGTTCCTGGGAAAGGCTTCTAGGCTATTTCCAGACATTGATTGGCCTGGGTCTTTTAGAATTCAGTGAAGCGGTGTTCTCCAGCCTGTCGAGCATCCTTCTTAGGGTAGAAAGCCCGACTGGTTTTAGTAAACAAGCACTGGAGTCCGCCTGGTTACTTTGGGATAGTGGCCATCCGGCTAGTAAAGAGGACTCGCTGGATCTCGATTGCCCCAATCAGGACTCTGCTTTGGCGTACCTCCGGTCCTTCGAACAAATATATCGTCTTCATAAGGATGATCTAACTCGAGAACGCATAGAGGGGATCCTTGAACACATGAAACTGCTTGCATGGAACTCGGTCTCTCCTCGATACTCCCCCGATATAGACCGTTCTTCGACTCTGCAGTCATTGATAATTGCTTCCACCAAGACCATTTGCCAGAATAAAGAGGATTCACAACCTGAAATTTTGCTTTCTCTTGCAGATTACGTCGACTCTGCCTTATCAAAATGGATTCCAGGAAGCGACTCGAGAAGACCCACATTTGTCGCATTCTCGAAAAATGCAATCGACCTCCTTCGCTGGTATATCGCTGATTTTGGGATCAAGAAAGATGTTTTTACGGATGGGTCTTTGGCTATTGCATTGAAACATCTCTCCAACCCCGTTGCTCAGAAATACGAATGGCAAGGCAAGGATCGAGAGCCAAGATTGTGGCAGAAGGCGACCACAACATCTCTGGACATACTCCAGGTTGCGATTCCCTATGTGGAGAAACAATACGATAAGTCAAATGAAGGGGAAATATCTCGATTCTGGGAATGCGTGGTGGACATTGTGCGTGGTATAGTTTCTGCCAAGGGTTATCGCACTCAAGAACTCTCCATGGCAGACATGCTCGCGGATGAATCTTTTGATATTGCCGCCTTCGACAGGCTCAAGAGCTTGATCATCCCATCTCTCGGAGCGGCAGTAATCAAAGATAATGTTCGACGGGATTTTGCATCTGCACTGTTCCACTCTTCCTTCATATACGCCCCGAAGCGATTTGATCTCCCTGATAACACAACCCTAACGAACAGCCCTCTCAAGGGGATATACGATGTCCGCCCAGGGAGAACCTTTGAACCTCCCCCAAATACGCGGTCGAAGATGGCATACGTTCTGACTGATGCAATGTTTGAGCTTGCAGCCGTGCCAGGGAACACTGACAACAGTCAAGAGCCACACACCCTCCTCGCTCGATCAATCTCACCATACCTAATCCTCCGAAGCGCTGTATCCCTACGCGCGTATATCGCGGACCAACCTCTTCGCGGGCTCATGCCGCAGCCAACACCCGCGCGCAGGGCTCTGCTGCACCTACTTCAAGGTATGGTTGAGCTACGAAGCGAACCCAGCGCGATTCCAAAACCTCCAGTTGTCAGGAGTGTAGCAGCGTCTCTGGTGCAACCAAATGACGACCACCAGCTAAAGAAGCATCTCGAGTGGATATACCCGCTTGTTGTGAAGGCGGTGCAAGTAGCAGGGAAGGAAAAGGACGATGGCGAGGTTCTTCGGGTACTGGGGAAGGTACTGCAGGAAGTTGGTCATTGTGGTATATAGATATTCTCTTATGGTACTATACTCATGAGTGAACAATGAAAAATTTCCTGCTCTTCTTAAATTCGATTCTGATATAATAAATGACTCAGTTTCGAGCCAGTTTCAATGGCCATGAATGGACAGTGATGTTATTGCTTTCACCCACTGTCGCCTGGCCTCTGCCTATGTCTTCCCCCTCTCTTTCCTCTTCCCCTTATCTTCTTCATCCTTCTTTCCACCACTTAGTCTCATCGTACATTCTTCTTTTTACCCTAAAAAAAAGAAAAATTCCAGATTTCAGCGGTAGGCCACGGGTCTGCGGGACACCACACATAGCTGTGAAAGGAGCTGGGCCACACAACACACACCGGTCTCTGACAGGGCAGCTGGCCACAATGTACTGAGAAGCAGGCACTCCGTACAGCAAAAGAAAACCCAGGGGAGTTCAAAGCACCTCATCACCAGCTGGTTTGGGTGTTCTCGAGTTGTACCAGGTTCATCTTCAGTTGTTTCTTGCCAGTGGACTATCAGCGCACTGTTTCCAGCCGACCAATCAGAACAGACCCGACAGGACTCATCGAAGTCCCCTGGTGGTGAGTCTGATCTGTGATTGGGTTGGGCCTGGGACACAGCTCTGGTCGTCCATACTAACCAATCACATACAGCAACTGGCCCTTGGTAGTGAAGCTCGTACAGTGCGAGAAACTGACACACAGAGCACCCGGAGAGCTTGAGCATTCACCGTGGTGGGTAAGTGGGTGGTGCGAGTGCTCAAGCGCACCTGAGTCCTGTGCTTGTTAGTAAATCGGCATCGTGCCGGCCGGCTGATCAGTCATGTGCACAAAGTGCCTGCAATAGGTCCTGGTTGGTAGGTGGGGTTTGCGACTGGCTGGGATACTGGTACGCAGTACGTTCAGGACGCTTGTTCTTTGAGGCGAGAGTGGGTGGCAGTTAAAGCAACCTGAATTTTCTGTGTCGTTAGAGGGATCAGACGTCGTGATGATTGATTGGTTGAGCATGTAAAGGCGTTGAACCTTATTGTGAGTCCTGGCTGGGTGGTTGGGTAGGGCCTGGGACACACACACACACACACACACACACACACACACACACATATACATACATACATACATACATATACATATACACACACAGCTCTGGTTGAGTATGCTGGGAAGGAACTGGATCATATACTGAAAATCAACTCTAACAACGCAGCACAACGCCGGCCCTTGATAGGGAGGCTGGCGGTGGCGCTGTCGGCTGGTAGCGCAGGGCTTTGATCTGGCGAGCTTGAAGCAACTCACCGTGGCGGGTAGGCGAGTTGTGCGAGTTGTTTCAATCCTAGACTGAGATTCTGGAGTTACCAGTGAGCTCAGTTCGCCGTTTCAGCCGGCTCATCAGGCCTATAGGGGTTTTATCTCTGCAGCAACTCCTGATGGGTTGGTAGGGTAGGGCTTGGGATAATTATATGTAGTACGCCGTACTTTGTTGTGCTTCAAATGGTACGTACGAAGTATTGCTTAAAAAAACAGAAGACACAGAAGTGTATTACTGACATGATGCACGGAGAGACGGAGAACTATAGGTCCAAGTTGCATACTCGTTTGTAAGTATGGACACATTCATCAAATCAATACTTCGGGTTGCAAGACGAAAGTAAAAAGACACCATCGGATCATACACGACGACTGACAACATCGAGTCGTGATAAAAGAAGCTAACACAATAAGGACAGGGTATAAGAGTACATGTGAATGATGGTAAGAACACTCCGAGCAGCTGACATGTCATAAATACGGAAGCACAACCGGAAGAAACAACCCCTAACCCGATCGACATAGCTCTAAGCTCTAAGCTGCTGGAGGAGGGACAGCTTGCTGCTGCTGCTGCTGATAAGCTTCGCCCCTTCCGGGTCCAGCAGTGGCCGAACCGGGCGGCAGAGGCTGCTGTTGCTGCTGGATCTGCTGTTGTTGGATTTGTTGCTGCTGGGCGATCTGAGGGGTAGCAGCGACCTCGGGAGCCTGGCGGAAGAGAGTAATTTCGGATTGCTTGAAGTATCGACGAGCATCTGGAAAGTAAACACGAGTCAGCATCGGTCGTACTTCTGATACATACGAGGCTCCTGTAATGAAATCGAAACTTCGGGAAAAACCAAAAAGATTTCAAAGAGAAAAAACCCGGGGAGTGTGGGGCAGCCACGCGAAACCATATCTGTATCAGGTATAGCGTGGGGTTTCACCAGGTCGGGGACCGGGAGTCAATAACCGATCGGTTATTGATCCATGCAGCCATGGGATGCTGAAGATACGTGGGATATCCGTGACAGCCTGACAGCCTCAGGCACCAATGCATATCAACCCCAAAGTTTCGGAGTGACCCGAATCTCTACAAAAAGACAAACGCAAGCGCTTACCTTCATCAATGAGAACCAGACTGAGGTAATAACGTGTCGAATATTTCTTGTTGACGTCACGGAAGGTGGGTGTCAAATCGAAGCCACCAAGGAACAGACGGATGGGAATGGTTTCTCCTGAGTCTTGGTCAGCGCGATGCTTTTCATTGCTTTACATCGAGAAGATCCAGAAGTGTTTTGCCGTCAAGACCAAAAGACATACTCACCTCGTGAAGGCGAACCATCCATAATCTGCCGTGACACCATGTTAGCCAAACCGAGGTTTTAACGCATTGTCAAGCTTGCAGACCTGAAAGACGAGCTTACCTCAAAGCGAACCAGCGTCTCACTCTCATTGTACTGATTGGGCGGAGATCCAGTTGTTTCCCTCCGAATAATGGACAGCTCCATATGCTTGATCTTCAACCGCACAAGCAGGAAATAGATACGCCCGACAATAACATCCTTGAGGTGGTATTTCGACTTGGAGTATTCAAACTCGATATGCAGGCAATCCTCGATACCAACATCCATCTTGATCGGGCTGTTGTTCTCTGGCGGCATGCGATATGAATAGACCCAGAGATCCTTCTCGCGCACGACGTCGGCCATCCGGCGGGAGACGGTGACGCGCACAAAATACCGAAGCTTTACGTTGATACCATTGTAGGATTCATATTGCTTCTCGACGTTTTTGAAATTGAAGGGGAAGGTCTGGGGGTGTTGGAGTTCGCCGGGAGCTGCGAGTTCTTGGACGAGGGAGAGGAATTCGTAGTGGTTTCCGCGGTCGTAAAACATTTCTTCAGACACCTGTCAGTCATCATATAATACCAGCGTATAGTGCTCATGTGGATATCGCGTACCAATCGTTCCAATGAACTGCACCTTAATCCCCGTATGCTCTAACCGTTTCCCATCCTTGGGCCTAACCGTCACAGCACCCTTGACAGACTCTCCATCCATGTACAGCGGGGCCCTCTCACGGCGGCCCTTGTCGAGCTTGACATCGACCGTCTGGCGCTCATCGCTGTCTTCGAGAACGACATCGATATCGACGGGGGTGGAGAAGAAGAGGGAAGTCATGATGGGCGGCGAGGGGAGATCGTTTCGAGACGCAGCGAACCAGGCAAGATCGTACAGTGTTCCGTAAGCTTGTTGTGATTCGTGGTTAGTCGTCGAGCATCGATTAATAGCGAATGGTCATGTTGCGTGACCTTGTCTCTGCGTCGGACTTGCTGGCAGGCTTCATCGCTGGTTCGAGCTGCGAGCTGGCATATCGCGGATTACGTAAGTCTAGTTTCATTGTAACAAAACAACAGCTCTTGTACGGAGAATCTAGACCGATGGCTGGGAAACTAGGATAATGTCGTTATCCAACGCAAAGGTAATCGATTCTGTACGTCTAAGCATTGTGAGGGCGATGGTGATGGCCTGGTATGCCTGATATACTTGTAGTGTACTATATGCGTAGTATGCGGAACTATGCTTCTTGCGGCTGATGAAATCGATGGACATTGGGCTTAAACAAACTAAGATAAATCTCTACAGTATAGAGTACCTGTACAAGATATAAGTAGAGCAAATAGTCATAGGCTTCGAGATTACCAAGGCAGGATGGTTGGGGGTTGACATTTCATCTTCGGATAGAGAGTATGCAGATTATATGAGAAGCTGCAGTGTTATATCTCTTTCTATTGCACCTTGTGTTTTAGACATTAACTTTCGGCCCCATTATCACAAAGAATCCATGATCAAAACATGATGTTTGTCCGTTCCTCGATGGTGATATCCGTACGAGCGGATTTATATGCAAATCCGCAAAACAACAGGACTGAGAATCGTTTTCCGCCGACTCCTATTCCGTACCAACAAGGCGAGTTTACTCCCGTTGCTCCGTACTCGTGCGCAGACTATAAATGCCGCCTAGATGAGGCCATACCCGGATATCGAACAGCAATGCTCAGTGACGGCGCATTGTCCACGAGACCACGGGTTACCCCGGATCATAATCCTTGAGGGACGTCAATGCGCCTGTCATCCGGCGATGAAGACCCGGTCTGCGTCACTCATCAGGATAGAAGACTAGGGGCCCTCAAGGTACACAATACATAACCGGTCAGATAGAGGGTGGTCCATATTACCCCACTTTGCGAGATAATCAATAACCTGAGGGGCACGAAAGAAGTATTTCATTCCGTCACACTGCACCATGCATGAGTTTTCACCAACAGAATCCGGCACTTCATTTTCCGCCGGAACCTAATGTCGGTAAATTTGGTTCCGATGGCTAACAGAGTAGAAGAACAAGGATCCGTAATGGATGTGTTTCGTCCGGGATCTTCAATTGCAATCACATCCCCGGGCAGCTTGTTGAACGGAATATCTCCGGCCTCCAATTGCAGACTTAGTGGAGCAAGAAGGGCCTTTCATATCGTTGGGAATCCGTACTGCACCCCGGAGCACACTGTCCGGCGAGGAGATTATCAAAGATACTCCGTACAGAAACTCCATAATACAATATGGATTCGGATAAATCAATCCGAATTTCACAATTAAAAAGCGCAATCTCCACACCAGTATATCTCTCAAAATTTCGGCATATGTACTTTCCTGGCAGCATACATACAAGTTCTCTCCATAGACAAGTCGGATATGCGCAAGGCGTCGGCATCTGACTCAATACCCGGGACGGCATAGTGTGGGGGGTCGTCGGTCTGTTACAAAAATACGGTGTGGTAACAGGCCGTACGGTAAATTTGTCCCGAATCCCCGGGCAGGGGTACCGGACTAAGCCAGATTAGTCACGGCGGGTATGCATGTCAAGGATGATGTCATGTGACTACTCTTCGGGTTTTGCATTTTTCAGCAGAGTATAGAGTAGAGAGTATCATGAGACAAAGACACAATATAAAGAGCATTACGCCGTTTCATAGAGCCATGTACTCGAAATATATCTACTACTACATACTACTAGGGGCCCTAAACTACAGATCGATCGGCAACTAACAACCAGACCGGCGGCGCATCCCTTTTCGAATCCACTCTCCGTACTATCGATAAATTACCACATTCCAGAACAGCCCCACCACTTCCGGATTCGAAACGGCTGAGTGAATAAGAACGCTCTGTTTGCATCTTTCTTTCTTCTGATTCTCTTTTTTTCTCTCTTCCTTATACCGTCGTCTGTATATAAACCTTACCACTGCTCACATTCTGGTTCATCCGTTCAAATCTACCGGAACTATATCACCTCAGCGTCATACCCAATCATTGTCTTTCACTTTCTCCGTACCTTACCCCTTCTACATTATCACTATCACCATGTTGTCTGCTGGTGAACGGCCTCAGCCGTCGACTATCAATGCTTCCCTAGTCTCTCCCGTCAAGCCCGTTGCTCTCAATCACTCAGCCCACTCTACCGCAACCTGGCCGGAGATGGACCAGGTCGGGAATATTCAGCACATCTGGGTCATTACCGGTCCCGCAGGATGTGGGAAAAGCACCGTGGGTCGCGGCCTGCAGGAGGAATTAAATTGTCCCTTTCTCGAGGGTGACGACGTGAGTTCCTCCCCTCCCACTAAACCACCAAATTGACAACAAGATGCTAACAAGAACAGTTCCATTCCCCCTCCAACAAACAAAAAATGACCCAAGGCATCCCCCTCACCGATGAAGACCGCTGGGACTGGTTAATCTCGCTCCGCAAAGCCGCCATCGACGCCCTCTCCCCCTCCGACTCGAATAACTTCCACCCACCCTCCGGCGTCATCGTCGCCTGTTCCGCGCTCAAGCAGAAATACCGTGATGTCATGCGCGTTGCTGCATACGGCACACCCCTCGTCCAGATCCATTTTATCTACCTGCGGTTGTCGGAGAGCGTGCTTATCCAGCGCGTGAACCAGCGTGAGGCGCATTATATGAAGAGTGGGATGGTGCACTCGCAGCTTGAGGTCCTCGAGGAGCCGCTTGGGGAGTGGGATGCATTGACTGTTAATGTTGAGGGGCCGAAGGAGGATGTGCAGAAGAATGTGTGGGAGTTAGTTGGGGCCAAGTTGGCGGAGTATGAGTAGTCGCTTGCCCCATCTCTCTTACGGTTCTTCATTTGTTTTCCCTTTTGGTATTGGTTGGGACACTAAAAGCAAACGCATGCATGGTCTCCATCCCGGTGTCTATGGAGTTCTCATGCGTTGGGAAAGCATGAGGTCTGTTTTCGGCATTATTTTCGGAGTTATTGATTCCTGGTTTTTGCATTGTTTATGTCGGATTTTAAACGTTTGATACCCCGTCGTTTAGGGGCAGAATTGCTTTTCTTGTCATGTCTTTTGCCCCGTCTTGGTTTTGAATACCCAGTGAAATACAATTGTTCCAGTTAGTTTCTACTGATGACTTCTGTAATATCGTGATTGCTCTTGTATGCTATCGTAGACTCCAGATATAACCAGTGCCTTGCAGATCATCTATTACTTATTTTTCCTAACTGCATTTTCTTTCATACTAGACTAATATATACATAATGTCATTGCACATCCATACAATTGAGCGCTTCTCCTCTGTTTCCCCTTCTTTTTGTTAGCCCTTCAAGGTCATAGCGCAATTGGCTCACTTTCTGTCATATTTTCCATGAAAACGAGTCAGAACGAAGGAAAAAAAAAAAAAAAAAAAAAGACAATCGTGAATACTCAACTCCGTTGCAGAGCGAGGTCCAGGGCGGGGTCGACAAGTGTGCCTAATGGATGGGCCACATTAGTGAATTAGAGCATAATTGACAAAAAAAGATGAATTGGCAGAGAGGACAGTGAAGGAGTTGCCCAGCTCTCGTGTTTCCAAGAAACCCTAGAATAATGAATGGTGGTTGAATGCTGCCATAGTAACATCTGCCTGGTCATCGTTCTACCATAATAAGTAATAATTATGTTGTAATAATTGGTAGAATGGAGCTGCGGCAAAAATGACCATATCTTTTTTCGAATTTAGCCCATACAATGCTTGTAATGTCTTGTGTATGCGTGGATAATGCCAAGAATCTCTGCACGAATCGAGTTTATATAGTACAGCTAGCACTATCTTAGGTTTAAAAGCATTAACTCTGGAGACTCGATGAACTGTCGGACCTTGGTTGCCATTCTAGCCATGGTGGCTCCATCAACAACTCGGTGGTCAGCACTCCAGCTGAAATTCACCAGCTCGCCCTTAGTGACTTGACCCGCATCATCAAAGATGGGCGTCGTTCTGGATTTGCCAACTCCCAGAATTGCAACTTCGTTAGGAACAATCACGGGCATCACATAGGTACCCCCGATGTTGCCAATGTTGGAAACGGTAATGGTTCCCCCGCTAAGATCCGCTGGTGTGAGCTTACCCTCCTTTCCAAGGGCACTTAGACGTGACAGCTCTGTTGCGATATTGAGAATTGACCGGTTCGCGACGTCTTTGATGTTTGGGACAATCAATCCATTTGGAGTATCTACTGCAACTCCAATATTGTGTCTAGGTCGCATGGTGAGTTGTGGCTTGTCCGGGTTGCTTGTGTCAACTTTTGCGTTCAGGAGGGGGTACTGATCCAGGGCAAGAGAGACAGCCTTGATGATGAATGAAAGGAACGTAATTTTCTTAGGATCTTTGGGATTACTGGCCAGTCTCCTTCTCAGCGTAGTGATATCGTTGATATTGAGCTCATCGGCATAAAGAAAATGTGGAATGCTGAGCGACCGGCTCATCGTCTTAAACATTTGAGACTGGAAGGGACTCAAATTGACCACTTTTTCAATCTCTGGTGTACTAACAGTGGCCGGCTGTGCCGTAGGTGCTGAATCCCGCATGGCGATGAACTTATTGACATCCTCCTTGAGCACCCGTCCATCCTTACCGGTGCCGTTAACGTCCAAGATATTGACATCGTGAAGTTTGAGTAATCCTCGAACTGCTGGTGTAGCTAACGATGCGTAACGTGATTTTGGTATTTCCAATGCAGATTCTGGAGAAGCAGGCCGAGGTGGTTGTATAGGCTGCATGTGTTGCGCCTCTGTCGGGACAGGGCTGGTTTGAACTGGTTCTGGGCTTGGCGCTGGCTGGACATCCTCGTCTGGATATTTCGCATCGTCAACTTCTATGTCACAGAGAGCCTAATGGAAATGCATTTCTGTTAGCAAATGATCTTCAATGAGGGTCAAAAGAACTCTCCTACCCTGCCTGTTGGAACGGTATCGTCGGCCTGAAAGTGAAGCTTTTTGACAATCCCTTCGTATCTCGCGGTAATCTAGTCTTTTTAGAAGATCATCCCAGCAGATGTAAAATGATAGACAACTAACATCATCAACGGCCTTGTCGGACTGATATTGGCAAAGGGGGTTCCATTCCTCGATATGTGCGCCTTCTTCGACATACCTAGTCATTGACATTAGAATATTTCTTGAGTTTTGCTTTCACATTTCTCACACCGGCTTACCATTGAATGATTTGAACCTCCGTTATCCCTAGAGAGAACCCGAGTAAGCAACTGCAGGAGCTGAAGTCAAAGATAGGTTAAAGTTACCTTCTCCAACATCCTTCAGAACCTGAGATTTGATTGACCATAGAGACGAAGCTGCATGGAACCTGCGACGAGGGATGGTGGACAATGCTGGAGACAGCGTTGGCAGGAATCGCTGGAACCTGGAAGTCCTGGCAGCCCAGGCGATACCTCTGCTACCCCGCAAAGCATTCATCTTGGATATGTGGTCGAGTCTGGGGTAAAGCAAGGGTAAAGCAAACTGAAAGAAGGTCGTCCAACGACATTCTGGGTTGGTATTATTATTTATCCCCGGCTGGAGCTGTACCCCGTATGCAACTGCTGTACCTCCGCAGTACTGCTATCGCCGACGATAACCGAGTAGCCCGTGATATCACGTGGCAGGTCACTCCGCATTCCGGGAATTCGGACCATGTGTTGTTCCTTCTGGGATTAGCTAGAGAAAGAAGTACTGAATATATACAGAGTATCTCTCAAAGAATACGGATGTGCTTGGTATCTCTTGAGGGTAGATGCTGCTTCTGTGGTCCCCTGAATGTTGCACATCACGCGCATACCTCTATAGTGTGCAGACCAAATCCTATGGTATGCGACAGAAGACATGGCAATAAGGGCCCATGCTCATTCGAATTCAAAACTAACCCAGCAATCCTTGTTTTTGCTAAAGCATGCAAAGGCATTCATGAGATCCAGTTGACTCAAGATCAATCCATAAATCCTCGATATGCCGGTGCTCATTGCCAGGTACGGAACCCTCCACCAGTGGTTCTCAAGACACGCGGTCGATCGTCATTAGCTATTAAACTGCGAGAAATGGTTCAGGCAATGACAATGGCTGAATGTTACCCTACGCTCCATATGGACTGCCAATTTAGGCTATTAAGCCGTGTGTTGAGATCGATCTGCTGACAACTAGGAGATCCCACTGTGGGCAACGCCGGCGCTCACTGGCGCGCATTCACAATCCCGGTGTCTACCTGAGAACGGAGTAACGCTATGGAGCACACTCTACTCAAGGATTCACTTTTCTAACCCTAGTTGGAAAATCTTTTAAGGGATTCACCATTATTAATAATGAATTTGCGCCTTCCATGGCAGCTCGAGCGGATCGTCCAATACCGACAGGGGGTCTGCGCGTCCTCTTGATCTGAATCACCGGAATCGCTGCTTCCTCGTTTGTATCATCCCCCCCCTAATTTTCTTCTCTCATTATCTTCTTTCCGTATGAAATGCTAATCGCATCAAGTACTCTACACAGTTCACCATGGCTGCTAAACATTTGACCGTTCGCAACCTTACCTCTACGCCGATTACTGTCAAGCGCATTGAGCGATTTCATGCGACAAACCATGGCTTCTCGTGCCTTACCGGAACCTTGAAAAATGCTACCCACAGCAAGAGCGTCGTGGTCATCGACCCTCATACCGAGCCGTTCGCCGAGAAGGAGGTCGAAATTCGCGTGGAACCGTTCACAACAGTCAAGACTGAGCTCCCCGCCTTCGTTGATTCTAAAAAGGAGCGGTTGCGCTGGACCATCGAAGCAGAAGGAGAGCAACACCAAGTGCAGACCCCTGTTCCTACGACCGAGTCATCCACCATGAAGCCGCTATGCGACAGCTCTCGCTTCAAATTCACCGGCATCTATGTGATTCCTGAAGCGCACCTTGCGATCTACTCCTCGGCCAACTTGCATGCGTGGATGAAAGAGTTGAGGGACGACACGTTAATGTCATCTCTCTCGATTCCCGGCACACATAACGCTCCTACACACCACCACGCGCCTCCGTCTGTTCGTTGTCAGGCCGTGAGCCCACGCGAGCAGCTCCAGAACGGCGTTCGGTTCTTTGACATTCGCGTCCAGCCGGTACATCCTGAAGACCCCGATCGAAATGAACTAGCCTTGGTCCACAGTGTCTTTCCCGTCGCTCTGACTTGGCGTAAATATTTCCGTGATTTAATGCACGAGGTCAACGATTTCCTGGACCAAAACCCATCCGAGTCCCTCATTATTTGCCTCAAGCGTGAAGGCCCCGGCACTCATACCGATGAGCAGCTGAGTCGCATTGTGGCGGACCACTACGCAACCCCAGAAAGTCGCTGGTATACGGAACCAAAAATCCCCACGCTGGGAGAGGTACGCGGCAAGGTTGTCCTTATGCGCCGTTTCAACATCCAGGAACGACTAAAGCAAGCCCACGAAGGCCGTGGTTGGGGCATCGACGCCGCCGGATGGGCTGACAACTGCGCGCACGCAGTCTGTCCCGGTGGACAACTCTGCATTCAGGATTTCTACGAGGTCTTGCAGCCAGAAGTCATTGAGAAGAAGATCCAGTATGTGAGCGAGCAATGCCACCGCGCAAGTCAGACATGTTACCCTTTTGGTGTCCTACCTCCCAATGCCGACAGGAACCATCCGTTCTACATCAATTTCCTGAGCGCGAGCAACTTCTTCAAGCTCAAGACATGGCCGGAGAAAATTGCTGCTAAGATGAACCCTGCGACAGTTGATTACCTCTGTCGTCGCCATGAAGCAGAGGGAGAATGTGACTGGTCTACTGGCATCCTGGTTACTGACTGGGTTGGGAAAGACGGCGATTGGGATCTTGCGCGATGCATCGTGGGAATGAACTCGAGACTCAAGTTGAGACAATCGAGATACGCATAAAAATGTGGCCTTGTCTTGTGCTATATTTAATTGTTCTGCACATATCATTTAACAAGAGAGGTAATAATAATATCGTTATACCCACAGGATAAAACATCAACAGTCTTCAATTTCTGGGAATATACGTCATCCTGTAAGCTTGACCTAAAATAGACAAAACGGAGAAAAGAAGACATTATTGTACATGAACATGAGCCATCACAGTCTAGATCACGAATCGTTCTTCCCTTCCTCTGAACCCTTCTGCTCCTCCTCCAAAACGTTCTTCCTATTCTCGAGAGTGAAGTAAAGGCTCTTTCCAGCACCCTCCAAAGTATTCGTAACACTGGACCCCATGCTCTGCAATGCCATGACGAGCTGCGAGCGCAACCCATCCATACCACCCTCGATACTGCCGATCCATTTGGTCTGGTCGAGATCGAATACATCGCCGTCCACACGGGCAGCAAGCAAATTCAGCTTCTGCAGACCCTCCTGCACGTTAGTCTCATGCCATCCAGGGCTGGCTCTCCGGGTCGGGGTAGGATAGCCAACGGCCTTAGGGCAGAGGACCGAGAGCGCTGCCTTCATATGCTCTGGCGAGACCTGGGGGATTGTGAGGACGGCAATGGGACCGGCAAGAAGCGTTGAGAATTCGTGCTTGTTCTTCATGTTCAACACGGCGTCGTGGGCGGTACGGGAAAGGTCGTGGGACAAACTCGGGTCATCCCTCGACCCGGCCAGGTTGATCTCGGCGGAAGTCTGCGATGCGGGGTCAACAGCGCTGGGGCTCTGTGCGGCAGCCATGGAGTCTTGATCGGGACGGAAGTACTCGACGACACGCAGTGCGACTTCGAAGATGTTGGTCTGGATGGTCTGCATCTTGATGTGGGGTGTCAATGCGGGAGCAGCGCGGCCCTCTGTGGCGATTTTCTCGTCCACGGTCCGCATGGCCTTGTTCAGTTCTCGCCGGATTCCAACCCATTCCACAGACTTGAGGTTTGTTTGTTGGAAGAACACCATCAGAGGTGTGGTGCGAATGAGAGAGGTGTATTGCCGCAGAAGTTGTGACCTCCGGTATTCGGGACTGCGGTGGGAGGGGGGCTGAGAGGGAGGGTATCTGGCAATTGGAGGAGGGGATTGTGTAATTTGCTCGTGCGATGGTGCCGGAGTCGTCGCTGTGCTCGCACACCGTGCAAGGATGGAAAGCTCATGTTGGTATAGTGCCCGTTGGCATCGGAGCGAGCGTGGAAGGCGTGCATTTGAGACCCGTAACCGTGGAGGCATTTTGACGGGGGGGAGGAATTGAAATTGTCAATTGAAAAGACAAGGAGAGCGTAAATCAGTACAAAAAAGAGAGCAAACACCTTATCTAGTAACCGGTGAGACCAATGCTGAGAGATAATTCACTGTCGACAAACCGGAGAGAGAGAAAGAAATCGTGATACCGAAAAGGGAATAGTGGGTTACAAAAAGCGGTACGATTCTGCCAGCCATTGTTCCACTACAGGAAGGTGTGACTCTTTCCCTTGACTTATACCATCCCTTTTTTCTTCCTTGAAGAAACTTATACCTCTTGTAAAGATCATTAGAGCCTGGGTTGGTCTTTTGTTAGCTCTACCTGGCTTCAATCTTTCCCAATGCCTTCCCATCCAGCCGATATGCAGGCGGAGCATGTCTCAATCTCGCCCCTCCTCCAGCGACTTGCCTACCCCGCGACTCAGGTTCCAGTCGCAGCAGGTGAAATCGCTTCAGCTTTCGCATTGATCTTTGAAGATCGTCTGTCTGCTATTCAGATGGCTGCGCTTTTGACCCTCTTGCACTCTACTGGAAAGGACAAGGAAGCAGACGTTATTGCGAAATGTTCGCACCGCATGAGAGATGCCGCTTCCCAGGTCGAGAAGTCTACTCTGAAGCAGGCCCTCAAGGCTCGTGGAAAGAAGGAAGGTAACTACAGGGGGGGGTTGGTAAGTATATCTACGATCGACCTTGCAATTTGAGCGTTACGATGTCTAACATTGTCTCTTGAACTACCTAGTGCGACATCGTTGGCACCGGCGGAGATTCGCATTCTACCTTCAATGTTTCTACAACCGCCTCTATTATCGCTTCTCCACTTCTTATGACAGCCAAACATGGCAATCGCGCGCAGACCTCGTTTTCCGGATCCGCTGATGTTCTTAATGCGATCTCGCCCGTTCCACCAAAGATCTCAGCTGTGAATGCAAGCAACGTTGCACGGGTTTACGAAGCGACCAATTATGCGTTCCTGTTCGCCCCGAACTTCCACCCTGGTATGGGCTACGCGAATCCTGTGCGACGTGGACTTGGACTTCGCACAATCTTCAACCTCATGGGTCCATTGGCCAATCCCGTCGACTGGGCCCTGGAAGCGCGCATGGTTGGAGTGGCCTACCAAAGTCTCGGCCCTGTCTTTGCAGATGCTTTACGACAGGGGGGTGCGAAGAAGGCTCTTGTTGTCTGTGGTGAAGAAGACATGGATGAGATTAGCTGCGCGGGCAAGACTAACTGCTGGAAGCTCTCTGAGTATCCTAATCCCGCCTATCAGGGATCAGACGATGCGGACGAGACCAGCAGTGATGAAGAGGACACGCCCCGCACTCTGGTCAAGTTGGAAACATTCCAGCTCCACCCGTCTGACTTTGGTCTCCCGACTCATCCGCTCACGGACGTGTACGGAAGGAAGATGCCCAGAGACAATGCGGCCAAGCTTATGAGCATCCTGCGCAACGAGCTGCCCCGTGATGACCCCATTCTGGACTTTGTGATTATGAACGTCGCTGCCCTTCTGGTAGTTTCCGGTATCTGTGATGCTGATATCAGCAATATGGGCCCAGGCGACGATGGCCAGGTTATTACGGAGCGTGGCCCTGGCGGTGGACGCTGGAAAGAGGGTGTTCGTCGTGCTCGCTGGGCTATCGAGAACGGCGCCTCCCTCAAATGCCTGGAAGAGTTTATTGAAGTGACGAACGAACTCGAGCCACAACAGTAAGATGTTTAGATGAGACGAGAGTTTTTTTTTTTTTTTTTTTTTTTTTTTTTTTTTTTTTTTTTTTTTTTTTTTTTTTTTTTTTTTTTTCTTTTTTGGATATTTCTTGGTTATTTTCTTTTTGCATTATGTATTTCGGGGTTTTCATGGACAATGCATTTTCGGGGTTCAACAACACACAGCTTGTAATTTGTTTATGCATGGGGAAATAAAACGCGCATTGAGAAAAACGGAATTTGGTCAAGGGAAAGATATGCCATAGCATTTTGTCTACACCATTATTGCTAGTAGTTTTGGACTGAGTCCACGCCCACAACTCCAGTGAAGATATTTTTGGAGCCCTTGCCATTCTCAAGTACTAATATTTGCAATTTCCAAACTCCATAGCGCCATATAATGCACATCAATCGTAAGGGACAAAGATTTCTTCTCCAAAATTCGCTTCGCAGCCCGCTTCACCGGGCCTCGAACTGAACCATTCTATTCAACCACACTCATTAGCCTTTATTCTCTTCAGAAAACAAACCCTACCCAAATCAAAAGAGCAACACAAACCTTTTCGTCCGCTCCTTATACAACACTCGATGACCACACTCCTTGCACCGAATCTGATCGCCCCGCTTCAGCGACACGCGCGAATTACATTCTCCGCACAGGTAAGCGACAACAGGGCCGTCCAGGGAGCCAGAGAATCCATCGCCGAAGGCGTTCTGGCCGCCGAGGGAGGGGACTTGGTAAGCTTCGCGGGACATGGAATTTCGTTTTGTTTTATGCGGTTGAGCGGTTGATGGCAGTAGAGGGTGTTGTCGGTGCCGCTAGAGAAGGGAGATTTCGACTGAGGAATAGAGAAGGATAGGTGTCAGAGCTTTGCTTGAATTTTCGGAGTTTCTCGAAGGGGATGAGTCAGCGCTGTCAAGTTTAGATACGCTAGCCTCATTGGGATTAGTACAGATCTGCTTATATGGAAGTATGCCATCTATAAATTTCATTGCAAAGTAAAGAAACTGGTATCTCCGAACTCTAATACCGCTGTAAATGCAAACTCAAGTCTATCCATGCAAAAGTATTGCCAAAGAAATAATCATATATAACAAGACTGCAAGGATTAAGGCTGTCATTCATTACCAGCCACCTCCAATCTTGCCTGCTAACTCGACAACACGAGCCGTATCGTTATCTCCTGTCTCAGTCTTGCCAACATCGCTCTGTACTTCGCGATAGGTTGTTTGCACAAGCCTAGAGAGTGGGACTCCCATGATCCGGGACCAATACTGCATGGCATCGTGGACCTTTGATTCCTTCTCAGCTAGAGAAGGTGGCTTCTGAAGCTCTGCGACGCTCTCTGAGTCAGACTCGGCAGAGTAATATGCTTCATCTACACGAGCAAGCCATGCGCGTTGCTCATGTGGCGTCGGCTTGGATAGGCCATCAGGCGCATCGTCCGAAGGCATCGATTGCATATCAGAAGTGATCTGCTTAGCATCCTCGATCCGTATTTGTCCACCTCCATTGGTGCAGCCACCAGGACACGCCATGACTTCAACATAAGAATAGTCCGGGCCTGATCCGGCAGCGGCCCTATTCCGTGCCACGGGCTGTCGTCGGTTTCCGCCTGCAGAGCCGACGGTTTTTGCACCTGGGAGCCTGGACACACGTGCAGGCTTGAGTTTCCGGACAAGGTTTTGAATGTTGCGGAAACCGTAGAAACGAGCCGCTCTCATAATTGGTTGTTGTTCGGTGGACATGAGGGTGTACTCGACTACATCGACATTCCGTCCGCGCTGGGTGACGATCTCGCTTCCCGGATTCCGTGACTCGAATGTTTTAAGGACATGGTAAAGATAGCCTCCGGAGGTGCTGGAGGCAAGCGTCTGGTCTTTCGAAGCGTGCTTCGAGAAAAGCATGTCGTGCAAAGTTTTGTCGGGGAATGGCGGGGTGAGGGAATGCGGCAATGATTTTAACGGTAGGTTAGGAAGAGACAATCCCCGCGCAGACGCCAATGAAAGGATTTCGCGGGTGGTAATAACACAGTCGACGTCGCGTACCGGCTGAGAGTTGCTTCCATCGGGCCTCCAAGATACATCGGTAAGTTCTTCTCTGCTAGCTTCAAGCTTCTTGTCGAAGCATGGCATGACCGCCAGATGCCAAATTTGAGAAGGTGAAATCCCAAGGGATTTACCCAGAACCGTCTTGAAGAAAGTGCCCATCAAGGCCTGTGGCGACTTCATTCGAGACAAATGAGGGAGCACGAATGGGTGTGTCTTTTCGGCGTAACATACCCACCCAGGGCATGCTGAAGACAAAATCGGCCGCTTTGGGGGAGCATTGTTCGTACCATCGGTTGCAGTAGTGTTGTGAGCATTGAGCGATTCATCGACCTCGTCTGCGGTGAGAACCAGCACCGCCTCACGCATGTTGTTGGTATCCACGACCCATGTAAACCCATTCCCGTGTTTGCCACCTGACGCAAGCCCGTTAGGTCCCCTAAGAAGTTGATCAATCATGTAACCGGCCTCCTTCTCCGAAATGCCATATGTTGCGGCCAAACTCGCTCTGACCTGAGGGCTAACACTAGCCACGAATATCCGCCCTTCTTCAGGTACCGCATTGGTCGCTGATTTCACCGTACCATCCTGTTCGAATGCCAGTGGTATTTGAGGGTGCGCATCGAGGGTGTTGAGGACTTCCGTATGCGACTGCAACGAAACCAAGACTGCCTCAGCAGACGTGACACAACCGGAACATGCCAGACAGTCCGTCAGCGAGATCTCTGCCGGTGGAAGGTTCTCGGGCTGGACTTTGTCTTCTGTCGTCACTTCGTATGGGTCCTTTATACCAGATTAAGAATCAATGCCTGCTCATTGGACGATGCGATAAGGATGCGACGAAGGGTTTAACATACCTCTGAAATCTGTGGTGTTTTTTGTGGGAGAGTTTCAACGGGCTTAATACATGCGACTCCGGGTGAGATAAAGTCGTTTAAATCATCTGCAGAAAGAATTGCACTCATTGTGCTGAAATCTGCTTTTGGAGCAGTATGCTTAAGGAAGATAACGCCACTGCGTGATTGGTATAAAGCGTCAACTTCGTTATTTTCGAGGCAAGGTGAAAAAAAAAAAGATAGCCCTTGAAATGTAGTATAGAATCTCTCTTTCACTTATGTCCAATCTAAAAGAAGTCGAAAAGCAGAGAAAAGAAGTATGATAAGAAGATGGTTGATATATCGCTGCTTTGTCATAGTGGCGAGCAGAAAGATTCGTTCGTAATTACCGAAATTTACCAATACGATACGCCCGCAATCGGCCTGATAAGCTCACCGCCATTAGATAACGAGATATTTACTGCCTGGAATTCTGCCGGTGCCTTATTGACTCTCGACTGTGTGACTGCACTGACTGTTCATCTCATTTGCCATGGTTCCAAGTCTCTACTCATAGGTCTCGAAAGATACGGGTTGCGATCTACAAATGATGGAAGAGCATACGGGAACGGAGGATTCCCAAACTATTGTTTCTTCGGCAACATCGAGGACGACTGACACTTCTGCGCACGGCTTAAGACAGACGACACTTACTGCATTCTTCTCAAGACGATCATCCTCCCCCGATTTCTCTCGTATGGTTTCGAGCTCACCGAGTAGCTCCCATTTGAGAGCTTCGAATTCTTCATCCAAAATGTATTGCTCCACGTCCCAGCCAGGGGCGACACCACGGCATAATTGGGACGCAGGGCGGCAGCAAAGGAGAGAAGTCGCAGAGGAAACCGTAAAATTGCTCCCTGGCATACTAGAAGACCTTCCAATTAAACCCGATGGGTATAAATGGACACAATCTGAAACACGACGTCTGGATCCCATGTACTGTCCAAACCTAAATGGCCAGGTCCGAGTCGTGAACGGTGACACATTCGATACTGCAATTCGCTTTGATGAACTTTTTCCTCGCAACAATTCGATTAATACAAAACCTGTCTGTGTCCTTAACATGGCTAACGCGATATGGGCAGGAGGGGGCTTTCGCAATGGATCGTTGGCGCAGGAAGAAGAACTATGTTATCGGAGTAGCCTTATTTTCACTTTGAAGCTTCGGTTCTATCCTATGAAGGAACGCGAGACCATCTACTCACCTACCGTTGTGATAATCCGGAAGGGTATCAACGGAGACTATGAACTTCTGGATTTGAAGAAGCCGAAATCGCTCCCTGTTGTCAGCGTTGTTAGTATGGCTGCATTGTATGATCCACGGTTGTCATGGCCAGCAAGTGGCCCTCCCACATACAAGGACCCGGCAGATCGAGAGTTAATGAAGGAAAAGATGCGTGTAATTCTTTGTGTGGCCGCACGCAATAAGCATCGCAGGCTTGTTCTGGGTGCCTTAGGTTGCGGTGCCTTTAACAATCCCAGAGAAGAAGTTGCAAATTGCTGGGCGGAAGTATTGAGGGAGCAGGAATTCCAAGGATGGTGGGAAACCATTGCATTTGCGATTGTGCCACCTCCCCCAAGTTTGAGGGAGAGATCTAATCTAGAGATATTCGAGGAGGTGCTTGATGGACTTTCAATTTAATCCATCATGTTTGTCCATGTATTACTTTCTTAACGAGTATCTAATATTCTCAATAGATAGTGCAGTTAGGGCAGCATGATTCAGCGCTGTAGGTAGTATATACATTAGGGAGTCCCAGGATCGCTTTAGTTCTTGGTACGAGTGGAACGGCGTCTGCCAACAGATGCCGTTTCAGCTGCTTGTTTCGTATCTTCCTCATTCTCATCTTTGACTGGTTCCTTGCTCTGTTTTTTAGACCCCGACTTTCGAGCCTTGCTTGTGTCCTCAGGCTCGGAATCATTTTCGTCTTTCTTAACAGCTCCTCGCTTTCGCTTCGACTGAGTTTGCGCGCCATTGATTTCCTCGTCGCTAACATCCTTCGATACAATCCCGGTCTTCTTCTGCACGGACGGGACTACTGCGCTGGTTCGACCTCCAACAGTAAGAAAGACAATCTTCTCTCCGTTAGGGAGGACAGAGGGCTGGTTCTTCTTTCCTTTCCCCCATCGATGATTGAAGAGCCATTTCTCTGGGAACTTCTCTGAGTCTGCAAGCAATTCCACTGAAGTGTCACAAACATAATGGATCGAAGAGTTGAGTTCCTTGATTTGCTCATAGCCCAACGTGTTGCTGTACTGTTCTGGATGTATCTTGGCATGGTATAGTATCTCATCACTGTACGATCTGTCAATCTCTGCAGCAGGGTCCTTTGATTATAAACCTACCCCATCCAATTTCCTATCCCACTGATGTTGGCTTGGTCAAGCAGCAGGGCCTTAATAGGTACCTTTTTACTCCGCACCTTTTCGATCAACCAACTATCCGTCACTGCATCTTTGTCCGCAACTGGATCCGGTCCGTTCTCCTTCAGAGGACTGTATTTCCGAATCTCATCTGCCGGACAATCTACCAACCGTATCCGTGCAAGTCTGCGAAAGTCGACAAACGCAGCCTCTGTCTTGGGATCCTCGTCTGTTTCCAGCAGGAACTTCCAATATTTAGGCGGCCAATCCTTATCCTCCGGCTTGTCAGTCCGGTAATAGTATGTATCGGCATTTCTGATCTTTAGCCAGCCAGCCATGCCGAAGTGCATAACGACATGGGGCGGCGAAGACATGGTGATCCAAAAATACTTCCCCTGCTGACCGGCGCCTGTGATTTGCTTCCCCTGCACTGCTTTTTGAAACTCTGTGGCACTTGTGCCGACTTTCCCGTAAACAACATCATCATGCTGGGTTGTGACCTTTGAGAGGGTCTTTCCAACCAGATGTTGGCGAATGAAATGGACGATGCGCGAAACTTCGGCTAGCTCAGGCATGTTGCGCAGGAATTTGAACGATTAACCAGTAGATTTATGACCAGTGTATGCGCTCGTATCAATTGTAGAACTCTCCACAACAAATCAATGCGGTTGAATGAATTGAATCCTGATAAAGCTGGAGACACGCGATGGATATCCCTGTGCATAAAAACGTCATATATATGCTTAGTCATGTCACAATTTATGCACATGTATCCCACCGTCAATTCCAGCCGGAGTTTCCACGCCGTTGATCTTACGAGGAATTCATGAAAGCTATCTGAAGAAGGTTAATCTCTCTCGGGTACCTGCGTTAACACCTTCGGGCTTATTTTGTCGCTGCGATAAGCGACTAGACTGCACAGTTGGTTGCGTGTTCCATCCACTAAATTGGTACCGGACTTCATCGCATCCTGTTTAAACTGGCGTGAACCTGTCTCTGGGACAATTTAAACTTGGCGACGCATCTGGAAAAGCGGCAAATAGAGAATGTCTCGAGCAACGTCGACATCGATTCCTACACTGACTCCTCAGTTTTGCTTCGATGAGAGAGTGATGAGAGGTATGCTTGCCTGGTACAAGACGTCCCCGGACAGCTGGAGTCCAGGATCTTGACTAACCAATATATCGCTACGACTTCCAGATTTTTTACGGGTTTCGCGATCGACCATAGATGACTCCATCACCCAAAACCTCAATGCTCTGATCACCCCATCCCGGAAGGGCTTCGACCCCTCATCCACTGCCGTACGCCAAACAGACAAACTCGGGAAACCGATAGATCCGGAAGCCTGCCAGAGCTTTAGAGTCAATGTGCTATTCCCCTCGTGGCAGACTCGATCAGACGTGCTCAACTACTGCGCCGGTGTGGCTACGAGCCCTGATCCGGAAGACCCGGACCTGATTCTCCGCCAGATTGAATCCGCCAAAGACCGGGAACGGGTTGTTAATGAACGGCTAGATCCATACTCTGCACGGTTCTTCCCTCAAGAAGCACGGACAGAGTCTCTGGCCAATTTGGTTCGGAACCAACGTACTGTTGAGGAGATTATTCGGGCGCGAACATGGGCTATGGTCTCTGAGAGATGCAGCGGTTCTTCGTCGAATTGGGAAGAGGCCCTCAACGGTTGGCGTGAGAAACAGCAGCGGTAGCATGTCCTATCAGAAGTCACGCCTAATGTTGAGGTACGGCATCTCCCTTTCGTATAAATCTCCCTCCCATACCTACCCTTTGACAGCTTCTGGTGAGGTTGAAGGGTACAATGTACGTATATCATATGTAAAATAGTTGCATGGAAAGGCGTTATTCGTTGGATGCGACAGTACCTGAATATGGATCCCTGCTCTGTCGACTCAGTAGGTCTGTCTGTTGTCGGGTTTAAATTCTCTTATTTAGACGGTCCTCGTTACAGAGTGTCATTCAAAGAAACAGAAAAATAAATAACTAGGGAATTGTTGCAATGTTTAACTGTTTCTGTGGTAGTTCTAGGATTACTACTCCAAGTGCTCCTCGTCATCGGAGAAAGTCCCCTCCCGCCCGCATCCAGCTTCCACGCACAAGTCAACTTGGCCGGTCCTCGCAACACCACCAACCTCCCCGCGCAACAGCCACCATGCCGCAACAATTGAGCTCCAAGGATGCATCCTTGTTTCGCCAGGTGGTTCGCCACTATGAGACCAAACAGCACAAGAAGGGTGGGTTTGGGATTCTCGAACCCCGAGAGATCTCCCCTCCGGTCCTTTTACAGTGTGAATAGATTTGATGGCTGACGTCTCATCTTTAACTTGATAAACAGGTATCAAAGCAGCAGATCAGATCCTGCGGAAAAACCCGAACCATGGCGACACACTGGCTATGAAGGCATTGATCATCAGCAACCAAGGACAGCAAGAAGATGCCTTTGTGCTGGCCAAGGAAGCTCTGAAGAATGACATGAAATCACATGTCTGTTGGCATGTGTACGGTTTGCTCTACCGTGCCGACAAGAACTATGAGGAAGCGATTAAGGCGTATCGGTTTGCGTTGCGGATCGAGCCCGACTCCCAGCCCATTCAAAGAGACCTTGCTCTATTGCAGATGCAGATGCGCGATTTCAAGGGATACATTAACAGCAGAAGCGCCATGTTGCAAGCCCGCCCCGCATTCAGACAGAACTGGACCGCTTTGGCAATCGCACACCACCTCGCCGGAGATTTGGAAGAGGCCGAGAAGGTGTTGACGACGTACGAGGAGACGCTGAAGACGCCCCCGCCAGTTGCTGATATGGAACATTCGGAGGCTGTTTTGTATAAGAACACCATTCTTTCGGAGGCGGGTAAGGTCGACAAGGCCTTGGAGCACCTTGAGAAAGTTGGACACAGAGCCACGGACGTGCTGGCTGTCATGGAGATGAAGGCTGACTACCTCCTGCGACTCGACCGGAAAGAGGAGGCCGAAGCGGCCTATACTGATCTGTTGGAGCGGAACCCGGAAAATTCGATTTACTACGATGCATTGATCCGAGCCAAGGGTATTTCCGAGGACGATCACAAGGCGCTCAAGGCTGTTTACGACTCATGGGCGAACAAGTACCCCCGTGGTGATGCTGCTCGCAGAATCCCGCTGGATTTTCTTGAAGGGGAAGACTTCAAGCAGGCTGTTGATGCTTACTTGCAACGCATGCTGAAGAAGGGCGTGCCATCGTTGTTTGCCAACATCAAGACACTTTACGCGAATTCGGCCAAGCGTGACACGGTGCAGGAGCTGGTAGAGGGCTACACTTCTGGAAAGGTGCAGAACGGAGAAGCCAACGGTGATCAGAACGAGTTCCTTTCATCGACCTACTATTTCCTGGCTCAGCACTACAACTACTACCTCAGCCGTAACCTGTCCAAAGCGATGGAGAGCGTCGAGAAAGCCCTTGAGCTCGACCCCAAGGCCGTCGAGTATCAGATGACCAAAGCACGGATATGGAAGCACTATGGCAATGTTCAAAAGGCTGCGGAGGAGATGGAGAAGGCTAGGACCCTGGACGCAAAGGACCGCCACATCAACTCTAAGGCTGCCAAGTATCAACTTCGCAACAGTGAGAACAACAAGGCTCTTGATAACATGAGCAAGTTCACCCGAAATGAGACCGTTGGTGGTGCGTTGGGCGATCTTCACGAAATGCAGTGCGTCTGGTACCTGACTGAGGATGGTGAATCATATCTGCGACAGAGGAAGCTTGGACTTGCCCTCAAGCGTCTCCATGCCGTCTACCACATTTTCGATGTCTGGCAAGAAGATCAGTTCGATTTCCACGGCTTTTCTCTCCGCAAAGGTATGATCCGAGCGTACGTTGACATGATCCGTTGGGAGGACCGCCTGCGGGAGCACCCGTTCTACACTCGGGCGGCTCTTGCTGGCATCAAGGCCTACATTCAATTGCACGAGGACCCCGACTTGGTCCACGGACCCATGCCCGCTGGTACCAGCCGCGAGGACGATACAGGGGAGGATTCCGAGAGGAGAAAGGCTATTAAAAAGGCAAAGAAGGAGCAGCAGCGCCTGGAGAAGGTCGAGGCCGAGAAAAGGGAGGCGCGGAAGACGGCGACAGCGGTCAAGGGCCTCGACGGTGAAGTGAAAAAGGAAGACGCTGATCCTTTCGGAACCAAGCTTGTCCAGACTCCTGATCCACTCAATGAGGCTACCAAGATCCTCACTCCTATTCTGGAGCACAGTCCTCAAAATATTGAAGGTCAACTCCTCGGGTTCGAGGTTTACCTCAGACAGAGTAAATTAAACCCAACAGCATTCGTTCGTAAAACTTCAGCTAACCATTAACCCACAGACAAGCTCGCCCTTGCGCAGAAGTGCCTCTCCGCCGCACACACCCTCAACGCCTCTAACCCGACCGTCCACGTCCAAACCCTCCGCCTCCGCAAGGCCCTGGACAACCCCAGAGAACCCCTCACCCCCGAAGTCTCCGAATCCGTCAACGCAGAACTGGAGAAACTCCTCCCGAAATCTCAGAACCTTGATGAGTGGAATAAAAACTTTCTCTCTGTACACAAGGACAGCTTCTCGCACATTCAAGCAGCCCTCGCCTCCCGGCAACTGATCAACCCTGATTCCAAGGCACAGAACGAGAACGATCTCGCTACCGCCCTGGGCTCGAACGATGCCTCAATTGAAAGCGCGCTTGCCGGTCGTGAGCTGTTGAATGAGTGGCGGAGCGAGCAGGCTACGAAACAGGCTTATGCTGAGAAGGCCAAGGGGAAGTGGCCTGAGTCGTCTGTGTTCGATCTCGAATAAGGCGCCATTGTTTATTGGATGAGCAGCAGGTGGTTTATTGGTTATTTGATGGGGAGTTTCTTAGGGAGAGCGATGCCCTCCCATGGTTATACAGACATGGAAAGATTTTGAAAGAGATGGATGTAAGAGAGAAAATTCATTCATGAGATAAAACCTGAACGAAGACATCGACTTAGAAGACAGAAAAGGAGTTTTGTATTAATATCTGAGGCGAATGCTTCCATGCACATGGGGATAAAATGAAATTCTACTGTTGCTACTGCCTATATCATCGGACTTACAACTTTCTGGAACATAGTTTGGGAATGATGACAGCTCTTTGGTGGAATAACGAGAGCATGCTCGTGATTTTAAGGTTCGAAACCCAAAGCTGGGAGAAGGATACCTGGGAATTGCTAAGGCCTATAAACCCATGAGTATTGAGGCATCTAAGGGAGAAGAGCTTTCCAGATCACCAGGCATTGCCACAATCTAGGCGACTTCGTAGATCACAACATGACTTCGGAGTCTTCTCACATCACAGCAAACAATCGAGATATCCTAGATCCACCCAAACACCAAGAGTCCGAAACTCAACAATAATCTTAGGGCAGAACGGATACTTATCATGCACCTTCGCCGCCTCATCTGGTTCCTGATTCACGCACTCCATAAACTTGTCATATAACTCCTTATTCAACTCAGCTGTTGCCACCCATCGGTCTTCCGGGGCCCAACCATTCCTACTAGTGTGCAACGGGTTGGGGCAAGCGATTCAAGTCTTCGCTCCAAACAAATCCACTGCAGGATAATCCAATACAAAAGAATCCAGCAGGGTCCAAGTCTGAGGGAGTGGATAATGGCGAAACCCATAAGGCACGGAATCATGCATAAAAAGACTTTCATAGCCCGGAAACTCGAAACGTACAAGTTCCTTCTCCATTTCAATGGTTTGCTTGGTTATTTTGTAGCGGTCTGCCAGTTGAATTTCTGCTCAATTCGAGGACAGTACAATTCCCGGCATCTTCTCGATGGTGACATATTCCGTGTCTACCAGATTTCTGAAACTGGATCACAAGCATATACTTCTGGAACCCGAATCGAAGTACGTGCCCGCAACACATCAAGTATAAACAAGCAGCACAGTACATTTGTAAAAACGGATACGCAGATATACAGAAATTCGTCGTAGCCATCTCACACGCTATTCTCAGCGAGCAAGGACCTGAAATTGGAGATTGATCTTTGCGGCAACCTCGTTGCCGTCGTCCATTGTGAGGGCATATGCTCTGTTAAAGTTCCCCTCTAGATTCGCAATACACACACATCTCGTGTCATTGCCAATTAGGGAGGCAGCCTGACGGCAGAGGTTGTCGACATTGAACTTGACATGCATAGCGTTGCTCCAAGTGATGCTCCTCATTTAGCATCCATTTGGATCCAGTACATTTGAAGAGCTCGCCCTGGTCAGCCACTCTCAACAGGTGTACTCGTCAGTATCTATGGATCACAATAGCCGATTTGGGAAGGTAAGTAAGCGGACTAGCATTTTCTAAGACGGGCCCTTTCGCTTGTATCGTCAGGTGGGAGGCCCGTCTATGAACATCTCGAAAACTAGCGAACCTGACAGGTGGACAATTAGGTAGAGAAAGGTTAAACGATTGTTTCCATTTGTTATTCAGATGCAAACACCAATGGCATGTTCTAAGAAGACTGATAGTATAAAGTGAGACTCTTCGCAAATAAATACGCACCTGGTCTATCACGTGCTTTACCGCCCTCTATTAAGCGCTATGTGGTGTACAAAAAATGATGGGAGCACTTGAACCTCGATTAAAGTGCATCTATAGCTGTGCTAATATACAGGGTAGTGGGGGGTTAAAAAAAAAAAAAAAAAAAAAAAAACCATGCCAGAGTTGGGATAAAGTACATCGTCCAGTCACTCACAGCATAACTTTTACTCTTCATCAATGTTTCCAAGAATTGGCTTCCGCTTGAGCGTCTCCTCATCCTCACCGTATCCATACTGAACCCACAGCTTCTTCCAGATCGGAACAGGGGCAGGCCTCTCCTCGCCAAGGATGTACTCCGCACCCTCGTCAATACGCTGGGCACGAGCCTCTTCGTGTGGACAGAGAATGTAGCGTTGCATACGGGAAGCGATGCGAGGATCCAAAACAACATCGTCTAACCATTCGCGTTCGTTGTCGCCGTTGGGATTAACAGGATCGCGCTTGTGGACCGACTTGTGCCATTCTTGCTCCGCCTCCTCGAGAATGGTCTGCTGCTCATAGTTCCGGGGCGGGAGGTCTGTTGTCACATCATGGCCAGGGATGGACGTGGGGGTTGTGGTTATAAATTCAGAATCCGAGGGCATGATATTGTCGTGGTAGGGTCTGGTGTAGGAGGCAAGGACGGCACCGGCAACCTCGCGGCCAATATCTTCCGCGAGATGACGTCGGTTGAGATACCTATACACTCGGATTGGGGTTTTGAGGAAGCCCAGGAGGTGTGGGAAGGCGATTGGGACGGAGCCGTCAAGGGTTTCCGGGAGGGTGGATGGAAGAGCTCGGGATGGGTAATCGGCGGGAGCAATGTATGCTGGAGCCGGGCCTGCCGGTTTCTTTTTCTCCTTTTCTTTTTCCTTGTCATCTTTCTTCTCCTTGTTCTCGGGGGTTTGTTCGTCCTTCCTCTCGGGGGATTCTGCGGGTGTACTTTCTGGGGTAGTGGGCTCAGGTGCAACCTCTTCCACCGGCGCTGGCGGCAGAGGTGGAGGATCAAGCGGCCCCAGCCATCCTTCGTGAAGACCACGGACATATTCCTTCCATGTATGTCGTCCAATCACAATGTCACCTTTAGGACCAGGTTCCTCATAGATCCCCATACTCTGTCTTGCCGCAGCAATGACCTGTTCAGTGTTTGCCTCTTCCACCACACTGCTCGGTTCGCCAGCCTTCCGTCTCAACTTCCGAATACTCTCTGCTGTGCCTGCGCGAATGTCGCCTTCCCGTCGACCCTCAATAACCTGGTAGTCCAGCGCAGCCGCCACCAAGATCGGTTTCACGTATTCCCGGAAGTGATCCCGCGCAATTCGAAGACCGTCACCCGGGGGAGCAGCCAAGTAGATCGTCAACTTGCGCCGTGTCTGCTCGATGGGAATAGTCTCTTTGGAAATATGAGCCACCAAATCGCACCATTTTTGCTGAGAGCGTTTTTTCTCCCGGCGGTCATAAACAAGAGCGGCAGTGAAGGAACCCGTGATGGTAAGGAAAATCATCCAATTCCGAGAGGGCAGCTTGAAGCGGAAATTGGGCACTCCTAAAGCATAGTTCATTAGTCTTGTGTGTATGCACCAAAGCAAAGTCCGCCGGGCCATACCGAGCATCTTCATAGCCGGATTTGGTGTTTTAGAAGCCGATTTTGGCTGAGCCTGGCCGGCTGCTGGGGTGGAATTGGAGGAGTCCGCCATTGTCAGAAAACAAGAGCTCGGATGCGTGAAATTGAGCCTGAATAGAGAAGTGGAGGGCCATCATGATGGCTGGTGCGGTTATCGCCAAAATTCGGTGCTTTCGGGATATGGTTAATCCGTAGTATATCGGTTGGAGTATGCCTTTGGCCCTTTACTCCGAAAATGAAAGTACTCTATACAGAGTAGAATGAGAGACTAATTCTGAGCAGATGGTGGGTACTTTGATTAAATAATTATTCTAACGATATGACGGGAAATGAATTGTGTCAGATTCATGCCATACCCTGGTCCTTGCGCATAGTTTTACATAGTATGTTCGGTACTCCGTAACAGCAACGATTCGACAACATAGTGGTACAGAGTACAATAACCTAGATTACAATATGCCTGTCACAGCCTGGATACAGCATGATACTCGGCAAACTAATCTTCTCTGTTGAATCAAGCCAATCCATAGATAATGCTGCACAGAACTCCGTACAAGCGCTGCCATAGTGGCACTCGCCGCCCTCCGTAGCCCCCAGATTTCCCGTTCAGGAGACCAGCCCAGAGCCGCCTCCAGTTTCAGCTCGACGTTTGTCTCCTTTTCTCACCTCTTCTTTTCTTTATTATTGTTATCTTCTTTTCGTCTGATTCTGTATAGTTCTTTCGCTTCTTCAATATCATCTGTACAGTGAAGCAAAAGGCAACTCCGCTCTTTGTTTGCTTTTGCCCCTGGACATCGGGATTTCTGTCCCCCCTCGTCCTATAAACTTCTCCTGAGCCACCGCTCCTTTCGAAACAAAACCCTCTTTTCTCCCCTCATCCTCCTCCTTAACCCCCCCCCGTGTCTTTTCCCTCCATACTCTTCTCTCTCGGGGATTCCTTCGTTTGTTTCATTATCTCCTGATTATCTTGTCTTTCTCTCCCTCTTTTATTCTTTGGGGAGATTCTTAACGATGGATCCCAACGGCAACAGCAATCGTCTCCACCTGAATTTCGGGTATAACGAGCGTGCATTCAATCCGGCCGCGATGAACAACCGCGCCTATCCTACAACGCCTTCCGCTTTCCCCCAGCCGATTTATCAGAATCAGGGTCCGCAGGATTATATGGATACCCAAAATGGCGCGTATAGTGGACAAGGATACTTCATGACCAACCCGTACCCGCCGCAGACGCCGCAGTACGCCCAGGCACCTTATGGCCAGCAGTTGGCGTCTCCTCAGCAGCCTACCTACCAAAATCGTGTGCCGTACAATGACGGAACCAATGGTTTGATCCAGCAGTTTTCCAACCAGGATTTGAATTCGCCTCGTGGGGGGTTCTTTAATCGCAATGCTTCGCCGGGACAGCGGCCCCGGACGGCGGGATCTTCTGCTCCCGGCCAGCAGCAGCAGCAGCAGCAGCAGCAGCAGCCACACCTGGTTCCTCCCATGCCTCGCAGTCCCCGGACGCCCGCCGAGAATGAGGAACTCCAACGTGACCCTGAGCGAATTTCAGAGAATGTTCACAAGCGTGGAAAAGCTGCCAAGGAGCTGGTCAATGTGTTTTTCCATGAGAATATTGAACGTGCACGGGACCGTAACATGCGGTAAGCTATCGTTTTGGCAATTGTTTATATGCATTTCTGTTGACTGACACACCCGGTTGGTTAGTTCGGCGGACCTGGACAAACTCATTCGTGACCCCGCCGTGCCCAAGGAGAAGAAGTGTCAAGACACCGGAGCCGTCTCCATAAGGGAATCCAACTTCCTTCGATTCCTCCGGACCAAGGAAACCCCGAACAACTTCCAGACAATCAAGGTTATCGGAAAGGGTGCATTTGGTGAGGTCAAGCTGGTGCAACGGAAGACCGATGGCAAGATCTACGCTCTCAAGTCTCTCATCAAGACTGAGATGTTCAAGAAGGACCAATTGGCTCACGTCCGTGCGGAGCGTGACATTCTTGCCGACTCCAAGGACAACCCGTGGCTAGTTAAGCTGCACGCCTCGTTCCAAGACACCGCTTACCTTTACCTGCTGATGGAATTCTTGCCTGGTGGTGACTTGATGACTATGCTAATCAAGTATGAAATTTTCTCGGAGGACATTACGCGATTCTACATGGCAGAAGTGATAATGGCTATCGAGGCTGTTCACAAGCTTGGTTTCCTGCATCGGTGAGTAGACTTGAGCCCTGTAAGGGAATTTGTTGTGGAAATGAACTAACATGGATGAAATAGTGATATCAAGCCTGACAATATCCTCCTTGACCGTGGCGGTCACGTTAAGCTCACTGATTTCGGTCTTTCTACCGGTGGCAAGAAGACGCACGATAATTCGTACTACCAAAACCTTCTCAAGAACTCGACGTCCAAGGACAAGAATCGCAACTCGGGATACTTTAACGACGCAATCAACTTGACCGTGTCAAACCGTGGACAGATCAACACCTGGAGGAAGTCTCGCCGTGCCATGGCGTACTCGACCGTCGGAACACCAGATTACATTGCTCCCGAAATCTTCAACGGCCAAGGGTACACCTACCTGTGCGATTGGTGGTCGGTTGGTGCCATTATGTTCGAGTGTCTCGTTGGATGGCCACCATTCTGCGCTGAGGACACTACCGATACCTACCGTAAGATTGTGAACTGGCGGGAGTGTCTTTACTTCCCTGAAGAACTTACTCTTTCTCGTGAATCCGAGCATCTCATTCGAAGGTATGCGGAAATGAATTATCCTCAAAATATGCACAGTCGCTAATAAATGGTCAGTTTCCTGTGTGACCCTGAACACCGTGTTGGTAGCGAAGGTGGCCAATATGGTGGTGCCTCGCAGATCAAGAATCACCCCTTCTTCCGCGGAGTGGTCTGGGACCAACTTCGCAACATCCGCGCTCCGTTCGAGCCAAGACTCAGCTCGAACATCGATGTCTCGTACTTCCCCATTGACGAGATCCCACAGGAAGACACCAGTGCCATCCACCGTGCTCAGGCTCGCGCTATGCCGGATGAGCAAGAAGCGGAGATGAGTCTGCCGTTCATCGGATACACGTACAAAGCATTCAATGCCTTCCAGGGCAACTGAACATAAAGCCGATTTCCGAGTTTATAGACCGACCACGAACATTTGTCTTTTATTTTCGTTTTGATTCCCCGGGGAGCCTGAACGCAGGCAGTCGAAATTGGTTGATTGTTAATGTCATCGAGCATATAGCGCATTCTATTTCCTTGTGATAACGACCTGTGCATATTCCCATTCCTGATTTCGTCTTTTGCATATATGATGCCTACATCTGTTGTTTTCGCAAAAGACTACATACGAGTGCATTGTTGATTTGGACATCAAATATTTGTGGCATATCTAAGTACAGACCTTATGAATCGTACACAGCACTACATGAATGCAGTATAGTCATGTACCTGACTCCTTCCAATTTACCATATGAGAGCGTATGCTGGCTTCTACCATAAGGATGCCGTGTTGATTTAGCACGTTATTATAAACACAGGTCAATCTTGAGCAAATTCCAGTAAAGGTTCCCTAAACACCAAGCGCCGGTAATAAATAGCATGACTTTGTACAAGTCCTAGGTCCGTCCCATGGGTGCCAGACCAGGAACACCACTGAACCTCTCCTCACGCTCCGTCTTGAACATAATCTGGACCCAAAACTCCTTACTATCCTCATCAAACCAAGTCCAAAACCTCCCATCCCTGCGATCAATCTCCCTCGCCTGTAATTTAAACCCACAAGTTTGATACGGCTCCGCAGCCACAACCAAATACTGGAAGTTCTTATCCGGCGGGTCCTCAACCTTTTGCTCAAACGCAGACATAAACCTTACCCTCGGCGCAACCCCGGGCGTAATCTCCTGATACTGCAATTGAAACAACAGCCCAACCTGCCTCGTCAACGGGTCCTGCACCTTCGTAATCTTATACCCTGGCCGCCCAATCTTAATCGTCTGCTTCTTCACCTGCACTCCCATGGCCCCCGGTAACGACGAAGGGTCCTGATTCTTGCCCTCGCGCTGCTCACGCGCCGCGCGGCGGGCCAGGTTCGTTTGATGCTTGCGGCCCTGTGTGTGGGCAAGGTAGGAGCCATCATTCTGGTGGACTGTCAGGCACAAGCGGCACTCGAAACTGCCGACGTGGTTTTTGAAGAAGTAGGGATCTTTGTCAAGATCGATGGTTTCGAGGGCGAGTTTGCGGAGGCGTTCGCGACGGTCGGCGTTTGTGGCAGAGTGGGAGGCTACGCCTCCGCCGCCGAATTTGGAACCTGCTCGGTTCTGCTCTTATTAATATACTTTTTTTCATTTATAGGAAGATGCGGGGAAACTCACTTGGTAATCCATCTTGGTGGTTGATGGGAAACTGTTGATATGGCAAAGCTCAAACGAATGATCCAGCGAAGATCCGCGCGAGATTATATAAGCGAATATAGCGCTGCGATTGGATAGCCCCAGGATAACCAGCGAGTTTATTCCCATCAACTTGATATCGCTGATTATATAGACCATAAATCTATGGACAATGGACTTCGCTATAAACCAGCGTCGGTCATATGATGGTAACCTGTGTACGATCCGCTACGTGGGTAAAGTCGAAGGGACCAGCGGCGATTGGCTAGGCGTGGAATGGGATAACCCAGCACGGGGAAAGCATTCTGGGGAGCATAATGGAGTGAGATATTTTACATGTATTTCCCCAACCCCTGGATTGTGATATATGGATGATGCTAACAAACACTAGGCAGGAATAAAGAAGCCACGCCGGGGTCATTTGTACGTCCATCTCGGCCGGCGGATAAGCCTAGGGGATTCCTCGAGGCGTTGAGGGAGAAATACGCATCTGAGTTTGTGGATCAGGGGCTTGTGCAACAGAAACGAGGTGGCGGTGGTTCCCTCCACGACCCGATCAAGTTCAGCAGCAAGGTCGTCGAAGAAGTTGGCTTTGACAAGATCAGGAAGAAACTTGCCGAGTTGCAGGAGTTGAAGATTGTCTTGCTAGATGGGTTGCGTATTGCTGGCGTCCAAGCAGAGGATGGGGTTCAGAAAATAGGAGGGCTGGAAATGAGAGGGGAGGCATGCCGCGAGATTGAAGAGACTTGTCCAAAGATTGTCCAGTTGGATCTTAGTCGGTGCTTGGTCAGCCGATGGAGGGATATTAAGGATATATGTGCGCGGCTTGAGCGGCTGAGGGTGTTGAAGTTGAAGTAAGTTGCATTCCCCGAATGGATCCTCATGGTATACTGACTTGGGCAGTGGGAATCGATTTGGGGTGGTTGAGGAGAGTATTAGATTTGAGGAAATTGCGGAGCTACATCTGAATGAGACTCTTCTCTCCTGGGAAGAGGTATGTTGATGAATGTGATATACTCCATGATAACCTGCTAACATTCTCAGTTATCGAGATTGTCGTATCAATTCCCAGCACTGACGTCGCTGTCAGTCTCCATGAATCAGATTAATGAGGTCTCAACACCAATTTCAAAGACCATCACCACATTAATATTGGAGCACAATAAAATCGACTCGTTGTCGTCTGTGCGAGAGCTTACAGCTCTTCCCAAGCTGGAACGTCTTTCGTTACGTGGAAACTGCATCGAAAATGTCAACCGCCCCGGTGCGGCCGAAGACCCTTTTCTATTCTCCTCCAGCCTCGAATTCGTCGATCTATCATACAACAAGGTCAGCTCGTGGTCATTCATTAATGCACTCTCCTTTGTCTTCCCCGGACTACAATCCCTCCGCATATCCGGGAACCCCCTATACAACCAACCTGTGGCATCAACAATCATCACGAACATGCCCGAGAGGCCCATGACCGTCGACGAAGCATATATGCTTACTCTCGCACGGCTGCCTTCCATTCAAATACTCAACTACGGTAGCATCACCCCGCAGGATCGGACTAATGGTGAGCTATATTACCTCTCCCTCATCGGCAAGGAACTTTCTGCATTCCCAGAAGATGTAGAGAAGGGTATTATATCAAAACATCCTCGATACCGGGGTCTCTGCGAGAAACACGGCGAGCCCATCATCAGACGGGCAGAGAAATCAGGTCCTGCAGTAGACCCCCGATCTGTCGCGGCGCGATTAGTCAAAATGGCATTCCGTCTATGCTCACAAGAAGAAACCATCAAGACCAAAGAAATTCCACGCTCCTTCGATACATACCAAGTCAAAGCTCTCGTCTCCCGTCTCTTCGGTCTGACACCGTTTGAATTCCGTTTAACCTGGGAGACCGATGAACTGGATCCGGTAAGCAAAGTAAATAGGGAAGAAGAGGAGTGGGATAGTGAAGATGAGGGGATGGATAACGGGGATGCTGCTGCGGATGAGACAAAGTTTGTTAAGAGAGAGGTTGAGTTGGTGGATTCTACAAGAGATATTGGGTTTTGGTTGCAGGATGTTGATGAGGCGAGGATTAGGGTAGATTTTTTGAGTTGATGAGATGTGATATTATGAGTTACGATATAATAGACTTGTAGTTCTGAGAATAGTGAACATAAAATATACACATAGAGAACTTTATGAACCGAGGATGACCCGTAACGCGCTATACCCGATCAGGACAATTACGTCCATCGCTCGCAGATATCGCATCGCTATCAATCACGATCCTATCACTGCGATATATTCAAACAACCATGGCGGAGTACTGGAAATCAGCAGTAGGTGTTACTTCCCTTCTTATCTATCATCATACCCTTCTAACAACAACAGCCCAAATTTTGGTGCAAACAGTGCAAGATCTATATCCGCGACACCTCATTCGAGAAATCCCAACACGAAGCCAGCGCAAAACATCAATCCAGCCTAAAACGCTTCCTCCGCGACATTCACCGCGACAACGAGCGCGAACAACGTGATTCACAAAGAGCAAAGAATGAAGTCGAACGATTAAAACAAACCGTCTCCGGCAATGCGCCGCCTGGGAAACGGACCACCGCGCCTCCTCCACCGCCACCAACGCACGAACGACCGGGTTCGTTGGATGAAAGGAAGAAGCAGATGGCGCAGTTGGTGGAAATGGGCGTTGCGATTCCGGAAGAGTATAGACGGGATATGGCGCTGGCGGGTGATTGGCAGACTACTTCTGTAAAGGTGATTCGGGATGATAATGAGAAAGGGAACCCGGCGTCGAAATCAATCGGGGTGCGCAAGCGCAAGGCTGAGGGAGATGCAGATGAGGAAGAAGAACAGGAGGAACCTGAACAATTTATTAGTAAGGGATGGGGATCGACGATGCGGAAATATCCCGGTGGTCAGGGTGAGAATGAAGATTTGGATGCGCTTCTTGCGTCTACAAAGAATGTTAAGAAGGTTAGGCCTTCCGAGGAGGATGAGGGGCCAGAGGAGGGTGTGAAGAAGGAAGCAGCTGATGATGCCCTGACAAAGAGTGAGGGTGATGAGGCTGCTGCTGTTGCGGCGGCGCCGGAGTCTGAGCAAGCTCCTATCAAACAAGAAGAGCCGTCTGATACCACTTCGACTGCTACACCGGTCAAGAATGAGACTGAAGAGCCAAAACCGACCGGAGGAGTGGTATTTAAGAAGCGCAAACCGAAGGCCATGCGGAAGTAATAGTTGTAATGGATTCGTCTCACCAGCATCAATCGTGAATATCTATACCAGTACCAGGGTGGTACGACCACGGAAACCGTGATGGGTCTCTATCTTCAGTTCATGACTGATCGAGTGTACGGGGCAAGCCTAAGCTCAGGCATGTACACGACTCATGACTACTTCTAATTCCTATCGAGGCACTGGGGTATTTTCAGAGCTCTATGATTTAACTGAAGTAAACAGCGTACTGGTGCTACTCATGAGCAATGCTTAGGAACTTATACTTAGAAGATCAATAGGCAGTGTCAGGTGTATGGTCTTTTATATAGTTGAGATGTGCTGTGACAGAAGAGATATATTGTTGTCCACAGTACGGAGTATACAATTGATAGAATTTAATATTTTCAGAAGAGAAAAGTAAATTTCAATTGAAGTGCCTTTTTCAATGAAAAATAAATTAATATTCGAATGGTGATGCTATATAAAAGTGTTGTGTTTAGTATCACTGTCTACTGCTATTCACAGCGTTTGGTGGTTGCCACTGTCTACTTTTTTTTTTTTTTGTCCGGACTTCATCTTGTTCTCTCCCGGAGCTCAGCCAGTCCAGCTCGCGCAACAACTTCGGGGGTGCATCACTCTTTTTTCTCCTCCTCTCTATTGTTTCCCTCACTCAAATGAGCAGAGTATCCTCTTCGGTCCCGAGTTCGCGAGATTTGGTGGAATAAAATTTATTCGGCTCGCTTTTCTCTTTTTCGCTTAATCGACGAGTACAAAGTCTCCCTGGTAAGTAAACGAGCTGCGACCTGACCTGTTTTGATCTTTCCTCCTCGTACGCCATTATATCTGCTCTCTCGGACGCTACGGTCATCTGCTTCTCGAAGGATACTATTGTCATTGCATTGTCCGGTCCTGCACGAGGGAAGATATTTGCATTGGGGATGTATGTTATGTCGCGAATTGCTTCGACCTCCGCCATGCGGAATTGGACATCCCCGGTCGCGTTCAGCTCCCCATTTGGATACCACGGCGTGTATGCGGTTTGCATACGGACTTACACGGAGGAGGCCTTGTGTATAGTCAGGTTGAGAAGGGTTGGAGAGCTCTTCTGCTGGGTTGGCAGTTTCTGCGCCTGCAGTCGTCTCCGGCTACGATGCGGTCCCCATCTCCGATCTGCAAATATTCCACGAAAGAGCAATCTATCATTTCTTTCTCTTCTCTTCTCTTCTCTTCTTGACAATGGAAATGGCCGACGGTTACTGTGTCTGAGTGCTGGCGTTGGCGTACTCAATCTTGGGTTAGGATTTTAAGACTAACGATTCTGGTTTTCTTAGAAAAAAAAAAAAAAATTCGACAACCGCTCTTCCGATCAGTGACCTCTGCACCACGCGAATACCTCGAGGAAATCCACTCGGCTCCCTAGATTTTGCCTGGTATAAAATAATTGTTGGATATGACGGAGCCTACAGAATCTGCCAACACACCTGGCGAGTCGGCCCAGCAGCAGTCAACCGAGTCGCAGAATGCCCCAGCTGCAGAGACAACGAGCGCACCGGCCGCTACAGAATCGTCCTTTCCAGCGCTACCGACGATAGATTCGACTTTACCAACTATTGATAAGACCATGCCACCCATGGATTCGTCATTACCTGCGATCGATTCATCCTTACCGGCCTTCGATTCATCGGTACCAGCGCTACCATCGATCGATACTTCCTTGCCTCCGCTGGATACGACACTACCTGCTGAGGTCAATCTACATACGGACCACTCATTCTTCTCTGAGCTGAGACACGACGATACTCAAGGTGCACAGTCGGGGGCTTCTACATCTGCGCCTGGAGAGTCCAACGGTGACCTGCAGCAGGCAGATTCGTCTCATGAATCGACCCCTGCAAACCAAACAAATCAGTCGGCCTCTAATGGCACCTACCAATACCCTCAGCAGCCAGTTGAGCAGACACAGCAGCAACTACCGCAGTATCAAGCCCCACAACCGCAGCCGCAAGGCCAGGAGCAACAACCGCAACAACCGCAAGTACAGCAAAGCCAACAGCCGCAACCACAGCAACAATATCAACAGTACCAACAATATCAACCACAACAACAGACGCAGCCGCAGTATCAACCGCAGCAACAACCACAGCAGTATCAACAAGCTCCTCAGCAACAATATCAACCACAGCAGCAGTACCAGCAACCGCAACAACCGCAGCAATATCAGCCGCAATATCAACAGCAAGGCAGCTTACAGGGAGGCCAACCCATGAATACCGGTACTATGGATCACAATGGTGTCCAAGGGCAGCAGGCGCATGTCCCCCAAGCCCCTATTGGGTCCCCCATGCCGTCAAACTCGCCTCCAATGTCTTCAGCAGGCCAATATATGGCAGGTTACCCGACGAATGTGTCGCAAATGAACAATGCTCAAATGCGCTATCAGCTCCCAGGAGACCCTAGTAAAATGATGTCGAGCAGACACAAGAAGGAGGTCAAGCGCAGAACGAAGACCGGTTGTCTGACATGTCGCAAGCGAAGAATCAAGGTATGTGATGAATAGAAATCTTGAACATATGCAAAACCCTAGATATGACGGTCGTTTGGACAAGCGATGCGGGCGCGGGGATCTCTCGCTTGTTCTGCAAATCGCCCACCGCAAACCCCGCTATTATTGTCGCCCGCGCTGGCCGAGTCGCTTGTTTTTCCTTACTTTTTAATTACTCACCCTTTTGTCTTTTTCTTTTCTTTTCTTTTTTCTTTTCTCTGGGTCGGTTGTTTATTGTCGCATCTTTTCTAATTGCATTCCTTTTTTTTTTTCATCTTCTAGTGTGACGAAGGGCATCCTGTTTGTCGAAACTGCGTCAAGAGCAAACGTGACTGTTTAGGTTACGACCCTGTCTTCAGACCGCAATCTTCGACGCCATCTGCGATTCAACCGGCTCCCAATCCGTCTCCTTCGCTGGTTGTCACCCCACAGGAACCCCCCACCAGCGCCTCCTACCCTGCGGCGCCTCCTGGCTACGTACCTGCAGTCTCTCAACCTTTCGCACCATCCCTACCGTCCGAGTCATCTGCGCCGTCATCTACAGAACAAAGTCAATTCAATTACAGCGCGGCCATTGACCCATCGTTGGAGCAGAATAACAATCCTGGGAACATGGCCAGCGTGCAGCATGCGACAAATGTCACTGATGGGTTCTATCAAGCCCCCATCAATGCGAGCGGTATGTTATCTTCTCTTAGTTTCCCAAGTATCCTGCGTTTACTGACATTCGCAAAGTGAAACAAGTTCAGATTAGCGACCTACTTGCGCTTAGAGGCATCCCTCCCCCACCCCCTCATCCCGTCACTGCTCTCCCGCCTGGTCGCCTCGAAGAAATCCAAGCTGTTTTTCTCGCGACATATGCTCCCGCCATTGATCGATTTTTCGAGACCCCGTGGTTCCAACAGAAAGCCCTACCTCATGTTATGGCGAATGCGCAACTTATGGCAGAATATTCCGCATTGATCGACGCGTTCAATGACCGAAATCTCGAGGATCCCAATGTTGTCGCTCGATTGGAGAGCTTTGAGGCATCGGTCATTTGGAGCACCATAACCTTGTGCCGCCACGTAATGAACATGTCGAACGGAAACCATGGGCAAGACTTTGATCTGCTGGCGGCTTCGAAGCGTCTCGATGTCATGGAGGCTTTACTTACCGGCGATCACGTGGAGACCAACCCATTGGAGCAGTTCCCCGTTCGCCAACCCGCAGCCGACCCGCCAGCGCTTACAGTTCAAATCACACAGCGGTCATTGGATTTTTGGAGTTGCCTCGGCCACTTCTTGACTCTCCACGATAACGAAGCCAGTTCCGCCAAGGAGATCGATGACACATTGGCCCGTTGCCGGACCCTTTTGGACACAACTGAAAACCGTGACGTGATTTACTCGATTGCTATTGCCCGCCACCTTGGACAACGGTGGGCAGATTTCCCGCACAGTCTTCCCCAGCCGATCACGACCAACGAGAAAGATGCGGGAGCGAAACTTTTTGTGGCGCAAAAGTTCCTAGAACAGCAAGCCAACGGAAGCGGTACCACCCAGGTCTCGAAACGGATATGCGGGATGGCTGTTCGGTCGTGGTTTGTGTCTCGGGAGTAGGTGTGCACATAATTTTCCCTTTTCTTTCTTGCTTCTTTTTTCTTCTTGCTGCATATTGTACCAAAAGAAAAGCGTTTTGCATGTTTGCATTTTTTCTGTTTTCTGCCTGTCAATTGGGGTGGCGGAGCCTGACGCTTGACGCATATACGTCTTTTCTATTTTTCTTATGAATCTTCTGGGAGGAGGCTTTTAGAGGGTTATGGAGTTTGATTTTCCTTTTTTGTCTGCAACTGGGACATATATGACAGACTTCCGGCGTTCCGGGTGCATTTCTCTTCCTCCCATTGTCATATCCGTGTATAGGTATATCTGGGTCTTCTTGTCTTGCTTGGATAGGAGGCTGTCTGGATTTAGACAAATCGCTTATATGGCTTATAACATCTACAATGAAATGACCATTTAGTTAAATCTACAATGAAAGAAGGGGTGGCCGCAGAGATGACTGCAGGTCCGCATAGTAGTTCTTGTGAGCATCATGTACGTGTATGTGATATGATTCTGCGGGATAAAAGAAGGAAGAGATGAGGAGCAGGAAAAACCCGTATATGAGCAAATAGAGCCCTTACTAATTGATTCCGTCCGTGATGTGAAATGTTATAATAGTGTGGTAAAGTAGATCGAGGTTGATATATGTATGACCTAAGTATGTAACTTATGTCAAACGTGAGATATAACTATATCTAACACTAACTTTTCTATTTAACGCCAAATATTCCGCACATATTCAAACAACAACATATACTATTTAAAGTGATTTATATACATCACTGTTGCTGGTACGTATATTTCGACTATACAGATGCGAAGTATATACCGTCTCTATACAAGAGGTTAGATTCTAACAGACAAAGCTATTCTAATGCACATGTACATGGGAATAAAATAGATTACTGTACTACGAATAGCTCCTGCTATTCACAGGCTTGTATCTACTTCTGCCTATTGGCATCTACCGAGAGAGCGGAACAACCATCTGCAAGGCACAATTGGTACCTCGCACAATACCACTTTACCAGTAGGCCGGAACCAAACATCTAATAGCGATGAGCTGATAGGTATGCAGCTCATTATTCCTATTATTTGAATTTACTGTTACCTTGACACGGCAGAGCAAGCCGACATCGAGCAGGGGGCATCGAGCTCAGAGGTCATTGGCTGGGGAATTCAGTTCATGAAAGGGGGGTGGACGGCATGACATATATGAGAAATTTACTGTATATGGTGCATATACACAAAATTGCTAAACAGTTTGTTTCTGGTATGTTGCGGTAAGGTAGGTTGTTGTGGTAATCCCGAAAAGGTAAGGCCGTGGTATTATGTCATGTGACCGATCTTCATTGACATTTTTGGGGGGGAAAGAAAGCTAAGGAAAGAGAGCATCGTGAAACGGCAACACTAAATTTAATAATTATTGTTCCGACTACCTATACTACCGTACCAGCATAAAAGTTGTAGTCTATGGACATGGATGCTTGACAGCTGCTGACTCAGATCTGACAAAGAGCCATAACTGCCGACGCGAGACAAGCATCGAGCATTCCAATCACATCTCTCCTCCACAGCCTCGATCCCAGCTCACAGTGGCGCAAGATCTACGGAATAGATATTCAATGGTCAGACCGTGGAGTTTGCTTTGGCTTGAGCTGGACGAGCAGACAGGATGTAAGTGCCCTCTTGCCTGGATGTACTATGTAGGGTACAGTTACAGCGCAGGACGTCTGAAATAGAATAGTACGTTTACTGTCAATTGACGGGTTGACTGCTCGTACGGCAAATCGGAACTGACAAGCATGAGCAGGACATGAAACCATTACTAAATTATTCGAAGCGCTTGTTTATGTACAGTGGGTCGTGGTGAACTTGGTACTGTGTACCGGTTCGCATAACAATGCTCCATTCCTGGCTCCATTCCAAGTCGCAAAGATGCATCGACAAATGTCAGTCGGGGCTGAGTGGTATTCCACGTCTATACCTCTTTGGTCAATGTTTTGAATGTCGCCACGTTACGAGCAGTACATAATTGTGCTGGAGAATGAACGCCTCCGCCCCCCTGGTATCCGGTTGCCATATCATTTATTCCCAACGAAACCTCTTTTGCCTTCGGCTTCGACTCCCTTTCTCTTTCCTTGTCGTGTAAAGGTAATAGGTAGGTAGTCGGCACTTGGCAGGTCTTTTGCTCTTTCTTTCGCTCTTTCGTCTTTCTTTCCCCTTGTCGTTCAGTCGTTCCTTAATATTGTCGACCAGTCATTCATTCATTCATTCCATTTTCTTTCCTTTTCTCGACTAATCGACCGGACCAAGTGAATCGACACCATGGCGCCGACTAGATACACGCAGGGACACCAACCGACCGAAGGTCCAGCTGGAGACGGGCATGCACTGGCTGCAAGAGATTCTGACAGCGTAGTGCAGGGCTACGGCGCCAGCTCCTACGATGATGGCCACTACCAGTCATCCAGCTACAATGCTGGGGATAATGGGCAGAAGGGGGCAGATGATGGTTCCTACACTGCCAAGACGGGTAGCACCACACGACAGGACTCGTCACTAGATACTGCTGAGCAGGCCAGCAAGGGAAGCCAACAGGCTTCAGGATACCAGCAGGATCAACAGAACACTGGCTCTCAAAGCTACGGCTCTCAATACAGTGGATCCCAGTACGGCAGCTCGCGGGACACCGGTTCTCAGAACACTGGCACTTACAGCGGCTCTCAGTATAGCGGATCTCAGAACACCAACTCGCAGAACAGCGGGTCGCAAAACACTGGCTCCCAGAGCAGTGGTTCTCAGAGCGGGTCCGATAGCGGATCTCAAAGCGGATGGCAAAGCGGCTCCCACAATACTGGCTCGTACCAGCAGAATTCCAACGCCCAGAATGCCGGTCAGGAAAAAAGCCAACAAGGGGCGTCCAACAGTGGCTATTCCCAGTCAGGACAGGCCATTTCGGCGCAGCAACAAGCGCACTCTGACACGGCCAACACCAATAGTCAACAGCAAAGCTCCTGGTCGCAGCAGAACGCAAAGGACTCCCAGTCTCAGCCAAGCCAGCAAAACCCGTCGAACGCCAACCATGAACAGTCTTCCTACAACAACAACCAAGCTGTGAAATCGAGCCACGAGCAACAAGACAACGCCGCGGACTTGTCGGACGAGCACCGGACAGAAAAGACACAAAAAAACGAGGCCCACAACCTATCCAATCACCATGCTACCCCGGCTGAAACCGTGCAAACAGCTCAGCAACCCACACCTACGCTTCCCACGGTGACCACGGTGACCATGCACCCAACATCGAGCTTCACAACCTCGGCGGCTACAACGGCGAGCACCCATACTACTTTGCCTAGCACCACGTCCACATCCTCGGCCACATCATCGCCGACACCTGCCGCAGCGAAAGACTCGGACGATGGGTCATATCACAAAGCAACTGGGGCACTTGCTGGTCTTCTTGGTGTTGCACTTGTCGCAGGATTTGTGATCTTCTGGATCGCCAGGAGAAAGCGACAGCAGAAGCGCGAAGCGCATCGATCTAAGATGGTCCATGATGCCTTCCGCCAATCCCATGTCGACAGCAAGCAGCGTAGTGCGCCATTCTGCACCAACTTCCTCGGGACCGCTGTTGGGACTGGTGTGAGCGCGCTGAGCGCGGTTCGCCGCTCCCTCGCCATGCCAAAGCTTAACCATCACCAGCAATCGGAGAAGGAACCCATGCCGGAGCAGGGCCATATCCACCATCCCTGCGACGATGGTATCTACGTCCGTGGCGTTGATGTAGAAGACAGATCCGGTCAAGACTCTGATCGGAATGACTCTATTGCGGCAGAGAAAGCGGCTAACAACGAGTCTACTCCGACCCTCGTTGTGTCGCCAAGCGAAAGCATGGCACGAGATCAAACCCCAACCGTTCGGCGCGTGGTATCTGGTCGGCCTCAGATGGAAAGCTCCGAATCAATTGAACCGAAGTCCGGACTCTCGCACAACACTCAGGAGAGCGAGGCGGAGCCAAGTGAAAAAGCCCAGGAAACCAGCCCTAGTACCCCCTCTTCGCCCCCGTCCAATGGAGTTGCAGACAATGCAGCCCAAGAAAATGGACACTCTCCGCGCACTGGCAATGGGCAGAACCTGTTGGCAATTACCAGTATGGTACCGTCTTCCTCCAGCATCTATCGGGTTGAGATTGCGTTCCAACCGAAGAAGGTCGGACAACTGGATCTCCGTGAAGGCCAATCTATTATCATCCGTCAATCTTTTGACGATGGATGGGTAAGTTACTTCCCCTTAATTCTCGCCACATTGACATTAACCAACAATATCTGCAGGTTCTCTGTATCCCGGCAATTGGTGGCCAAGAAGGTCTGGCACCTCGTGCCTGTCTGTCACCATGGCCCATCAAGAATGCCTCGTCGACCAGCTCTTCTAATTACAATCTGAGCGATGGGTCACAGACACCAGAGTCTCCCAGCATACCCGGGACACCACGGTTCTACTCGCACTTCTACTCTGCTAGGAGTGTAACTCAATGATTGTACTGGCGCTCTCTTTTCTTTTCTTTTTTTCTTCGTGTTCCCATTTCGTTCTTTTCTATGGCAGGCTTTCTGGATGCTTTGTTGCGCTTTGAAAGTGTTGGCGCATTAATGTATCTTGGTTACCCTTATTTAGTCGGATACCTTTCTTCGCCCGTTTATCTTGCTTTTGTTATTCCTGTGACAGGAGGTTCTGGCTTATCTTGTAATGTAATGACTAAAATGAGGATTTTGCATTCATTGTATTCAATAGACCCATTTATTGATTATCTATATATTGTAGAGCTCCTAAACAGCACCATAATATGAAATTAAAATAGACATCTAACCGTATGCCCAGCACCCTCACCCAACTGGTAATTAAAAAAAAAAAAAAAAAAAAAAAAAAAAAAAAAAAAAAAAAAAGCAATTGAGCATAAATCAGCGCAACAGAACCAATAGCCACATTCTTTCTTATACTCACTCCAATTTCCAATTGAGCAGCTCCACCCTTAACCCCAATAGTGCCTTTCGCTTCCTAAATACAACAACAGAAACAAGAGACACTCAACCTTTCTCTGAGCTTTCAATTACCACTCCAATATCTCATCCTAGTGCGCGGAAATAAAGTCTGACCTGAAAAGTCTAGGTAAACAAGTCCTCGAGAAAGATGTGTCAACCATGACGGCTCTGCACAATGGTACTTTAAAATACGATGTTTCTTGGCGTATCGCGATTGGTTTTCAATTGAATAATAGCTGGGACGAGAATTTGGATGAGGATGATTTAATTCTGATCTGTCAGGATGCCATTGAGAGTTTTGGGGCTATTTGTACAGAGGAGGTGTGGTGCTTAACGGGGTCTAAGCTGGAGACTGGGGGCTATGTTGGTGAATTGCATGTTATTGCTGCTTTTGTATCGTGTGGTTGCTTGGGCCATTTCATATGTATCTAGTAGGCCAGAAGTAAGATCATGAGTAGTGTAGAAGCTCTCTTACAAGATGACTATGGTAGATAGAAATAGTCCGGAGTTCAGTAATCATGCATTGACTCATAACTCCATAAACTAATTAAAACCATGCTAAATAGACCGGTAAATGCCACCTAAAACCATATCATTCTATGCACACAAGAGAAGGAAAGAAAACGAAATCACTCATAAGCCACCTTTAACGACCCCAGCTCCTTACCCCCATAGTTCAACTTAGCACTTCCCCCCTTAACCCCAGTAGTAGTAGCACCCTTCATCCCCTTCCAATATTTCTGATCCTTAGTGGATCCATCCCCCTTAGTCCCATAATTTTCAACTGCATACAAACAAAACCCATTTTATGCTTTATCATCCTCCTGCACCTCCTTCTTCCCCTCTTCAGTCAAACCCATGTTGACCTTAATCACCCTCGAAACCCCATGGTTAAGATTATCTGGCTTCACGAAATTCGACGTATCCTGGACATTCTCCTGCGCAAAGGCTTTGTCCTCATTCTTTAGTCCGGTTTTCATCTGCGTGCACCAGGGCTGCGCGCGGGCGCGGAAATTTGCTGCCTCGAGGAAGAGCTCGTCTGAGTTACCGGGATTCTGGGGGAGGTCTTTGGCACAGGTAGTGGAGAGTTTGACGGAGGAGGTGGAGGTGAAATCGTTGCCGCGCTTGGTGTTTTTGCTCAATTCTTCCGGTGATATGTCCTGCGTGACGACGGGGGCCGGGGGTGGGTTTGAGAGCACGCCAAATCGGTATGGTAGAGGACTTGGGGCTGCTGGTGCGGTGAGTGCTGAGGGGACGAGGGTAAAGGCGGCGAGAAGAATTATGGGTGTGGCAACCTTTGTGGAGGAAGTTGTTAGGAAGGATTCTGAAGTAATGAAGTTGTAGAGTGGTTGGTTTGGTTTGAATTCTCGATTGGAGAGCAGATTGAATTGTGTTGTCGTTGATGATGAGTGCAATCAGACGGTGCAGACGTCACTTATCTATTAAATCCCAACTCAATTGTATAGTTTAATCAACCCTACGTTAGTTATTTTTACTCTGTAAAGCAGTCTGCCTTCATTTGTTCATCGGCCTTATGGCGGAACGGGCCGTGGCGGTGCACTTTGGCGTTCGGCACTAGGGCTCAAGGCTGACCGGACCCTTTTCTGCACCTGTACTTCATTCGAATGGCTTGATGCGAGTGTTAGTTTAGCAGTGGTCCGTGTAATGGGACGCCTTTTTTTTTCTTTTTTTTTTTTTTTTTGCGGTTCATCTCGGGTACCTCACATGCAGTGTTTCAACTATCACCTTTGTTCAACCTTGCAATATCATGGCGCTGCCAGCTTATCCTGTCGCCAGAGACTCGTAGAAAGGATATAAAGCTCTGCCTCGCCATGGCACGTGCCGGCGATGGCCGGCAGTCGTTGATTGCTTGGTATGGAGATATCAGTCTCTGAGTTCTGAAAGTAAATGATTGTTCCTGGGATTATATTCTCGTACAGTATTACTGAGCTCACAATAATCATTGTCGTTATCATTTTTAGGACCTCAAAGGAAATGATAGAAGAATATCATTGTATTTGTATCGAACACCAACTAAAATCACAAATTTAAAGTCATCAAGATCAACAGACCGAGAAACCGCCCTGAATCCAAATACTCATCACCTCCTCACAACCTTCATCTTCATATTCATCCGCCAGTCCTCATAATAACCTTCATCCTCATCCTCATCTCCATGCCCATTCTCAGACTCAGACCCATTCTCAGACCCAGCCCCCCCATTAAAGGCCAACAAATTCGGACTCCCTGAAGTCCTCGCAACAACATCCTTGGTCCCCAACTCCTTCAACCGCTTAGTTGCCGCACTCGCATCATCTAGGTTCTCAAGGCTCATTATGTAAATCGCCAACCCGACAGCATGAGGTGTCGCCATCGATGTACCAGAGATGATGTTAGTAGCCGTGCTATTGCCGATCCAGGCGGAGAGAATGTCGACTCCGGGAGCAAAGATGTCAACTACGGAGCCGTAGTTGGAAAATGAGGCGCGGGAGTTGTTGCGGTCGATGGCGGCTACTGTGAAGGCGTTTTCGGCGGAGGCGGGGCTGGTGAAGCGGGCGTCCATCTATATGCACGATTAGTATACGCTGAGTAGTCTGGATAGGGGACGGGCGTACATTTTCGTTACCGGCCGCTACGACGGAAAGAACGCCGGAGTCGTATGCGTTTTCGACAGCTCGGTTGAAAGCGAATGAGTATCCGCCACCTGTGCGATTAGCTTACTTCCACCTAAAGCGTAAGTGAGAACTCACCCAAACTCATGTTGATAGCCGCTTTGCCAGTCCGCCTCTTCGTAGCGATATCATTAGCAGCCCAGTTGAACCCATCCAGAATATCCGAAGTCCGGCCAGACTCTCCCGCAAACACCTTCACAGACAGCAAGTTTGCCTTTTTAGCAACCCCAAACGTAGCACCACCAATGGTCCCCGCAACATGTGTTCCATGACCAACAGTATCGACATGATCAGAGTTGTTGACAGCGTTGTAGGCAAGACTGGCGCGGCCGCCAAATTCTCGGTGGTCGACATTAATGCCCGTGTCCACTACATAGCCGAAGGTGCCTTCGCCGCCTCTGTCGTCGTAGATGTAGCTTGTGCTTGGTTCGCCGCGGTGAGAGATACTGCCCAGGCCCCAGGGAGCGTTGTCCTGGGAGAGGATGGCGTCGAGGTACCAGATCTGGTCTTGTTCGACGTGCTCTACCTGCTGATTATTAGCAGTGATATTTATCTGCATGGATGATGGAAACAAACATCTTCATTTTTCCGGATTTCCTCGATGGTAACATCATCAAAGGACCCATAGTACGCAGAAAAGCGGGTGAACTTGTAGTTTTTCTCAATGCCAATAGGAATAAATGCATCGTCTGCGTGACCACGTCGCTCGAGATGGCGTTTGTGCAGGTCCATGGCCCATGTAGTGTGAGCATCAACCTTTGCCTTATCCAAGCCGTGCTTGAAGGTAACGATGTATCTTCCGGGAATATTTTCTGGAGATTGATGCGTCCCTTGTATCATGGGATGCCCGAGAGCAGCTGGGAGCAATGCTCCGAAGAGCACGAGGGCGCGTTTGAAAAGATGCATGATGTGACTGGCTTAGGGCAAAAGTTGAATGACAGGATTGTAGGGTATGTAAAGTAAGATCCGTCAATCGCAGCATATTTATAAGTTTCGAATCCTTGCCTGTAATTGAGTCTCTGACATGTTAATCTCACTTGATGAGCAAATGCATTGGTGCACGAAGGTGTACCCTCGAAGCCAAGAAGGTGACACAGCAGCTCCAGGGCTGTCCTCTGTGCTCCGCCTATAAGGTTATCTATGCATACAATGGATTTGCAGCTGACTACACTCTCAGCACCATCCCCGCAATCGGGAAATATGCGCATGTGCTCATATCTTGCCGCGAGGGCTTAAGGAAGTTCCTGCATTCGAGCATGCTATTTCGAAACTAGAAATGCCCGAATCCTGGATATATCTCGTGGTAGGCGACACGCAAGCTCGTCCCTATTATTACGTCTGCTGGCTGTTAGTGTCGTGCAAGTGAGTTTTCGAAATGTCGAAGGCCGACTAAACCCGTAGACCTTGAACTATTTGGCTCTGCTGTAACATCCTGCTGGGGTTTTTCAATGACAGCATTGCCAACGTAATAAAAAACGTCTGCCAACGGCTGCACGCCTTTTCTGGAACCTTGACAAGCTAAGACGCCCGGAAGATTAATTCCCATGGGTCTTTGAAGCTTGTGATAAGGTGGTTGCACCTTGTAAATCTCCGCAATACTGCGAATATCATATGCCAATCAGCATGTGAAAGCCATTCCAAATTCTCTCTTTATTCTAGTATATATCAAGAGGCCATGACAGTCAAGGGAAAAATGAGCGGCGACTCCGAGTAAGAATATGGCGGCAACAATGTCGTGCATACTAAAGATTTTCTCTCCGTATTAAAGTTGTAGAGCAAGCTGGCTAGCAGCAATTACCCCCTTGAACGTGAATTATTCGACATTTGTTATTCCAGCAGCCTCTTAGCCTTGGCATCAGGGTTCATGTCGGGGCGGCTGTGCCAAAGAAGCAACATTACAGACGACTCGGAACCGACACCAGGTACATAGTGACATGTTTGCTTTGTAGCTTGAAGTACCAACTAGGCAGGATCAAATCTCAGCAGAAAGGATAATCATCGAATCGGCGGATGCAGTAGTGACAGGGGAGCACGAAATGTTGCATCCTGGGCAAGTAACCCGAGACTGGTCAACCTTGCTTCGGGGTACTTTGTGGGTATACCCAAGTCACTGCCCCAATGCTGATGACTGGGGTGGTGGTGATGTGGTAAGAGAGGAGGGAGAGGAGAGGGGAGGTCGCACGAAGACACGTGATTTCGTGAGACGGTCAAGTATGCAATGTACCCAATGGATGCGATGGGGTAATTGAATTCACATATCAACTGATATCGGTTTTACACTTTGTCAAATTGATTTTAGAAATATCGCATAGTATACATGCTATATGACAATTCACTCTGTAATGACCGGACTAGTCCGAGAGTTCTAGGACTTCATTTAAGATATCAAGGTCACTCCTCGACCACATCAACCCAAGCCCATTCACAATTTCTTGCCAGCATGCTTCTTTTCCGCCTCACTATTCGAGAACGGAAACCCCGTCGTCCTCTTATCAGCCCCAGTCTTCCGACTAATCTTCCCATGACTGCTCGCAAAAAGAAGACACCAAAGCCCAATACTAGCCGCAATCGTATACCCAAGCACCCCCACCGCAAATGCGGCCTGTCCGTTAAAAGTATACCAAGTGTACGCATAGAACGCACAAACTCCCTGGAAGATTGTAGACGTCATCAGCGTAGGGACGGCGTATGGTGCTTTAGGGTCTGAATCATCGGTTGTCACGGCTTCGGTGACTGTGGTCGATAGGGGGATGGAGCCGGTTAGCATAATGACTAGGGCGGCGAGGGTGAGGAGGGAAAAGCCGAGGGTGCGGGCGAAGTAGATTTCTAGTGCTGGGGTGTGTTAGCTAGCTAGCCTGGCAGATCTTGGGATTCCGTTTGACTCACGAGTTGGAGTTCGGGTTTCATCCAGCAATGCGGTCATGATTATCTGCGGTGCTACTGTTAGAGCTGCGCTCTGGACGGAGAGCCATCCTGCTGTTGTGTAGGTATAGGCGTAAAAAACCTATGGTCATCAGCTCTGTTTCGCGATGGTAGGAGTCTTGTAGGAAGACAAGACGTACATCCATTATGCTGTAATTATATGTTGGTAAAGAAAAAAAAACAAAAAATTAAATCGTTGCGGGTAATTTCAATGGTTCATCGAGGAACGCAGTCCATTTAATATAGTGGAATCCAGCAAGTTGGAGCAATTCCAGCTCTGGAGACGTTGATATGATAACATCGCCGGAATCCTCGATGACATCATTGCTGTTTGTCTTGTTTGCATAAATTTCTTAAAATAAGCACCGGGATGAACCATGACTATGCTGTATTTTGTAGACTATGTAGATTGGGATATCCATATGAAAAGTAGTTCTGGATTGAATGCAGGATAAATATCAACCAATGAACCATAACATCATTTAATTCTCCGAACCTCATACAAACTCCGAATCAAACCATCACCATCATCCATTAATATTATTTGCGCGCAGATATCTGGTAAAGCTGTAATCTTCATGGTCGGGGCCCTTTTGCGATTCCGAAAGCGCGCTCCTGTATCGCTGCGAGAGTTCATCATCATCTCCAGCGCGGGGGGCATCCACACCTTCATCATCCGTGTCATCATCATCCTCCATTTCAGCTTTTGCTTCCTCTTCCTCCTCAGCTTCACTGACCGTCTCCGGCTCAGTGACCAGGGGCTGTCGTTGCCCGCTCGAACCAGAAACATTCATATCTTTCATCAACTTGCCCAATTCTTCCTCCCGCCGGTTTGCCTGCGCTTCCTCACGCTCCTTCTTCTTGCGTTCTAACTCCGGCTTGTAGTCGCGCTCGAACTCCTGGCGTTTCTCTTCCACAGCTTTAAAGAAATCCTCAACACCATCGCCCGTCATGGAGCTCACGCCTACGACACTCAGATGCTGGTAGAACTCTTCCAGCATCAGACTCATGCTGTTGAGCAGTGACCCCATGTATCCACTCCCAGCGCCAAATCCTCCAGCACTGCCTTCTGTTCCGAATGCGCCTGTCTCCTCTTCCTCTCGTAGAGCCTGCTGGAAGGCGTCAAAGTCGGTCATCCACTCCTTTGCGAATTCCGCATCTTGCACGTCTGTTTTGTTGAATACGAGGATCATCGGCAACTTGGTTTTGTACAGGATACTGCAGGCGTAGAGCATGTTGCTCATGAATGTACTTGTAGAGCTAGTCCGGGGGGTATCAATGACATAGGCGATGACAGTCGGGAACGACGATGCCATGGTTTCAAGGAAAATTGTACCCGATGCACTCCACACGAACACCTCAATCTGCCCCGGTGTATCGACAAGGACATGCTCGATAGGTTTTGCGGATGGGGTGCTGGGGTTCGGAGCGGCGCGTTTCTCGAGAAGGGATATGATCTGGTCAACCTTTGTTGCGAAAAGATTCAAAGATGTCAAAATTCCACCGTTGGGCCCGAGGTTATATTGCTTCATGACTTCTTTGTAGTTGATCGAATCGCGAATGTCGATGTTGCTCTCGAATGGGACGGAGTAAACAGCGGGGTCTAGGTTCATCACGTAGGGGATGTTCTTCTGAGAATGAAGGTAGGAGTTTATCCGCTGCATGAAAGTCGTCTTCCCCGAGCCTATATTAGAGAGACCATATCAGTACCAGCTTAGAGACCGGTTCGAGAGAAGCCATGATTTACCTGCCATGCCGACGCAGACGACAGACACAGGGGTTGTTGCCATGATGAAAAGCTAATTAGTGTTCTTTTCGAAGTTCTGTACAGTGAGATAACAAATATAAAGAAAGTTGAATGAGATCACTCGTTCTTGTGAAGCTGTCTCGAAAATTTTCTGGATGAAATTCTTTTGTCGCGGGGATCGCGGTGGAGTTCTGGACCGGCCAGACGTCATCCCACTCCGCCGCCTGTATTTTTACTCTCCTTTCTATTAGCACTTGCAATCAAAACAAGAAAATGGCATTGGAGGATTTCGAAAAAGCTCTAGCCGAAGAAGGTCGCGAAAGACAAGAGAAGAACAACAGAGAGAAACGTCACCGCGACCGCGACCGCAGCAGAGACCGCAGCTCCAGGCACCATCGACACCGTCACCATCGCCATTCCTCGCGATCCAGAGAACGGGGATCAGAAAGAAGAGACCGCGAGTCCCGAAACAGCGATGAGAATGGCCATCGCCATAAGCGTTCGCGCAATTCCACGGATCACGGCGACGATCGTGACCGCTCCCACAAACGCCGACACCGACACGAAAGCAGAGACGATGGATCAGCAGAGACACGGGAGCCAGTGAAAGAGGTGGTCCAGGAAGAACCAAGTCGTCCGAAACGGGATGACTGGATGCAGGCTCCATCTGCCCTCGACTTGGACTACGTTAACCGACGCGACTCGACGCGCTTACAGGAATCGCAGCCGAAGATGCTCCAGGCGGATTTCGACCTGAAGATTCACAACCGGGAGATCAATAACCATTTACATGATTTGAAGGATGGAAAGTCTCTTGAAGAGGTCGAGGAGGAACCGGCACAACATGAAGTGGATTACGAATTCGGCGATGCTGGCTCTCAATGGAGAATGACGAGACTCAAGGCGGTCTATCGAGAGGCGGAGGAGACTGGGAAATCGGTGGAGGAAATCGCCTTCAATCGTTTTGGAGATGTGCGCTCATTTGATGACGCGCGGGAAGAAGAAGCAGAATTGGATCGTCGCGAGACCTATGGCGAAGGCTATGTGGGCAAAGTGAAGCCGTCCGGGGAGCTCTTTCAGGAGCGGAAGCTCGATAATGATGTCCGGAGAGAACCTCACGAACACGTCCGATCACCAGGACGAGAACACGAAGCCCAAGGCCAGGGCAAGCCGATCGAAACTGAACCGCCTGCAAACACCACACAACATCTTGATCTAACCGCCCTCAACAGACTCAAAGCCCAAATGATGAAAGCCAAACTCAAGGGCTCTTCCGATGTGGCTGAGCTTGAAGAACGTTACAACACAGCTGCAGCCTCGATGGCTAACCGCAAGGAATCCGACGTAGTGGTGCTTGGTGTGATGGAGAATCGGATGTTGGCCGGAAAGAGGAACGAAGTCAAGCAGGTTGAAACCAAAAGAGGCCGGGAACGAGGCAATGTGGAGGAGAACGAGGACATGAGCATCGAAGATATGGTTCAGGAGGAACGGCGAAGCCGGGGTCAGTTTGGGGGTGATGGACGCCGGTTGGCAGACAGGATTGCAAAGGATTCCAAATTCGAGGTGAGTCTACCTCCTTGTTGCCAGAGTAATGCGTGATCACTAACTAGAGTTCAGAATGATCTTGAGTATATGGATGATAACGCCTCCAAGTTGGCTCGACGCGTGCATCGATCCGAAATCAATATCAAGAACACTGCCATCAACGATTTCCAGAAGATGAACCGGATCCTAGACAACTGTCCCCTCTGCCATCACGAGGACACGAATACACCACCGATTGCACCTGTGGTATCGCTGGCCACGCGGGTATTCTTGACACTCCCAACAGAGCCCGAACTGAATGAAGGATGTGTCACCATTGTTCCTATACAACATCGCACCAACCTCATGGAATGCGACGATGATGAATGGGAGGAAATTCGCAACTTCATGAAGAGCTTGACCCGCATGTATCACGAACAAGGCCGCGACGTGATCTTCTACGAGAATGCCGCCCAGCCTCAACGCCGGAAACATGCAGCAATGGAAGCTGTGCCACTCCCATACAATCTGGGAGAGACATCCCCAGCGTTCTTCAAAGAAGCAATTCTCTCCTCGGACTCGGAATGGTCCCAACATCAGAAGCTTATCGACACTCTCGCCAAGTCGAGACAGGGCTTGGGACGGTCAGCCTTCCGTCGTTCCCTCGTGAAAGAAATGCCCTACTTCCATGTCTGGTTTGAGTTAGATGGTGGGTTGGGCCACGTTGTCGAGGATGAAAGCAAGTGGCCCAAGGGCGATCTGTTCGCCCGAGAGATTATTGGAGGCATGTTGGATATAGGCCCAGAGATTATCAAGCGACAGGGGCGGTGGCAACGGGGCGGTGATAGACGAGTCGAACCATTCAGACGACGATGGAGGAAATTCGATTGGACTCGGGTATTGGTTGAGGGATAATATAGCATCTCCTTCCTATTTTGGCGTTGGAATTAGCGCTAATTAAAGTCACTATCAAAATACTCTATTTCGGTGCTCAATATTATCATGGTAGTAGTATTTAATTCCTTTCAAGCTAGACATAAAACTCTACTCGGAACAGAGCAATTGTTGAAAATCTCCCAGCTTGATATTCTGCAGCTGTTCCATAGAGACATCCGGAGACATGTAGAAGCTGATATTTGTCAGTAATTGATGTTCCTAAAGATACCAGGCATAACCACGTAAATTCAAGGTCGTATTCAGCGGAGGTCTCGCTTCATACATCTTAGAATCTACCCCAGCTGAGTCTGAACGAGAAAGCTCACTGGCAGATTTACAAGTACAGTTGGCCTTCTCTCAGCTGCAAATATTACTATGAGAGAAGCACTTTCCGATCCTATAAAATTCCATCTAAAGCTATGTACTACTAGCAAACAACTCGATTCTCCTCAACCTCAAGCTCGATTGAGACTATTCGGATCATCGAAAGAGACCTGTATGTATATACATAGTACGTTTATAGTGCCATGAGGGCAAGTTTAAAGATGCACTATAGTAATCGCCATTGTCCTCTTTAATCACATTAATCTCCACCGTGATGCCATCTTCCGGCTTAATCCTCTTCAAGCCATTCAATGCGACATGAGGCGCTGCAGCTAGGCTGGTCTGTGTTAGTATTTGAACGATGAAACAGCGGCTGTACTGGTAGACATACATAGCAGATTGGATAGGTGATTCATTAATAACCCACTCGATTACCCTCGATACAAAAGCACCCGTTTCAGCAAACTTGTTCGCCACTCTGGTGGATGAATTGTCAGAAGTATATGGATATGGCTGAGAGCAGGACATGGCGACTGTACGTTTCTCCAATTATCAGTGTACTGAGAAGCGGTTTCATCATTGTTGTAGCGGATGGCCAGTTCCAATCACCGCATCCGCAAGGTACCAAAGATGCACAACAGACTGGTAGGTTGTCAGAGGCGTGCACAGTATGCATATATACATAGGTATGGAGGATCTCACTTGCATAGTATATTGAACGAGTGGAACATGTGGATCTGAGTTCAACGGAATTGCCACAGAAACGCTCATTGCCACAAATGTGTCTAACACTCTGGCTATTGATTTGATGTGGTATACAGCAGACGGTGGCAGGAGGGAGTATTACATACTCTGGATATCTTCGAGATAATGATAAAAGAATACTCCGTTTGCATAGCGGATGGTGAGTTTCTAGACGTGCAGTGGTTAATAGATATCAGTAGGCAGAGGGAATCCACATAACATGCATACGGCATCTTGTTGATTTGTATGGAGGATGTCCGGGGAATTGAATTGAGAGGCTGGAGAAGCATCTCTCCCTATATACCTTGAGAGCGTCTCACCTCAGTTAAGGATTTCACATAATACTATGAGATATTGGAATCTGTTATGCATTTGGCGCAGGTGCAAGTATAAACAGACAGCCCTGGGACAAGGGCAAACAATTGCCGCTTTGGGAAATACTGATGCCATCCGATGCGGGGAATGCCATGTGGGGCACATTTTCTAATCTCTTGTCATTCCTTCGCCTTTCGCTTCTTCATTCCCTTTCTTCATCTTTCATTCTGGTCGTATTCTCGGAGACTAACACTGATGTGCTTGTAATCGGTTTATCCCCAGCATTTTGTCACTATCGTTTTGAGTGGTCTCAACGCCCGGCTGGGACTCGTTCTCGGTCACAACTCTCCGTTTTCTATCGTCCGAGATAACAACCAGAGTAAGACCTGCATTTCTCCTCTATCAATCCCTTCATATCTTCTTGCTCACAATTTGAACAGACAACACACACCCAAAAAACTCTACAATGGCCGACTCCAGACCCAAGATACTCCTCCTTGGAAAGATTGTACAGTACGATTATCATTCATTGCCCACCGGAGTTGCTCCGACTGACATTCGCAGCGCGCATTCTACCTGGCAATCCCTAAGCGAACTTGGTGAATTGGTCGCACCCACCGCCACTAGCCGTGAGGAGTTTCTCAAGGAATGTCGCGATGGCAGGCTGGACGGAGTAGTTGCTGCGTACCGCACATTCGACTCCGTGGCTATCACAGGAATGATCGATGAGGAGGTGGTGAATGCACTCCCTAACTCTCTCAAGTACCTTGCGCATTGCGGCGCAGGATATGACCAAGTCGACGTTCACGCCTGCAGTGCCCGGAACCCGCCAATCCGGGTCTCCAACACTCCCACTGCTGTCGACGATGCTACAGCCGATGTGAACATGTTCCTGATTATTGGTGCACTGCGCAACTTCAACTATGGTATGGCCGCATTGCGTGAGGGTAAATGGCGTGGACAGCCGCAACCCATCCTCGGACATGACCCTCAAGGCAAGGTCCTGGGTATTCTAGGAATGGGTGGCATTGGGCGCAACTTGAAAAAGAAGGCAGAGGCGTTTGGGATGAAGGTTGTCTATCACAACCGTCGGCAGTTGAGTGAGGAATTGTCGGAAGGAGCACAATATGTGACTTTTGATAAACTACTGTCGATTAGTGACGTGATCAGCTTGAACTTGCCTTTGAATGTGAGTGCGCTCACTATCCCGCTTAATATGATTCAAATCTAACTGGTTAGAAAAACACTCACCATATCATCAGCAAATCTGAATTCGCCAAGATGAAGGACGGCGTTGTCATTGTCAACACGGCCAGAGGCGCCGTCATTGATGAAGCAGCTCTCGTCGAAGCTCTCGACAACGACAAGGTCTACTCTGCCGGTCTCGACGTCTTCGAGGAGGAGCCTAAGATCCATCCTGGTCTCGTTCGTAACCCCAGGGTACTTCTTGTTCCTCACATGGGTACCTGGACCGTAGAGGTGAGCTCCCTTTCTTCTGACCGATATGACAGAAGGCTGACGTGCTTCAGACTCAAACCGCTATGGAGGAGTGGGCTATTGGGAATGTGCGAGATGCACTCCAAACTGGAAAGTTGAAGAGCCCTGTTCCTGAGCAGGCTGACCTGTGAGATCGCTGGTGAAGTTTCTTACGCACATAGAACGGGGGTATACCCCTGCTCGGTACATAGACTCAGATCATTTGCAAAATGTGATAGACTTCTATACTACTCCATATTATATTATGAGTCCCTTCTATATCTTCGCTTCTTACTTCTACTGGTCTTTCTATCACTCACCGCCTTCCTTATTCGAACTCATATCCAACGCCGCTTCAAGGCCAACATCATCCGCAAAAGCAGCACCCGCTATCAATAAACGCCTTTCCCACACGATGGACGCCCCAAATAGTCAATTGCAACCTGTAACCCTTCCAGCCTTTGCAGATGATGTAACGTCTCTTGCAGCCCAGCAGGATCTGGGTGTAGGAGATCCCACGGACGCGACGCATACATTCCAACCTCTCCAGTCGGACATTGAGAATCTACAACACCAGCACCAGCAGCACCTCCAGAATGCAAATGCTACAGATACACCGATCTTCCTGCGCCCTCCGCGACCAGGAGAACCTGCTAATAATCTCCTGATAATGAGTATTCCGCATGATACTCCGACACAGCAATACCAACAGATTGAAGATAATGATACTGATAGCGGTCGATTGGACCATCTTAATTCCCAGCTGCGGCAGCAGAATGAATCCAACTTTACACTCACAGCCGACATGGCGATTAAGCAGTCAGATCGTCGGAAGGACATAAAATGCATTCTTGATCCGCCTGATCTGGATTCGTGGAGAGAGAAGCTGTTCAATGTAGACGAGACGATCACTCTGAGTGAGGAACAGTATGTTTCTTAGCACCCAATCAATAGACCAAGTCTGATTGCTTACGTTCAATTTGATGCGTAGATTCCTGACTTACTTCCCCCACATTGACAACGTCTACTCCCACCGTTCCACACAACGCTACAAGCGCAAACCCTTTGTTTCGCATTACTGGGACTGTCGACTAAAGGGCCGTCCATCGGGAACACCCAAATCCAACGATCCGAACAAGAAGAAACGGAAACGTACTGCTCGCCAGCGGGATCTCTGTGACGTCAAAATCAAAATCACAGAGTACTTCCCTGGCTTTGTCCCGGAATTAACACCAAGTGACCCAGATCCTTCGTTTCCATCGGAGTTGTTACCGGGTGTACATGCCTTGTTCGATCAGGGTGCGAATGGTGATGGCGATGATAGGGAGTCGCAGCCGTTTGGCATCCTCACGCCGAATCCTTTACCACTGGATGGTCATGCTGGTATTGCTGGGGAGCGGTTCTTTACGATTCAACGGGTGAACGGTAACGGTGCGAATGGGAAGCATGATGGTGTTGGAGGGGGACATCGACATACGCTGGAAGAGAGCGACCGGGTGAAGAAGAATAGTGTCCAGCGACGGGCTATGAATCAGGCGACGGAAAGGAAGAGGTCGAGTCCGGTACGTATTGCTCTTCTCTTTTTGCGTGTCAGTTATGTTGCCCCGGAAGTAGACTTCGACACTGCTTGTAGATTCGTACATTCCCGGTCAATTGCACGAACAGCACAAGCAAAAGCACAATTCATTATTCAATTGTTATCTCTGAATTGAAAGTTTATATGGTGTATCCAAGCGGAGTGGAACGCCTTGACGTCACTGCATGGCGCTTTTCTTTCTCCCCGCTTCCCTCCGATCTGACCATCGGACCACTATGTTCCTCAGACACATTTGCTTTTCCCTTTTTCACAGAACATTGTTGAACCTCCCTCGACGCGTCTCATTATTCCTCTACTACCGCGTGTATATCCACTGGCCCTAACCCATAAACCGAGGCGAAAGATCAAAACCATGCCTCCCCAACACCAGACGAGCCAAAAGACATACCATACCGAAGCCACTGGTACTGCTGCGTTGACGGCGCTCAATCACAAGAATGAATGCGATTTAAAGTTATTTGGTAGCTGCTTTTGGTGAGCCTCACATCTTAATCAATTGGCGAATCGCGGAACTTCTGCTAACAGCGAGGTCGACTGTAGTCCATTCGTGCAGCGGGTATGGATCGCATTGGAGTTGAAAGGCATCCCGTACCAATATATCGAGATCGATCCGTATAAGAAACCGCAGTCGTTACTCGAGGTGAATCCGCGGGGGTTGGTTCCTGCGTTGCGACACGGCGATTGGGGGTGTTATGAGAGTACGGTGTTGATGGAATATGTATGGCTTGCACCTGTAATCTCGAAGTGGATGCCCGTTTAACGCGATACAGCTCGAGGACTTGAATGCCGGCACCCCACTTATGCCGAAAGACGATGTGAAGCTGCGTGCTCAAAGCCGGTTGTGGGCGGACCATGTGAGTTTCCTCTTCACTCAGTTATTATGGAATAATTCTGACAGCCCAGATCAATCGCCATATCGTCCCCAATTTCTACCGCGTTCTTCAAGAACAAGACCAAGAGAAACAGATTGCGAACGCACAGGAATTGCGTGAAGGTTTCACCAAGCTGATCGATGCCGCTCATCCCCAAGGCCCATTTTTCTTGGGTTCCCGTATTTCGTTCGTGGACATCCAAGTCGCGCCTTGGATTCTCCGGCTTCGTCGCGCTCTCAAGCCATACCGCGGATGGCCAGATCCAGAGGAGGGAACTCGGTGGGCGACTTGGGTCAATGCCATTGAATCTAATGAACATGTTCGAGCGACAACTAGCACAGATGAGCTGTATTTGGACAGCTATGAGCGATATGCCCGTAAGTTGCCTGGCCGGCCTTATCAATGTCTGCGAGCTAACCCTTTTTTGTAGAAAATCGTCCAAATACTTCTCAGGTTGCGAATGCAATCAACTCTGGAAGAGGACTGCCTTGAGCTGCTCCCGGGGTAGCTTTGCCTATGATTCTCTAGGGGCGCGGGGTTTTCAGCGGTGTGGGCGAGGCTATATGTCGAGACGCATTCCCGGGACAATTGCCGGAAGTAGAATAAACCATTAGACCATGATGAACCTTTCCTGTGCATCTTAAGTTGTTTTTGCACCCCTGGGCTTAAAGCCACCTCGGCCATTGACATCTGGTCCTCGAGGATGACGATACGGCTGACGTGGGGATTGCTGTTGACCCCCGACCCGTTCGCCGGGAGATTGGTTGTCCTTTCTCTGCACATAGTTTGGGCTCGATCGAGGGGCGTTTCCTGGGTCATAGAGTTGCCGCGATTTTGACGACGTTGACGAAGAATCTCTTTTTTCCTTGTGATTTTCCTTATTGTTGTCTCTTCCTCCACCCCGGCTCTTGCCTTTCCCTCGGCCCTCATTTTGCCTGGTGGGCGGGGTCGCACTGCGAGGCGTAGAAGTACCGGATGTATTGGCAGACGGACTCCCAAACAGCCGCTCCCGGACTTCCTCATACTTGCGCTGCCTCTCCTCCAGGCTCCGCATTGCAATTGCTTGACGCTCTTCGGGAGTCGGCTCAGGTGCTTTGTTCTTCTCATCCTCCTCATCAGACTCTTCGACTTTATCATCCGCGACCAGGGCCAATCGGGCCATACCGGCTGTCGCTATACTGGGCGTGGCGGCACTCCGCGAGGCCGAGGCTTGGGGTTTGCGACTGAGAACGGTGACCGTAGGCTTGAATTCTTGTTTTAAGGGGACGTTGGATTGAGTTTCGAGGAAGTGGAGGGTCTGGGGTTGTTCTCTGCACTTGGGTTAGGACTGCGATAAACCAGATATAATGGATTAAGATGCACAAGGCATTGATTCCCAGAAGAGACGTACGCTTCAGCCCATAGTTGACGGTTAAATTCGGCCTGCTGCGCTCTGCGCTGTGCTTTGGTGACTTTGGACGAGACTTTCTTCTCCGTCGGGGTCTGCTCGTCGAAGGTCTATATCGGTTAGCACTTGTGCTTGCGATATAGAGAGATATGTATATTGAGAAATTGGTAAAGACAAAGGATAGGACCTACATCCGCCTGCTGTTCCCAATCCTCGTCCCAGACATTGTGACCGGCAGAAGTGCTTGCGCTCATGATGGCAAAGGCTGAAGATGCAAGAACAAGAACAAAACGAAAATGAATGAGTATCGCTGTAGAAATAGAAAAATAGAATAAATTTTTACCCAAAATTGAATCCTCTTCAGACTGACGACTGGGGGTTCTGTAGTGGTGATCAAGTTTTTATGGGGAGACTCTGTTTCAGTCGGGATTTGTGAGGTTACTAAGTGGTGGACCGGGACAAGCGCCGGAACGGAGGCAGTAACTGCGATAGCGACAGCAACAACTACTCTCTCTCTTCTATTCTATCCAGTTGTTGACACTACCGATAATGCCAACAGGTGAGTTCCTTGGTTGATTATGGCTTCATTCTGGATTCTATTATCGTCTACACGCGCGTTCTCAAGCAGCGTTCTCTTCCCCGCATCATCACCAGCCAGCCATCCACACCTTCAACCCGAACCCCTCACCAAAGACAATGACAAAACCAATACTAATACAAATCCAGACTACGACGGCGACTCCCAAATGGCCTCCTCCCCCGAATCCGGGACCCGCACTCCTACCATGACCAACCCCCCCGCCATCCACTCTTCAGAACTCTCGCCTCCGGGATCCCAGCATATGGAAAGAACAGCAGACCTCGGTGCATTTGAGAAGGGAGATAGTGCTGCTGCAGCACAGTGGAAACAGCAGAAGGTCAAGCCAGGGGAGTGGAAGAGTAAACGAGCGGAGGATGAGGCTCAGAGGGCGATGGAGTTTGTGGTGGATAGGGATTTTAGTTTGAGTGAGTTGCCCTTTTACATTTCTTCTTCTGTCTGGCTCTGCGTTGGGTGTTGAGACAGTTGAGAGTTTGTACTGGATGGAGGCTAATGCCGAACCAGAGGAATTTGGGGACCCGTTTGATGAGAGGGATATGGACGAGAAACTGCCATGAGATATTACAACTATTCTGATGGATACCCAGCGGTAGCTGACGAGGGATCACGGCAATGGGAGCATGGTGACGACGTTAGTATTTGGTGGTTATCACGGCTTATGAGATATGATATGATTTCAGCATGGCTCCCTTTCGGACTATTTCGTACAACAGTTCACCATCTGGATCTTCGTATAATTAGCCGACCTAAAAAGTCAGGCTTGGATATCAGAAGATTGGAAATATAATAGCAGTTCTGTTGATCGGCTGCATTCGTAGATTAGGCCAGGCATCGGTATAGAACGGCTCTGGCAATATACACCATATACGGAGCTGTCTTTTCTCAGCTGACACTTTCTTAGATGCCTCTTAGCTATTATCATGCAACACAATGACTTTCTTGTACACAAGTGGGCAATTCTGTAGGGCTGCGATGTACCACTAAAGTGGTTGGCACAGCAACGGCGGGCCCAAAAGATACAAGACCAACAACTCCGGATCTCCAACTCCAACGTCAACGTCCTTCATTCACTCACGACTCTATCTTTTACCAGTTGCGTTATTCCGCATTATCAGTTCTGTTTTTTATGGTATAATATTCTTCATCTACACTTTCATAGTGTGCACTTTCTCGCAACATACCCCATCTCAGTCGTGACATTTCTCGCGGCGTAAACAACATGTGCGATAACGCCGGACCATCTGCTTTGCTACACCCGCAAATATGGTTGGTTTACCTTATTTAAAATTTGTTCTATGCCTTGGAGCACCATTCCTCATTGACCATGGTCTATTTCTGTTCTGGGGGGCAACAGACCCAAGAGGAGCTGGACTTTGCTTCTGCTTACCCCTATCATCCCATCCTCTTAGACCCAGAACCACGTCCTACAGAGAAGAAAGACCGTTTACAGCTGACACCTCGCGATCCAGCTCAATCCAAAAAGAATCCAAAACCGAAGACCGCTTCCGCTTCACTCCCGTCAAATGCGCCAACAGCCTCCCTCGCCTCTGGGACCGCAAACCCTCCACCTCCTTCCTGAGCCAACAATCTCGCCCGCGCAAAGTCTGGAAGCGCTTCCGCACGTCTTTCAATAGCATGAAGTCGCTTCAGCAGATTATTGCGGATAGGGCTCTCGAGGAGACTGAATTGGATACGGAGATCAATGCATCGAGGGGTGCAGGCTTGCTGAGGGGTGTGAAGCGGAGGTGCTTGGACATTGAGATTGGGGAGAAGGAAGAAAGGGGACGATCATTTTTGGAGACCAGATGGGAGGGTGAGGTTCGGAGGAGACGTGAGTTACTTTCTATTTTTACTCGTTTGTTATTTTTCTGCTGTGACATGCAGTACTGACTTTTCAGGCAAACTGCCTACGCCATACACCCCTCCAATGGTGGATGAATCGCAGCCCGAAAGTGACTGCGAGACTGGGCAGGAATATTCCACGTCAGAAATCGAAGCGGACTTGACGCAGGATTCCATCGAGACGGACGAATCCGTGGACATTGAACCAAATTCTCCGATTACTTTTGATCAGAATACAACCTATCCTGAAATGCTACATGGCACGTCGAGTTGTCAAGAAGCTGAAAGCGAAGAAATTGACATTGACGTGCAACCCCGCGATGATCAGTCAACCCTGAACATCGCCAGCAAAGAAGTTAGCGATAAAGTCAGCGAAACTACGATGGACAATCAGCCTAAGCCAGAAAAAGAGACTGCGCCCGCCCAGGAAATCACAAGCGCCCAACAAGAATCGACTCTTGTACGGTCGGCACTCCGAAGCTCGCTGGATGGGGAGGATGCTGAATTGCTCAACAACTTCCTATCAAAGGCAAGAGCGAAACGTGCTGCCAAAGTAGCGATGGCCGAAGAGAACGTCGAGGAAGAGAAAGTTACCAAGGAGGAAGAGGTCCCCGACATGCCAACGCCGCGATCCCGTCGGGCTTTGGAAGAACTCGACACCAATTCCCCAAGCCCATCCCCGCAGAAAGTCCGCCTGCCGTCGCCCAAAAAGCCTGAGAACCCCCCCGCAAGCCCAATTCGCAAGGAGATTGTCTATAACGATAAGGAACACACCGGCGATGAGAAACAGCAATCGAGTCCGGTCACCCGTCGGAGTACGAGAGTTCGTGTGCCACCGCGAACAACTACCTCTGCCATTCGCAACACTCTGTCGCTCCGTCGTGCTAAGGGAAACGAGTTCGTCTTTCTTCAGCGGTCAGAGGCCCAGGAACTTGCTCTAGTGACACGCAAAAACACGCGACAAAACAAGGGAAGCGCGGTGTTTCCGAAATATGTACTCCAGGATCTGGCTCAAAAGTCATCAAAAAAAGGGTCCCCCAACCCTACGCCCAGTGCCAATAAGAAAGGAAATCGGGTGTGTTGGAACAACGCACATTTGGTGGAATTTGAAGACGGCGAAGAGCCACAACCTGCTCCTACCGAGCACGAATCCAGTCATGAGCCTTCCAATGTCGATAGCGTACAGCCGACCAAGAAGAGTAACGAGAAGCGCAAGATGACTGGCAGTAGCGGTGGTCGTACTCGATCGCAGCGTGCGCAGAAGGATAATGAAACCACACCTTTTACAAGAACTGTGGCTCCACCAAAGACTACCACAACACCACCTGCAGGACGTGTACGAAAACTGGGAGGCAGCTCTGCCACACCTACGAAGCCCAAATCTGCGCCGTCGCCAGCTTCATCATCCAATATAACCACTGACACACCCGCCGGGAAGCGCAAGAAGTTGACTCCCAGATCGCTCAGCTCCGCCATGACATCGCCAACCAAGAATACAGGCACCATTACCACGACACCTGCCAGTAAAGTACCGAAGCCGACTAGTGGGACATCGACATCCGCAACGAAGAGCAAGAATATCTTCAAGGTGAATGCTGGGTCAACGCCGATGCCTAAGCGGGTCCGGGCTCGGGCTTAGTCGCACGGTTTAACGTCTGTTTTGTTTATCGCCTTGTACATATTGAAGTTATTATTGTGTTTAATCGTTGTACATAGGTGGTTTTGTGTTTTGTACATATTTGATGGGAACAAGAGTATTTATGTCTGAGTACTGTTATATGCTAGGAATTTGTCTGAGTGCAGCTGTTGCTTGTTTCAATTGACTTCCTATTGATCTTGATAAGTCTATCCAGACAAGACGTCGACTGAATCTGTTCACGCATGAAACGGACACCCACCCGCAAAATTCATTCCCCTCAGCCCCTCCAAAATAACCTCCATCTCCTCGTGCCCCCTCTTCTGCGCAGCAGGCCCGATCGCCTTCAAATCATACCCAGCCTCTCTATACGCACCATCCTGTGTAGGAACAGCACCATCACCGAAAAACCGCACAAATATAGCTTTCAAACCCCACCTGTTCTTGAAAGATGGTTCGATGTACCACGGCTGCGCGATCCAGAGGTTGGTCGTGTACAAATCGGTGGTAGGATTTGATGTTCCATTTACGACACGAACAGCTTTGGATTCAGGTCGAGGGAGGGCGAAATAGCGGAGGATGAATTTGCAGAGGTTATTATTGTTTTTATCAAGGTGGTCATGATGATTCCGGGATCGGCGAAGCTGAGCTTTGTCAGTATGTAGAATCAATATGAAACCAAAGGGAATAAGTGCTCACCCCATGCTCACGCGAACATGCTCATACACCTTACTCGCAATCACTCTCTCAACAGCCGGCTTTATAAAGCCCGGCAAATTCCACAGCGCCAACTCCATAAATCTCCGTCTAATCTTCCTCGTCGACTTTGCCGGCTTCGCAACCTCCTTCTCATAACCCAACGTTCACTCGCAAAGCTACCTCGCAAAATGCCCCCCATCAACCCATCCTGTCTTACACGACTCGAGGAATCTGAAATCAATCTCCATCGCATAAACCAACGCTTTATGAAACACCCCGATGGCACACTTCTCTATCTCGCTTAATACCCACCATTTATTCTCGTCCACGGACCGGAAGATATCGACTACCGCGGAGCCGAGGGTATGTAGCATATCCTCGCCTAGTATCTTGCCTGCTTTGCGGAAACGGGAATGCAGGTAGTTCATGCGTGATATGGCGAGAAGGTGCTCATTAGATCCCGGTTGTCGGTCGTGGACTTCGTTGGGGAGGACTTCTGTATCTGCGGCGCTTTTGGGGGCGTTGCGTTCGTTGAGTTGGCCGGTTGCTTGGAATAGTTTTGTCATTGTTAGGATTAAGCCGGTCTATCGATTTTGTTAACATTGCACTGTAGAGTAGGGTGGTGAAGAGTAGTAACCTTATGAAGAGAAATCTTCATAGCATTGTGGAGACTATACGGGAACTCGAGTTCTCGCAATTCACGAACAATCTGGTGCGCTTCTTTGACTGTCGTGCTCGATAGAGGACGCTTGGTGGATTGGAATTTGGATTGCCGTGCATCTTTGGTAGCGGTAGTAGCGGACTACTGTGATGAGTGGACATTTTGTTGACCGAGATAATGTAATCTTGTACTTAATTACCGAGGCGTAGTTGGGGGTCCAGTTGAAGATTATTACGATGATTGAATTTGTCTTGTCTCATTGTTGAAGTGCTGGGATCGTTCATCATGATACCAACTTCGCCATGTGAAATACATTTCACGTTTATCACTGCTTAATATTCCCAACAGCATCCTGTCAACGAATCTCAAACACAAAATGCCCATACCAAATCACATCTTCATCATCTTCAATATAACCAACATAATAATGACCTGCAATGGCATCCTTCGGTGCCAGCTTCTGCACCCTCCTCTTAAATCGCGACTGGGTTTTCGTCCGATCAGAACCAGCTGAATTATTGTTGTAGAAGCCCATCATTTCACGCTCCAATTCACCAGCGTCAATATCGACATCAAACTCCTCTTCTGGCTTGGGAAGTTTTGGAAAGAGTGAGTTCCACCGCGAAATTTCCCTCTCTGTACTGCTAATTATCTCTTCTGGTGTCATGGCCCGCTCATTATTTGGAGCTGCCTCGAGTTCGGTGGCGACTTCACTCGCCTCATCTAGGAAGGTGTATTGCGTGTCATTTGAGGTGTGATGACTTGTAGAATTGTCGCCAGCTTCCTGCTGTGGACTGTGTTCGGCTGCGCCAGAAGTGGGAATTATTACGAAATCGTCGTCTTCTGCGCTAGCCTCAGTCTCGTCCTCACCATCGTCTTCGTACTCATGGTCAACGCATTCAGCTGCGTACAGTTGCGGCGTTATGTTACTCAAGTTGCAGAAACTGCTAAGGCGTGCTGTGCCGATTCGACGAAACACGCCCTTCTCTTCTGTCGATTCCAGGAGCAGGGAATTAGGAGTTGAGTTTGAAAGTTCATCGTCACAACATGTGAATAGGACGGGCACTAGAAAGGTTTCTCCGCAGGGAGCTTCTGATGTAGATCCAGTCCAGGATTGAACGAGTGCATCATCGCGTGTAGTACCCTCTGGCCAAGCGCTGAGATCGAGCGCGATGGGAAGCAGGCGACCCCGGATGAGAAGGCGGCCATCTTTTACCTGGCCGAAGGGCATCTCATCATTTTCAGATACGCCTTCGATGTCAATAGAGAGAATCTTGATTAGATCCATGGCGCCGTTTTTTTCAAGTGCGAGGTCTAATTTTATTCCGTTATCCGTTATACCACCCGGGTATGATGTCCACGACCAAGATGGCGCGGCAGGCTCTTCAGCTGGCATCGCCTTCGAATGTGGGGTCCAAAGCAACTGCCGCGGAAGCTGGATTTCCCAGAGTCCAGCAACATAGCGAAAACTCGTTCTGGTGGACAATATTTTCGCCAGTCCGGCAACAGCTATCAAACGGTCGTCTTGTCTTGGATATGCAACGCTGTGGTTGACCGCGATGTCGGACCAGTATTTGATGAGAGGGTGCGTTGTCTCAAAGGAACTTTCTCCATAGCACATATGCTTCGCTTGTCTTAGGAGATCTGGATTTTGTGAGAGAGCCTTCCTCCGGAAAGTGGATTTTCCACAACTGTGCATTGCTCTGAGTGAAGTCCAGATGTAATCGAGTCCCAGCTCCCTTGACTTTGGCTCATGGTGTAAATCCACAGAGTATGGGTCCTCTGGCTCTGACCAATTCACCAAACCTGGTCGATTATCGCTCTTTTCGTTCGCATGAGCCTTCGAGGTGGTGCATTCCCAAATCAACTGTCGGTCCGTAAAATGCACCACTCGTGGTGCTAACAGGGACTCTTGGAAGACCCATTCCTTGGTGTTGGATTTCGCCTCTAATGTCTGTCTTGATTGTTTGGTGTGGCAATCTGTGCCAACATCGTAGAAGGTCTCCACAAACTTTGTCGGACGTAGTTGCCCTGATGACCAGCTAACACAGCTGGCCAAGTCGATGCTATCCTGTCTCCATTCCCCATTTACCTTCCGGAGTTCAGCTCGTAAGATGTTTCCTTCGAGGGACATATTTCTTGCAGTAAAAGCGAAGTCTATGCCGTCGGTGCTAAAAGCACCATTCCTGTTTGCAAGACATTCGTTAAGGTCGACTTCTTGAGGCTCCGAGATGAAAAGGGTTGAGTTTCCGACAAGTCTGAAACTTGATCGATCAGATAGTCCTTCTAAAAGCTCTCTCACGTCTATGCATCTGCATCTCCACTCCCCTGATATGGCTTTTAGTTCGGCACAGAGGGTATTTTCTACCAATTCGACGTTTCGCGCACTCCAAGAAAAGTTTTTATCTTTGAGATCAAAGTTTCCGTCTCTGTTACCAAGACGGGTATTGAGATCAATCTCTAGCTCGAGAGCTTGCGACGGTGTAGTTTCTGCTACAAGCACCGAGGCACCTTTCAACCTGAAAGGTGGGAAATCATCCTGCGGGTCAATGCCATTACCTCGGATTGAGATTCGTAGAGGTGCTGCCAAGACAGAATTTCTTGTCGTAAAGAGTTCACCATTCGGATTTAACGAGGTATCCGGGGAGATGTTCAGATACGAACCCTGATAAACTTCACCCATCACTTCAGCCTGATCTAGCCAGTCCTTCGGAGAATCCTGAATGATGCACAGAGACTCAGTCCACAAATATCGAATCCCTAGTTTCTGAGTCAGGCGAATTGCATCCTGAAAAGTTCGAGGCAAATCCATGACGGCAATGTGCTGTAAGCACTCGTCGTACGTTTCTGTGGTCAGAGACGGGATCTCGGAAGTGATGCCTCCCCAGCAATGACTGAGCGTCACATATTTAGCATCGGGCTCGAGGCTGTCTGAGAGACAAAGCTTCACTTCGGATGCGTCGGGCGCGTCGCCTAGGTCCAGGATCCGGGCGAACTGGTGATTCAAACGTGTTTCTCCCTCTGTGCTGCATAGGGAATGGTTCTTGTTGCAATTCTCAATCCAGGAAGTAATGGTATTGAATGATGCTGAAGTTGGTCCATTCCCTGTTCCTATGGCTGGTTCCCCTATCAAAGGAGCCTGTTCTGAAAGTACTAATCAGATAGGTGGTCAACAGTTGGAGTGAGCTGTTCTTGAATTACCAGGAGAGATGACTAGATACTCCATGCAATGCTCCCGCAGCTCTTTGCCTGCTCTCTGTGCAAGACAAACAGCCAAACATGAAACAACTTTCCGATTGTTAGACTCATAAGCAAGACGATATCGCATAGAAAATGTTTCCGGGTCAATGTCTGAGCTTAATTGGAAATTGGTCAAAATCTGACTCTCTCCCTTGGACGACAGGGTATGAAGAATTCGATGGCAGACACCGCATTTGTCTTTCAGTCCAGTCTTGAGAGATGCAAAGTTGGGATGCAAGACATGTAGGTCGTCATCGCTGAGCTGCTGGCGGGGATGGAACGGCGAGATGGAAACCTTGGGATCTTGAAAGACAGCAGTACAGCGATCACAGAGCATATTTCTCAAATATTCAGAGATTGGTATCAAAATTGTTTGTAATGATAGATGATGCCTCCCAGAAGGGAGAAATAGCGGCGTTTATGCCGGCCTCTGGAAGTGGGATAGCCACGTTAAAACGCGCCTCGCTTCCGCCTCACTGGATGATTGACGAACAACAACCATGATGTGTTGTAGTCCGCTTTATTCCCATCCACTAGAATGCTTGTACTGCATCTTGGATGCGTGAAACCCTTTTCTGTCGTTGATAAGAGGTCGTTAAGTTACACGTGACTGTGCCCAAAAAGGTAATGTGTGCCTTATGCCACTTTACCCAATCTGGTTAGATTACCATCACCTGATATGGTTTTCTGGAATTCTCGAATATGACAGTTCTGGGCCACAGAAAGAGAAAGCATTTGTGGAGTAGAAAAGTGGCAAACAGACAGATTATTCTGTTGACCCCAATGTCCTGGTGTTGACCGGGAAGATTCAACAACTCGCGGGCCGAGGTCTGATTATATTATCGCTGGCAAACGATCAAACGGTTTCCTATATGATTTTATCGACCTTTCAAACGGCAAAGACCCTATAGAGCGATCATGGCCACCAAAAATAGTCATAATCTCGTCAAGATCCTGTCCGCACGGTCCTATCTCCCGGTCGAAGAGCAATCACCGGCAACCCAAGACTCGGCAAATTCTTCGACGACACCTACAGTTGAAATCAATACTAGTCCAAAGCCGTCAAGTTCATTACCAATGGAATCTACTAGAATCACTCGCCAACGGCGATCATCCAGAAATGTGGGGAGACCGAGGGTGGACGCACAGGGCACAGCAGTACTGTCAGAGGTATGTACGGCGTAGTGGTATATTGGAAGTCAAAAATGGAAATATCTGACATCAAGCAGAGTCGTCGGAAACAAATTCGGCAAGCTCAGAAGACATACCGGCTCAAAAAGGAAGCTGTCTTGCAGAATACTCAGACACGAGTAGCGGAGCTAGAGCAGAAGATAGATGGGATATCCGAAGCCTTTTCCGATCTCTACGATGTCGCGCTTGAATCTGACCTGAAGAACATTCATCCTGTGCTTTTTGATCATTTCGACAGAGTCCAACGTCTCTTGACTACGGATGCAGGACGATTTCCTACAAGTTCACTACAAGCACCCTCAGGTACCGATAGTCGGGCAGCAGGTAGCGCACAAAAATGCGCCACATCAGCATCAGAGAGTGGTAGTAGCAGCCGTGAAATAGGCACTTCTCAGCAAGAAGTTTTCGGGTATTGTCCATTGCCATCCGTATCGATGGAGGCCACTCCGGAGAGCGTTCGGCTGTCCCCTGATGACTACCACGAAGAAAGCCAAACCGATGGCAATAACAGTGCCTGGCAATCTTTCGGGAGTTTTATCCATACTTGCTGCTTCCAGGAAGCCAAGTTTTCACGGCGTCTCCAACGCTATTGCTTGGAGTATGCATTCCGCTTGTTCAGCGATTCGCGCTCTCATCCGAATCGCATATACCAGGTCTTCCGCTTGGTCCCGTGCATCCAGAACAAAGCCAAGATGTACCCTTATTTTAAGAGACTGGTCATGGCTGGCTCTAAGGAGTCTTTGGAGATCCAAGCTCTTCCTTTCTACTGCATTGGTGGCGCAGGGACGCATTATCCTATATTGGATGATATGGGAAGTCCAATCTATCCTCCTAAAATGAGACTCCCGAAGAGGCTACTTGGAGTCTTGCCAGTGGTAAGAAGTGCCTCCGATATTGGACTAAATTGGGATACGGGTCGGTTACTTGAGGTCTGTGGGTTTGGCGGTCTGTGGTTTGATTGTCGAGATGTGGAAGGCTATCTCAGTTCTCGCGGAGTTCATCTCGACGAGTCATCTCTATTTCCGCGAGTCGAGAGTCTTCTTGAAAGAGACTCTCAGTCGAGTATGGCCAATTTCTCGCCTTCAAAAGACTCAAACACAGACAGTGGAGGCCAGTCGGAGCAGAATTATTCAGCAGACAAGACATCATCTCCATCTGAACCGCTACATCAATATGTTCTTGACGTCGAACGTTTCTTCCTTTGTGAGTATTCAATTTCCGAATTTTGCGACAATAGCTGCTGACAGTATTAGATCTCCTCCAAGGAATGGTCATCTTAGGACGCGTACCGGGCTTTAGACAAAGTGATGTTGCAGCTGCTTTCAGGGTTTCTTTACGAATACAGGCTGCGCCCTGATAATGAGGAACTTCATTCCTGCCTAGAAATATTTACAAATTGTGAATATAACAAAACATACCACAGGCTAAAGCTTCGCCTTGCCTCCCTCCATGTGGCTTGCATCCCACCACGGCCAACCATGCGGCGCATCACAAGCCATACTCCCCTTGAACTCCGGCTCCCTCTTCTGAACAAAGCTCTTAATACCTTCCTGGCTATCTTTCGACATGAGCATCCCCAGGAAGATCTTCGAATCCAACAAATGAGCCTCTTCCACGCTCGACGGACTCCTGTACATCATATCGCGCATAACCGCCGTACTCACGGTGGATGTGTATTTCGCGATATCTGCAGCAATATGAAGAGCTCTCTCGACAGCCTTCTCCGGCGAGGGCAATACCTCAGAAAACAACTGATTTAACAGCGGATCAGAGGCTTCATAGGTCTCACCGGTGGTTACCAAATGCAACGCACGCGAAAGCCCCACGAGTCTGGGCAGGAAATATGAACTGCACGCCTCCATCACCAGTCCGCGTCGCGAGAAGATGAAACTGATCTTCGCATCGGCACTGGCAACACGGACTGTCGCCGGGAGAGTCATTGTGGTACCGAACCCAGCCGTGGGTCCATTAATCGCCATGATAATGGGCTTGTGGCAGTTATGCATTGCCAGCGCGACGCGACCTCCTCTACAAAGCATTGGTGCGTTAGCTTTATAAAACAACACGCACGATAGTCAATTAACTATACCCATCCCGATACTGGTCCGTCATCTTCGAAGGGTTCTCCTTCAACTTTTGCAGCATCCCACCAAACCCAATCTCGAGGTCTGCTCCCACACAGAATCCCTTTCCAGCTCCAGTAACCACGACAGCTTTAATCCGATCATCCGCTTTGAAGTATTCATACGCGGTGACCAACTCCTCGATCATCTGCTCAGTAACGGCATTGAGTCTCTGCGGTCGGTTGAGGGTGAGGAGGACGACGCTGGTCGGTATCGGGGATGTTGGCGGGACATGGGAAATTGCGATTTCCTGGAATGGAAGGGCGTGGTAGCTTTCTGGGAGTGCCATTCTTAAAAATAATATGAGTATATTTCTGTTGTAGGTTGTTTATACGATGAATTATGCAGAGTGTACCTTGTAAAGCTGAGGCGTGACTTCTTTTAAATGTAAGCTTCCAAGAAGCATATGACAATCCCTGGATTTTCCGGATAATGTAATCAATGATGTGCTAGGTAGTCGGAGTAGCTATTCTCCATCCTCATGTATTCTGATATTATAATCCAATGATTTTAATTGTTAAGGAAATTACGAATGCGCAATGTAAAGTGTGGTCGAAAAACGCTAAGGGGCTATGAAGTACTTGTTAGTATGGTCAGACATTAGAACCGTACGATAAAAGAGCGGACCATAAACTTGACAAAAACGAGTCCGCAGGTAATAAAGATAGCAAAGATTTTAAATAGTCCTTGATATAGAAAACCCTGATCTGTCGAGCTGGTTAGCCAAGCAACGATTTCCCCAATATCTTGCATGACGACTTCACCATAACGAAGAGTCCCTTTACATTGATTAATGTATTAATCCTAGTTCCGTAATGGCAATATCAGCTATTCAAGGATACGACTGAGACATATTCCTTCTCGATAGTATACGCTTGGCCGTCGATAAGATCGATTCTGTTGTCATTAACGATACCTGCATTGCTCTCTGATTCCGCAATATCTAATTACTCATTGAACTGGTCTGTCTGGTAGTCTTCCGTCATTCACGACCGTACTTTGTAATTTCAAATCCTATAGCCTGAAGACATGCAAAGGCGCTCACATCTGCTTCGACCGACAGCCACTGACCTTGTATTTTGAGGGGACCGTTGTCTTTGAGTATTTGCAGCATATTTGATATAGTATAGATAATAGACAGCTTCTGTGACTGTTTACTTTGGAAGGTTTTCGAATAGTCATGGAACCCAGTAGGTCTAGGGTTTTTCGTTAAAGACCTTCGGCGCGTTATGATTCATTTTCGATACTGTTTTTCAGTACAGAATACTGATAAGAAGCGCGAACACCCGAAGATATTAAAACTGTTACTGACATGCGCTTGATATATGTTGTGAGATTTATTTTAACTAGCTGATGTCTGTCTAGAGGTTGTATTGAGTCGATCAATTTACGAGGCCAAAAAGAAAGTGCAAGAAACAGTGACATTTGCCCTAATTCACTCTAACTAACGTCAACCGAATATCATGACCATGTGACTGCCAACCCCTGAAAGCAGTGAGGATATTCGAACTGTTACAGTACTATCAATCTAGAAGAAACCCTTATCATTTTTCTGGTATATATATGATCAGGAGGACGCTTGAACGCAGTTTCATGAATGCATAGCTGCGCAGTAATTTCGAAAATACCTAGGGTTTTAGTACAGAATTGAAATACATATTTTAGGAAGAAGACGGCGTGAAACGACGGAATAGTTCGTCTGATTCGACGATACAGTGGCTTATGACAGGAATCAGATCCATGTTTGTGTATGCCGCGGTAAGCCTAATATGTTTGACAGCTTGTGACAGGCATTCACATTCCACTTTAGTTAGTCCATTTAGAATATATTTTATTGCTATTGATCACCACCTCCAATCATGATTACTTCCGCTATAACGATCAAAAGTAAGCTTATCAGCAGCAAAATATCACTATCTATGATGAATCTCCTACCAAAATCAGCACTCGGCGACATCCATCCGCGCCAAACACGTGAAACTAAGGTCCTCCCACAAACACACATGTATTCTGCATAACAACATGCATTCGTTATCTAATATGATAGGCGACTTACCCGACATGAAAGCACCCACCCGACCAACCACATCAATCTTCAATGACCATCACCCAATTAATTCCAAAAAACGCATGTAACCCGAAGGTCCAAGCACCTATTACAAGTACGTACATACATCCAAGGATAGTGATGATCATAGGTCCGTGGAGTAAGCCGAAAGTGAACTACTGCACGTATGTCGGAAGAACCCCGTCGGGGAGATGGAGCCGTTGAGGGATATACGGGGCTGTATGGACGGAGGCTGCGCTGTGTGCACTATTGTGTTGGACTTTATGCATGTACAGAGTACTTGTCAAACTTGTGTGTATGTACGGGTTTATTCTGTATGTATGTATTCTGTGCCTAAGCCTAGGGGATGTACCCTGTACGACCGTATGTACAGTCTAGCGTACTTGAGATTGACAAGGATAATCTGGGGAAATGGAAACGTGCGTTCATCTTATCAACTCCGTACGGAGTACGCTCCATACTCCCGTACTCTACATTACAAACCATTTAGAGTATGGAGTATATGTGTTCAAAGAGAATATCCCTCAATACTAGTTTAACAATGAGCTTGAAATACATGAAATACTGAATACATCTGTAATGGATATGAAGTAGATTTGATTCCGTAGTCGAACCATGTCTGTACATGTAAAATGCCGCATCGGTCCGCATTCAATGCATTCTACCTAAGTCGTAGAAAATCGGCATATTATAGTCTGATTTAGTTATGATTACCGTTGTCCGTTGAACATCGCAATTGACTTTGTCGGCATTTTCCATTGAATTCTACTCTATATAGTGTTCCGCAGAATAAACCCCCCCCCAAAAAAAAAAGCGCATAAAATATATTACATCCTTCATACAACTCTGCACAATCAACACAAGCGACATATTTATGCCAGCATTAATACCCGCTAACGCTCTCATACATTACCCCTTTCGGCCGCTCGGTGTTTAGCTTTAGGGCTTTCCCGGGTGAATTCCGGTTTCTCCCGATTAGTTTCGTCTCGCTTCCTATTTCGGACTAGTGCGGGGCTCTAGTTGTATTACGTCATTGAATCGTGTTAGCCAATGAGGAGGCTATTATTATTGGCACTTGTAATCTAATGGGAGAGATCGGTTGTACAGGACAGGTACCGTGTTACTTGTAAGATGGACATACGAGTACATGTACAATAAGGTACAAGGAGGACTGTCCTCCGATGTATTGGCCGGATTTGACACATCCAAAACAGTACTCTGTAGTTTTTCTACATAGTATGAGTGATGTAGATTTACAAATGAACATGAAGAGCCTCCTGGGTAGTATTTATGCTCGAATCAATCGAGACTATTCATAAGTACGTACATCGTGATATCATCTAAGCAGAGAGCTGCTTAGCAGTCTCCTCAGGCCACACGTCGTAACCGAAGGTGTCCTTCATGTTGACGAAACGGAAGTGACGGCCCTTGGCAACAGCGTTGACAGCCTCGTAGTCCTCATCCGACAAGTTGATGCTCTTGAAGTTGGACTCCATACGGGCCGGGTTGCCACTCTTGGGCAGCACAACGTAGCCACGGCGCAGACCCCATGCGATGAGGACCTGAGCAAGGGTGTTACCGCCCTTCTGGGCAATGTCGTTGAGGGTCTTGTTCTCGCTGACACGCTCGCCAGTGGTGGGGACCTGGTTCTGAGAGCCAAGAGGCGAGTAGGCGGCGGGCAGGACGTCGTGCTTGAAGCAGTACTGGACCAGCTCTTCGTTGGGGAGGAAGGGATGGATCTCGATTTGGTTGACAGTGGGCTTGACCTTGGCGAACTTGAAGAGCTTCTCGAAGTCGGAGATGTTCCAGTTCGAGACACCAATGGCGCGGGCCTTGCCGTCTTCGTAGATTTTCTCCATTGCGCGCCAGGTGGGCTCGGGGTTCTCAGTCAGGTCGTGGAGGATGACGTACTGGTTTAGTTAGACATAGCTCAAATTGCTGGCTGAAAGCTAAAAAGAAGCTTACCTTGCCATCAGCGCCAATCTTGGGCTGCTCCTGGGTCTCCTTCTCGGAAGCAATGGGCCAGTGAATGAGGAAAAGGTCAATGTAGTCGAGTTGCAGACGCTTCAGCGAGTTCTCGACAGACCAGATGACATCTTCGTAGCGGTGCAGGTGGTTCCAGACCTTGGTGCACACAAAGATGTCCTTACGCTTGACCGACGAGTTCTCCTTGAGGAAGTCGCGGATGGCATCACCGATCTCCTCCTCGTTCTGGTAGAACCAGGCACAGTCAAGGTGTCTGTAACCAGTGCGAAGGGCGTGAAGAGTGGCCTTGTAGGACTCACCCTTGGAGCCCTCACTGGCGAAGGTACCGAAACCGACACCGGGGATGGTGACGCCGTTGTTGAGCTTGAAGGTCTGTCCGGAAGACATGATCGATGGTAATTTAATATGAAGACGTGGATGAAGATGGGATGGAGGAGAGGAAGAAGGAAAAGAGAAGAGAAAGAAGAGCAGAAGTTTGAAAGAAATAACTAGTGGAGAGGGGTGTGATGATGTTTGTCCCTTAAGCAAGCACCCCGCACCAGTCCTACGGAGTACTACTACGTCTATTGGCCTGGTTCAGAACTTTGCTTTTGATTGTCCTACGGTGAACCCAATTGAGCTTCCTTGTTTACGGATATCCATGGATGTCCTTCTAAAGACCTTATCCTTGAAGCTTTGATATAGCTACATAGTATACTCCATATAGACAGCTTGACAGCTACCCCTCCATGTATTCACTTGTACCGTAATGGTATGATGTATGGTAACATGGCATCACCACTGGTATTACAGTCCCACTCAGTGTCGCCATGACATCATGTATGCAGCGTTGGCGCCAAATGGAGCGAGCGTTTGCTCCACTAACCCGCCCCTCGATCATCATTGGCTCCACCGATCTCAGGATGTCTGTCCTCCTGTCCAATCAGAATCTACCAATTGGGTCCGCTTGAGGCCTTCTTGTCCACTCAGCGTGCCGCTTGGCTTCAGAATTATGGGACTCTGACCAATGAAATAGCTCAATTGGCTGTCAGTGTACGGTAATAACAAGACATTGAATTACCAGGCTCTAGCGAGTAAGAAATGACGATACGAAAACCCGAGGATGATGAGATGGCGGGGCGGGGCATTCCTATTGCGGACTAGAGCGGTATGGTACGAATACATCCCAATACACCAAGTTGAGGGCTCGAAAATGAGAGAATAAATATCTCTCGTCGCCGTGTTTTGTCTTTCTTTTCTCTCTTCTCTTCTTCTCTATCTTCATCTTCTCTCTTGCCTCTAATCCTGTCTTTTATATCTTCTTGTCTGGTTCGCTTCTCGGGAAACCGGATCCAGCAAGTGTCGTTGAAGTGATATCATCTACTTCAACCCCTCCTTATCTTCTTTAACCACTTCTCATCCTCTCCTTTACTACTGAATTCCTCTTCTGAACATCATCTGAATAGCTATCATGTCTGACATTCCTCCTGAAGCTGTTCCTTCTCCCCGGGACCACCGTGGAAGTGGCTCTCTTCCCATCCCCAATGACTCCGGCAACACCGTTGAGATTCCTGCCACCCGCAGCTCTATCAGCGATGCTGCTCAGTACATGCATAACCTGAGCTTCACTCCCTCTAGCCGGGACCGCCGGGGTTCTCGTAACTCTTTCGGTACCTCTCTGCCCATCCCGAGATCCCCCCGTGTGTCTCGTTTGTCCTCCGTTGTGACTGCCGGAGAGCCCACTGTCTCTCGAGACATTCTGGCCTCGCAGGTGCAGGACATGTCCAAGGAGAAGGTGGAGGCTGCTAAGAACATGGCTTTCGCTTTCGACATTGACGGTGTCTTGGCCCACGGTAACGACCCCATTCCCGAGGCCAGAGAAGCCCTTAAGATGCTCAACGGCGACAACGAGCTGGGCATCAAGATCCCCTACATTCTCTTGACCAACGGTGGTGGTAAGACCGAAGAGGCTCGTTGCGAGCAGCTTTCGCAGATCCTCGAGGTCCCCGTCTCGACCGACCAGTTCATTCAGTCCCACACCCCGATGCAGGCATTGGCGGAATACTACGACACCGTCCTGGTTATTGGTGGTGACGGCCAGAACATCCGTCCCGCTGCCGAGAACTACGGTTTCAAGAACGTCATCCACCCCAAGGACATCCAGGCTTGGGACCCCACCATCTGCCCCTGGAGTCACATTACCGAGGAGGAGCGTGCCATTGCCAAGCCCCGTGACTTCTCCAAGCTCAAGTTCGACGCCATCTTGGTCTTCAACGATTCCCGTGACTACCAGCTCGACTTCCAGCTCATCATCGACTTGCTGCTTGCCGAGGACGGTCTGTTGCTGACCCGTGCCAAGGACCCTGTTTCCTCGCGCATTCCCCTCTACTTCTCCCAGGGTGACATGGTCTTCCCCACCGACCACAAGGGTCCCACCCGTCTGACTCTGGGTGCCTTCCGTATCGCCCTGGAAGCTCAGTACAAGTCTCTCACCGGTATCGAGTTGGAGCGTGTCGTCTACGGAAAGCCCGAAACGGCTACCTACACCTACGCCGATGAGGTCCTCAAGTCCTGGATGGAGCAGATTCACAACGAGAACAAGCTCCCAAAGAACATCTACATGGTTGGTGACAACCCGGCCTCCGACATCATCGGTGGTAACATGTACGGCTGGAACACTTGCTTGGTCCGCACTGGTGTCTTCCAGGGTGGTGACAACGACCCCAACAACCCGGCCAACTTCGGTGTTTTCCCTCACGTCCTGGAGGCTGTCAAGGCCGCCGTCCGCAAGGAACTCGGTCAGGACTTCAAGTTCAAGTGGAACCCCAAGGTCAACCCTGTTCTTCACGGCGACGGTGGCTCTGCTGTGGAGTAAACGGGTTTTTCGAAAAGTTTACGATTTATGCTTGCACACAAAATCGAAAAACCATTTTCTTTTTTTTTCAAGGCGTTGGGCTTTTGTTTCTCCCATTTCAAATGCTAGACAGGTTTCTTTTTGCATCCAAAGGGTTTGTGGACTACGATATCCGATGTTCTGTCGCAGATCTCTGTGATCTGAACGATCAGACGCATGTTTTTTTTCATGGTTTATGGTTCTTTTTTTCATGTGTAGTAGACTGGGTCTATGGACAGATTTGTTTTCCTTCAGCTGGCTTAGAAGAATCAACATCAATTAGACTGCATTGGCTTCAATATTGCATTTCCTACATTTCCGCTTTGAGTCGTGACGCCATAGTGGTGCGCCCATGTTACGTAGCATCGAATAAACTACCGAGAAACCTCCAATTGTCTGACATTCTGCAGCAGATTCTCCGGAGTATATCCGTATTACCATACTTTACCAGGTCACAAGTAATCCCGACCGAAAGTCGGAATTCTCGCCCTATCTCTCCCGAGTCTCGGCAGGAAGGGGCATCCCCGATCGGGAAATTGCAAACTGTCCCTCCGCCGTCGGGGCATTGTCCCCCGTCCATCACCATCACGGAACTACGGAGGATATCCGGAGGTGGCCCGAGTGGTATGCCGATAGCGATCTTGAGATAGTATGAGGCATTTGAGAGAGTAACGCCAGTAACACTCCGTTCAAAATACCCGGGATAGTAAGTAACTTGGTAGCCGGGAGGCTACGCTACACCATGTTATACTACCCCAAATAAGTCCTCCACCACTCCTCCTTCCGCCGCAAAGATTCGTAGATAGCCTCCTTACCAACCCATCCATGACCCTCGCCAGGGAACTCCACTACCTCCGCGACATTCCCGCACTCGTGCATCGCGTTCGCCATCATGCGCGCCTGCGCGACGGGGACGACGACATCCTCCGTCCCCTGTAACAGGAGCAGCGGTGCTTTGATGTCCTTTGCGAAATGGCACGGACTGCGCTTCGTCAATTCCGCTTCCCGCTCTTCTGTTCCCTGTGTCAGGGAGAGAAGCAGTCGATCAACATCCTGACTCTCGAACTTATACGAGTCAGCCTGTAAAGCGCGCACGTCACTGATCCCGTAATTGCTTATTCCTGCCGCCCATGTGCCCGGGTACATATGTAACGCGCGCAGAGTGAGGTACCCGCCCGCGCTTCCGCCGTAGATCCCTACGCGGGATTGATCAATCATTTGGTTTTGGACGAGGTAGTCGACGACGCTGACGGTGTCGGCGACGTCAGCTAGGCCCCAGTATCCCGAGAAGCGTTCGCGGTATTCACGGCCGAAACCTGTGGAGCCAGTGTAGTTTACTGCGGCGACGGCGAAGCCGCGGGTGGTGTAGTATTGGGTTTCGAGGTCGAGGGCGGGGGTAGCGTTGCTGTTTGGGCCGCCGTGGACATAGACTAGGCACGGAGGGAGTGTGTTGTCGCTGTGGAAATGGGGGTTGCGAGGCGGGAAGTAGAAGAAGTGCACGGAACCGTTGCGGAGGGGGCCGTGGTTTTGGGGTGCGGTGTATGAGGTTGCGTGTGAGATGTATTCGGGGGGTAAGGTGAATGCAGATGCTGTAGACTTGAGGACTGTTTGTTGGACTCGTGGTTTTGCACCAATATTAGATGTGAGTGAGACTAATGCCAGCTCTGGAGGGGAGTCCGCTGATGAACCAATGATTGCAAACGAGGTTGGTGTGACGCGGTAGACCCCATCAATGTCCAGATATGGGAGATCCAGGTCTTGGAATGATGCTGTTGCTGTGTCGATGAGAATGACCCTACCGGTAGCATGAGTTATGGCGGCTGCTACTATGGTCGACTCGTCGAGCGATATGTACGTCGAATTTCCGAGGTCCCATTCCGCAGTAGCCATTTCCGCATCCTCGAGACCCTTGAGCACCAGCTGCCGGACTTGACAACTTTCGTCTTCTGGATTGACAGAGTATAACTGCCAGAACCCAGTCCTGTCACTAGCAAGCCATAGTGCTCCATCCAGGCCCCATTTTGGTTGCGCAATGCTCTCACCCATAGCTTTACCAGCTATCTTCCTCACATTTGTCATCCCTTGGCTGCCACCCCAATCAGCCAAGTAGAGAACCGTTCCCGTCCATGGCATATCAGGATGCGACCACTGAATCCAGGAGGCATACCGTCCTGATGGATCGAACTTGGGATGCGCGTAGAAATCGTCCCCTGCAGCAACCACCTTCTCCTCCCTCGTGTCGGTGTTAAGCGCCACCAAGACATTATGAACATTATACGCCTGTGTTTCAGGCGTAGCATCGCGCTGGTCCTCCCTAATCGCAAGCACCCACTGAGACTCGGTAGGATGGTGACAGAAATCCGCATACCGGATGCCCTGGTCCGCGGCGTGGACGAGTGTCGTCCCGCCACGGAAACCATTACCAGCGTCAACCACTGCCGGATCCAACTGGTACACATGACAAGTCTTTTCATCTGAAAATGTAACCTTCCCATCAGGGCTGATTGCCATCGAACCACCGCCAAGATCATGCACATTGGCTTGTGCACTTAGGCCCGACTCTTTCGGGAGGATATTCCGGCTTTTCCCATTGTAGTGCTCGATGATGGTATACCGACCATTTTCAGTTGGAATGCATTCAATTGAGTAGATGGCGCCAGTTGATTCCTGCTTGTGTTAGTTTCGTTATTGGTTGGATCTGCAGAACTACTGACATTGACGACTACTTCATGGAGGGAGATACGGTCGTGTGCTAATTGCTCTGCAGTCAATGGGCTGGTCCAGTGGCCATAAGAGACCCTATTAGGAGAGCTTCCCATGATTGCGGTCTGTGATTTTGTTTTGAAGAGTTGATATCGAAAGGGACGAAGAAGGATGAAGTGAGTCACTGCACTTTTGCATGGTTAGTAATCGGATGGCCGAATGTAGGGCACCTGAGGTGTAAGACACGTGGCTACCAAGACCATCATGGAACGGATAAACCAATAAGGCGGTTAGACTCCGAGTCGGGGAAGTCGGGGAGTCGATTATCCGGACTGCACGAGGCTATATATGAAGAGGAAATTTTACATTACACGGAGGGTGACACTGATATCTATAGACACCATAGGATGGTAGAACGGGTGCTTGGCTATCTAAACGAGTGTGTGTGTGTCCGTATATGAGGGATCTGTCGGCCTCGGTAATCGGACCAATTCTTAATCCATCTCGACTTTCATCACATCATTAGCCAACTGTCAGGCGTACAGTTCTCAGCCTCGGTCAAATAAAACTACTGTAGTCCAGCTAAAGTGACAGCGCAATGAACCCGTTGACAGCTATAGGTTGGCGTCGAATATTATCGCGTTCATTGATTTTGGAACGGAACTGTCAAGAATACAAAGTTTTGTAAGTCTATATCTCTGGCAAGCTAGGGTCTAGAAAGTCTACATCGATGAACTTTCTTTTTCGGCACCATTGTACGAAGAACAGGCTAAAAGAATGGGCCGGGAATCGTGAGTTAGTATTCATGACTAGCTTTTATTTCTGGAAGCCCAGGCCCAAGTTACAAAATTCAGGGGGAGGACTACTTCGCTCCCTCCTTTATGAGAGTCTGAAGACAACACCAGAGCTTATGCCAGATGTGTTTCCAGGGATTTGGGGATAGCTTAGAGAATTACTATGGAAGGCACAGGTGAGGGCTTGCCTGCAGTTGGACGAAATTCGTACGGGATTTGACAATCTCATCAACATGCCACAAGCATTGAATTGATACTCTTCCTGCTTTTTTATCGACGGACTTGATAGGTACGAAGAGGATCTGGACGATTATCACCGGAGTACAGTTGAGCGGCTTTGCCACTGGAATGTTGTCCGATCCGATAACGTCAAAAGTTGTGTTTCCAGCAGAGAATACAACATCTTCATAATCACTTCCCCCCTGGTTAACAGATTCGAATGCAAGATCTGACATGGCGTGATATGGAGCAGTATATTTCTGGGGAGTTGCGATATCCGGGTAGCTCTTGCAACGAAAAGTCGCTCATAAGATTGTCATAATGGGAGCCAATAGAACTTTCCAATGGATCACATTAGTGACTAGACGGCCTCGCGACTTGATTGAAGAAAAGTCAGTTCCCAGAGACTAGAAGATGAGATTGACCAGTCACCCCAGGAGCAAATGGATTGTTGAATCACATTTCCCAGTCAATCCATCCCTTGGGTAAGACACTGGCTTACCAGACATTTGCCATTCTCACAGATTAGAGGAATGGGGACTAAAACTTCCCTTGGTATCAACTCGAGATATACGAGTGGAGTGGGCTATAACCTCATGCATGAGGCATATAGTCGGCATCTCAAGGGAGCCCTTCTTTTGAAGAATAGCTTGGTGCTGCGCTCGCTAGGTTCGGAACCACGGACATCCCCACTGATGAGAAATACTACATTGATGCTACCTATTGTGAGGACCGCCACGTAATAACATATTGTTCGTCAGCAATCCGGGATACATTGGATCCGTTCTATATTGCAGCACTCGTTGGAAATTCAGCACATGTGCAGTGGAAAATATCAAAGTACATTTCTGTGACTGATACCGCATCAAAGATAGCTACCTCCCACTATCACATGCTTGATAGCCTCTCAAAAGCCTGGCACTCTGCGGACAAATTCGCTTTCTGCATAAAAATGCTCCTTGAAAAGGGCCTATCATCCTAAACCCCACATCCATGCTCCAGACTCACTCTGGCAAGACGCCTGTGCTGACAATCTGGCAACGCTTGATCTCATGGCTTTTAAAACAAATGCCCCAAAGGGCGTCACTATATATTTCATTTCTCTCGAAAGCCTATCAGGTCTTTCTCGAGCATGGAGCTGATCTATATTGGCCAACTCCACTACCACGGTCTGGTGAAGAATACAATGGTCCGTTCACACTGATCGTCGGAAGAGAAAGGTACCAGATCAATATTATCAAAGGAAGGATCTAAGTTACCTCACATTCGTTCTCCTAGCCAGCTCTCTCAATCCTATAGTCGATAGGATTGACTCCGTAAAGAGTGGCATTATATAAGGAAAACGGAGATGCGCAGCTCGGTAGTGTATTTATTACGTTAACTGGAGCTCTGATTAGGCTTGGCCTAATAAACTATTGAACAGATCAGGTCTAGTCCGGATTTGATGAGACACTCTAGTAACATGTTGCCTTCAAGCTCTACACTACCGACGGCACCACTTTGATAACCGAGCAAACACTGAGCCTCAAAACAGTCAAAAAATATCGACAGATCGAGTAAATTACTGTTTCTCAATCTCTAGGAACCATGATTTTAAGGTTATCGTTGAGATGCTTAGCAATCGTTCGGCAATGGGCGTCCAGCTTCATAACCGCCCAGGCGGATATCGGATAACTCGGAAGGTATCCACAGCTCATGTCCACTAGATCTGATAGCTTGTTTTGGAAGATTATTTTTCAGCCTAGAATTTTTTTTTTTTAATAATTTTTTGAACCAATGACCTGGCAAAGTCTCGCAAGTTTCAACAACGCTTTTACAGTCGGCCAAAATGACACCTGGCGACGATTTCAACGCGCCTGAAACCGACAGCAGGCTGGGGTCGTCCGGGGAAATGAACGAAAAGCAAGAACAGGGGAATTCGGACGGGGCAGACAGACGACGCTTGTCCGAAATCTCCAAGTCAACAAGCTCAAGCAGTTCAAATGACTATGGCTCTGGGCTGCACACTATGCGTTCGCGGCATACAGAGCCCGACCTGGAACGTCGTCGGACGAGGATGTCCGATGTCTTGAGCAGGATCGAGACCCAGCGATACCAGCATGCTTTGACGGTTGGTGAAAGTGTGCGATCCCGGGCCTCCAGAGCTTCGTTGCCTCCGTTTGGGGGCGGAAAGCCCTACCCACCACCCCTGCCGGCCCGAGAGGAGTATGTCGTGGAATTCGACGGGCCAGACGACCCATTGTATCCTCAGAACTGGTCATTAGGGCGAAAGTAGGTGAATTTCGCAGCATCAATGTGTCATGTCTCTAACCATCTGCAGAGTCGCCACCAGCGTCATCCTGGCATTCACCAGCATTTGCTCTACATTTGATTCTGCCGTTTTCAGCGCTTCAACCAGCAATGTATCCAAGGCCTTCAGGGTCGGTACCGAAGTATCAAGTCTTTCAAGTACGCTTTACATCGTCGGTTACGCCTCGGGTCCGCTGATATGGGCCCCATTATCGGAACTCAGAGGTCGCCGCATCCCCATCATCATCGGCATGCTGGGGTTTGGCATCTTCAACACGGGTGTCGCAGTCGCAAAAGACCTGCAGACCCTTATGCTGTGCCGATTCTTCTCTGGAATCTTTGGTAGTTGTCCGTTGGCCGTTGTGGCAGCTGTCTTCTCCGACATCTACAACAACCGCACACGTGGTACCGCCATCGCCATGTTTTCGGGGACCGTGTTTCTCGGTCCTCTTCTGGCGCCCTTTATCGGAGGATTCATCAATGCCTCGTATTTGGGCTGGCGTTGGACTGCTTACCTTCCTGCCATCATGGGTTACTTTGCTTTCGCAATGAATGTTCTGTTCCTAAAGGAGTCGTATCCACCGGTGGTGTTAGTCGACAAGGCGTCAGAGCTGCGCCGTCGTACAAAGAACTGGGGTATACATGCAAAACAAGAGGAGATCGAAGTCGACTTGCGCGAATTGTTGGTCAACAACTTCTCGCGCCCCCTGCGGCTACTGTTTACCGAGCCCTTGATCCTCGCAGTGACAGTGTACTTGAGTTTCATCTACGGACTGCTCTATTGCTTTTTGACAGCATATACCCTCGTCTTCCAAGGCGTCTACGGCATGGCTCCTGGCGTCGGTGGGCTGCCTTTATTTGGCATGGTCGTGGGATTGCTCATTGCAGCCGTGTGTATCATCATGTTGAGTGGCCCATATAATCGGAAGCTGGATGCTAACGGGGGCGTTCCTGTCCCGGAATGGCGTCTGCCCCCTGTTATTATCGGTGGGGTTCTCTTTGCTGCTGGGCTGTTTTGGTTTGGATGGACGGGGTACACGAACAAGATTCCTTGGATTGTGCCCACGCTCAGTGGACTATTTACCGGATTCGGACTGTTGATGATTTTCATTCAACTGTTCAATTATCTCATTGACACCTATCTTATGTTGTAAGTTATCTCCCTGTCGAATCATCACCCGGCTGAGATCTAATCTAATGCAATACAGCGCTGCATCAGCCATCGCAGCGAATACCTTTTGTCGTTCGCTGGTTGCGTCCAGCTTCCCGCTGTTCTCGCGGCAGATGTTCAACGGCATGGGTATTCAGTGGGCTTCTACCTTGCTGGGCTGTGTCGCCGCTGTCCTGGTTCCTATTCCCATAGGGTTTTATCTTTATGGCGAGAAGCTGCGGGCCAAGAGCAAGTTTGCGCCGTTTGAAGAGAAGGTTCATGAGATGGCGCAGGTTGAGGGTGAAGTTATCCAGGATGTTAATGAACGGACATGAGGATTTTCTCGTGCGCTTTGACTTATACATAATAAGCATTTACTATATATGAGAGAACAGTAATGTATTATCCAATCATGCACTTCGACGCGTGCGTCTCGCAGGATGTGCCGGTATGTACTTGACCGCACTGTATGCTATCCCTAGTTACTGGGTCTTGTTGAATACATATACAATAGCTCACGACAGCCCAATGACAATATCGAATCTGAAGAAAAGAAGAAAAGAAACTGCCTGGCAAGACAAACACCGTGCGATCACGTGTTGAAGGGCTAGGGCTCTCTGTTTGCTCATATTGCTCCATTGGCAACGTTTTCCAGTGTTTGCCGGTCATTGGCCGTCGAGACTGTCGCACAGAGGCGCTCGTACTTGCTTGCCCTCATCTTATTCGGGAATAATTGCCCTGTAACGAATAAAGCGGACTTCAGTCATAATTGTGGTAAATGGGCAGCGCACCCAAATCCACCTCACACCCATTATCAACCCCTCCCCTCCCCAGTCTCCATATCCCTCAATCTAATAAACCCATCGGACTCCCTCTTCAACTGCTTAGTCTTTGTGCCAATATCCACTGAATATGTCATTGTCTTTGAAATCTGGCCCTTCTCCTTCTCACCTGTCCCTGATCTAGCAAAAGCAGATACAGCAGCAGCCCTGCTTGAAGCTCCTGTTGTAGTTGGGTATCGGTGGGCAGCTGAAGAGCTGTGGGTTGTGTCTGTGCCAGGGAGGATGTGGGCAAAGAGGGCGCGGCTTGTGGGAAGGCAGACACAGATGATGGCAATTTGGCATTCAATTGCAGACCAGTGGATTAAGGGTTCCAATTGATCTGTTGCTCCTCGTTAGCTGGTTTCATGCATCGAGAAGGAAGATACATACAAGTTGGGTTTGTGTCGGGGATGTTTTGGGCTAAAATAACCACTCGGACGATTCCGATAGCCGTTAATCTTTAGATGAGCATGAGCAGAGGTTTAACACAAGGATTGGATGAACAGAAAACATACACTAGTCCTGCTGCAAACATAACAGCAACCCCGAGCTTTTTCTGCATTGACAAATTCAACTTCAACACCTCATAAATTGGCATGAATACCATGACCGTATCCACCGCAATATTCACAAATCCATTTGCAAATGTTGATGCAATAAAATTAATACACGTTCCTTGTTCCTCCATTGCCCATCCTGTCCATGCAAGATGCACTGGTATACAGTGGAAACTGTCAGTTAGTATCCAGGTGATTGCAATTGCAGTGTTGATGGCTATTATGATATAGTTTGTGTAGCGGAAGATGGGTGCTTGAAAGATGCGGAGGAGGAAGAGGCAGACAGAGATTTTGGCAAGAGAGATCAGGGCTTTGTAGACAAGGATGAAGGCAAAGAAGTTCTACTCCATTAGGCTAGGTTAGAGTGTGAGATACAACGAAGGGCGAGAGAGGGACAGACCTTATAAGCTGTGGTGATGTCGCTCTGTGGACGTATATCCCATATGTTCATTCCAAAGCCATAATGCACCACTGATTTCGTTAGCACCTAGTTTTAGATTTATCATACTAGTTGTTTACTTACTTGAGGTGTTCAGCGCAAACGCAACAATTGCCAGTCCCTGAACAGGTTAGCATAAGACACGACCCTGTGCACTAGACAAGGTATCTTCACATATGCGACAATAACCGTATAATCATCTGCCCCCCACCCACCACCAAGCTGCAAAAACTTTGCAGTCATCCGGATCGCAAACAAAATTGTCGCCAAAATGAATGGAATAATTGTCGCAGGGTCTGCTTCGGGGTATAGCTGAGGGATTGGGAGATCACAGTGTCTGGAGGTGATGTATTTGGCCGCTAAACATGTTCAGATCAAGTCAATTTGTCGGGAAGATGGGGATATGTACTTAGTGCTTCTTTCATGGAGCAATTGGCCATAGCGCAACTGAACAGATCAGTCTGGTATGTGGTATCAATGCAGAGACATGTTGTGTCAGTTGTTGAGCAGGATGTTGTATTAGAGAATTGTTGTTCACAATTGACCTATTTGTTATTTTTAGAAGGTGCCGCAGTGTGCAATACCGAAAGAGAGGTTCTGGAGCATACAGCACATTGAGGAATGGCTTCTGATGCAGATGCAATCCTCGGCATCATCAGACATGCCAGGGAGAAGAGAGCCACATAATGCCAGTACAGGTGCATTCTGGGCTACCACCAACGCAAAACCACGATAATCTCAGAATGTCAAAAGAAAGGAAAAGGAAAGGAAAAGGAAATAGACAATGCCAATATCGCCAACCATGGCAAGCGCGACTTTCATTATTATGTTTGATGTTTGATTTAGGGGCAACTTCTTTACCCTCTGGTTGGATAGCGAACACTCCACCCTGACACCTGCCGTGAATCCACCCAGATTAGGATTTATACGATTCCTGATACTGTGGCAATCGGAGCACTATCTAAGTCTGTCTGGTAAACCGCTAATAACGATCATCATGGTACGCCAAATAAGACAGCATGTGCTTTTCCAGACGAATCGGGGTTTTGTATGGATTAGATTTTGACAGCCCTGTCAGGATCTTTGGTGTCCGCCGTCATATTATTGAATTTCATTGGTGACAATATTGAGTGGTTCCACACGAAGACAATATGTACTCCTGGGGACGCTATACATGACGATCTTCTGAGGATGGAAGGGCACCTTTTTGATCCTGCATTCTGGTTGATTATGAGGCACTTCCACGTACTCCGGAGTATATACTCGTAGTGCCTCGACTATTTTCGAAGGATCAATGGTGCACGAGACCTAGGGGGCTGGATGTGCACAGACTATGGCTAGTACCTCCATCGCCCGCCTCTAAAGCCAAGCCATCAAGCGAACCGATGGCCCACAGCACCAAGAATAGCATGTGCAGAGATTTTATGGCTGACATCCCCCTTTTAGTACCTATCGGTTCATGCACTTCACCGCCCTCACTTTTTGCCCGGTACATACTAGTTGTGTGTTTTCCCGCATTTCTCTATCAGCCTGGCACTCGAAGGTGCCGATCAGAGGTCGCGATCATGGACATCAAACCAGCATACGAGATCATCGGGCTCTGACTGGATAACATTATTTCATAACCAAGCTGCATATCTCTTTCTCGGATGGGAATACCACACTAACGAGCTAATGGGCGAAAAGGATGATATTAACGACATAATGTAGTTAGCCCACTAACTACCGAAACAAGTGCATACCCCCAAGAGGCGCCGTCGGCGGCGCTTCTGGATTAGTAGTCGGACTGAGATCAGTGAACGGCACTGAACGTTGCCGCAATATAAAGCCAAAAGTATAACAAATATGGTATCATGATAGAATACACATCTGATTTGCCTGGTCAAAGTCTGTAAGTTATTCTCTCAGCCGCATGATAGCTTTCTGATGCCAGTCCGATAGCTCTGGGTCTCTTTTCAACCATCTTCGCGCGGTAAAGTATACCAAGAGATGCATGCCGAAAAAAATTGCCCATCAATGCGCTTAGTAAATGAGTAAGCATCCATGTGTCAATGGCGCCGGTCTCCTTTCGCGATGGCCTGGGTAGAAGCATCGACTGCTGGATATCCTCGGGATATCTCTGGGGTCTACACAAGCCATGAAGGAAAGATGGTCAGCTAGATTTATTGAAACTAAATGAGATCCACGTACCCTTGTGCCTATTTCTATTGTGAGAACCACCCGCTGAGTGTCATTATAATATCCGCGATAAAAAAAAAAAAACACAGCATAACTGAGGGGCCGGAAAAGTGCTCGCGGAAAGCAAATTTCACCAATGAAGAGGATATGTTCCTGAAGGAGTTGATGGAGAGTGGTTGCAATGGTGAAGAGGCTGCAAGGATTGGTAAAATGCTTGCTATTTGTTTGGATAGCTGCGCGGCCGGTTTTACCATTTGCGTAATAGGCTACAAACTGAATTCCTTTCTAAACTATTGTAGCCGTCAACGAGAATATCAGATCTGGAGAGAAAAGAAGAGGAATCTATCTACGGGGAAAGGGGATTTTCATCCATAGGTTCTGTGGCCGCGCTAGGTGCTCTCTTTGTTTGCTTGTGTGGTGGCGTCTTGTCGATATCAGTCACTGAGGCGGCGTTGAGGCATTAAGCTGTCACAGTCGGACTCCCAATTTTGGTAATATCGTGAACAAATCCTACAGAGCTATACCACAATAGGTCCGCGACAGTAACGATCGTGCAAGCTTATATTAAAGTAAAGATATATAATTGTGTGGTTTTTTTTCTGATATTAATTGGGTATTCCGGAACAGCATTTATACTCTGTAGGCCCATAAACCACACAGTAATGTAAACTAGACCAACAAGCTCGATTTAAGACTAGGTGGCTACTTTTCCAAACATACTTCAAATCGGTAAGGGCCCCATTCACATTTATCTTCTCTTCCTAGCCATGTTCAAGTCTAATTCATACTAGCCTCTACTCGACCAGGAAGACCAGGAATGACCACAATCATGGACCACATGAAGAGAGATGAGCTGTCCGACATGGACAAAACGGGAATTCTTAAGAATGTAGCGGCTCAGCCCAGCGCCTTCATCGGCAAACATCATCAACACGGCAAACAATACCATGGAAGCAATCATGACAAACAAGCTGCTTAGCGAGACCACACACAACCATATGGGACTTCTTCACGTAAATAGACTTGCTTCTTATTCTCTTTTCTTCTCCAGAATCGATATTCTCGTCGATGGCTACTAGTTGGTTTAGATAGGAATATCAATTCGTTAATATCTTCTAGCTACTGAGACCAGAGGTCGACCTAGCCTAAATAACAAGGACGATACACCATATACAGACAAGATCCAATACCAATTGTATAGCCACCATTTTGCTGTCCATTTGAATATAATGAAGAAAAATTCTCATTTGTTTAATTTGCTGTTCATTCACAGTATTGCACTAAAAAATGGTCACACCATTTGAAGGCCTAGCATTACCTCCAGGAATTTAAAAGGAAGTAAGTCAACGTTCAGATTCAGAATAATAATAGAATACAAAGCGCAGGCAAGACTTATTCTCAATGCCATACTGCTGAAAGAAAATTATCACCTGCCCCGGTTTTTTCATTCCTTGCTCAACCTTTCCAAGTCGAACCGTTTCCCAATAGGCACACCTCATACAGCTAACAACCACTCAGGAAGCCAGAACTGAAGATTCTGGCATGGCCAAAATTCCATGCTGGGCATGTCTCCAGCTACGGTGGCAAACCAGTGCCCCACAACCAACACAAAGTCTTTGGACGATTCAATTCAAACCACCAGAGGTGCCGAGTGATTTGCTAAGACCGCCGCCTGCCTGTCTGAGAGCTAAGAGAATGCTTTGGTCCATCCCAACCGGATGAGCAGGATGTCGGCTGAAATTGAATGAGGCAAGGAATGGTCGACGAACGAATGGTGAAGTTTCTTGATGGTGTTTTTGAACACCTGGGCTTTGAACCTGAGTCCTGAGGACCGAATATATATAGAATATGTGGACATATGTGTCTGAGATGGTGTTGTCTTTTCATGCTTGCTCTGGATTAGTTGGTTGAAGAATAGACTACTTTCATGGTAACCTGTTCTATGAATAAATGGATGGATTCCTAAATTGTTGCTTGCTATGTATGTACACAGGCCATCCCGTGGTTGGCACATATTTTCGAGGGTATATAGTTATAGAACAGATTCTTCTACCAACGATGCCCTCTCTATACAGAGAGATGGCTGGCGCAGCGGGTGATACCAAGCTGTTGGATCAAAAAGTCATTGGCAAATTGACACTTCGGGTCCTGATGCTCCTGGATATCTAGGAATTCAGGCAGCTTTGGGAATTTCTCTTGGATGTAGGTGGCGTTTGGAGGGGACATCTTGTTCCAATGGGAGCGAACATTGTATGTCTCACCAAAATGGGGGAGAAACTCTTCAGCCAACGCCTGGTTCTGCCACAGAGTGGTGAAGTTGTTGTATGTTTGCAGCCAGTCAATCTCGAGGACTCCAAACACTCCACTGCTCTCAGGCCCAAGGTTGTAGGTGTTGGCCGGGGAAAGATAGGTGTCGTCGCCCTTGAGAATGCGGTATTGGAAGATCATCTGCTCATTGTAGGGAGCCTTCATGCGAGGGGTCTGGTTTTGCTGGAACTCGGTATAGTTGGTTGCGAAGTCCACGAGATGCTCGATGGGGAAGAAGTGCTCGATCTCGGCGTAGAATTTGTTCATACACAGGCCCGCTGCGGGGCAAGAGACGGCATCCGACACTTCATCATAGCAGATATAGTTCTTGTTGCATTCGCCACAGCCATTGGCACAGTAGTTCAGCGTGCAGTTCCGCACACCCGTGTAGTTGGTTGGTTCCCACCAAGAGGCGAAGTAGGTAGGTTCAATCTCCCAGTCCTGCGCCTTGTCATCCCAGTTGAAGTGCGGACCCCAGACGGTCAGGCGATCATGGTCCTTATACAACTGCGCAATTTCCCCATACATCTGGGAGTAGTTGGTCGTGGCATTCAAGACCTTGGTGGTCTTCTTGACAAGAGAGGTCGGTTCGACCTTGATGGTCATCTCGGTGATCAGACCAAGAGCACCAAGGCTGACCCGGAAAGCCTTGAGATCTTCGCCGGCGTTGGTGGTCTCGTCGATGATGCGGAGATTACCCTGGGAGTCCAGCACACGCAATCCTACTACCTGGGTTGCCATGTTTCCGAAGGAAGATCCAGTCCCATGAGTACCGGTAGAGACAGCACCCACAAAGTTCTGGACTCGCATCGCACCAAGGTAGTTGAACGACAGTCCATTGTCCTTGAGCTCATTAATAAGGTCATAGACATCCCAGCCAGCTCCGAAAGTGGCAGTCATGCTTTCCCTGTCGATATGGAGATGGTTCAAGTTGGTAAGGGAAACAATGTATGAAGGCTTCTCAGTACGACTAGTATCAACACACGTGGTAAGGTTCCCAAAACCGTGGCCATTGCCAACCACTTTGATCAAGGAACCTCTGGGGTACTGCTGCCTGAGGAACGAAGCAGTGGCGTTCTCGTTCTCGGGCGCAATGTATGCGTCAGACTCGCAAGTGATCTCGGATTGCCAGTTAAACCATCGGTAGGCAGAACCAAACGCCGCGTGCAGCAGCACCAGCAAGAGCGGTAGCTTCAGTCCAACCATTGTGGGATCAAGCTATGAGTATTCCCAGTCAGCCTGGCGGTCCAACAATAGGGGGGATTGGGTAGGTTACCTTTATTCCGGTGAAGTCGCTGCCCGGATGTTTCAAGGGATGGCCTGTACAAAAAGGTTTTTGGGTGTAGCCCATGAGGGACATGACATTTTTATATGAGGCATTCGTCGGTCTTGGGGCCCCTGCTCAGTTCATACTCACAATCCATCATGGCACTCGAGTCCTTTCCGTCCCCTTCCCATTGGTTACTACGGGCTCGGCGAGCATAGCAATCGAGAATGTAATTGTCTTATGTTTCCCACACGGGATGTTTGACACATACTAAAACAGTCCTCCAAAACATGGTCATAGCACATGGACGTCAACAACTGTATTATAGGGTAAGTGGCGTGGGATGATAAGATGGTGAATGCCGATCTTATCTGTCTTTGCCTAGGGTTCCGGGCATTGGCAGGTTCAGCCGTCTGTCCAGCAGAAAATTTTGACAGATGAAGTTAGACATTCCATCCTACCAAGCATGAAAGTTCCACAATCCCTGACGAGATTTTGCAGTACGTTCCTGAGCGCTACAGATAATCCTGTGGGTCCGTCAATCAGCATCCAGTGCCACGGCTCGGCATGCCGTTATCGGCGAGTTGGCACCCTGCCGCGTTCACCAGCATGGCTCGAATGGCCCGATATAAGACTATATCAACTTTCTTGGCCCGGACTATCGGCCCGATAAAGGCAATTAACTGAATGATAAGATCGTCTAAACCTAATTAGACCCTGGCGTTCTACTGATTGATAGTGAATTCACCATCTTTTCCCACTAGAAAAGCTATGTATGGAATATAAGCGGGATAGATGTGCGCTTTATATACCCTTGCCCTGGTCATATCCGTCGTCCTTGATATTAAAAAGCAAAACGAGTGTTACTATTCCTCTGTTTCACACATGCCCAAAACGGCTATCACTGTTCCTCTTGGCATATACCTACCGCGGTTTTCACTCTATTTAACGATGTGACGGTTAGCTGGCGGCCGAAAAGGGCTACTTCGGCGGCCGTTTTAGGAGTCCTGCTAACCGACTCCTGTCTTAGCATCAAGTGAGCGTATTCCCACGGTCACGGGTTTTCCCTCCACGCTAGGCCACGGGTTTTATGTCCCTCAAACAGACCTTTAAGATCCTGTCCTCTTGCTCTATTGAAGTTCTAGAGTGTCGGGAGCGAATTGGTGGCATAGTGGATTGTTGGAAGTGGAAGGGTCTAATTTATTGATGCGTTTCGCGTTGGGTGCGTCACTCGCTTGTGGAATATATTATTTATCGATTGACGGTTGTCTGAGTTATCGAGCTTTTAAGAGCCCCGCCAGGGCTCATAACCTTTTGGGGGGTAAAAATGGTTGATTGCCTAAGAGGCTAATCGGTCTGACTGGCTACTACTAAACGGCTGAGCGAGGGCGGCCCTTTAAGATATTCGCAAAGCTTGGTGGTTGATGCGCAGTAAACTGCTACCATTGAAAATCAGCCGCGACACCTGAACCTTCAACCATACATATTATGGAACGTAATGGCCATGACAACAATCATTGAACCAAAAAATCCTGTAACGACGTGGAAGGAGGCTAAATGAGAAAACAAAACGATAGGAAAAAGAAGAAGGGAATAGGCCATCAACTAAGTAGATTAACGTCTATGGATTGTAGCAACGGCGCAAATCGGTCGTCCGCATCATTTCCTGTAGCACTGGGTCCGAAAACTCATTCGGTACTGACGTAGACGTCGGAATGAGAGCCTGCATCCAGGCCCGAAACATCAACTGGAAAGCAAATATAATGTACATCCTAGTCATTCTGGATGTCCTGAGCGGTTCCGTGATTGGTGTCCGTGATGAGCTTCTCCTGATTATCGGAGTCAGACTCATCATCGCCCCTCTTTCTCCTGCGGTCTGTGGGCGGAAGGTAGTACAATTGGACAAGCTTCTCATCGATAAGACTCTTGTAATCAAAATACAAACGGCGCAGCACGGTAATTCGTCAACCGTGGTGCGGTCGAGTCCATAACAGCGGGCATTTCCTAATATGGCGATCCCTCGTCGAATCGCAGCTAATGGGTGTCCGTGCCACGACTTGGGGATAGTAAGAAATTGGAGGAATCGACAGGGTGTGCCCTTTATGGATGAAATTCTCCAGGTAGTAACCACGATATAGTCTATCAGTCGCGTCGTGCGACACTAGGCCTTTTGAGGCGGAGTGATCACGGTACTTTGATGGTTGGGACGATTCGGCCAGATGGTGGATCATCCTGCGCACGGCGCAACTGATCTTCAGTTTTGTATCTTATGAAGAAGTTTAAATCCGTCCGAAGGAACACCTAGCAGGGGTCAAGGGAACGGGTGAAAGCACCACGGCAGGAAGAACAAAGTGAAATACAGTTGATCGTTGCTCTAAACGAAAACGTGAACAGACCGGCTTGTATCCAACGATGGGTCTTGAGGCTAGCTGGCTAATGTAGGAAATGTATAAAGATATAGTATACACACTTGACCATCTTTCTGTGCAACAACGTGGGCGAATCCGGGGTTATTGTTCAAGCAACTCCAACAATCCGCACCAGACAAGCGGGTAAAACTTGAGTTTGACAGGGTCACTGAACGCGTTCGAAATGTCTGTTCGAGGTTGCGAATCTTCAGAGCGACGAGGGGAGCGAGAGGGCAAAAGCGGAGGCATCAGAGCCCAGTTGTTCTATTTATCTGCCATCATTAGCTGGTGATGTTGGATCAAGCTTGGGAGTCATCTCACCTTCGTAGTTGACAGCTAGTAGCGCGATCAAATTTACATAGGGAAGCAGCCATCGAGGCCAAATGCAATTGCCTTGCAATCCGAACAGTTGCAAGTAAGTACTTTGTATTGCTCACAACTATGTAAGTTGGCCGGAATAGAAGTTCGCTGCCATGTTAGTACCCATCGGGTCATGTGCTTTACTGCCCTCGCCTTCTGCCCAATAGACATGTAGCTAGCCTCAGCCGATAGACCCAATCCATCCAACATGGAGCAGCCCCTCGGTCCACAATGGTGCAAGAAATGGCCAATTTATTGCTTGTAGCTCGGGGTACTGATACGGCAAGAACTGGGTATCAACCTTTGTACGACGCCACCCAGAGCTACAAACGCGATTTTCTCGAAGATATGTCTACCAACGTGCAAAACAAGAGGATCCGGAGGTTATCCAGGGGTGGTTTGATACTATACAAGCTACAATTCAGCAGTAAGGTATCCTCACTGAAGATATCTACAAATTTAATGAAACTGGCTTTGCGACAGGTCTAATTACTACTATAAAAGTAGTAACAATGTCTGACTACTATGGCCGACAATCCCTTTTACGATCTGAAAATCGTGAATGGGTTACTACAGTTGAGGCAATCTGTGCATCAGGATGAGCCTTCATGCATTGTTTCAAAGGCAAGGTCTTTCTCGAGTCTTGATTCGATGGCTTCCTAGGCGATTGGCACATTGAATTAGTGTGACGGCTCGATCTCACGTATACGGCTTGACGTCGCGTATAGTTACGGCTAATAATGACAAACGGCACCGAACCAAGCCGACATGGGTAGAGCCCCGTCGTATAGCGGTTATAGAAAACTTCTTCATACTCTAGATAGATTTCCTCTTCCTTTTTTTTCTCCAGATTCGATATTCTCGTCAATGGCTACAATGATTTAGATAGAAACTCATTTCATTAATATTTACTATACCGAACCCGTGACAATTAGTCCAAATGGATAGATTCCTGATGGAATTGGACTTCAGTGGCCTCAAAGGTCTTTTATTGCATTGACAAATACTCGTGCAAAAGAAAGGTATCGACCTTTGATCCTCAATGGTCATGGTAGCCATTTAACACCAAAATTTGATGAATTGCAGCAGCCAAAGTGATATCATCCCAATCTGCATGCCTGCACATTCATCACATCTTTTACAGTCACTTGATATTAGTTGTCTTGCAGTGCTAAAGCGATCATATGGTCAGCTTGTTGAAACCATAATGCGTCTTAGGATCAACCATATTAACAAGTTGGACTTCCTTGGGGCCTACCCACATGCACGAATCAAGGCATTTACATCCCAGACTATCAAAGTAGCTTTGCAGCAGCTATTTTAGTACCATTTGACCCTGATCAAGTGTTTTCAAATCTCAATATTTGTCCTCGTACACAACCCTCCTCCCTGTGAGCTGGGGTGGCGAGCCAAATCGCAATTTGTACACCAAAACCCCTTTTACAGAGAAGTTATTATGCTGGCAAGCCTGGTCAATTAAAGCTTTACTTCGTATAAGATCGATAGGTCTCCCAAGCCCATGAAATCGCGCATTAAATCAACTTATGATCTTATCAAAGGCTGCCAGCTTGCAATGCACAGCGCCGTTTTATTAACAGAAGAAAACAATGAATTACGTGCCGCCAATGAAAAGCAGAAGCAAAATAGTACATGATCTAAAAGGCAGATACTTGCGAAGCCAGTCCCTCAATTCCAGAAGCTCATGGGCTAATTGAAGTTCCAATTGAGGCTCTGATTGTACCGGCACCCCCAATGCAAGGCATACTTTACGACCTTTACAGCCGCGTACAAGGGCCTTGCCGAAGTGCAGTGCCTGTGAAAAACGAAAAGTATAAAGGACATCCATGTCCAGATAGATCTAGATAGCCTGGGTTTTAATTAACTGGTATTTTGGTTGATACAAACGCATTTAAATACTAGATATGGGGGGTGGGTGACGGCTTGATGCTGGTCGCTCGGCAGTGGATTACGTTACTTTTCGCAAACTAACTACGTAGATAACTACCAGATTGGTTTACTAAGCTACCCATCTCAGGTATTCATAGTATCAGCTTTGGCCATATTAGTCCTTTAGGAATAAACAAGACGGTGCAAATCTTGTCGACCCTTCTGTCTAATGCGAAGTAATCTAGAGTTGACTAACGCTAGAATCCTCGAGGGTCCGTTCCTCCTTCGGCCCCGCAGACACTTGTGGAATTTCTGCGCCAACTTACTGCTGCGGGTTGCTTTATTGTGTCCAACTTGCGGTCCGTTGAGACGAGCAAGATATTCATTGACATTGACAAACCAGGGATGTCATTCCCACACCCGGAACCTCCAATTTCTTGGAGGTTTTAGGGTAACCAATGAGCATGTATATATTGCCGACTGTCCGCGTCCTCATTCTTTTGATAGCCCTCTTCCGGCATGGGGAGATTGCCATGAGCCCCGGAATTGTGGGATTGATTGATTCGACCATTCAGGAAAGGACCCCAGAATCTCCGGTGCTAACCGTAGAGAAGAAGTCAATTAGAAATGTAAATATGACAAGCCAGTGGAGTTCGATCTCTCACGTAACAGTTTCCTCTGGCGCCGTCTCTTCCGAATTCATTGGCATAACTAGTCCAGCTCTCGATATTTGGGCATGTTTGTCCTCATAACCGCCCATACAAATATCATGTCTTATCTCATCGGCTGCGCGGCATTTAAACCACAGCATTCTTCGGCACCAGCTCATCAAGGAGCCAAGACTGCTGTCTAAACCTTGAAGCCTCCGCATCCTCCTCCCCGCTAGCACCCCACAAGGCGGGTGGCAATAAAACAACAACATGGTCATCATCTCTCAAGCCGCTCAATCAGGTAAGAGAAGGCTGTCTCATCTACGCGATACAAGGGGTAGCACCTCTTCCGTGAAATCCCGACACAGGTCGGGAGACGCCAGATCGACTTGGTAAATCAGGAGATCCCCCGCTGATAAGGGGGTTATTTCAGGAGCTTGGCTGAGATTCCTTGCTCAGTTCCACAGCACTCAAGCGGAGGACTGCATCCCGTATTATGATACTACTAATCCATCCCCTTACGGCAGGGGGCGTGGGTGTCACGTGACCTGGTAGTGTCATGTGACGATCCATGTGATCAGCGACAGCAGCGGGGCAGAGATAGCCGATATTTGCCATTGGTCAGGGGCAGTGTTACCATAGAAGGACAGGGAGTAGTGCGGACTGGTGCGTAGTGATGCTGTATAATTCGTGCCTGTACGGAACTGTAGTAGTAGTACTCCGGAGCTGCGATTGCTTATGCTCAATAGAGGAACTCCTGGAGATCTTGGCTCTTGGCAGACGGAGATCCGCTGCATTACAGTACTACGGCGAATAGCTTAGTTTCGAGCTCTTTTCGAGTGCACCGGAGCAAGTCTTACTTTGAACCAACTGATGCGAGCACTCTGCAACCAGGGTACATGTATAGATAGTCACATCTGTAGTAACCTGCTACAGTCACTGCCTATAGGCTACAGCTACGCAGTGACATGGTTACATAACTGATCTGTATGGCTCCCAATGCGGTTAGCGTCAAACGTTACTGGGTCCGGGGTAAGACACTAACCCAATCCGGCCAAGACAGCTTGATTAGCCTTGGCCATCGTACCATAAAACATGTGGTATCAATAGTTTTCGATTACCGAGTACATAGTGGTATATGAGGGGAGATGCTATATTAACACTACTACTAGCAGTGGTATAGAGTGCAGGCTGACAGTTGGCATTATGTCATGGAATGCCACGCCACGGATCTGCTGCAGGAGCGTGATTCGCCGGGGAGATCACGGGATCACGCAGTCACGCAGTCATAGTACAGTAGAGTACTATTTAGAGGGAAAAAGCAATATCGGCGTTAGACTACGGGAACATACATGGATATAACTGGACGGAATCAAGTATACAGACAGCATTGGCTGTACGGAGACTACAAGTACAAGTACAGTCCCTCTGACGCTGTTCCGCCGGACACCGGTGTCTGGCCCACGGTTCTCCTCTACTTTCCCTTTAGGCTCTCCTTCAGTTTCTGCTCTTTTTCTTTTCCCTGCATTTTCTTTCGCCCTTTGATTGCTTTCTTTCCAGCGTATGCCAGACACAATAGGACTATATACTACTACAGCCTATGTCTACTGACCTCATCCACCCGTTTCCGTGACTAACACTTTCCGCCGCCCCTCTTCGCCCCGTTCTTTTTTTTTTTTTTCCTCCTCCGGTCCTCGTCCTTCTTCTTCAACCTCTCACCACACTCTTTTTTTTTTCCCTTTTCTTTCCTTTTCTGTATTACTCCTTCCGATCTGCGTACGACAGCTGGCAACACCAACAACAATAATCAATCCACTAGAAATCATCCCACTCCAATATAAAAGAGTCGAAGCTCCCCTCCGCTTCGCTCTTTTTCCTCCCACCATGTCTTCCTCCGCCGCCCCCTCCGCCACCGTCGCTTCGGCCTGCGCTTCTCACCACCACCATAAACCCTCCTTTTCTCGCGTCACCACTGCGTCCGCAGGCTATCCTGCTACCCAGGAGGGTGTTCCTCATTCTCCCCGAGACGAATCGCCCCAGATCTCCAACTGCTCTTCTCCCGACGGATCACGCTCCAGCAGTCGCCGTCGTGACTCGTTTGGCTCTATCAAGGAAGACGTCGACGGTAAGTTTTTTTTCCCTCTGGTTTGTGGGCTTACAATTCAAGTGGAGAAAATTAATGGTTTTTGAAGGCGTCGCGCAGTCCTTTGTCGACACCCATATCGACCACCCTCCGAACGAAGAACCCGCCAAGCCCAACATTTCGGAGATGCTCCAGCAAGCCCCTGACTTTTGCTGCCCCTGCGGTGGCTTTTTAGGATGGAAGCAAATTCGTCTTGGTGGGAAGAGTCTGAGCCGGAGCTACAGTGATCTCCGGGCGCTCGGAAGTTTGCAAACCCGTGGATGGGCCTGGGAGACCGCTCCCGCCTTGAGTGACGCTCGTCCTTCCTTTTCCAAGGAATTGAAGCCACCGCAGCCACAGCAATTGCAACCTGTCCAGCACTTGGAGCCTCAGGAGTCCCAGCCACCCCGCCGCACGTCTGCCCTGGAGAGACTCCCTCCGGAGGTTCTTGGTATGTCTCGTCTCTTCAATATCTCTGTTATTATTTCAAGCTAATGTTTTTTTTTTCCAGATGTGATTATCTCCGAATTGGCAGTGGACATCCCTCCCAATGGATTCACCCCGCGGAACGTTGACTTGGTTTCCTGCCTCTTAGCCTCCCGCACGTTGCACGCCGCCACCCTCGGTGTGTTGTACCGCAACATGACCTTCCCCCACTCGATCGTTTTTTCCAAGGGTCTCAACCACCTGACTCAGTATCCCGCCCTGGGAACCCTCGTCCGTCGACTTGACTTTTCCCACTTCACCTCTGTCGGTCTGGGTCGCACAAAGCAGATGAATGCTGAGATTCAGAATCTTACTTCCCGGACCTTGCTACAATGCCTGAACCTTTTGCCCAACCTCAGGGAATGTTTGCTCCAGGAGCACGTGGAAGGCGACATCAGCATCGAGATCCTGCAGAAGTTATTCTTTGGTTTGCCCAATATGAACGCCATCGACTTCTGCGGCTGTTCCACCCAGTCCTTCTCGACCATCTTCCTCGAGGCCTTGACCACTGCCTCGCCTCTTCCACCAACTCTGCCCAACTTGAAACGTCTCTCGCTCCACGAGTGCAGCAGTCTGTCGGCGGAAGCTTTCGAGCTCCTGCTTCCCCGCTTGGTCAACGTCACCCACTTGGACCTCACCCACACCCTGGTCACTGAGGAGGCGCTGCTGTCCATTCCGAAAACGGCCCGGATCACCCACCTGAGTCTGTCCCGCTGCACACGCCTGCGTGGAAACACTTTGGTCCACTTCTTGACCACTCATCCTGCCGTGCGCGATTCGCTTGTTTTCTTGAATCTGCTCACGGATGCGACCCGCTACCGCACTCTGGACGAGGATCATCTCCACGCCTTGCTTCCCAAGTTGCCGTCTACGCTACGCTCTTTGAACTTGGGCGGAGCCAAGGTCAGCTCGGAGCATACTCGCTTACTCCTGCCCTTGACCAAGCATCTGGACGAGCTTGGATTGAGTTCGGCCGATCTGACCGCCAAGGATCTGAACACCTTCTTTGCTCCTCCGTCTCCTCCTTCTCACTTGACGGGGGAACAGGATGATCAGATGGCCATTGACCAACCTCCGGCCCCGCCGGCATCGGAATGGGTTCCCCCATCTCTGGCCTATATGGATCTCAACAAGGTTCCTCAATTGACGATTGGCACCATTTTCAATACCAACACCTGCTTGCTGCTCTCGCAGCAGAGCTACCCCCTGCAGGTCATTGAATTTGGTGACAAGATCATCGCTCCCTTGCGCGAGCGTACCAAGAACACCAAGTCCTCCTCCGGTTGGATGATTCGTGAACTGGGTCGACGTGGATGGTACGTCCGTGACCCCGACTCGATGCCCTCCGGCCTGTCCGACGATGGCTCTCGCTCCTGGAAAATGGGCGCCCGTTGGTGGGGAATGAGAAAGATCCCCGTTGCCGTCGGAGACGTGGGAGGCATCTATGGACATTATATGTTCAAAAAGTGACTTTTTCTCCTCTCTTTTCTCTTTGATTTCTGCATAGGCGTTACTTCGGTGCGGATTACTTGATCTCTGCTTCTATTACGGCTATATATACCAATACCCTTGCGTTGTGTTTCGCGTCGACAATGGCGGATATGGTTTTTGCTTTTCAGATGAAGGTTTGATTCGATGCATGTGGTTTCGTTTTCTCTATTTCGAGCGAATCATAATGGGAGTCAAGCGTTCAACAGAGGAACAAGGGATTGTGTTTGTTGGCAATGATCTGGTTGGTTTTCAGGATTTTTCGTGTCTTTTCTTGCTCAGCGTTGTCATCTCGGTGTTTGTGCATAGCGGGTGATATCTCTTTTTAACGATATGGTTGTCTTTTTACTAATTCGTTTTATATGATGGTTCTCTCCGTGTCTTCTGTCCTTTCATATTTTTGCGATCTGGAGTTCCCTGGAGTTTTCATAGGAGCGCAATCGGGTCTGTCGACGGTTCATCTTCTACTCTGGGAGTGGATTTGTGATTTTAACGATTGTGTATTTCTAACCAACTTGCTCGTTATAATTGAATTCTATAATCGTATTTCTTGACTCTTGATTCATGACCCATGCACAAGGCTGTACCTGTCGCTGTCAATTGGGTGCTGGTATTAGCGTATTTTGATCCCGAGTGGTCCTTTATCTTTGCTTTCGTATTTTCCCTTCCCTTTCCGTTCACTCAAATCTTGACGTCTTTGGAATTTTGATACACCTGGTGCATGTTGAGCTTCCTACTGAACTGTAGGCGAGATTCATGAATTGGTAGGTTGATACTCTCGTTATCGTCCTGGTGTTCTCTTCCGCCGAAACGGAGGTGGTCCTACTCGTTGGATTCCTTCTGGGATCTACCACGAGCTGGTAATATAGCGTATCTTGATATCCACTGACTTGTTACGTCCAGCTACGGCGGGAGGATTTCGCGGGCTTGAAGAGTCTCAGCGCTTGCTGCCACCAATTTAATGATATCTGTCTGCCTCTGCTCTTCCGTCAACTGACAGTGATATGCCATTATAACTCCGCACAGCTCCCACGGATTCTGTCGGGTCCAAGGCCTCTTCGTGCCATTCGGGAATTGTGTGTGTATGAAGATCGAACAGCAATTCTCTAAAAGATGTCCAGGGTATCCTTGAACAGATTTCAGAGCTTCGTGTTATTTAGTAAGTCCTTCTTTCACCTATTCGGGTTAGGTGAACAATATATATATATAGGTTTTATTGATGGTGATTGAAAGCTGAAATGCTATGGCGGTTGGGTCGAATCACGATCTCTTCACTTCTCTGAGGCAACGGCACCCCGATGCCTCGGTGTACTTCCCATTTGTGCCTACAGGCATACCAGACCTGACAGCTAAGACCTTGGCAACCGGCTACAATTGTTTGAAAGGGCTCTGTCTTCTATGGGCGATATCTCATGCTCCCGGAGCGAAAAGTTACTAGGTTCTAAACTTATAACATTGTCTCAACCTGCAAGTCCTCAAACTGAGGCAGGAAAGGGAAGAAAATGATCGTCCAATACGAGATAAGCTCCACTGGAGCTAGGAGATGAGTTTCTGGTGCTGCGGCGAATGCAGCTTTTAAACAAGGTCATATCGCCCGAACAGGTCGCGACTTTCAGTTCCTGTATTCAATGGCAGCATCTCCATCATCTCTCGCTCTTGAATCAAAATCTTGGTGAGCTTTTACCCGTTTTCGCTGGCGCGGTGACAGCACGAGCGCAAGGCATACTTCAGTCTATCGAGCTACGAGCGTCTGAAAATGATGAGCCCAGCAAGTCAATCGCGGCCGCCAAACACTTCCTTGAATGTATCACAGGCTTGGCCACATTCATATGTTATAACTTTCCACTTGAAACCCTAGGAATGCTTGCACACTATCACCAGGGTTCTCTAAACACCTCCAATTTCAATATACGAGATGCGGCGTGCAAGCACGAGTGAATCGCGGGGAGTTGCTGCGATACCCTGGCCCTAGATACCCAGAAAACCCTGGTGAGGAAGTGCAACGTATATTCAATAACATTGATAGAGTTGTTGAATGGTTTCCTCATATCTGGGGCTTAACTTGCCACGACAACAGGAGTCGGTCTATCATGCATTGTCTTCATTATCGTGCCTCCGAAAGCTACGCCACCTAAACTTGAATCTTCCCTTAACCTCAACAGAACTTCCGAGGGAAGATGATATTCACTGGAATCCTATTTCCGGCCTGCCTGCTCCCTTGATCAGGCCTCAGCCCGCTCCTCAGATCTCCGCCGACTATTGCAAGGAAACGTTCAATTACATGCTTAGGGGACAAGAGAAATCCCCCGACTGAGCGGTAACCGGAAGCCGTATGCCTCTTATAATGCTAGTCATCAAAGTTGGCGAGTGGGAGTCGTTCAGCCGCTCCTCAGCTCATTGAAGCGAGCATAAATACATCTGAATCTGCCAGAGGATAAACGACGGCCTTCTGAGGCCGTAGTTTGTGAAAGATACGAGTTTTGGATATCGCGACGAGCAATACGAAGACTTCCTGCTATCTCATGGCTTCGCTGTTCCTTGGGATCCTTCCCGGAGTGCGTTTGAGAGCAGGCGTAAGCGAAGACCTGGGTTCAAGCCTCCTACTACTGGCAGCGCTGGAAGATGTGGCACACCCTCTGTTCAACGTGGTTCGTGCATGGCAGTTTCGCGTCGAGGGTCTTGACGGTTGATTCAGTGAATTGGGTAATTTAGTGGACTTGTCGCATCAATATTATTCTTACAAATGTTCTTAAAGTGTGCAATGTTATCGGTAGGTAAGAAGTAATACTTCGACATGAAACGGATAAACCAATGAAGCGCTAAAACTTTATGAAGTCGATTATCCGGACTGCACGAGACTATAGGCGAGGAATTTGAATTACACTAAAGAGTGATATTGACATCTATAGACACCGTAGATAGTAGAATGAGTACTTGTTGATCTTTAGCTCATCCACATCCATCCGTTCAACGCTGTTTTTGAGCTCATATCCTCTTATAGAGCCCCGAGATTCGAATTCAGCAAGATGAAGTGTCTCCAAGGACAATAGGTTCTCTACTGGTCCTGGCACATATGACACTTCCCAATCTCACTTCCGAGCTCTTCGGTAGGTTGAACTTCATTATGCCCCTTGATGAGCATTCGCATGCCGCTCGCGATAATGAGAGTTCCACGGCATTTATCCATGTGTTCAAAGATCACCTTATTCCCTGTACACATACTCGTTGCTCCACTGTCAAAGCACCATCTCGTTGGATCATCACTGGCTCGGTAAGCGTCTTCCCTAATGAACCCTGCATATTCCATTGTATCGGGCTCTTCTGGATCATCTGGCACCTCCAGCATTTCTATCACATGCGCGCCATATTACCCCTCAGAGATATCGCTTAATGAGTCCTCATGGTCTTCAGTGGGTCGGCCTTGTTGTTCCACCGGTTTCTGGCCCTTCCAATCCCGGTCTTTGCCTCCTTCAGCGGCGCCACCGCTGGCATCGTCATAATCATCACGCTTGTTCGGACAGTCCCTCACTCGGTGCCCGATTCCCTGACAAGCAAAGCATCTCATGCCCTTATTCTGATGAATCCGTGACGCTTTCTCGGCTGTTTCTCTCAGCTGCAAGAGGTCTTCGATGCGGCTGAGCTTCATTGAGGGTGGTGTCTGAACTCATCGCTATGCCCCGCAGTGGCATATTGATCTCCTAATCCTCGAGGATACCATAAAACCGTCAAACCACCAAATTTGACAGTCTCGTCGCCGTTCATCTCAATGAACCCCTCGGCCATCTGCTTGAGCTCTCGAAACGCTTCCCTCTCGTCCCATTCTGATGGAACCCAGGTCCAGTTGGCCATTTTCATCGACTTGAGCACTTTCCTGGTGCTTGGAGATTTCAAGAACATCTTCAGATATCCCCATCTCTGTCCAGCGTTCAATTGGGAATAGTTGATGGCGATAATCCTGTCTGATGGTGTTCAATCGCTCGCCAACTAAATTGACCTTTCCATCGCACGGAACCAATATCCAGCGTTATCCTCGTTCAGCTTGTCGATCGAGAAAGGATATATCTTTACGCCAGTTTCCTCTACTCGCTCCTTCGGCAGCATCCTGCTCCTTTCACTGCTATTCTCTTCCATTATGACTTTTCTCACAACTCAATGAGCTCCGCTGAGCAGATTATTGGCCGATAATCATGTAGGGAACTAATCGAGGGTGAAACACGTAGTTGGAATCGTATCGATCGGTCTATACTCGATGTGAAGCGAATATAGAACCCCCGGGGTGCCACACGCTGGTTAGGCGTTGATATATCCAAATATCTTGGGCAGGCCCGGGCTCATAACCAATAAAGCAGGTAGCTCGGAGAGGAATTCGGGAGTCGATTATTCCGGACTATCGAGGTCTATGGAGAGAAATAGTGTGAATGAAGAGGCATGCTGCCTATCGATCGTACGTCTGCGTACACAACTGATTGAGTGCTTAACCATCTAAAGCGCATGGCTACGGTGTTCTTATGAGGAATCTGTCGGGCTCGGTAAGCGGGCCAACCATTAATCCGTCTTGATTTTCATAACGGCACTCTGGTCAGTCACGTGCCCTCCGCTACAAAGCTCCAACCCAAGCTTCCGCCGCGACATTTTCCAGATCGACGACGCCAACTCTCCCAAAGCCGCTCGGAAAGGCTTATCTGCCTCTCGCGCCTCTCTCATCCCAGGCTTCCTCCCTCCCGATGGGTGGATCCGTCAACGCCGCCCTGGACAGTGGAAGCCGTCGACTTGAACGACGATGGCACCTCCGAGCGGGTCGGCGACGTACAAGAAGAAAGATGGCACCCTGACCATGTCCCAGGACAGCCAGTCGGTCTCGTGGATTCCCGCGGCCGGTGGTGCCTCGGGGACGATTACTTTGCCTGTTGGTCATGTTACAAGTATGTTGAGGAATAATGAATTCCTTTGGAAGGCGAAGTAAGCTGACCCTGCTAGATCTGCAACAGACACCCGCGAGTAATCCCAAAGTCATGCTAAAGATATTCGTCCAGTCTCCCGACGTAAGTGCTCCCGAACAATACGTTTTCTCCTTCACGGCCGGGGCCAACGCGCGCCCCGAGGCAGACGCCATCAAAGACGCCCTCAGCTCCGCCATCCAAGCCACCAAAGCCGCACCGCAGCCTTCAGGAAGCACACCCACTCCCACTCCCACTCCCGGCGGAACCCCCGCAGCACTGCCCCGCGATGGCAGCATGTCCGCAGCCATGGCGATGGCAAACGCCGTCTCAGCAGGAACAGGCCGCAACGCATGGGACGACGATAACCGGCTCAAAGCCGACGCTGAGCTCCAACAGTCGCTGTTACGGGCGGACCCGAATCTCAAGCGGATGTTCTTTGAATCACTAGACACGAAGCCCGAGTCGTTGACGACGGGCCAGTTTGCGTCGCAGTTCTGGTCGACGCGGTTGCATTTGCTGCGGGCGCATGCGATTGAGCGGGGCCAGTTGCGGGGGTCATATAATGTGCTTTCGACGCTGAAGCCACGGACGGAGGAGAATGTGACCAAGTTGAATATTAGCAAGGAGCAGATTCAGTTGATTTTCAGTCAGCATCCGCTTGTTAAAAGGGTGTATGATGAGTGTGTGCCCAAGTTGTCGGAGCAGCAGTTTTGGTCGAGGTTTTTTCAGAGTCGGTTGTTTAAGAAGTTGCGTGGAGAGCGTGTCTCTGAAAATGATGCTACAGATGGTGTTTTGGATAAGTATCTTCTGGAGGATGAAAATGTTGGGCTGCGTGATGCGCATGTGCCTCAGTTTCTGAATTTGGCGGGTAATGAGGTGAATCATAGCCAGCGACGGGGTAACCGGCCGGATTTGGATATGAGACCTTCAGGTGTGGACAAAGTGCCTATTATCAGGACATTGAACAGTTTGAGTGAGAAGATTATGGCTGGTGTTGCGCCCGCGGACAGAGATCCTACGGCTCCGGTAGGGATGGATGAAGAGACGTATAATGCGTTACAACTACGGGATCTACAGGGCGATGAGGAGCAGGGCCGGGTATTGTTGAATGTTCGGGACCAAAGTCGATTCTTCACGCAAGCCAAAGATGCAGCGGAAGAGCAGAGTCATTTGATCTCGCAGCAGGATCCTGAAAAGGTACTGGGCACTCTCCGTACGCAAGTACAGCAACAATTACCAGACGACGGCACCGCACAGCTAGGCCGATTGGTGCAACCAGACGAAGACGAAGATGCGGACGAAACTCGATCCCGCCAGCAAGTAGGCTCTAAATCCAACCTCCAACAAGCGTCCACCCAAATCCTCGGCGCAATTCGCGACCGCCGCACCCAAACCGAAAGCTCCTCCACAGAAGGCACCTATGGCCTCACCCCACCCCTTTACGACCGCCTAATCCTCACTCACGCGACAAGCACCGAATTCCTTCACCAATTCTGGCAAGCCTTCCTATCCGGTAACGCGGACCGCGCGGGAGAGGTCGCCTCGCTGGTAGAATCGCTCAACCGCGCAATGCAGCGTATCAAGGCCGTCGCTGCTGATGCGGAGGCAGACCGACAGAAAGAAGTAGAACGGTTGAAGCAGCATGCGAGAGATATGTTGGAGGCGACGGGGAGGAAGATACGGGTAAGTCTGGCGGGAGTTGTCGGCGGGGAGAAGGTAGTGAATCAGTTGTTGGGGCCGACGATTAGGGCGTTGGAGATTGCTTTAGGGAAGTACAAGGAGGCGTTTGCAGAGGAGCTGAAGGAAGCACCTGCATAGGTGTATACATTCTAATAACACTCCTGTTTTTAATCCGTTTTTGTGCAGTAGATAAACCGCTTAAAAACTGTGTAATATATACAGCGCCCCCATAACAAACACCCTCACGACCCCTCTACAGGCTCAACCGCCGCCAAATTAATCCCATTAACATCATCCTTAACCTGCTTCACAATCTCCTCCGTAGTCGGATCTTCGACACTACACACTTCATCCTGAATCGGATTCCAGATGTAGAATTTGCCTTGTGCCTCGAACACAATACATGCCTCTCCAGAAGTCCGTGAGTTTCACAGGAAAGGATGCGGATTCTTCAGGCCATATGTACTTGCCATCTGGGCGCCGGGGCTATCGGGACTTCTCCAGGTGTAGTCGAGGTCTAGCTCGGAGGGATCTTTGGTCCAGTTCTAGATGGGTCATGCTCATGTTAATGGATGTATATATGGGTGCATGAATGGAGGTATGTATGTGAAGCTGAGAAACGAATGCTTGTTTTATCAGCACGCAAAAACTATTTATGAGATGCCGACACGGACACTGGCAATTAGAGAAACGTAATTAGAGAAAAGTAATGGCACTCCATTCCGTGATTTTCATGGCTGAATCAAGAATCCACAAGTGTCGTCACTGAAGTCCCCCATACCCTCCCCGGAGGTTGGAGGGATTCCCAATCAATGAACATGATTTGCGATTGAGTCCCCTGGTCCGATCCTGGAGATGAAGGGAGTCCTAGTTATACATTGATGGATTTATAGATAGCCTACAGAGTAAAGTATGTACGTATGTCTGCACCTATGTTGACAGATCGGTTTACATGCATTTTACCGCCCCAGCGGCACGTGCCAAGTGGACCTCAAGTAGACCACCGTAGACCACAACACAACATACTTGTACATAAGTAAACAACAACCACCACCCGGCCACGGCCAGGCCTTTTCACCTTTACCAGAGATAAACAAAATGTACACGTCCGGCCTAACCAACACGCCCATCACTAAGAACCTCCTAATCTACACCATCGCCTCGTCAGTCCTGCTCTCCATCCTCGACTCCAAGCATCTCGTATCGATCTACGTCTCGCCGCATCTCTGGCAGTACGGACAATTCTGGCGCGCGGGGATATGGCAGGTTGCGGGCTTTGCGAACTCGACAGAGGCGCTTTTTGCGGCGGTTCTGGTTTATCATCTCAGGGTCGTTGAGAGGGGGTGGGGGAGGAGGAAGTTACTCGTGCGTTTAGATGCGAATGGTGATGGCAGGTACAGATGAAGATGCTAATGTATGCGATGCACAGTCGTTTATCCTCTCAACACTACCGTATACAACCTTCCTCCCGCCGTTCCTCATGGCCCTCGTCATCCGTCCCCTATCCTTCAACACAATCAATTACCTCCCCTCCGGGCCCGTGGCAACCCTCTTCGCTCTTCTCGCCCAATACCACGCTCTAATCCCACACACCTACCGCTACCGCATCGGCACGTCCATCAGTGCCGAAACTTCACCCACGAAAGGAATAACCCTCCTCCTCTCCAACAAAAGCACAACATACCTCCTCGCCTTCCAACTCGCGCTTTCGCAATTTCCCTATATGCTCCTCCCGTCTGTGACGGGGTGGTTTGTGGGATTGGCGTGGCGCGCGGAAGTACTGCCTGGTGTTAACATGAATTGGAGGGTTCCGGCTTGGGTTGTTGGGGAGAGGGAGAGGGTTAGTAGAGGGGAGGAGGGAAGGTTTGAGGATTTGAGGAGGAGGTTGGAGGGGGAAGTTGTTGCTGCTGGGGGGGCTGCTTCGGGAGTTTCTCCGAATGGGAATGGGGGGGATGGGAGTGAGCAGAGGCAGAGGGTATATAATAGTCTATAAACCTTGTTTACGTTGGCTAGTATCTCTACTATGTACTTTATGCGATTGTTTATTGTTGTTGTGCACACTTACATTCTGGGCTATAAAACGCTAAAGTGATTCCCTATTCAACAATTGGTCCTGTAGCTCAGTCGGTTAGAGCGTGGTGCTAATAACGCCAAGGTCGCGAGTTCGACCCTCGTCGGGACCATTTTTTGTGTGTTTTTTTTTTTTAAACCTTTTTTTGGCCGGGAGGGGGGTTTAACGTTTAATGTCGTTTTCATTCGCTATTTCTCTTTTTGCCGTTCGATATCTTCCATGTCGAAGTATAGTAATATTCATATCATTCCGAGATGTACATAAATCAGTCTATCTACAAAGTATCAGTCTATTGTACCTGCTTATGACAGCCACTACCTCCCGCTTCGACTCCGCCGCATGCTATCCTTGCACTCATTGCAGTACCATTTGACTAAAACAGTTAGTAAATATTCAATGCAGACCATCAAAAGAGGCAACTTACCATTCTTCCCAGGTGGCTTGGTCATTCCCACACACGACAAATGGAACCACTCTCGTGGACAAGCATCATTATCGCACGCAACCATCTCTCCGAAACTAACTTCGTTACAGTAGCAATACCGCGGCTCGCCTTCTTCGTCTTCATCGTCGCCCTCATGCATCGATTCTTCTTCTTCTTCCTCCTCCGGCGGAGGCGGCACGACTGGAGCAGCCCCGCTCTTTTTGTGAGACCGTTTGGCAGAAGTGGCTGGTGCAGGATTAGTGCTTCGAGTAGGACGTGCGCGTGGTTGTGCGGGTTCGTAGGATTGGAGAACAGGGGTTGATGTTTTGGAGGATCTGCCTTTGGACCCGGAGTTGGACTGGGGTGGAGCTGGCGACTCGCCTGTTTCCACTGATTCGGCAGGCCTGTCTGAGCCCTCTCGCTTGGTCCCTGACACTGGTATCCTGGACATAGCGCCACTGCCCGCTTCACTTTCTGGTTCTCTGCGTTGTGCGTCCACACCGGCGCCACCAAAGATACCAGGAACACCAGGTTCCGTATTGTGAGGTGTATCCCTGGAAACTTGTTTGCCTTCGACGCCTTTATCTACAGCGAGGCCCGCGTTAGAAAGGGCACGCCCCAGGGTTGGTCCAGGTCCAAGAAACGTACTGTCAGTCACACGGTTTGACGTGGCAGACGATGGTCTATTCCGTCCATTGCCCGATTGTGCACCGTTTTGTGGCGCACGAGATGATTGTGGTCGACTCGTCGTAGATACAGGACTCGTCTTTCGTGGCGCATTGAATGTCCCAATGATGGGAGATGGTGCCAGTATAGGAGACTCGGCCGCGGTAATACCAGTGGTGTTCCTACAACATGTTAGTAAGGAGAAAAGAGGCAGGTGAGCAGAAAGCATACCTCTTGCGTGCAGCGACTGTACCTGAATTAGGAGCTCGCGATCTCTTCTTGGTAGGATCTTGAGCATCTTTAGAACCGGCTCCTCCAGCAGTGCTACCGGCGCCACTCGCCGTTCGTTCCATTGGAGTACCGGATTCTGCGGGTGTTGGCCGGTCAACCTTCCGACGTTTCGTGGCCGCAGTACTACCGGACACTGTATGATCTGCTGTAGCATGTTCCCCTGTAGTAGCGCTACTTCGCGCCTTGCTATTATGTCCCCTGCGAGAACCAGAACGGGTGTCGTCAAACTCAGAATCCGCGTGACCGCGGCGATGCTTGCGTGCCAGGATTGCTTCCCGTCTAGCCTCACTCCGGGAGAAAGCTTCCGCCTCTGCCAATTCCTTAGCTGCCGCTACTTCACGACGAGGACGTTCGTTCGTAGTGGTTTTTGTAGTGGTGTTGCGATTTGAGTAGGCCCAGTGGGTGAGGCTACCCAGGCGAGACTCATCACTGATCTCACCCGCGATGAACGGGAAAACTGTATCAAGACGCGCGACCTGACGATCCAGCTCGTCATTGGCGTTGGAAATCACATGATTCTTTTCGTCCGCAGTCATCATCAGATCCGAAAGAGTGTGTCGTACGCGATCAAAAAGGAGACGACGATTTTTGCTTTCCGGCGACTCGGGTGGTTGTGAGGGGTTCTGTGGATGCGAATTCCATCAGCTCCAATCTTCTATAAATCTTTTTCTTTTGTAATTCGCAGTAGAGGTTTACCTGAGGTACAATATCATCGCGAATCACGCCCGCGACAATAGGCGCCGGATTGGGAGGATGCTGCACAGCCTGGGACTCCGAAGAGACCTTGAGCAGCTGCAGAAGATTCTCTTCCAGAGCCCATGCCTTCGCATCCACCTCTTTAAGTAATGAATTATGACGACGGAATTCTCGCGGAAGCGCCGTGATGGCGTCGGTGAAATGGGTGAGAGCAGGATAAAACCCGTGTGGAATGGTGGGCGTCGGAGGGGCGTCACTCATCGAGCTATGGCCATAGGCAAATGATGAGCGGCCAAGCGTCTTGGAGGTTCGCGAAGGATTCGTTCGTGTCTGGCGCGCCGATTGACGAGCACTTTGACCCTGGGGGTTGACGACTGAAGAGATCGCAGCCGACATGGCGAGGAAATTTGACAAGCCAGGATCGAACCTGGCTCAATCCAGACTGTAGTATCAAGGAAGAATAAAGAGTGAAAAGCTGAAGCGAGCTTGACAATAGACCGGAAGACAAGAAAAACGAGAGTAGTTGAGCAGATAGGCGTAAGATGGAGCTGAGAAGAAGATACAGTGCGGAGAGAAGAGTCACTTTCCCCTTTGGGCTAGTTGGTTGATTAATCAGGTGATGTTTAGGTGCCTTGAGAACAAGGCAAACATGCCACCGAGAAAGCAACTTAGCTAGTTAACTAGTAAATAGAGTGACGTCATTTATCAACTATACTTCTACTTCTACCCTAGACAATCACATAACAAGATACATTGACAGCTTTAATATTTTGTCTCAATTTATCAATACAGAAGCGTGTTCTTGGCCAGATAGCTGTAATGTGCGTACTGGTCAACAATGCTATCTATAGCTATGATCCTAGTACTGCTTCAGTGAATGCCATGTAGGCCTCGAAATGGGACCGCAAGGACCGCAAACCAAACCGGACCAGACCGTTGTGGTCCGGTCTTTGGTGCGACACCTAAGGACCGCAGTGCGGTCCTTGGATTTTTAGGACCGCACCACAGTGGTCCAGTTAAGACCGGCGGTCCTACAAACAGGACAAACATAGAAATTCTGTGATATGCATATTTTATGCAAATCTATCTGTATTTTCAAGTATTTTGCTTACGGATTAGTTGAAATATTAGATGAATACTCATGTAGATATCATATAAGCAAATTTTAGATTAAAATGGGGGTTTTTTTTTTATTCGTTGGTCTGTTAGATTGATAACTATTCATACACAAAATCTTCACGTCTCAAGCGCTTTGGAAGCCGCCCTGATGAGCGCCTCTGAGTACTACTATCACCTTGCAGGTAGCTATTATCAGGTAGAGGAATCTCATCAGCTTCATCTAATCCAAGTAAAGGACCCGGCTCATCTGATATAGCTTCAGCCCTTCTCTTCCCAAGTGCACGCTCACTAGGAGGATGAATAACTTGAGATGTGGCTCCAGCAGAAGATAGTTCATCCTCATCATCACTAATTGGGTTAAATTCATCCTGTTTTTTCCAAGCATCTTTTTCCTCCTTTGCTGCTTGTGTTTCTTGAGTAGTAAAGTACTCTTCCATTAGGGAAAGCTGCTTGGATTCCATATTGAACTTTGTTGTACACATAAACAACATCAGCTCTTTGATTGTTTTCGGTTTTAGTGATCCCCGGCGGTAGTGGCAGATGTCCCGAGCAGAATTGAATAACCGCTCAACACCAGAACCACTGGCTGGTGTTGTAAGAACATCTCGGGCAACGCTTGCCAGGATGGGGTATTCATGTTGGTGATCTCTCCAGTACACCCGTGGATTCACAATTTGAGTACCTATAGATGTTAATATCAGGGAAGGAAGATATAGAGGATAAGCTTACCACTTCCAAGATACCGTGAAAGCTCATCATTAGCAGTTGTTTGTGGCTGTAGAGATGCGGCTGATGTCACAAGGATATCTACATCAGAGATACCCTCTGCTGAAGACCGGGCAGCTGATATAGACTGTGTCTCTGAATAGCGCTGCTGGTAAGGTTGAATGTAAGCCTCAAGGGCCTTCCGGTATCGTGGCTGCCAGTTTGGCTCCCAGTCCTTTGTTGAAAAGAATTCTAGCTTGTTCTGTGGCGCTAAGATAGTCCCAATTGCATAGAGATCACCCTCAATCTCATCAGTCTTCCTATAATATTCTGAGAGCTTTACCTCTGCAGCCTTTAATGCTGACAGCATCACCTTCTTCCAGCCAACCTTCTTTTGCGCCAGTTGTGCCCTAGATTTCTCAAGATGAGTGAATAAGGTGTTGTAGATTGCAAAGACACTATGGATAGTGACCTCAGTAGTCTTCGAGAGAGAGGTTGTAAATTTAAAAAAAGGTTGGGTGATTGATAAAAGATAGTCAATTTGTCGCCATTTATCCCTATCTAGCTTTAGATCAGGATGGCCGTATTCAGAGCAGTACTCATCAAAAGTAGACTGAAGTCGTTTGGCCCGCCGAAGCATGAGATATGTTGAATTCCAGCGTGTCTGGACATCTTGTATAGGAACAAGCTTAGGTTCTTGTGTCTGAAGATCCATGAAATTCTCTCGTCGCTGGGGGCTTTTATTGACAAAGACTGCTAGCCGTCGAACCTAAAAAATTATTAGAGATTAGAAATTAGGATTATAGAAGAGATAGATTCATACCTTATTTAGAGTATTCACAATCTCTCTGTTCTCTTGCTGGGCCCCATTCCTTCTCTCAGTCCATTCCATCTCTTCTCTATCATTACATGGGTTTGCTTCCATCTCACCAAGTAGCTCCTTTAAACTTAGTTGGATGACATGTGCGATACATGGCATGCGAATAATTGGTATATAGTTAGGTAGCTCAAGAGATGTAAGGGACTGTTGCAGGCTATCCATCAATGTAGAGTTATTAGACGCATTATCAGTGGTAGCCGTTAATACTCGATCAGTAATGTGATACTTCTCAAGAAGGTCAAACAGAACAGTGCTCAGATAAGACCCAGTATGTGAGCCATGTAGGGGTTCAAAGCCAAGTAATATCTCGCGATAATTCCAATCTTTATCAAGAAAATAGCCTGTTACTGCCATAAAGGCCTGGCGAAAGGGTGAGGTCCAGCAATCCAGTGCAATAGAGAGCTTAGCGCCCTCTGGGAGCTTCTGAATCAGAGTATGTTGACGCTCTTCAACCAATTCTTGAAGATTCCGGCGGACCGTGTACGCAGAAGGGATTTCAGGAAAGGATGGAGCAAGCCGGGCCATTTCAATGAGGGCATGAAATTCTGGATGCTCAACAAGTTGAAAGGGTAGACGTGAGGCTGTTATGAAGGTAATTATCCTCTCCATCCATGCTTGTTGAGTGAAAGATGCTTTTTGAAGAGCTTGGTGTGCCTAATAAGGAGTTTTAGTAAGATAAGTAGAGGTTCAGATGAAAGATAGAGATATCTATACCCCATTATTTATCAGCCTTCGAATATCCTGCGATTGGGGTGCCAATTTCTGACAGTTGATCCCTTGTGAATAGTGTCTGTTCATAGTAGATGTTCCACGGTGGCGGTCAGCAGGATGGGCAAGGATATGGTCACATTTCTTACACATAACCTTAGGGGATCCATCCTGGATAGCAACTACTTGATGGAAATAGTCCCAGGACTCTGCATGGTGTTTACCCTTGAAGATATTCCGTTTCATCTCACTTCCATACTCAGTCTTCAACCACCATGTGACAAAGTCATCATTCACCATCTCTGTCCAAAGGATATAGATCTTCTTCTTTGCAGGACCAACGCGTTCCAGTGTCTCAGGAATAGGAGGCGGAGGCACTGGCTGTGTGAAATTAGTGCTAGAGCTGGGATTTGGCATGTTTGGGCTGTGCAAAGGGTTGAATGACCCATCAGATGGAAGGAAGCAGGGGCTATCCAACAGGTTTTCCTCCAAAAATGATGAGGAATAGTGCTCAGAGAACTGAGAGGCCTGGCTCTGTGACATTGTGATGAATTATGATAGGAAGGGGAGTGTGTAGAAGAGACTTAATAGAGTTTTTTTAACCAGAAGAAATAGTTGGTTGCTAATAGAGTTGCATTCAGAGCAGTTTGGCACAGATTAAGCTGCAAAAGCCGCATTTAGTGACACACTAAACCAACTGCGGTTAAAGTTGGATAGGATTGGAATCAGATTCTCCAAAGTCCAAGCCACCTTGTAATCTGTGACAATAACTAATAACACACAGCATCATCAAGCATTGAATACAATTAATATTCCATTTATATTAATATCATCTATATCAGTCTCATTCCGCTATCAACCATCTCCGAAGCAAAAATAGCCATATATTTATATACATTCCGAAGTTGCACAGCAATTCATATTTACTCCGTAATGTCTACCCATGTATATATATATATATATATACCCAGCAGCCTGTAGTATATGAGATGAACTGGTCTGTAGGCTGCTGAATGCTGATGAAATCCATATCTAACGGCAACCTATAACTGAAAGGCATTGCGTTGTATATTGATCATTAAATCCAACTGTAGTTTGGTAAAAAATTATTGTATAACTCCAAGAAATTGGCAAAATACTATTTACCTCTGTATGATTACAGGAGATTTTGATATACAAACCAAGACAGTATTTAATAATGGTAAAAAATCAGATGAATCAGCAAATTATCCAGCCGAAAAAGGAAAGTCTTGGCAATTTTATGCAATTGCGGTCCCCCGCGGTCAAGACCGCAAGGGACCGCAAGGGACCATGGTCCGGTCCGGTCCTGACATTTCAGGACCGCAAGACCGCGTGGTCCGGTCCTTGGTCGCCGACTATAGGACCGGGACCGCACCATTTCGAGGCCTAATGCCATGAAAGAATAGGTGTGACTTTCTGTTGACTTCAGTCACATGATTCGGTGCATTTTGCCTTCTCAATTTACCACAGCATCCATACTGACATCCTATTTGCCATAATAGCACTATCTATCCTCCTGATTGAGCTGATCCTCCATATGTCGAGCTCCCCAACAAGCTAATCCTCTATACCACTAGCTTTTCCGAATATGATGGAGATATACATGTTCTAGTCCATATAAACCGGCGACTCCATTCCCTACCAAATTTCTATCTGTGTAAGCATACTCTCCAGTATCGTAAGGCCACAGCCCAGACATGGGCGGCTCGCAGGGGCGTGGTTTCGACTTTCAGATGCTTGACGCGGGAGCCTCATCGGGGCACATTTACCATGAAATACCGTGCGAAGACGTTTGATGCAATTTTGGCCCACCATTCTGGCAGCAAAACAGGGAAACAACGATATAGTAGAACTGCTGTTGGATAAGGGATGGATCCCGATCCAGCTGGATGGACTTTTCCAGCCGAGGTCTAAGAATAGAGAGACGAACATGGCAACATGTATACACAGCGAACCTGATATTCTGGGTACTTACTTGCGGCCAGGAATCCGTTATACGAACCCTGATTACACACGTAATGAGAAAGAAGCCTATACAACTGAAAACCTTAGTGAGGACCAGGCAATTGCGAAGTTCTACACAGAACATCTACCGGCCATTGTCAATAAAACGATCCAAGTTTATCATAATTTCTCTGACTATTTTCAGAGTGCACTCAATGAACAGCTCACGGTGGTAACCTATTAGCGGTCCAAGTCTTGCTCCGTGCTGGCGCGAGCCCAAACTTGACCGACGAAGAAGGATACTTCTTATTGGATCATGCCATAATACTTCGAGATAATTATATTGAAGTTATTTGCCTTTTAATTGATCACGAAGCTTCTCCTTTTGAACGATTTGGCGGATTGCAACCACTGTATGGCATTTATGGGGAGGCAGGTCAAAAGAAATATGAAGTGGTAAAACTTTTGCTAATATGCATTGACTTCGAGGAGTATATGACTGATGATAATGACCAGGATTTTTAGTTACAGCAGCAAAGTGCGAATGCACTACTACTGTCCAACAAATTCCTGACAGAGAACCCTAAGGCGATACAAAATCCTTGGTCTCCCTTCTGCACTGAATTTTGGGATCAGAGCTTTGCATACGCAATTAGCTTCCCACCGGTATTCTGACTCCTGTATGAGAAAGGCGTGTTCGACTAACTAAAGCTTGGAACTACGGAGATGCCACGAGCTGTGAGATCAGAGGATATTTCATCAGTTCAGTTACTGCTTCATAATGGCGCTCCACTAGTCAAGTCATATGAGACGATGGATAATGCAACAGAAGGAGGGCCATATATGTTCGATTTTCTACAGGCACAGGGTGCATTCCTAATCTCGCGGGAAACCCCTAGAAGCTTTGAAGCAGACCATACGCCTCATCAATACACTACCAGGTTGGGATTTTCTTCCACCAGAATGGAGGTTAACGAAGTCTGCGGAGGACTTCTACTGGCGGCAGAAATATCCTGTTCCGTGAAGGATTGGACGGTAGAGATATATTATTGGTCTATTGTTTATTTTCGGCTCTATCAAAGCAGAGTGCAGGACATTGAACTTATTTACTTGTCATATGAAGTCCACTCAGACCAGTTTGAATATAGTAGCGAGCTGTTTTTATGGTAATTCTCAGGCACTACAAATGGAGTAAGCAAGTGTTCGGCTTCGGGCAATTAGGGTTGCCGATACTCCACCGTAACACCGTTGATATCCGAATTTGATAAGTGCCGACTTTACCCTGTCCCCGCCGACTCGACTTAAACCCACCACCTACGCCTTATCTCTACTGCATCCACCAACAAACAGAATAACATGGTTGAATCAAACATGTCGCAGCGAGCTGGACAGGCCGCCGAATCAGCAAAACAAGTCCCTTGGCATGTCATGTCGGATACATGGTCTCCCACCACCAACCCCAGCGGCTATGTCAACGTTGGCGTCGCAGAGAACATGCTGATGCACGATACGTTGCTGGAATATATCAACACAAAACTCAGTCTGCCGGCAAAATATCTTACTTACCATGACGGCGCGACGGGGTCAGATCGTCTCCGACGCGCTATCGCGGGTTTCCTGAATAAGCATTTCCAGCCGGCCTATCCTGTGGTTAGCGATCATTTAGCCGTGACGAATGGTGTCTCTTCGGCTATCGAGCATGTGTCGTGGGCATTCGCGGATCCGGGTGAGGGGATCCTCCTGGGAAGACCGTACTACGGAACATTCATCCCCGACATGTCGCTCCGGCCTAGCACCGCAGTTATTCCTGTCGAGTTCCAGGACTGTGATCCATTCAGCCTCGAAGCTGTGGATCGATACGAGAAGGCGTTACTTAATTTTCAGAAGTCCGGTCGACGAGTTCGCGCGTTGATGCTATGCCACCCGCATAATCCGTTAGGACGGTGTTATCCCCGCGAGACGTTGATCAATTTAATGCAGCTGTGCCAAAAGTATCAGTTGCATTTTATCAGTGATGAGATCTATGCTCTTTCTGTATGGGAGAATACGATCGATGAATTACAGTCTCCGCCTGTGCCGTTCGAGTCTGCTCTTTCAATTGATACGGCCGATATCATCGACCCGGGCCTCGTTCATGTGCTGTGGGGTATGAGTAAGGACTTTGGAGCGAATGGTTTGCGGCTGGGCGTGATTGTCTCACAGAATAACGCGGACCTTCACATGGCATTGAAGGGTGTGACCTTGTACAGCTACTCTTCCTCCGTCTCAGACCACCTGGCTTCTATCATCCTAGAAGACCATGCTTTCACCGAACGCTATATCAAGCAAAACCAACAGAAACTCTCCGAATCTTACGCATTTGCCGTCCAGCTTCTTAAGGACAATGGCATCGAGCACGCTGCCGGTGGCAACGCCGCGTTCTTCCTCTGGATCGATCTGGGTCGGAAATATCGCGAGGTACACCCGGATGAGCCTGAGGATTCCGATGCAGGTGGGAAGGTGATGACAGCACTTATGGAGAAGAAGGTATTTGTATCGAGTGGGGCTTTGTTCGGGTCAGAGCATAGTGGATGGTTCCGTCTTGTGTTTTCGCAGCCGCGGGAGTATATTGAGGAGGCGTTGCGGAGGGTCATGTTGGCGATGGAATAAGTCAATTCTGGGATTAGAATACTGTGCACAGTAAACATTTTCAATTAATATGTACATAAAACACATTGCTGGATGCTTGCTGTTTCTTCGAAACGTACACAGCATTACAATGCTAGTATTGGCGACCATTATCGTAAAAAGCATAATGTCGAAAAAATTCCGAGTAAAACCTCTTTTGCCAATGTTTTCCCTCTGGAGCTTGGGAACAGCTAATCGCTTTGTTGATGACCTGAGTCATCATACACAGTTCATAATTTTTCATCCTGAATGAAACCTTGGGTCCTGACGAATGCGCCGCCAAAGTGTGAGCATCTTTTGCTTAGAGATATTTCTCGCGAAAGGCTTTCCAATTTCTCTATAAGGGAGGATATTGTAAAACCGACTCCCATCAGATCCTCTCAAATCTCGCGAAAAGCTCCCCGAATAATAAAATTCGATGACAATGTGCTGAGCATCTGGGGGTATTGTCAGTGTTGGAAAGACTAACACACCGCAGCTTATTCGCCACTGAATAGTATGGGGGCTTCATTCTAACGTAGCGTACCAACCGGGGCTTCATGGACTCTTCCATACGGAGAGCCAAAATCACATAGTATGACTGGGAGGTCACGGCGGCTAGCAAAAAAACCGGTATTTATACTCCACAATTTAGACAGTTACGTTCCACTAGTCCGTGAAGCAGGCCTAACGCCAGCAGAGGCCCTATTGGAGGCCCGACAATTGAGATATACTACCCAACTGCTCAGCTTACTGGAGAACCACCCAGCTAAAAAGATCCTCCCAGTGAGCTTCCGAGAAGGGGATCAGCACACCCAGCCTGGGGAGCAGACCCCAGGGAACCGACAATGGGCAGAAAGCAGCAACCGGGGCCTATGGTCCCTGGGACAACATTTAGCTCGACAACTAGCCAATATCCTACCAGCAGACCCATCCGAGGGCTTTGAAAGCATGATACAGACAACCAGTAGCCAGTTCCCAGGCCAAATAGAAGTGCTGCCAGGTCCAGAAGCCCTAGCAGCAGCGCAATCTCCTCCTCCTGGACTAGCAATCTGGTCAGATGGACCAAGATTAGAGAACGGCAGATGCGGGGCAGGGATCGCTTGGCAAGAGCCAGGAGGAATATGGAAGACCCAGGGGTTCCCATTGGGCAAGGGATGCGAGGTCTTTGATGCAGAGCTTCTTGGAGTTGTTCGAGCACTCCAGTTAGCAGAGAAAGTGGAAGATCAGAGACCAGTGATCATCCTGCTGGACTCCCAGGCCGCCATCGCGAGGCTGCAACATACCCAGCCTGGACCAGGCCAAACATTAGCAATCCAAGCACACACTATAGCCAAGGAATTACATGCCCGAGGTCATCAACCCACCATCCAGTGGGTTCCGGGACACGCAGGGATAGAAGGAAATGAGAAAGCCGACCAGGTAGCAAAGCAGCCAGCCAACAAACCCCCAGGAAGAGGCCCAAGAGAGATCTCCCTGGCATTAGCCTGTAGAGCCCGAACAGAAGCCATCACAACATGGAAGCAGAGATGGCTCACCAAAGAGCTCAGCCAACAATCTCAACGAAGTCAACGAATGTACAAGCCGCGGAAAAACTGGCAGCTCAACCCAACAACTGCAGTTGCTCCCAAGCATCTAGCAAGCCGGTACTTTTAACTGAAGTCAGGACATGCAGCCATTGGAGTATATCTACATCAAATCAAGGCCCAAGAGGATGCAACCTGCAGAGATTGTGGCTTATCATGGGAAACAATACACCATCTTCTCTTTGAATGCCGAAAATGGCGACACCAGCAAAACAAGCTCCACAAGGATCTGGAGATGGATGGGGTCGTGAGACCCGCTGGTGCAGAGGAACACCCACAGGGACGACTGTTAGGAGAACCCAGAGCTACCAGAGCGCTGCTAGAATTTCTGGCTAGTACTAGTGTGGCTCTACCCCGAGCACATTCTCATCAAACGCGGAAAGGGCCCGAAGAGACAATTAGAACAGGAGAAGGATAGCAAAGAGGGTAGCCTAAGCTGAATCCCCAGCTCAGGCCACACCCACTCTGCTCTAAAACACAAGGAGAGCACTCTGCTCGAAAGCCCTGCGCATACAGGTGGTTTGGGGCGAGGAAAAGGATCAGAAAGATTATAGAAGGAGGCTAGTGCCTCGGGAGCTTCTGGGGATAAGAGACTGTAGAATAGCTACTAGTCTTAAGTCCACGAATAAGGGTCTATCATAGCTCTAGGGCTCGGTATGGACAATAAACTTGATTAAATAATAATAATAATAGATAGTTACGTTTGAATGTGAAGCATTCCAGTAGGTTGAATTCTACCTAGCTCATAGAATCGTAGAAAGAGGTCCTGACTGGTCACATCTTTGACGGCTAAGAAGCCGTTACTGGGTAGAAATCCAGAATGCCAGGTCGCGAACTGGCTCTTTAACCTCAGTTCTTCTTTGATGACTGTTCCAGGAATGAACTAATCTTGAACAAGGCACATGCCATCAGGCAACCGGATGTTCACGTAGCTCAAAGACATAATGCAGGTGGCAAACCATACTTTCCGCTTCATCAACTATATACAATCAGAAATTGAAACCACTAGAGACAGTTGTATTTATTAACTCACATATTTTTGCGGTATGGGTGTCTTATCATAAAGTTTCCTTGGCATGAGAAGCACACACCCATCATCTTCAACTCTCGGTACAACAGCTCCATTCTCCACTGAAGCTGTTACGCTGCCTGTCAAACCCCTAGAGGATCATTGGATGGTTCTTGTCAAGTCCTGACAGCGACTCGACATGGCCGTCGACACGGCACAATGGATGTTGAAGGTTGGTGGGGATTCTCCTCGTGCGCCTGTGTTTGAGACGCCAATGTTAGCACGGCTACCACTACAATATGTGAATGAACTCATAAGCACGGAGCAAAAAATTGAGCACTTATGCATATCGGTGCTATCCAGTAACAGGAGTGTTCTGGTGTGGAAGGAAGAGAGAAGAAGTACAGCAAGTAAATGTCGCCGGACAAAAGTTTTATTATGTCAGCCTCAGACTAACCAAGAAGTTGAGACATGTCTCTCATGTAGGTATTTGGAAATATTGAATTGAAACTGGCTGGTAAGTTCTCAGGCACAGTCAACTTATGGAGAATCAGGAAGTTAAAGAGAAGACGACGAAGAGAAGATAGGCGGAAGAGACAAGCAAAGGTGCGAGAGCACAGTAAATGCCCTGCTAGTTATCTCGATTTGTCCCGAGACACGGGGGAATATTGCGTTTACCAAGGCGCCTATACATCGCCATAATAACAACTGTGCCTGTGATTAGCTCTTATGGTAGTCAGGGACCCTTCACCAATGCTCCTGTCTAGTGGGATGCTGTGAAATATAAACGTGGTAATGCATTTGCCCTTTGCCACTCAGACTATAAAATACATAAATCCCACCCAGAGGTATTCTTCCTCTACTATCCATAAATTAGTGCTCTGTAGTCTGCTATACAATGCCCATGGTACCACCGAGACATTATTAGGGCAGCTACCTCACGTGATTACACGGCTAAAGGATCATCCGATGCCTGAAACAAGGGGCGTAACACCGATAGCACAGATAACAACAGCATTCCAGTTGGTGCTGGTCCTTGAATAATGACCAAAATGCGATTTCCATAGTCTTTCTTTCTCTCGCTTCCATTTCAATCCTATTTGTCGCTCTTTTCTTTTCTTCTCGATTTCACTTCGCTCAGGTATTCCAACCCCGTACATGCAGCCAGGGGAACCCCCTATAATACACTCTCTGAAACAAACAACCCCGGCCTCGCCGCCCCCTTTTGCGTCGCATCGCATCGCGTTACATCGCATCGCGTCCGTTCTTTTATACCCAGATATCCTCATCGCGGATTCAACTGGATCTAGACCATTTTAAAGAAAACAAAATGACATCATCGGCGTTAACACTATTTCCTCGCGACGACGAGAAGCCCGTCAGTAACTTCACCAAAAGTGGAGTGCCGGGAATTATTATCGGGGTGTAAGTCCTAGCTCCATACTATTGGTCTCGGCGACGACTATACATTATAGCTCAGTTGCTAATTACTTCTTTGCTTGATCATAGAGTCGTCTTTATCGCCCTATGCATTTGCTGCTTCTTTCTCTATCGCAATCGACGACGAGATACGCGCGAGGCCAAGTCGGCTCAGACTTGGAATGAGGATGGGTATGCATGATGGATTGCATCAGGGCCGGGATGGTCAGGTTGTGTTGGCTGTTTGGGAGGATTCACATTGTGTATGAGGTCTGGGTATAATACTATACTGTGATTTTTTTTTGTTTAAGTGGGTTGTTGCATGTTTTTCTGGCTATCTTGCTTTGATGTTCTGTGTTTGATACTCTATTCGATACGCCTGGAGCGATTATGGCTTCGATACCAATTTCAGGTCCGAATGCACTATATTTGAACAATGAATTGCTGCAATGGGTCATGGAATGCGTCGATCTTCAGCCGTTCGTCGATCAATACGGAATACACCAACCAAGCATTCTGCAGCTGTGGTCACTATTCCTACACATTGAGTAGCAAATGCATGTGTCCTATATGCATCTATGGGAACTACCCAAGCTATAATGGAAAGAAGCCGGTTAAAAAAGCACGAAGTGTATTTGATACTCAATCACTACAGAGGCATGAACACCCATCTCCCTCTTTGCCAAGCCTAGCAACTCATGTTGTACTTTGCGGTTGCAGATACTGCTCGTAGTTGGTCACCCTTCAGATGTAGATTAGGGTCGTGGGAAATATATATCTCAAGACGACAATTTCTGCTCCCAGTCAGACACTATCATATATTCCGATCAGATCATGTTGGCCAATTCGCCCTGGATTTCCGGGGGGCATTCGGCCGTAGTGCTTCATCAGCACATGTAGTCAGTCTTGAGCACATCCCCAGTCACCCTCTTTCTCCAAGCGCTAGCCGTGGGCACCTTGCTTTTTCTGAGAAGCGTTTCATCCCCCACACTAAATAACCTAGTAGTATGTATTCACCAAAACCCCTCAATCCTCCGTTCTCTCGGCAGAATTTTTCCTGTTCTTTCGCCACATTCCACAAAGCAACAAGAGGAACGGGATCGTTCCCAGCAAAATGAATGACACCAGCGTAAAGGCCCACCCCCGACCTATGGCATTGAGCATGGGATCGATGGCTGCCGATGCCGCAGCCGAGAAGAAAGACCGCACCATGTTATTCGCGGCAGTCGCAGCGGCCGGGTGAGTCGTGTGCAGATCGACAAGCAGCGTGGAGGTGGAAATGAAACCACCAGTCTGGCCCATGCCGATGAAGAACAGGAGCACCTCGGGCGCCGCAAGGTGTACCCCAAAGTTGACCACCCAGCCGAACGCCAGCACCGTCACACTGCCCATGACGACTAGTGGGATAGTGATGGCGCTGCGGGCTTTTTCGACAGGAACTGACTCTTTTTGCGCCTGTATCTGTTCCGGGGTGGCATCTGGGCCGGCGAGTTTTGCGGCACTGCGTCGGTAGTTCCAGTCAAGGAGTCGGCCCGTTATGACGGAGGCCAGGATGGACCCGGTGCCTAGCGTGATGTAGCAGAGGCCGATTTGGAGAATGCTTAGGCCGTACTGTGTGGAGTACATTTCTGTGATGGAAGAGAGGACAGTCATGTTGCCTCCCATGATGACACCTGTGACCAAGAGGACGATGATCGAGTTTGGATGGAACACGATCACGAGAGGTTTCAGCGGGTTGGGGAATGAGAGCTTGTGCTGTGGCTTCTCTGGCGAGCCACTGCTGTCGGATCGGTCGAGATCCTCCGAAGGCTGCTTGGCCGCGCTGTTATGGTAGAAGTATTGCACGAGAGGCCGGTTCCATGACTGTGCGGGAGACGTGCCGTCCCCGACGACATTCCGTGCGGTCTCCGGAAGGAATAAGAGGAGAGGCACCAAGAAGACGCCCGATGCGATAGTCAGGAACCAGAAAATCGACTTCCAGCCAAGATACTGGGCCAGAAGACCGCCAATAATGGGGCCGATGGCTGGTCCCGAGAAGTTGCCTGCCATGACAATGCCCATGTACGATCCTCGCTCCTCTTTGGTGCTGACATCGGCAACGGTCGCCGCGGACAGCGCCACGCTACTACTGATCCCGGAACTTTGCAGACATCGCAGCACAATCAGAGCGGCGTAGTTGCTCTGCAATGCGAGTCCAATGTTAGATGCAATATAGATGACGAAGCAGATGATGTAGGCGGGTCGACGGCCAGTTTGGTCTGCAAAGCTGCCGAGGAACATTGGTGCAATCCCTTGAAAGATCTAACAGATTACCACCGTTAGTTAGCACACATTCTTCGGGTTGATTTCTGGAATATGCTATGCATTTACCATGTAACTGGTCACCGTCAAGTTGATCAAGGACGATGACACGCCCAGATCCTCAGCCAGCGCATTCAGGGCCGGGAAGTAAATCTGGGCCGACAAAGAGGAAAAGAAGCCAGCCCCAGCCGCTGTGAAGACGATATACTTTTTCTGCAGGTTGCTGAAGGAGCTGTAAGGCCGAGGCACGGCCGAAGACTCCGAGTTCATTGCGATTCGAGTGGTTTGGGCATGGGGAGAAAAACCGAGAACCAAGTGAGAATCGGTTGCAACGAGATTGTCCCCTTTTCACTGATATTATTCTTTCAATCAATCTTTCACCATGAGAGAGAAAAACAAAAACAAAATAAAGTAAAACAATCAACTCTCAAGTTGACGTTGACACAAGAAGGCTTGGCAGGCCGTGGGATGTTCGGCTGGGCCTGCGGAAAAGCTTGAGAAAGCTTGATGTGATGATGATCGGCCTCGGTCCAGGCTTCTGAACGTCAAGACCAAAAGGGTGAACTCCGGTGTAGGCGGGGAAATCATTTCCTCTAGGCGATACGATCACCAGGAGCGTGTGTGTTTCGGCTCGGCAGGTTACTGTCAACGGGCCTACGGAGGACGGAGGACGCTAGACGGAGCCGGATCGGAATGCAGTCCTCTGTATAGAGTAACAATCATCACTGAGCAAGGACTGTGTGAGTCTGTCCATAAAGGTCCAAGAGACTTTGGTGATGCTAGCCTGCCATATCATTGGCGGTGGTCTGTCCGTTCCTATCCACTGATCTACGTATTTGGTAACCGAGCTGCGTACTCCAGAAGGTGATTCCGATTATCAGATTGATTGATAGTTTACCTTGTACTTATTCTGTTTCCACTATTTCCAGGTGAAAGTACGCAATCCGTGCCGTGGCGATTACCAGATTTGCACCCAGATTTGCACCCTGATTGTCCGAGGACCCTGATCGTTGGTGGTTGTTACAACCTCCTAGGACGGCTTCTGCCGCTCAAAAAGAAGATCATATTCTGCGTGCAATGAAGGCCTGTCAAGCTGATCAAGTATCAAGTATACTCCGTACTGAAACTTTGGGGGTACCATAACCTGCAGAGTACACCCGGTGACCGCATCAAAGGCTCGCTTAATCCGAAGAATCTTCACTGAAGCAATGGGTATTTATATGGATCAGCGAGAACTACTACTATTCTAGGTTACTGTACCATATCGGCAAGTGGGAGATGGGCGACAAAACACATTGAACACCAGGAGCCAATACAACCGCCAGTATGACTGCCAACCGGCAATGTGAAGATCCAGACGTTATGGCGATCCGCACTCATCTGTCCTGCTAGAGTAATGATCTCACTGAATTGATATAGCTGATCACGATAATGATTAGGAGGCCATGATGAGTGACTCGTGGGATGCGACATGTGCTCAGCTTCTAACTAAGAAGGTTGGCATAGCATTAACTGAAGAAAGTTTCATCCGGTATGGTGTGATGGGAGAAGTTGGGCCAAAATAGGGTTAGCACGAGGTTGAAAGTTTCAATTCCAGGACCATCTCTACATAGGAGGTTTTTACAGGTCCGTTCATCTCCGTGTCGGGAATATTTAACCAGCTCGTCGACTCAACCTTCAAGTTATCAAGTCAATCCAAATACTTCAAGACCTTTCCTCAAATCAAGACAAGACAAAAACAACACCATGACTGCTGAAATCTTCGACGCAACCTCAGCGGTTACCGTCATCGGCGCAGGACCCTGTGGATGCGCCTTTGCGGCAGACCTGGCCAGCCGCGGAAAATCCGTCCTGTTGTACGGCCACCCTGACCATCGTGGTGCAATCCCAATGATCGAGAAGAATGGTGGCTGGCTTAATGCAGATGGGGACGATGTCAATGGGAGATTCCAAATCAAGACCACCAGCGATCTATACCTGGCCATTCGACACTCCCCGTTCCTCGTGTCCACCGTGCCCTCGTACGGCCAGGACACCATTCTGCAGACACTGAGCCAATTCGACTTGCGAAACCACACCCTCATAATCAACGTGGGTAACTTTTTCTACCTTGCTGCCCGCCAGAAAGTCAACTGCCACGCCATCCTTGAAACCGACATCTCCCCTTACGCTGTTCGCATCACGGGCGAGACAGTCTTCGTTAAGGGTGTCAAGAAGAGCCTGACCATCTGGGCCGAACCGCCCACGACACAGGCCAGGCGTCATAGCCACCAGGCGGAACTCACCCTCCGCCGACAAGTAGAGTCAATCTTCTCACAGCGCCTGGTGTGGTGTCAGAACCTCCTCCAAGTGGGCTTGAACAACATCAACCCGGTCGTGCACTGCCCGGCAGCGCTCATGAACGCGGGCTGGATCGAGGCAACCAAGGGAGATTTCTTTTTCTACGCCCAGGGCATGTCGCCCTCTGTATCCAGGGTGACGGAGAAAGCAGACCAAGAGCGGCTGGCAATTGGCCGCGCCTATGGTTTCGACCTCGTCGACATCACGACATACATGAACAAAAACTACCAGCACGACCGAGAATTCCACGACTACCATGACTTCGCCGCAGGATCCGTGATCCACAACAAGACCAAGAGTTCCCCGACAACCTTGAAGCATCGCTATCTACTCGAGGACATTCTCTTCGGGATGGTCCCCTGGTACGAGCTCGGTTTGAAGTGTGGTCTGACTTCACCGACTATCCGGGCACTCATCGAGATGGCCTCTGTCGTCAGCGGCTTTGATTACTTCGAGCACGGGAGGACTCTGAAGGCCGCTGGGTTGGCTGAGGCCTCAAAAGAACAGATCCTGGTGGCCTTGGGAGGATCCTTGGACAACACCACTAGTGTTTACGCTCCGCTTACAGACTCGCTCGTCAACGCCAGTGTCAACACATTGGAGTCGCATGCTCCACTGCAGAAGCCTCAAGTCGCTGTGTGAGCGTCACTCTAAGCCTATTCTGAGATGAATCATTCCTGTGTAAACGTGCTCTATACCTGATGGTGTTTATTGTATTTCCTTTTTCCTCCTTTCCTTTGTCCATACTTCAGTTTTGGCCTTTCACGATGGTGTTATAAAAATACAAGAATGCAAGCAAATTTAGACCTTATTTCACCTAGGCTAGCTGCATTTTCAGGGTTCTAAATATCCAAATAATCACGTGCACCTTGCCCTATATAGTAGCCAGCGGCGAGAGGACTCACTTATAAGTTACGAGAATATTCTAATCTCTCTTGTCAGCTTTGTCATGGATATAATGGTGTTACAGCCCATACCCCTCCAAATGCATAGGAGCGAAGAAGCCAATACCTGAACACCTTAGATGCCGTTGATCTGAACAAAGCCCAATGACCAAACCTGAAAAATGTTATGGCCGGTATTGCTATCTGTTCTATGACAGACCGTACCGACGACCTCAATAGATTATGAACACCTATGTTAGCTGGTTCCTCGACATCTGGAATCCATGCCTGCACATTGTCTACTTCAGCTATTGTATATATATATATATATTGGCAGGAAATATTTGATGTAAACACTAACATTTATCATAACCTAATTTTATCCTTAAACACTTCGTTTATGTTTAGTCTAAGCATCTCCTCCATACCTTCAACGGTAATGGTCCCGGTAACAAATTTGTCACTTCCACCCGATCCTGCTCCCATTCCGGATGCGGCAGTGCAAATTTATATCGGTGTAAAACACTAGCAAGCATGATAGTTTGTTCCAAGTAAGTAAGGTTTTGTCCAATGCACGCCCGAGGACCACTGCTGAAAGGCACAAAATATGACTGTAATGATCGACTCTTCTCACCAAGCCAGCGTTCAGGCATGAATTTTTCGGGCTCTGGAAAGATCCGTTCATTGCGATGCGCAACATAGGATGAAATCGATACAGTCGTATCACCGGGGACAAAATCGTTGAGTATAACGGCGCCATCGGGTGGGGTGCGACGAGGTAGATTGTAAGAGAAAGGGGGCGTGATGCGAAGGCTCTCGTCAAGGCAGGCCCGCAGGTAAGGAAGATGCTTTACTTTTTCGTAAGGTGCAACGATGTTGTCCAGGTCAAGAGCATCGTCAATCTCTTCTTGTAGGCGAGCAAGACAGGAGGGGCTTCGCAGCAACCAGAAGATTACGTTGTTCAGAGCGATCGCGGTTGTTGCAGAACCGGCGTCTAATAGAACGCCTACCTCAGACGCGATTTCTCCCCATTCGAGGTTTCTAGGGCTGCCATCCTTGCTATCCATCAAACATTGGAAAAAGTCGTCTACCTTCTCACCCTCAAGTGACCGGGCAAGACGTTTCCTTGCCTGGTAGTTCACAAAGTCGCTCCAACCTTGGTTCAATCTCCATAGTTCTCGATAGGAAGGTAAGAGCCGGGTTGCATATCTGCTGTTAAGCCAGTACCATTTGTCTGCGTAGGCAATACGCGTATGTGCTATCTTGGAAGCATGCAAACAATCCCGGAATTTCACTTCGTATTGCATTTTATCCACAGTCTGGGCGGGCACGAGGTCGTTCCCAGCCCTAAGCACCCCTAGCTTCTCAGAGAGGGCAATATCGGCAATTGCGTCGATGGTGAAGAAGTTCGCCCAAGCGCGGAAGTCAAACGTCAGGTCTTTCGGGTCGGGATGTCGAGAGGATTTTAGTAGTGGTGCAGTGCAATGTTTGTCACAGGCTTCAATAAAATGAGCTACATTTTCGGCCACCTTATACTCCCAGATTTGCACGTTCTTCATAGCGAATGCACTTGCGAGCATCTTCCTCTTTCGCGAATGATCCTGTTTGTCAATGACATTTCCAAGGTTGAAGTGTGAGCCGGCTTCTGTCTGGTAGAAGACATCTTTGTGGCACTTGGTGCCATGCCCATAAATGTCTTTTATTGCACTTAGGTCGCCGTAAGAAAGTGAGTTGGGCCCGATGCGGATCACTGGGTGCTTTTTGTGCATCTCACTGAGTTTCTTCGATCGAATGCCTCCCCGCCATGTCTCCAAGCACCAACCAAGATTAGAAATCCCGCAAATGAGATTGTAGTTGGGATATCTTCGCAGGCGCTTCGGATCATGGAAGTAGTCGAAAAAAGGTTTGATAATAAGGCAGATAAAGAGAACAGTTAAAAGTACGACAGAATACATTTGTGGTTTTTGGGAAGACTGGTTCAACAGAGATAAAGAAAATAATAACGATATCACGGTAGGACGTGTCGACAGCAGTACTTGGACCCGGAGAGAAGCAATTGATTTCTTTTATTTCCGACAAATCTGATAATGAGTTTGTCATACTTCTGAGTTGCTGTTGACAATGCATAGAGAAACAGGAAACTTACCCTATATTTCTATGGAAGAATAGCATTTCAAAGTTAGGAAATACTTCCCGATTGAAGAATCTGTCACATAACTACTTTCTCCGCCTCTCTGGCCATACAAAGACTAGCAGATACGGATGTTTAGTGCGCAGACGTTTTAAACAATCGAACTTCAACAATTTCCGCAAATGGGTGCCCTCTTGGTGACGGTACTTTGTCTTGGCCGTACGACCAACCTCTTCTCTTTGGAGCTCGACCACAGAGTTTTCGGATTTCATGCAGCACTATGGGACGGTATATGTTTCTGTTCGGGTACTACACTGGCATTAGCTTAGCTGTCCTCGTGTATTTTACAGCTTGGGCTATACAATGTCTGAGAGAGAGACGGTTATGTCTCTTTGTCTAGTTGGATCCTTCGTAGGAGCCATTATGACAGGCTTGACCGCGGACAAATATGGCCGCAAAGGACCTTTATACATCGTATGTGCTCTGTTTACCATTGGGCTCATTCTTCAAGCCTCTGCAGGCTCTGTCCCGCAGATGCCAGTTGATAGGCTGGTGGTTGGTGGGAGTCGGCTCTGCAGAAATGAACGGTAACCTTCGAGAAGGTGCACCTATGCATTTGGGCGTGTTTTTAGTGAGCTTCAGTTGTCCTTACTACGTATTGAGTTGCCCAATAACGTTGAATAGCGGGGATAATTTCCTGCATTTGACAATATATGTGTATGCTGGTCTTTAATTAGAACGAAAGTTGGAATATCTTTAAGAATCCCCTCCTTCCAAGCGGGGCCGATCACGGGGTCTACCTTTGAGGAAAGTATTCCCGCTCTAATAATCAGAAAGAGCAATCACCTTGTCCATTTCTTCGACGTACCTTCTAACCAATGTAACACGGAATACTCATTTTTTCAAGTTTTCGTGCGCCTTCGAGATTGTCACGAACCATATGAGTGAAGTATCAACAGCATTGCTGATTGTATCTCTGAAACAATTGGTCTTGAATAATACATGGATAAACAGCACATATATCGAATCAATGGCCTCAAGGCACTGGCCTCAAGTCCTGCACGCAGCGTAAGAGCATATCTCCCGCTATTATAGACTTGCAGAACTCCCCAGAGCCATCAGCGTCCAATGAAGGAGTTTTAACAGAAGGTACAACAGTCTCGTCAAATTATTGGCCCTATAGTTGTATATATCCATTAGATGACACATATATCAATCATAGATACCTTAGCAAGAGAAGAGGAGAAGCAATAAAGACATATATTGAGCTATCTAGAAAGGAGAGTGAAGACAACAAGTGGAAAGGACTCACATTGACAAAGTGAGCCAGATAGGAGCACTTACGCTTTCTGAATAGCTCCAACCGAGAGACGCTAGAGTGTCTCAATGCACTCAATTTTACCCCTTCGCACCATGCTCAAAATGTAACTGAGTAATGTCTGGGTTTTCGGGTTTTTAGTCCTGGCCCAATCAAGCGGTGATTTATCTATTTATATCTCGGGAATGAGCTTGACCAAATTCAAGCTTAGCTAAACAATTGAATGAGGATAAATAAAGGGGAAGAAACAATAAAGAGATTGAAGACCAGGCATGTGAGCAGTACTACTTTGGTAGACTACCGTGAGACGTTCAATTTCTACACACAACAGAAATGTATGATACTTAGTTTTTGAATTTTTTTCTATTCAGGATATAATAATTAGATAAACACAGCTAATCCTTCTTCTCTCCAAAGTCGCAGACAACTTGGACGTAGCTTTAGCCTTCAGCCACAGGCTTACCAAATGACAACTACGGCAATCGGATTATGAGTTCGCTACTACATCATTACTGTATGGCTTCGCTGCCTTAGCACTGCCCTTCGTTATATATTACACCAATACACAGCTTATTCACAGTGTAAGATTGCGAAAGAAGCACGGAGTATACGCGTTACCCGATTCACTCAGTATATTTTTTGCCCAGCGGCTTTGATAACAGTTGTCATGGAGCTCAGCTAGGGTAATGAAACATCCTTCTCATGGGTTCTAGCTAGGTAGCTATCGGTGAGAATAATTGAAATAAGGAAGAAAGGAGGTAACGCCATATTTATCAAAAAAGCAGACAACTGTATCTCATGCGATAGCCAGCCAACGTGACAAGGCCGTCACAATAGCCAGGGATCCGACTTGCTATTATACTGGGAATAGCAAGCCTGACATAGAAGGATGTACAATGCTATAAGACTGAATAAACAGACTATGATATGCCTTATCTATTCTCCCCTGGGACATCCTGCGTCACACAATGGATGCCACCCCCAGTGAGTGCAATCTCTCCAAGATATACCTGAACTACCTTTCGCTCTGTAAAAAGGGCTTGAAGGATATCTCTAGCCCTAGCATCGGCTTTAACATTTCCAAATCGTGGCATAATGACTGCGTCATTGACAAGCAGATAGTTCATATAACTTAGCACAGTTCCGGGTGGATAGGCTCAAGGCGCTCTATACCCGCCTCAGGAAGGTCAACAATCTCGAAATCCCGCCCTTTGGCATTCGTCGCCAAGGATAATATTTTCTTGGTCGTGTCATAAACGTCTGTCGACAAGTGTCTGTCTGGCCCGGAGTCATTCAAGACGACTCTGCCGGGAGCGACAAAGCGGACCCAGCCGCCGATATGAGCATCGGTCACCTCGTAATCCTCTAGACCAGGGACTCGGATAATCTTGTATATGCCCAAAGGCCGGCAAAGATCTTTCTCAATAGTCTCTCGGCTGAGATTGGCGTTGCGGTTGGGGTTGAGGATGGAACTCTCCGTTACTAGTAACGTCCCTTCGTCCGTTTCCAGGGCCCCACCTTCCAGAATTATTGGGGTATCCACTCGTGGAATACTGCTGTCGGCTAGGAATTGCTTAGCGAGGCGCGCACAGCTGGCCGAAAAATACCGTCCTCCCCATCGGTTGAAATGAAGTCGATGCCATGAAGGCCCGGAGGTGACAGTTCTTCGCAAACACATATGCCGGCACAATATCGCGCATCCAGATTTCCAGGTCATCCATATCGGTAGGCTTGACTTCTACGCCATGAGTACCGCAGCTCTGGAATGCTGTCTCTGCCTCGGAGAGATCCTTGGAATGAACCAACAGGGTTACAGGCTCATAATTGCTTATTGTCACCGCAATTGCTGTGAGTTCGCTCTTCAATCGAAAATCTCAGCTTTTCCATAATTAGGGTTTTCGGGTCCTGGCCATGCCATGAGTATCGCTCGATGCTGGCCCCCTTCATGAGGTCGGAAAAATGTTGGGATGGTCATAGCAAGGGCAATTTCGAGGCATGACCACGAAAAGAAAGACAGTTTCAGAATGGAGATATGCGCGATGAGGGAAGATGCACTGTTATATTAATATGGAACAGGGAATGAAAGCGCGGATATCGCTGTGATGGGACCATATGATATCACAAAAAGGGAGATACCACATCACGAAACCATGCCAATAGTGCCATGGAACGCTGCCTTTGTGGAATGTCGCACTCTCCTGCTAGCAGTCAATATTAGGCAATCCCAACCACGCACTATATTCTCTTATACGTGTAGCGTGGATGCCATACAGTTTAACCTTGTTTCCGGAGAAGCCGTTCTGAGCCAACGGATCGTAGATCTACCATTAGGAAGGAGCTTCGTACAAATATTCGAATAAAGCTCCGGGAAATAATGCCGCCTCAAGTCAAAACCGAGAGACATTTTTACTTTTTTAGTAATTTTTGGGCAATCGCATAGACCATTTTGAATCTCTTTTTGAATAATTCCGATGGCTTGGTGCGCTAGGCACGGCCCGCAACTAGTGCAAGACTGAAAAGTATTCTGGTCCACTCTCACCCAAAGCTGGTGGGCTCTTTGTGACAGCCTGGTCACGTTGGCTGGTTATCACATGAGATGTGGTTGTTTGCTTTGTTGCTTTGTCTATAAATATGGCGTTACCCCCTTTCTTCC